CTCGCATCAGAGACTCGGTCATCTGAATGCTCAAGACATTCAGGAGCTCACCAACGGCTATCAATGCAACATCCGAGTCACCGGACACCCTGATGGTCACATCTGTAAGTCTGCATGCTCTCCCAGCAGTCCAGAGCTCCCTTTCCAAAGAAACAAGCTGTACCTATTTTGGGTCATGCATTGATGACAAGTCCAGAATTGTCTGGGTCAAGCTCCTCAACAAGAAAAGCGACGCCTTTGACCCACGGGGAGAGCACAAGGCTCTTATGGACAGGCAGACGGGGAACACAATTAAAGACCTCAGGTCTGAGAAAGGAATCGACCCAATTGGCCCTTGCGCTCAGGAGAGCTGGAATCCAAGACCAGCGCGCTGCTACCAACACCCCACAGCAGAACGGAGGAGCGGAAAGTGTGAATCGAACTCTATTCGACATGGCACAATGCCTACTCACCCAGGCTGGCCTTGGACATGAATACTGGGGAGAAGCGCTGCTTGCAGCCGTGCACATTGGAAATCAATGCCCTATGGCTGCCTTTGACAACTTCAAGACACCGTACAAAGTATTCTTCGGTCGCAAGCCCACCGACCTTCATCTCAGACGGCGTGGATGCATACCTTATGCTATGGTCCTCAAGAGAAACTGAGGAAAGCTGGACAACAAAGCCAAGAAGTGCATCTTTCTCAGATGCACCCCCTTCAGCAGAGCGTGGAGGCTTCACTCACTTGAACCTGATGATCAAGGCACCATCATCAAATCCTGAGATGTTCAGTTCAATGGGAACAAGGTCTACAACAGCCTGGAAGATGATGATATGCATGAAGACATGTCAGCTCGCTCCTATGACAGATTAGCGAGCTATAAATTCGATCCAGATCCTGACAACATATTGAAACCTTAGCTGATATAGGTGTATCTGAGAGGTCATGAAGATTGGTTCGCCGATGACTGAGGGACGTAGCTGCCCAAAGGGCAGTGTTGTGATGTAGAAGACAGTACTGTGACTAGAGTAGTGCGATAGAAAGCTGTGTATTGAAGAGGATAAAGTAAAAGGACGGGATGGGCAACAGGTCTGCCTTTTATAGGAATCTGGGGCTTCTTTCTTGGGGATTTGGCTAGGTGCTGGGGTGTCCAAAGCACCCTCTGAGATCCCCTCAAAACGCCCAAGGCGTCGCTGAGTGCCGCAGTTAAGGTTGGTAAGGTTTATAAGGTTTTGCCAAGTCTGTGTAGCCTGCTGATGCCCCCATGGACGTCTGCCAAGTCCGCGGAGCCCGCGTCAGATGCTACAGGCTTCCACAAGCTCAATAAAACCCAATCTAGCTACTACACCAAGGTCACGCATCTCGTACGCCTTCTGAAGTTCCTGGGCCTTGAAGTTTTCAAGATCGAGTCTCTTGTTGCTCATAAGTTTAAGATCGTCCACATAGAGGATCAGGATGAGCAGCCCACCCTCAAAGAATCTGATATAGACGCAATGGTCTGAATCAAGACGTGTAAAGCCTTTCTCAACGAGAGTGCCGTGGATTTCGATATTCCATTCCCTGGGGCTTGTTTAAGACAATAGAGTGTCTTCTTGAGTTTGAGCACGAGATGCTCTTCTCCCGGTGGCTGCTTCATATAGATCTCCTCACTGAGTGTTGGGCTCAGGAATGCGGTGGATATGTCCATTTGGTTCATTTCAAGGTCTTGAGCTGCTTGCCATGAGAGCAGTAGCCGAATGGTGTCGAACTTGGCCACTGGTGCGAATGTTTCGTTGTAGTCAACTCCCTCTTCTTGCAAGAAGCCTTGGGCGACCAGTGTCTGGCACTGTAACGTTCGATACTGCCATCAGCATTCATCTTGATCTTGCAGACCCACTTGCAGGCAACAAGGTTGCAATCTTTGGGTGTTGGGCAGAGGTCCCAGGTGCCTTTCTTGAGCAGATATTCGTATTCAGCGTCCAATGCTTCCTTCCACTTTGCTGCATCGCTTGAGTTTAGCGCCTGCTTGGACTTTTTGGGCTCTGTGTGTAGTACTTTGGTTGCAACAGCATAGGCAAGGTTGCTTTGATGAATTTGCGTGCTCTGAGAACGTGTGATGCGTCCGTACTGCACCAATTCGTCGTCTTCAGGCTCTTCCTGGTTGCCTAGATCCTCCGAGGCTTCTGCCCACTGATCAGTGTCAGGTTGTGGGTTGGCGGACGCATAAGAAAGCTCAAAAGATCCCTCTGCAGCGTGCGAGCATGATTCCGTTTTGTCTGTGGGCTTGAATGCACGTGTACCAGTGTTGTATTGAGATAGCATCAAGATGCGGCACTTAGAAGGCTCTGCAAGACTTAGGACGCGTGTTGGGAGGCTCTGAAGATGTCTGGACCGTTTCCCAGACATCCAGGCATCAGCACTGCGCTTTCATGATGTTCTTAGAGCTCATAGCGGTCTGTAGTGCCCGTATGGAGCTGTGGTCGGGTTGTAGTAGCTAGATTGGGCTCAATTGCGCTTGTGGTAGCCTGTAGCACCTTCCGCGGACTTGGCGGACGCCCATGGGGCATCAGCAGGTACCTATGAGGCTACACAGACTTGGCAAAACCTTACAAACCTTACCAACCTTAATTGCGGCACTCAGAGACGCCTTGGGCGTTCTGAGGGGGTCTCAGAGAGTGCTTTGGACGCCCCAGCACATAGCTAAATCCTCAAGAAAGAAGCCCCAGATTCCTATAAAAGACAGACCTGTTGCCCATCTCCTCTCTTCACTTCAACCTCTTCAATACGCAGCTTTCTATCGCACTACTCTAGCCACAGTACTGTCTTCTACATCACAACACTGCCCTTTGCGCAGCTACATCCCTCAGTTATCGGCAAACCAGTCTTAGTGACCTCTCAGATACACCTATATCAGCTAAGGTTTCAATAGGTTATGAGCCCTGATGGTGGCGGTTCGAATCTCAGCTTGGGTAACTGTTTTTCGAAACCACTTCTGCCTAATATTGCCTAGCCAAACAATAAAAAATCCGGTCAAAAATGTACTACACTGCCTAGCTGCAGAGGGGGTGTTGGGGTGCACCTACCCGTACAGTACATGACCGGGTAAGCGTTTTGTTTGGCAAGCTGGCATAATAACAGGTTATGAGCCCTGCAGCTATCCCTACTCAGCAGGAGCACTTTGTTGCACACCCTTTCATATCTGGCATCAGCGACTCGGTCATCTGAATGCCCAAGACGTCCAGAAGCTCACCAATGGCTACCAACGTGACATCAGAGTCACCGAACATCCTGATGGCCACATCTGCGAAGTCTGCATGCTCTCCAAGCAGTCCAGAGCTCCCTTCCCAAAGAAACAAGCTACCCAAGCCACAGAAGTCCTGGCACTCGTCCACACTGACCTCTGTGGCCCCATGAGGACATCTACTTTTGGGGGATGTACCTACTTCGCATCATGGATTGATGACAAGTCCAGAATCGTCTGGGTCAAGCTCCTACGCAAGAAAAGCGATACCTTTGATGCCTGTACAAGGCTCTTATGGAAAAACAGACTGGGAAATCAATCAAAGTCCTCAGATCGGACAAAGGAGGCAAATACGAATCCATCCAATTTACCCTCGCACTCAGAAAGGCTGGAATCCAACACCAGCGCGCTGCTACCGACACCCCAGAGCAGAACGGGTAGCGGAACGTATGAATCAAACTCTAGTCAAAATGGCACGCTGCCTACTCACCCAGGCTGGTCTCGGACACGAATACTGGGGAGAAGTTCTGCTTGCAGCTGTCCACATTTGAAATCGTTGCCCTACGGCTGCACTAGACAACTTCAAGACGCCGTACAAAGCCTTCTTCGGTTGCAAGCCCATCCTCCTTCATCTCAGAGTGTTTGGATGTATAGCCTATGCTATGGTTCTCAAGAAAAACCGAGGAAAGCTGGACAACAAAGCCAAGAAGTGCCTCTTTCTCGGTTATATCTCTTCCAGCAAAGTCTGGAGGCTCCAGTCACTCGAACCCGATGATCAGGGCGCCATTATCGAATCAAGAGATGTCCAGTTCAATGAAAACAAGTTCTGCAACAGCCTGGACAACGAGGATACGCATGAAGACACATCAGATCGCTCCTATGACAGCTTAGCAAGCTTTGAATTCGATCCTGAGCCTGACAGTATCGTTTCGCACGCACCCAAGCCCACAGACAACACTGAATTACGCCCGCGCACTGCAGAGGGGAATTCTGAGCTCCCTGATGCATCTCCCAACCCACAACCTGACACTGATCAATGGGCAGAGGCCCCAGAGAACCTAGACAACCATGAAGACCAGGAAGAAGACGATTTGGTGCATTACGGACGCATCACACGCTCCCAGAGCTCTCGAGTACGCCAAAGCAACCTTGCCTATGCCCTGGCTATCGAAGTACTGCACACAGAGCCCAAAACCCTCAAGCAAGCTCTAAACCCGAACGACTCAGCCAAGTGGAAGGAAGCTATGGATGCTGAATACGCATCCCTCGTCAAGAACTGCACCTGGGAGCTCTGTGCAGCACCCAAAGATCGCAACCTTGTCGGCTGCAAGTGGATTTACAAGATCAAGACGAATGCTGATGACAGTATCGAACGCTACAAGGCCAGACTAGTCGCCCAAGGCTTCTTGCAAGAAGAGGGAGTTGACTACAACGAAACATTCGCACCAGTGGCCAAGTTCGACACCATTCGGCTACTGCTCTCATGGCAAGCAGCTCAAGACCTTGAAATGAACCAAATGGACATATCCACCGCATTCCTGAGCCCAACACTAAGTGAGGAGATCTATATGAAGCAGCCACCAGGCTACATCAAGCCAGGAGAAGAGCATCTCGTGCTTAAACTTAAGAAGACCCCCTATGGTCTTAAACAAGGCCCCAGGGAATGGAACATCGAAATCCACAGCACTCTCATCGAGACAGGCTTCACACGACCTGATTCCGACCATTTGTCCGTCCATTTCCAACCATGCCTTCTGAAGTTCCTTGGCTTTGAAGTGGTCAAGATCGAGTCTCTTGTTGCTCATAAGTATCAGATCGTCGACGTAGAGGATCAGGAACGCCAAACACTCGACATGGTCAGGGTTATCTATCGTCCTGCTCCGAAAACACCCTTCAGAAGTGTCGTCCCAACGGCATACGTCAGGACGACACTTCCCCAGGAGGTTTTCCTTGAACAGGGTTGGGTTATGTCGCTGAAGCTCCAGCACGCTGCCAAGCCGGATTATTACAAAGTACACAGAGCTATCTCTATCGGTTCCGTCACAAATCTACATACGTCGTAGACTCATCACCACGTCAGTTCACATGAACATCGCTTCTCTCAGTTACGTGATTCCAAAGCAGCTCTAGGTTCGCCATTCTCGCTTCACTCGTAAGCTTCACACCGCTCGACTGCGGATTCTCCGAAGCCGTTTTCCAGTCGAGTAGAACGCGGTGGTAGGCCTCTTCGGCGCTCTCGGAGAGGTGGGTGTGGTTGAGGGTTCGGAGGGATGTGGAGAGGGTGAGCAGAAACTGGGAAAATGAGAATGGGGGTGAGGGTGGGAAGACCGGTACTGTGGGTTGAGGGGGACGTACCTCGATCTCGGGAAGGTTGAGCGAACTATTCTCTGCAGCAATGAGGCGAAGGCGGTCTTCAAGGCGCAGCATGCGGACGCGATCATCTGCAATACACAAGAAAGCAGGAATGTCAGACACGTACTTTCCGATGGCCCCACGGGAAACGCATCACCTACCAATTAACACCGCCAATACTAACGTGTCGAAAACGAACGCAATCTCTTTGTTTGCTCTATCCAACGGCGTTATCAGACTGTTTTCAGCGTGTGCCTCCGACGGTGTGATTGTCCGTAATGTGTTGGCGGAGGCTTCAAGGGCATCACAGGCTGACCACGGGCGGCCGAGTGCGATGAAGATCTGCGGGATGAGAGGGAATGGGGATTTCGTGAGGATGGGATGTGCCATTGGCTACCGTGCAAATGCGAGCAAGGTTATATGATTTCACGTACATTTGCTAGTTGGGTTGTCAGGTCTATGTCCTGCTCCCAACTGGGTTCGAACCAGAAGCAATCCTCGTCAGAGTTACAAAGGTTTCCTGCGTCTCTAAGGCCGCGCAACAACCACAAACCTTTTCTCATGCCCAGCAACAACAACTGCAAGCGCCGCTAAGTAGCAAGCTTCCTCAAACTCCTCGATATTGACAGCGAATGCCATGGCCTCCACAACGAATGATTGCATTTTGCGCACGGCGACTGCTTCTTTCATCGCGTCTTGCGGCTTGGCTGGCGCGGCCGTTTCTTTCTTCCGTTTGGATAAAGTGGGGAGAATGTTCGCTTGAAGACTTCTGTCCATCGCAGCGAGAAGTGCATCGAATGGGACTCCCTGGCGTTCACCGGTCATGTTAAGGGTTTTAGTTGACCTCAAATTGAGCGGGTACCATAGCGCAATCCGATAGGAGAACAACCAACCTGTCTGACTTTCCCGAGAGCTGCACCAACCCCGATTCGATACCTAGCGTCCAAAGCAGCGACATACCAGTCCAGCGCCTGGTCGCAGTCGTAGGTCGTCAGCAACCTCGCGAGAGCGATACTCGCCCGGAACAGGGTTTCAGTGATCTGCGCTGGCTTCAAACCGACTCCCGGTAGCGTCCACCTCACCCCAAGCACGTTTCCTGTCTCATTCTCCAGTGATACAAGCACGGAGAAGAGTTTCAACAGCGTCTCGGCTGTTGAGCGCGTGCTTCCTAACGTCCATAACGCTGCAACGTAATTCGGATTCGCCCATAGTGAGTGAGCGCGTCGAGGGTTATGAGAAGCACAATCGTAATGCATACCATTTGCGGTAGCCCAATAGACGGTAGCAGCTATGGACGGGTCTGTGGATACAAGCTCATCCGCTGCGGCGACCTTTCGGAGCGTCTCTGAATCAATCTGAGACTGTGAGCGGGTGAAAGAAGCACTCATATGCCCAATACGATAGCGTACACACCAGCGACTTCGCTCGAATTCGCGTTCCCCGGCCCAACGCCCTTTCCTTTCTTTCCGTTCCCGCTCCCGCTCCCACCCTCCTTCTTTCTAAGGCCCTCTTTCACATTTGTTAGATGCCGTGCTGTCCGAAGATGCGACGCGTAGGTTGCGTCGGACGTGAAGCTCTTTTTGCACGCATCGCATACTGTTCGGTATGAAGAGCTAGGCTCGCCAGTGTGGGAAGACTGATTAAGTAAGGGTTCGAAAGAGACACATGACGCTGCGGATGGGGATGGTGGTGTGAAGCCTGTGCTGGCAAAGACTGTACGGAGAGGTGCCAAAGCGTAAGATCACAGCTTTTTACTCGTATGGTTGAAAGGTAACTTGCACGACTTTGGCTGGCACATACTGTCAGAGGAGACGGACGCCGAGTGGGAAGGTAAAAACTGGAAGTACTCCAGCTGCTCGCTCAAGTCCATAGTTTCCCAATCTGTATATCGAGCAGAGCAGTGACTTGCAGTGGAGGTGCTTGATACTGCCTGGCGTCGGGAGTGCAACAGACGGTGCATATCAGTGTTCTGGATATCCCTATATCTGTATCGCTGATTCTTCAAAGGGGTTCTCGCGGAGGCAGCTTTCATGTTCAGTTTGCAAAGCCGACAGAAAAGCGACGTCGCGTCTCGCGTCAACCTGCGCCTTCAACCCCGTCTCGCTCGACAGCCTTTTCGACTCCCCGTCGCTTATTCCACCACTCTATACGTAGAAGCACTGACAAAGCAACGGACTTTACAACGGAGGCAGCGAGGTTCAAGTCCGCAAACAATGGAGGATCGATCGAGGGGCTTTCGCATTTAGCCCGTGTACGACATTGCTCAGTTGATGCAAACACGCGCGAAACGGCAAACAGACAGCGTACGTGCACTGAAGAAGGCGTTGCACGCAACTGAGAAATGGCAATCTTATAACAAGGCGTGCAGTTCAAAGCGTACAGGCGGGGTATAAAGGAAAAGCCCGCGAAAGGATTGACGTGCAAACTATGCAGTAAATCGATGCGTGGGAAACGTAGTGGAGACAATTATTGGTCGTGGTTCGACCATCGATTTGACCGCCTCAGGACGGTTCGACAACGCTCTGTGAGTATGGCGTTTGCCCCGAGCATGTCAACAGCGCGGGACGCCACTTGGGCGAATTGCACCTACATGGGCTCCTGCACTTACCTATGACGCACATCTCGAGGAGAACTTTGATGCTTGCCTCTCGCGCATCGAGTCTGACACCCGCCGCGAAATCTGGGTGGAGTTGCTGAGCGAGAGGAGAGATGATGTAGCTGTCGTGGCGATAGGGTTTCATTTCTCACCTCGTGGGGGCCTGTCGGCTTGCGATCTATTGGGAATGGGCTGGGCGGAGTGTGGCCAGGAGTCAGTCTCATCGAAAATGGGCGGAGTGAACTCGATTGCTAGCACACCTCTCAGTTCAACAAACCGTTCGGTGACCTTTCTTACAAAGGGCTGAGTAGTCACAGTATATCACATCGTTCCGGGAACAACCCGCCGAATGAGACGCAGCAGAAATTCCCATTCTCCTTGAACCGATTGGCGGTCACCTTTCAGGGAACACTCTGCGAATGCGTCTGGAACCGCAGCCGACTTTCAATCCTTTCCGTATAGAAAGAAGCAGGGTGCCGACGACTGGAGTTTCCCGTCAACCCTGTGTGCATGCACTATATGAATACAGCCCGAAGTGCTTTGGCGACAGCCGGTAGAATACGGGCCGCCGAACAATGTTGCGAGAGAACATGCACTCATACAGTGGGTGGCCAAAAGATATGCGGATGTGCCATAGAAAGGCATGGCCGCCAATACCGCATGGAAGCTCTCTGCCCTTGCACCTGCAATCCGACCTCGGTCTCACCATAATCCTTCCGTGGTACATGTTGCCCCTCCGTCCTTTCACATGCTTCCCAAAGCCCTTTTCATCCAAGCATATGTATATATATATATATGTATATTTGCGCACCTCACACAAGCCCATGCTCCGTGCGGAGTTCGCGCTTCAGCCACGGATGACGAAGGGATGAGCCTCCCTCATCTTCAAAGCCCGAGAACCGATATTCGCACTCACTTCTATAATTCTATTCGCACTCAGCCACTTAACATTATAATAAGCGACATAAACTTGGTGGGTTACTAACCTACCATAACAACACGCAAGAGTATGAGTGCAAATAGAACTATAGAAGTGAGTGCGAAATCGGATCTCCTTCAATGCCCGTGCGGGTGGCTGCGCATGGCATCTTTCCCCGTCTGGGCCCTCTGGGGCAAGCAGGCTGCGTGTGGAGAAACTCCGACGCCTTTCGTCAGAGACTCCATCAGAATTGGGCGATTGTTTGATGTCACACTGCGATTGACATGAGCTTGGTTCCATGGCACGCATGTCATGCTGCTTGATTTCTGGATGGGTTTGACGAACTTGTGAAGAACGGTGCATGGGTGATGTCATGAGATATGGCTTCGATTTAAGTACAGCTTACAATCAAGACTTACGAGATATTATTGACAGATCAGCCGGGGATCGCCTTTGGGAATTTTGGCTTTTTACGTTTAGAAATTATTAATCTTTCAGTTCCGAGCCATGGGAAAGCACACAACGCAAAAGGCTGTTCGGCCTGCAGCAGAAGGGCTCGAGTGTTGATACGTAGCTATGTGAAACTAGCAACCCATGCGCAGAATCTGAAGACGGCGGTCGTTTCGGCAAGGCGATTGTGATGAGTGGGCAGCGACTGCGTTGATTTCAAAGTCTTCAGTGATGAGGACATTGTAAACGTGTTTTTCCCCAAGTCCACGCCAGCCGCGCTTTCTGTGAACGTTGCCCCCGAACTGACCGCATCCCGGTTAACCAGTCCACCGGTAACATGCAACTTAAAATCAAATACCAGACGCGGGGGTCGCGTTGCGGGTGAAACAGCCTGCTCATGAATGTTGTGGCGTTTAGGCTCTTTAGCGCGTTTTTAGCTCCTTCACCGCGACCAATGACCTCCGCTTGAGCTAATACCAAACACATTATTGATGAAGTTCCCCAGCGGCAGCAAGCAGCTCCCCCAACCTTACCGCCACTTGGCAGACGAGACGGGAACGTCGTCATCCCCAAGCCATCCGCGTTTCGTCTCTTGGCAGGAAGGAAGGAAGGCCTAAACGCATACTGTACTAACTGCTGTTATGGTATGGATCCGCCGCAATATTGGTTACAGCGACAACCCCCGCCAGATCCCACGCAGACTGAAAAACGTACATATAGGCAGGCACTCATACCGCCCCCGCTTCCTTCTTTCTCTCCAATATTCCCACGCAAACTCTCAGCTACCTGCTCTCCTCCTCTCGACGACGACGACGACGACGACGACCACGACGACGACGTACTTTCCCACAACACCGTTCACCACAACAACACTCTCTCTAATACTATCAACCATGCCCGCCTTCAAGAGCACCCTTCTTTGCGCCGCCGCCCTGGTCGCCTCTGTCTCCGCACAGTCGTCCTTCACTTTCGTCGCTCCAGGCGCAACCGCAACCGCACCCGCCTCGGGAGCAGCAGCACCACAGTCAACAGGCACACCAACAGGCTGTGTTGACGAGGTGCTTGCTGCCTCCACCGCTAACGGCTCGGCCGCTATCGCAGAAGGCTGGGACAACGCAAAAACCACCTTCACCGCTCCCGCCACCTGGACCGTATCCCTGCCCACCACAGGCGGGTACGTTGCCATTCACTTCAACGAGCAAAAGTGCCGTGACCTCTCCAAGTATCAAGGGTTGACCTTCGACCTGGTCGCACCAGCATCCGGTGCCTTCAACATCGCCTGGACCCCCCGTAACCCGGACTGCTCGCAGATCCAAAACGCCAACAAGAACTACCTGCCTGCCGCAAAGTACATCACCGGAACCCAGGTTGCCCTCCCGTTCTTTGACTTCTCCGGCGTCGGTTTCTCCTCCATCGAGGACTTGACTCTGATCAACTTTACCCCCGCGACAACCGGCTGGAAGATCTCCAACATCACCCTGAGGTGCTCTCTGAACAAGGCCGCCGCGTCCGCCGTGCCCACCGCTGGTGCCTCCAAGCCCGCCGCGGGACCGGGATCGGCTTCCAACTCTACAACGCCCGGCAGCAACAGCAGCGCCGGCAAGGTCTCCTCCGCTGGAGCCGTAGCGGCCGCTGCCATCGGCGCCGCCGTCTTGTTGATCTGAACAGACAACACACAACATTTTTGTAAAACGGACGATTAGAAGAAGCATATCATCATCAAGCTCCCATTTTGCATTTGATTCCCTTCACGGTGCACATCCCTTCTTCTCATACTAGACGAGCAGAAAAGCGATGTGCCCCGCCTCGAGCATGTATAATAGTTTTTGTTCGTCACGTAGGCAGTAGCTCGGTCACCCTCACTCTCCTTGACACTCTCTTTATTTACGTGGGACACCGTTCTATGGCGTAGACTGTTTGTATTTGCGTGTTGTGTTATTTTTTGTGCTGAATTGCATAGCGAAATAGATGGTCAGACATCAAAACCCGAACTTTTCGTCCTTGAATCGTGTACTCGTCGGCGGCATTCAGGCCAGATATAGCCAATCAACTTGAATCGCTGCACAATCAACGCATCTCAGAAAAACAAAAACATCACATTCAAAACAACCACCATTCAAGTGTATAAAGGAAATCAAAGACCCGTACTGATTCAGTACACACAAACACCAGACGGCCGCGAAGGGCGAAGGGCAGAAACCGGCTTACTGCGTGTGAGAGAAAGATGCTGCTCCAATCGGCCCCAGTGCTCACCCCTCCCTAGACATATTTGGTTTGGCCGACACGCATCCCGAGCCACATCCCCTCCCTTCCCAAAACGTAAGCCGAGGTTGAATCGCGGTCACGTGATGCTCCGTGATGCAAGCGGCAGAATGCTCTGGGTCCTTCCTTCGTTCCGGGCGGTCCCTTCAATCCAAATAGCCACCTGTCGACGGGGCGGGGCGCAGCGAGTTCTCCAGTTGTGACGTGGCCGCCCGACTGCGAGAGACGTGTGCTTCAAATACAAAGGCTCTCTGCGCGGAATCCTCCAAACCCTCCGCAACCACACCACAATCACCCCCCCCCCCCCCCCAACAACAACACAGCACAATGCCAGAAATAAATATCAAAATAAAGCAGGCAAACGAGACCGCCTTCTCAGTCTCAATCAACACCACCGCCTCTGTAGCTGACCTCAAGCAGAAAATAGCCGACCACGCCGATGTTCCCACAACTCAGCAGCGACTGATCTTTGCGGGAAAAGTGATGAAGGATGAGGAGAAGATCGAGACTTATAAGATGCAGGATGGTAATACGTGAGTATTACTTGGAGAAGAGAGGGGTGGGGGTTTCTCAGCGGAGGACGGTTTTGGTGGATGGGAAGGGATTGCGGGAGCGAGAGCGGGATAAACGGCGGTGAATGAAGCGACGAGCGCCGGGTAACAGCGAAGCCCCTCGCGCCAAAGGCGCAATCTTCTCTTCACGGTTCTGAGCGAGCACCGGTGAGCGCTAGATTTTCTGCGAGCGAGGCGACTTGTGCCGCCCACCGCATCTCAACCTCCTTGTCGCGAGCGGAGCGAGCACGGTCTACGTTTCGTGCACCGCATAACACTGTTCTCGCGTGATGGTGATACTTTGGGAGCGAATGTATGTTGACCATATTTCCTGACCTTTACAGCGTGCACATGGTGAAAGGATCGGCGCCTGCATCTCGATCGGCGCCAACACCCGGTGGAGCTACGGCCGCCGCTTCTACCACTCCCGCCGCGTCCACCGCCACATCTCCCTCCACCGCGAATCCCGCTGCCGCTAACCCGTTCAACATGTTCGGTGGACCAGGAGCAGCCGGCGGCCTTGGCGGAGCGGGCGGCAACCCCTTTGCAGCATTCGGCGGCGGCGGAATGGGCGGCATGGGCGGCGGCGGCGACCCCTCAGCAATGATCAACGCTATGCTCTCCAACCCGGCCGTCAGCGCCTCAGTTGCGCAAATGATGTCCAACCCACAAGTCCTCGATCAGCTCGCCGCGGCCAACCCAGCAATGGCGGGCATGATCACCCCGCAGATGCGCGAGATGATGAACAGCCCCCAGTTTAGAAGCATGATGTCCAACCCGGCAGTGCTGCAGCAAGCGATGCAGATGTTGCCCTTGATGGGTGCCATGAACGGTGGTGGTGCTGGTGGTGCGGGAGCCGCTGGCAATCCACTAGCCGGCATATTTGGAGGAGCCAACCCGGACGCCGCCCGATCAGCCGCATCGCCTGGTGCAGGCGCGGGCGCATCACCCTTGATGAACCCTGCTCTAATGCAAATGCTCATGGGCGGAGCTGGCGGTTTCGGCGCACCCGCAGCACCAGCCGACACCCGCCCCCCGGAAGAACGGTTTCAGGAACAGCTGCGGCAGTTGCAGGAGATGGGATTCTTCAGTGCGGCGGAGAATATTGCGGCACTTACGGCTACGGGGGGGAATGTGGAGGCCGCTGTAGAGTATTTGTTTTCGAGGCCGAGGGGGTATTAGAGGGAGTGTCCCTCGTCTGCGACGTACACCGTCAACTTGAGCTCGGTCAACCGTGCTCTCCGCCCTCAATACCGATGATCATCACGCCTTTCCCCTAATGTACGGCAACTCAAAAGCAATGTTACTCGCGTATCGTCTTGTAGTCGTATCTCCCCTCACAGTGCTGTATGTACATCGTACCTCTTTACCCTCCCATTCTGTACGATATCTGTTAAGTCAGAGGGGGCCTCCCCATGTGATGTGCTCTTCGATATTACATAATAGACGTGGCCTGGTTTCTTCCAAAAGCTTTGCCTCTTCGTGAAGCTTTCATTTGGGGCCAGAAAAATGCCTTGTAGACTTCGGAGCAATTTTGATCGCGTCGGCCCCTTAATACCTTCCGCTCATACAGTACCACGACAAAAGTTTTCGGAATTTTCGCGTGGTTTTATATGCGGCAAGGGTATAGTTTTATACAATACATGAAAACATACTTATACAACCTATTCTGCACTATTATCGGGGATGGTTCAGTAGTCAATGCTGCCGCCTTTTGCATTAATAACCTGCTGCATACGCCGCTGCATGCTGTCAGTAAGTGAAAAATCATCGCAGGGTCCAAACGTGCCCATTCCTCCGTCGCCATCCGTTCAAGCTCATCGAGAGTGCTTGGGCGCTGTTTTTCGACTCGATTCTTCAGAATAGCCCAGAGATTCTCGATGGGATTCAAATCGGGACTATATGCAGGCCATTCCATGTAAGGAATGAAGTTTTCGTCAAAAAACTCCTTTGATCTTCGCGCAGTGTGAACGGGGGAGTTATCCTGCTGAAAGATCCAGTTTGCAAGCTCGGGCTCATCCTCGGTGACCCTCTCGATGAAGGGAAGGAAGTGGGTTTGCAAGATTTGCGTGTAGGCCTCTGCATTAAGGCGTCCACGGTAGCTAACAAAAGGGCCGACGCGGTCGCCGATGATACAGCCCCAAAACATGATCGAACGTCCACGTGGAGGGTTTGCCTGAACACAGTCTTCATGAAGACGTTCTCCAGGGTGACGCCAGACTCGAATTTGGCTCTCGTGTCCAAGCTCCCATGACGTTTCGTCCGTCCACACAACCTTTGCTCAATCCATGACGTGCCAGTCGCGATATGCTCTAGCCAATGCGAGCCAATTCCGCTTATGATGGGGCAGGAGACGAGGCTTTGTGACCGCAAAAGACCGCTGAAGTCCTAAGTCACTCAACCGGCGTTGAATTGTACGGGAACTGACTGGATCATCACGCCCTGCGTTGAACTGCTGAGTGATCTGACCTAATGGGGTCCGTCGTGCGTCCGCGTTGAGTGTTGTGAGCCGGCGCAGATAGCGAGAGTAGTTTCCAGAGGTCTTCCGAGGGCGTCCGCTGCGTTGCTGGTCAGCAGCAGTGCCACGGGTGTTGAAACGGCGGATGATATCGGAGATGGTAGAAATTGGGAGGTTCTCAAGCTCGGCATTGTCCCGGAGGGGCATGCCACTCTTGTGGTGTGTCAAAACAGCGTGGCGTTGCAGTTCAGTGGTGTGCGGAGCCATGACGGGCGTGCAGACCAAAGGGGGCCCCGGGGGGGGTGGGGTTTTATAGTTTTTGGGGGGGGGGTATGTAGACCCAACGCGCGTTCCGAAAACTTTTGTCATGGTAGTGTACATTGGAGGTACTGTGAACATGATCAACAAATCACCTTCCTGGGATTTGGATATATAGCTACACTGCTCGGGATCACACGAACCTGTAGATACATGAGCATTCCGTACATTCAGCGGTCCGCAGCCAATACTCCATGGTGGAGTAAGTCCATCTCAAGAATGAATTTGAGGATATGGAAAAGGAACACTCACCTTCCCTTCTGAGCCAAACTCACCTACCGTTATTCTCAACCCCACTCTCGGAACCCCCTTCCCACCAGACAACTATTTGCAGGGTGGAGTAGTCCTTACAACTAGCGCAAATGTGTATGGGATATATCATTGAACCCTTGGATACCCCACCCGAGGTCAAACGCGGAGCTCGGAAAGTCTGCCGTGCGTCAGCCGGCGTCGAGAGTGTGGAGTCGGTCAAGGTGGTGAGGTCTCTATATATCTGCGCCACTACCGCCCTCTCGCGCGAGAACCACCAAGATGTTGTCTCCCCGTCGATGCCGTTACATCGCTCAACTGGAAGCGCCTGCAGGAAGTTTGAGGGAGCGGTGCACTTTTTGCACTCTCCTGCACAGCCAAATACCTTCCCTCTTTAGGTCTCCTGCAGGAAGCGGGAAGGGGGTCCAGATGCGAGGGGTGACGCGGACCGGCGGAATGGCTTGCTTATGAGACGTGTTCTTCTTGCGCGTGCTCCATTATTCACCCGTCTGCACATGCACTTTCCGGATTACAGAGCCCTCATATGCTTGCGCTCACGGGAGTTTTGAGCTGGGATGGGTTACAGAGGGAGTGCTGCGGAATGACTTTATGCCGGCCAAATTGAGCGCATGGCGGTTTGTCCATTCTGGTGCTTTCATCAACAAAAAACTTTCATCAACATGCCTCTTTCCCCGAAGTTCGGAGAAGGACATAGATGAGCTGTACAGCCAACGGACATAAACCTGTGCACCTTTTCTAATTGAATTCAATGACCGTTTCACAAGCGGATGCGCGTTCCATCCAGCCTGCCTCCAGACAAGCCAACCTCCAGCCGGACAAGCCAGGATCTTACCGACATGCCCGCAATTGCGACCTCCATCTTCATCCCCTGCTATGGGCAAACCACTCTCCCCTCCGAAGAGGGCTGCCATAGTGGCGCTGCACAGGTCAGGCAAGAACAAGCGACAAATAGCTTCACAGGAGGGGGTTGCACTCAGGCCTGTTCAGTATACTATCAAGAAGTTTGCTGCTGAATCTGCGGACAGCCCAATGTCCTATCAGTCAAAAAAGCCACCGGGAAGACCAGGTAAGTATCAACCAGAGGACGGTGACTTGGAGGAGTTCCGCAGACTTGTTCTCTCAGATAGTCAGACACGAGAAAAGACACTAAAACAAATTCGGTTGGAATTCATCGCTCTTACAGGTATCACGGCATGCAAAAAGACAGTGCGTCCTTACCTTCACAAACTCCTCCATTTGACCTCCTCCTTCAAAATCCACAAGCCGTTTTTGTCTGACGAGCACAAAGCAGCACACCTTGCGTTTGCGTTGGAACATCAGCACTGGACAATTGCGGATTGGTCACCGATTGTGTGGACGGATGAGACGTCTTTTGATATTGGCTGGGTTCCCAAAATGCGATGTTGGCGTCTGCAAACTGAACGTTTTCACCCTGACTGTATCAGAGGCACTCGACGTAGTGGACGCAAGACATTTATGTATTGGGGATTATTTATTGGAAATCCTGTTGGTCCGTTGACGCAGGTCCAGCCGGTTCAGCGAGAGGGCCAAGTTCGCGGTAGGGGTATCAATTCCACTGCTTACGTTCAGCATTTAACCGCTCATCTTTTGCCAATGTGGCAAAACCTTGAGATTTTTGTTCCCAACCTCCTTTTCATGCAGGACAACGCCCCTATCCACACTTCTGCCGAAACGCGCCAATTCTTTGCGGAGCATGGCATCAACATCATGCCATGGCCAGCGCCCCGATCTCAACCCAATTGAAAACCTCTGGGCGATTGTCAAGCGGGAGGTTTCGCAGGCTAATGCAAATGCGGCGGGACTGGATGGTGTTGTGCAGCAGGTGTGGCCAACAGTGGAAAGGCATTTGGATAACCTAGTTGGATCGATGCCGACAAGGATGCAGGCAGTCATTGTTGCAAACGGAGGAACGCCACGGTATTAATAAGGGTATTAGGCAGGAACCGAATCTAGATTTCATCTAGATTAGGTTCCTTATTGATCCCCGAGACTAAGGATGATGAGTCCGCGTCTAAATCAGTTGCGGCAACGCGACCGGTTACTGACTTAGTCTCAAGGGGTGCACAGCTTTATGTCCGTTGGCTGTACCCCGCTTACCTCCATCAACTTGGTTGCCAACCTGCATTGATGATCGCAAGCGGGTACAAAACATAGCATAGTCATCTCGATCAAAGACGCCTGTCCGGCACCTTGCGAATCATCAACACAATCGGTGGCGGCAGCGTTGCGCCGTATATCAGGTAGGCTTAGTTAAGGGCCGGGCCCATTACCTGCCTTTAGTTGCCACACTGGGTGGCCAAAATCCATGACTGTTCGCTAAGTTTCCCACCCGTGCTATTTGAGAGCTAGCGCAACCTTCTTCGTAAAAGAAGCTTAACCGTCGTTGATGTCACATACCCACCCGCAACTTCCACCAGCAACATTCTTGCGATATGTCGTAGAAGGTCCTCGTGAGGGTAGTAAAAGAGAGAGAGCGAGGGATAGTATGTCAGACACTATCGCAAGGACTTCCCATCCAGAGTTCCAACGTTTGCCAAATATATAACCACCCCGACGCTGAAAGGAATCTCTTTTCGCCCAAGCCGGGGGGCATCCCACTTTATCAGTGGCACCCCCATGGGCGAGGGCCCCATGACCTTACGGAAAATGGAAGCGAGAGGGCCGGTCGGTCCGCTGCAGGAGAGTGCATGGGGGAAGAGGTCACCTTTTACTTCCCTGAGGGAGGTGGAAAGGGGCTGGTGACTTGGCTTGGATTCAAGAAGACAACAGGCACGCGGCAGGTTGCGCGTATCCCTACGCTTTGGCTCACGACGCGTTTTCCCCCTTCCCGAACCGTCTCGCATCTTCCATGGGCCCGTTTGCAGTCGCCGACCGAATACCGCTTATCCAGTAAGCAGCACAATGAGCACACCACCGGCGCGCGGCTTACCTATTGCACTGTAGATTCGTATAGTACGTAGATCCTGAAATGGCCTCCTTCTTGCGTGCCGTGCGTTTTGAGAAGATGGTTTCTCTGGGCCAGAATGACGAAATTGAGAAGAGTTAAATTGTGATCTTCGAGGGTCGCAAGATCGGCAGCTGCTTGGCTTCCTGCTTAAGAATCGACATTGCGATATCGACATCGCTTCGCTGTTAATCAAATGTCACCGGCGGCCCGCCGCTATTCGTTTGCGAGACAGTTCCATTTCTCGGAGCGATTTGAAGGGAGTCTTTTGTTGGCGACGGTGACCTCCGTCCGTCCCGAAGGACTTGGAGCATGCGTCCTTCCATATAATTCCGCCGGGTGGACGCACTCGTCTCATGTCCAAGCCGCGTTCCGATTGCACAAGGAACTTGATGAGATGTCCACCATCTCGACGCCCGCCACGTTCTCAGAGAAAAAAGAAGTCCGACTTCCATCAACTTCCGCACTGGTGATGTCACACGTCACACGCTTTGAGAACTTTCCCGTGGGAGACACTTCGGATAAACTGCATTCCCCTCGGAGACGCGCGCACATGGTTAGTTTAGCCGGCTACCTGTGGCTCGGACTGCGGTGCAGTGCTCCCCCATGTCTTTCGGACTTCGGACATGGATTGTGGGCAAAAAACAGGAGTGACAGGACGCACTGTTCCCGCCGGATCTGCGGCCTCGATGCGAAAAAATATGACGCCGATCAGTCCCCGTGAACTAACCAACTCCCCATAACATCCCTCACATCGATGGATGCGAGAGGAATCGAGGAAAGTGTGATATGTATGAGTCTACATATGGCGTATTTGTCAGGACTCGGGAAGGGCAGCGGCGCCTTTGTTTTGTGCTGCATGTAAGAGAGTTGTGCCCATGACGCGAGAAGGAACAGCGTCGGGAAAGCGTAAGACGAGAGAGAGAAACGGAAACAGCTTGTACTGTATATCGGAACCAGCGTCGTGGGCCAGTGGACCAGCAAGTGAGAAAACAATAAAAATAGGGCCAACCGTTCTTCATTCGGAGTTGGCGGACAGTCCGAGTGGCAGCTTTTCTTTTGGTGGCCGTGTTCCGTGTCTTTCGCCAGTGTCATAAACAGGGAGGCGATACAAAAGCTGCTGGACTTGCTCCAGTTTCCCCCGACGTCCTTTTCAGCCAAACAAAAGACATATTCAACAAACGGACTCTACGACGTTCATCTATATCCTACCATCGACATCAAACATGGACTCCAAGAACGGAAGCGACGCTTCCAGCGACACACTCGCCGAGACACCGACCTCGACGCTGCAACGTGAGGCCCCGGCCAAGCCTGAACGGATCGACAGCAAAGATGCATCCTTCAAAGCGCCAAACACCACCATCGGGGACGCAGCGCCCATCGTCCCCTCCGTAAAGGACGGCGACGCATTAGAACAGGACCCTGAAATCGCAAATGTAAAGATCGAGGACGTGCCAGCGCTGCAGTCCGCAGATCACGTCAATGTCCCGCTATCGAGGGCAAAGTTCGTTGCCGTGTTCATCGCACTGATCATGGCCCTTTTCCTAAGCGCCCTCGACCAAACCATCGTCGCCACCGCTATCGTCCGCATCTCCACCGACTTTGACGCTTTCGGCCAAGCCCCCTGGATCTCCACCGCCTACATGCTGACCACCACCGCCTTCGCCCCCGCATACGGCAAAATGGCTGACATTTTCGGCCGCAAACCTATGTTCCTGTTCGCCGTCGCCGTCTTCGAGATTGGAAGTCTGTGGTGCGGTGTCGCTCAAGGCATGGCTTTCCTCATCATCGGGCGCGCCATCGCGGGCGTCGGTGCCGCGGGAGTCGTCTCCATGATCCTCATCATCGTCGCCGACATTGTCAGCTTCCGCGACCGGGGGAAGTACCAGGGCATCTTTGGCGCCGTCTTCGGAATCGCGTCCGTGATCGGCCCTCTCCTTGGCGGAGTCTTCGCGGACGGCTCCGGCGTCCTCTCCTGGCGCTGGTGCTTCTTCATCAACCTCCCCATCGGTGTCGTCACCCTCGTCGTCATCTTCTTCGTCCTGCACATCCCCAGCCCCACCGGCGCCTTCCTCGCCAAATGCAAACGTGTCGACTGGTTCGGCATCACCTCCCTCGTGACCGGTATCATCCTCCTCCTCCTCCCCGTGCAGATGGGTGGCGAGGAATGGGAATGGAGCTCCGCTCCCGTCATCATCACCTTCATCCTCGCCTTCCTCGTCCTCGGCGCGTTCGTATACTCACAGTTCAAATTCGCAAAGGAACCCATCATCCCCCCCGCGGTGTTCGAGAACCGCAGCGTCCCCGCCATCGTCCTACTCGCATTCTGCCTCGGCTCCGCAATGTTCTCGCTCATCTTCTACCTGTCCATCTACTTCCAGGTCGTTGACGGCGACACGGCAACCCAAGCGGGACTCAAAACCATCCCGCTTATCCTTTCCCTCTCCCTCATGTCCCTCGTCGGCGGCCAACTGATGTCGCGGTTGGGAGTCTACGTACCCTTCTTCTACATCGGCGGCGTCATCCTCACCGTCGGATGCGCGATGATATCCACCCTTAACGCAAACTCCAATAACGGGCAACGCATCGGGTACCTTATCATCGCGGGCACGGGTGTCGGCGCTATGATCCAGGGTCGGATCATCGGGATCCAGGCCTCGGTTCAACCTCAACGGATCGCCATCGCCACCGCACTGGTCAACTTTGCGCAAACCCTCGGCGGCGCCCTTGGACTCGGTATCGTCGCGGCAGTGTACAACAACGTCGTGCAGAGCAAACTGGCCACCTATGCGCCGGGAGTACCGTACAAGGAAGTGCAGAAAAACGTGCAGCGGATCGGGGAGGTGTACCCCGCGGATGTGGCGGCGAATATCAAGCAGGCGTTGACGGAGAGCTTGAGTGTGGCGTTTGCGGTTAGCGCCGGGTTTGCGGGCTTGATTGTGGTATTTGCGGTGTTTATCAAGCAGTATCGGAGGCCGCCGGGGGCTAAGGCTGCCCCGGCTGCTTTTGCTGAGTGAGGCGGGCGAAGCGGGGATAGCATCGGGGATCAACAACTTCGACGCTGCACAATTGCCGCACTTACTTGCCGGCAACCTGTACATACCGCGACGGGAGACATGTCACCACCCACAAGGTGCCTCGACTCGCCCCTCCATAACTGCGCCCGATGTGCAAGCCACTCGGTCCACCTAATTACCCAGCACGCACTCTCGGCGAGGCCTACGGAACGTAGATGGGAAGGACTCGCTCAGTCCCGCAGAAGGCGGAACGGCTCCGCTTCAGAGCGGGCTTTTGAACATCCCACGCACCGCGACCATACCCCACCCGTCATCGCCTTGCTGTGACGATCCCATCATTGCAACAGCGTTTCCGTTCAGGCGCTGAGAGCACTGTCCGAGCATGGTTTTGTTGTCCTATGAGTACCACAACCCCCCTTTTATATATACGTAATGGATAGTTTGTGTAATACAATGGGTGCTTTTTTTTCTGTGAGATCTTTGAGCATTTTTGAGACCAGTTCTCTGGGAATCATGTGAGCATTGGGAAGTTTGGGTTGAAACTTGAAAGTGGGAGGTCCGACTTGCAGAACGGTCGTTGCGTGCCTGTTGGTGGACCAAAAGCGGGCGGCCGCGCGTGTCCAGACATCCGGACACAATCCAGAGGGCCTCTCGCCAAACTTCCCTTCCCGGCGACAAAAGGCACCGACATAGCTCGGCAACTCACCAACGACCCGAAGAGCCATACATTCTACGTATACATACGCAAACCGACAGCCGGACTGAGCCTGCCCGCCTGCTGTTCGCTCCGCCGCCACGGACAATGCCGATGCACCCGCCACCACTCATAGAACAAGCAGCAGCAGCAGGGGCACGCGCGGGCGGGTTCAACACACCGATAGAAAAACAGACATCCCCGCTCAACACTACGTAGACATACACGACATTAGCTCATCTGACAATGACGGCCGCCAAGACGCCTTCCGAATGGTGGGAGTCGCTTCGGATAGATAGAGACCGGGGAGCCACGGCGCGGACGCTGATGCAGAAACATAAGGAGGCGACGACAAGGTTCGTTTCCGGAGGTGTGAGGCGGAAAAGTCCACTTGCAAGTGTTGGTGAGTGAAAAATGGGCGCGCATTCGGATTGAAATTTCCATCCCCGCAGCCTGTCGACGGATCGGTATCGTCACGACCCCTTTTTGCTGGAGATATGGCTGGACTATATCCATCTGCAAAGGTAAGGCCCCCCCGGTGGTTTAGTTTCGAGGGGACAAGATATGGATGGGCATTCCCCCCAACGCGCTCACGGATGGATCGATGTAGGACGACAGCGGAAGACCATAGCGTAATACGAGACCAGTTCAAACTGCTCAAATCAGGGCGGGTCGGCGCCGGGAGTGCCAAGTTCTACACCTCGTGGGCCGAGTTTGAGCGTGCTGCAGGTACGAAAGGGACACACCCCTTTGCCAGAAATCGCATATGCGGGTACTGGGGGTGGATTCTCACGAAAACCCACCAGGATATATCGACCGCGCGAAACACGTGCTGCTGACTGGGATCAGCCAGAAAGCGCATCCGATGGAAGAGATGAGGACACTGATGGCTGAAATGTCAGGCGCAAACACGATGGAAAAGGTTTCGGCGCGGGTGGCGTCAGGAGGGGGACGGGCCGGTGCAGGAGCATCAGCAGCGGCAGCATTGGCGCCAATCTCGAAATCCGTCACAGCAGAGCGACGACGGGAGGACGCGCGCGGGCAAGCAGCACAGGAGTCGAAGAACGACTCGGTTCCCGACGCCCAAGCATCGATAACAGAATCGAGCATCGACAAATACTCGTTTGATGAAGGCAGCCCGAACAGCCAGGGCACTTCGGCGTCGGGATCTAGCAGCGTGTCTCCTTCGGAGCAGATGGCGAAGCAGAGTGCGAGGCGGCCCATCACGCGGTTAAGATTGTTGGGGAAGATGGGCCCGCCGGGACGCGTCTCGGTTGCGAGATCGGATGATAACACGTCAAGTACCCTTATGGATGTGTCGTATTTGGCTGAAGGTAGCTTAGCTGGTTTATTTGGGGCTGCATGATTTCATCGAAAAGAGCAGCCTTTACTGATGAAATCTCCTTGGCAGAACTACCCATTTCCTCTCCCACAGAGATTCCTGATGTCGCACCAGTCATCAACGCACCGCCGCTCTCAGAACGCAAACCACCATATTCCGTTGACATCGAACCTCCTAGCTCCGCTTACAAAGACAAAGAAAACATCCCGGTCAATGGGCCACCGCTACCCACCGTCCAAGAACAGCCCGCCACAATCATACCGGTCGCGCCCATCCACACCCAGTACGGTGCTGCTACGCCTCTCGCTTCAGCATCCCTTCGAGCACCAGCAGGATCGACCAAACCACCACATATAGAAACCAGTATTTCGAAACAGGCGTGGAGTCAGGCTACGCCGTCTCTCACTGCGCGGCCGTTTCTCCGTCGCGCGCTGTCGACCGCGAGTGATCAACAACAGCCTCATATGAGTGTACCGAGGTCTGCGATGCAGCGGCCGGACGGGAGCTATTTGACCGGCGGTGAGCGTAACCCGGTTGCTGCCACACCACTACCGAACCAAAACACGTATCCACAGCAAGACACTTACGGTTCTACGCCCACAATCATGCCCCGAACCGCGCACCAACGGCAACAGTGGCATCACCCTGTCGATTTCCAAGCGACAGGACAAAAGGACAAATCAAACGTCGCCGTCAACGGGGTCGTATACAAGAAGCTCGAACTCATCGGCCGCGGCGGCAGCAGCAAAGTCTACAAGATCATGGCGGAGGACAAAAAACTCTACGCCCTTAAAAAAGTAAAACTCCGCGGGCAAGAAGACAGCGCGATCGAAGGCTACCTCAACGAGATCGCCCTCCTGAAGCGGCTCAGCAGCAACGAACGCATCATCCGCCTCATCGACTCGGAACTGAACGAACCGGAGGGGCATATGCTCATGGTGCTGGAGTACGGCGAGATCGACCTCGCGCACATGCTGCAGAAGGAGCAGAATGGAGCATCCGAGGGGCCCCGACTGAGCCTGAATTTCGTGCGAATGTACTGGGAACAGATGCTCCGCGCCGTGCACGCCATCCACGAGGAGAACATCATCCACTCGGACCTCAAACCCGCTAACTTTCTTCTGGTTGAAGGATCCCTTAAGTTGATCGATTTCGGGATCGCGAAATCGATACCCAACGACACGACGAATATCCAGCGGGACCACCAGACGGGCACGATCAATTACATGGCGCCGGAGGCGATCGCGTTTGCGGACCAGACGACGACCAGTTTCCCCGTCCACGGGGGCAGCAGCAACAACACCACTAAACGGCAGTATCTGAAACTCGGCCGCTCCTCGGACGTCTGGTCGCTCGGCTGCATCCTGTACCAACTCGTCTACGGCCGGCCACCCTTTGCGCATCTACCCGTGATGAAGAAGCTGCAGTGTATCGTCGACCCGGGGTATGAGATTGGGTACGAGGAGTGCGGCGACGCCACGGTTGTGGAGGATCTGAAATCTTGTTTGAGGAGGGATCCGAGGATGAGGGGGACGATTCCGGGACTGCTTGCGGGGAGGTTTTTGAACCCCGGTAGAGGCGAGGACGGTGGGGGAGGAGGGATACAGGTGTCTAACTTCCCGTCGTTGACTCCGGATTTGCTGACGCAGATTGTGCGGCAGGTGCTTGATATCGGGGGTACGTGGGATACGGCACAGGGAGGTGTGGGGGATGTGGAGCAGATTGCGAGGGAGATTTATCGACAGGTTGGGCTGGGTGGTGGGGGTGGTGGTGCGGGGGCCGTGCAGTTGGATTTGAGACGATTTCAGCGGCGGGGGAGGCGGTCGTGAGTAAGCTGGGGATGTGCGGACTTTTGTGTCTTTTTCGGTGCGCTGAGAAGGAGTATCTCGGTGGCCGAATGCTGAAGCTGGACGCGCTCCCGGCCGGGTGACATGGAGGTGCGACACGGAAGTCACCCGGGCTCATTTTCGTTGCGGTTTGGGATGATGCCCGCGTTCAGCTTGTTCCCCGATTACCTCATCCTTCATCGCATTCCGGATTGTTCCACGAGATCGCATTGCGCTGCGACAAGAGACCGTAGTCCCGCAATATGGAACGGTGAAACGACACACGACACCCTACCTCCTTCGCTACCCCGATACACGCAAATGCAACATGTGAGAACGGCAAAGACGTGGAGATGAAGTAAGGAGGGAAGCGGCATCAGACGTCCAGGAATCTTGGTCTCCCTCCTCTCACCACCCCAAGACGCGGTCCTCGGATGGTCTCTCTCTGATGTGACGCGCGCATTCGGCAAACCCCCGAACGTGGCAGACTCATCTGTCGCCGGGTCCGGCCAGTTCGCGATCCTCGTAGAACCGAAACCATGGCAGATCAGTCGATGACGGACGGCGAGGACGCACGAGGACGCAAGGATGGGGGCGTAGACGGAGCGTTGCGAGGATACTGGACTCTCTACCCTGTCTGGCCCGCGAGTCGTGAAAATCATGAGAGGTTTCGGCTAGGCTGATCGAGACGGAGAACCGGGGGCACGCTTGCAAGTTGCGGGGTTGGGTCTGGGCGGTTGCGGTTCTGACTATGGAGACGAGGTTGGGATGGGGACGTAGGGGGCGCCCGTAAGGTATCCAAGCGGTGATTTTCGGACGCCCTACCGATTCAGCGGTGTTGGGCGAGCCGGCCACCTAGCCCTGAGCGATGCTCCCCTGATGCGTGGCTTGCATACAGTAGATTAGCTTGCGAGAATGAGGATGCACGTGCATGGTAGAATGGCATATTCTTGCACATGCGGGCATCTAGATTGGGAAGTGTGCCCAACGAATGAATGGGCGCGCATTGTGCGGTTTTTTCTTGAATATACAATAGGGGAACGAATCAAATTCTACGGGTATACGCCGCGGCAAGCAATCCAAAGCTGCCCAAACAGAAACAAAGAGTATCAGGCCTCCGGCATGGACAGGAATGCCATGAGGGTCCAGTACGCCTCGTTTCCTGGTTGAATTGAAGGTTGCTGGTTTGCGAAACGATCACCCGCATGATGCATGATATGGAGAATGTCGTAGTTACTGTACCTGCGTTGTGAAGATACTTTGTTTCAAAGCCCAGCTTTTCGCACCCAGCTGTGCGGCCGAGGTCGTAGAGAGCAACTGTGAAGTGACGGCGGGTATCCACAGGTTGCCGCGGTCCGCTTCGGGCACGTCGTCTTTGAATAACCCGTTGAATCGGCACTTCTCCATGGCTAAAAAGGCCTCGCACGACAGATCCAGAGCGTCGCTTTCGCTGATTTCATCGTATTCGCTCTCGCTGAGAAGGCGGATGTTCTCCCAAGCGAACATATTCAGAGAGGTGTCCACGAGGTCGAGTCACTCCAGTCAGCCAGCTGGCAACATCGGTGGTACAAGCTTCATCGGCCTCGTACCCCGGCAAGAGATCTTCCTCCACTCCGTCATCACTGTCCTCATGGTCGCTTTCGGACCCCTCGTACTCCTCATCGTTGTCCTGCTCAGCATCATCGCTGTCGCCATCATTTGCACCTCCGTGCATCATTGCCATCGCTCGCGCCGCCTTCCTCGTCATGCCAACTTGGGCTCGAGCGGCGCCCTTCGTCGTCAAGTCGCGGGTGTCGCGGGCCGCCTTCGCAACCTGGGCGAAGCACTTCTGCGTGAAATTTGTTATATCGTCGTAGGCTCTACCTTTCTTCTTGTCAAGGCTGCTCGACATGGCTTTCACTCTGTCCTGATTGCTCTTGGCAGCCACCCCGGAATACAGGACCTTCAAGTCCCTCTTGAAATGCCTGAACAGCGTCGTCTTTGTGCCGTTCGGGAACTTCAACAGCCACGATTGGCAATAGTCGTAGGTCGACCATTCGGTTGGCTTTGTGTTCGTCCAATACTCTTCGAGCCTCTGAATCCACTCGACAGAGGCCGAAGGCAGCCGCCGAGCGGGCACGCCTCTGCAGCGTCCTGATGTGCCTCATTTGGTCGAGTGACCGCGTTGCAAAGGAAAGGAGAGAGATGGTGTGATGTGTGATGTGTTGAAGATGGCATAAAAGTGCTGTTGAAAGCATAGGGAAAACGTGAGGGGGAGCGAGTGCAGGCTGTCTTCTATATGACATCCTCTCATTGGGGGAGTGTGTGGAAGCTAATCATGAGGCTAATCTGTTGCCATGAAAAATGAAAAATCGATTCCCCTAATCAGTTGTTAAATATGTTGTAATCAAAATCGAATTCTCTGTTACATTGCGCGCATTGACGCGTCCATTCATATGGGATCATATGTGGTGTACTATGGGTTGAAGCGTGTACTGTGAAGGCCCCCGACAACTGTGAAGCCGCTCATCGTTTTCAGCACAGCCAGCAAAGATGGCAAACCAAACAGTCCGCCTCGAACTGCACCATCCCTCCTACGCCAACACCGGCGCGGCAGGCTCCAACCCGGCCGACCACGCCCACAGTCACGGCCACGATCATCACGGCGGCGGCAACGACCATGGCCACACCCATGAACACATGGAACACCCCGGGCGATACTTGGATAGAGATACGCCGATTTCGACTAGGGATTGGTCTGAGAGGGCTTTTACGGTATGGCTGAAGGGGATGGAGGAGGGGATGCGAGGCCCCATCTTGCGGGAGGAAGTTGGGAACTGGTCTTTGTGGTTTGGTGTTCTTCTGTTTTGGGTTCTACCACTGACGGGTCGTGTGCTAGGTTGGAATCGGCGGACCGGTGGGCTCAGGTATGCTAGCCGTTTATGGATCGTGAGATCTACAAACGCCACTCCTGATTTATTGTTCTTCGTTTGGATCCGTTCCAGGCAAAACAGCGTTGATGGTGAGGATAATCCGATCCCTTGACGTTTCCTGCACCAAAGTACCCACACTCAATCCCCTTATCCCCCAGCTCGCACTCTGCAAAGCCCTCCAAAACACCGTCTCAATCGCCGCCGTTACCAACGACATCTTCACACGCGAAGGTTACACTACAACAACCCCCCTGCCCCATATCTGATCATCACAAGCTAACCCCCTCACTCTCTTCCCTTCCAGACGCCGAATTCTTAATCCGCAACCAAGCCCTCCCCGACCCGCGCCGGATCCGCGCCATCGAAACCGGCGGCTGCCCGCACGCCGCGATCCGCGAAGACATTTCAGCAAATCTCGAGGCGTTGGAACAGCTGCAGGCCGAGTTCGGAACCCAGGTGTTGTTGGTGGAGAGCGGGGGGGATAATCTGGCCGCGAATTATTCGAGGGAGTTGGCGGATTATATCATTTATGTGGGTGTGCGGTGGGCGATGGGTGGGAGCGGCGTTCGAAACGGCCCGCACGCCAGACTGATTAACTCTCCCACGAACGACAAACAAAAACAGGTTATTGACGTCAGCGGCGGCGACAAAATCCCGCGCAAGGGCGGGTACGTCCCCCTTTCCTCCCTGTCTCAAACGAAGACTCACACGCCTCACTCATGCCCCGATCTCCTCCCCTACACAGCCCAGGCATAACGCAATCCGACCTCCTCCTGGTGAACAAAACCGACCTCGCGCCGTACATCGGCGCCGACCTCGCTGTGATGCGGCGCGACGCGGATAGGATGCGTGATGGGGGGCCGACGCTGTTTACGCAGGTCAAGAATGGGATGGGTGTCGAGGATGTTGTGGAGAGGATTTTGGAGGCGGGGAGGCGGGTGGGGGCTTTTTAGGGGCGTGGTGGGATGTACCGAGTTGGAGGGGATTGGAAGTGCCCCGGGGTAGCATGCAGGATAGCATGAGCGCGTGAGATATGTGCGGCGTACTCCGACACAGTTTAGCAATAATACGATGGGAAACATTACTGTGGAACGGACGGAAACCAGATACATGAACTCTTTCGACTCTTTGAAAACAAACAACGAAAGTGTCCGGCACATTTGTTTTGATTATGTACAAAATGAGATGAAAAACACAGAATGTTGTCCTACGGATCCCGCTGCATACGTCCTCTCACGACACGACATCTGCTAAAATGACCGTGCTACGCTAGAAAGGCTACTGCCGACCTCTCATAACAAGAAGAACCACAATCAGCCGGCCTACCAAATGTTAACCAGCTTCTCCCCGACCCTCCGCATCCCATCCCCCTCCTTCACCCCAAACGCCTCCCAAAACTCCGCCAAATTCGACAACGGCCCATTCGCCCTATAGTTCCCGGGCGAATGCGGGTCCGTCGTGATCCGCATCAACGCATTCTCCTTCCTGATAGTGTTCCGCCATACCTGCGCCCAGCTTACAAACACCTGCTGTTCAGGTGTGAGGCGGAGGATCTCGGTACCCTGGGCGTCGCGCACGATGTAGTCAGGTACACGGCCGTGTTTGGCTTGGTACTTTTGGAAGGCGAGGTATGCGATCTTCAGCCCACCCAGGTCCGCGATGTTTTCGCCCTGTGTGAGGTCGCCTTTCACGTTCTGGCCGAAAGTAACGTACTCGTTATACTGCTCGATGATAACCTTTGCGCGTTCGTTGAACCGTTTGGCGTCGCCTTCGGTCCACCAGTTGACGAGGTTCCCGTGTGCGTCGAATTGTTTGCCTTGGTCGTCGAACCCGTGCGTGATCTCGTGGCCGATGACGGCGCCGATGGCTCCGAAACTGAAGGCGGGGGCGCCGCCGTCTTCGCCGTGGAAGAAGAAAGGAGGGGCGAGGATTGCCGCGGGGAAGACGATCTCGACGAGGGAAGGGTGAAAGTATGCGTTCACCTACAGGAAGGGTATAAGTTAAACTTGTAATCGATTGGATTCCCATGTCCGTGAGACTTACCATGTAAGCCGGCATCTCCCAGCGGTTCCGGTCGACGGGTTTGTTGACGCGCTTATACATACGTTGCGAGTCGGCGGCGTTGACAAGCCGCACGTTCTCGAACCAGGGCTTGGTGTGCAAGACGGCGGATTCGAGGGCGGCGCCATAGTCTTCCCATTTGTCCGGGAAACCGATCTTGGGACGCATGGCTTTGAGTTTTTCGAGGGCTTTGGCGCGCGTGGCGTCTTCCATCCAGTCGAGGACTTTGAGCTTCTCTTCGAGGGCGGCGATGACGAGTTGGACGAGTTCGTCGGCTTGGGCTTTGGCTTCCTGTGGGAATGCGCGTGCGATGTAGGCGACGCTGAGGCTGTCGGGGATAGCGGAGGAGATGGTATCCAGTACGCGCTTCCACCTGGGCTTGATCTCGGCTTGGCCTGTGAGGACGGTGCCGTAGAAAGCGAAGCGGAGGTCGACAAATTCCTTGCTCAGATATGGGGCGCTCCCACGCAGAGCGTTGAAGCGGAGGTAGTTCTGCCAGTCCTTGATGCTGACGCTCTTCAGGAGTTCGCTGATCTTGGTGAAGAATTTGGGGTTGTCGAGGATGACGAAGCCGCCGAACGCGTCCACGTTCTCGTAGCCGATAGACTTAAAGTAGGCCTCCCATTCGACCTCAGGCGCGAGCACAGCGAGTTCTTTGACGGTCTTCTTGTTGTACGTCGCCTCTGGATCACGGCGCTCGCTCATGGTCAACGAGGATTTCGCCAACTCGAGTTCCACATCGTAGATAGCCTTGGCGATCGAGTCAGCATCGCTCTTGGACAGCGACTTGTCCGCCAACTGGAACAGGTCGGCGATGAAAGTGTGATATTTTTCGCGGATCTCCTTCTTATCCTCGTCAAAGTAGTAGTCACGGTCGGGAAGACCAAGGCCGCTTTGATACAGCTCCAGGATCTCCCAGACGGAGTTCTTGGCGTCAGGGTTGACGTGTGCCGACCAAAAGGGTCCACCGATCTGCTGCACGTGCAGATCCTTTCCGGCTAACTCAACAGCGTCCTTGGCGGTTTTGACGCCGGAGATCTTGTCGAGGATGTCCTGCACGGGTGTCAGGCCGGCTTTGTTGGAGAGAGCCTCGTCCACACCGGAGCGGTAGAATTCACCAAGCATAGAGGGCTTGTTGGAGGGGTCGATAACTTCCTCTAGGATGCTCTTCAGGAGATCATCGTTCGAGTCGATGAGTTGCTATAGGACGAAGATAAGGTCAGTCAGGGAGTCTACACATGGTATAGTAAGAGTAAAGAGACCTATGCGCACCTCGAAGACTCCATAACGCGATTTGTCTGCCGGGATGTCATGGGTTTTCAGCCACCCTCCGTTGACGTAGGAATAGAAGTCGTCTGCGGGGTTGACGGAGAGGTCGAAGTTTGCGGCCTCGACAGGCTCCATTGCTTTAGCGGGCATTGTAGTGGTTGTCTGGAGGGTGCTGCTGTGTTGTTGTGCTGTTTGTGTGGGCTCTGGGAAGGGAAGGGGATTCGTTTTTATGTCAGTGGTCCGGCGGGTGGTTTGTCACGAGCTGAGCGGAATCCTTCGCCAGCGAGTCGTGGCCACAGGGACAGGCCGCATACCTCCCGTCGTGGCCTTCCCACGAAGCGGCTGCACACTGCACGCAGGAAATCGCCTCTGCAACATCCGCTCGCTCTCGCTCCGGTCATATTCCTGCCACAGTCACCATGCATCGGGTGTGGTTCTCGCTTGTGTCCCCAGAGGGTAGCCCGCTCTCCGGAACTAGGGTCGACAAGGTCTCGCTTCCCGATGCTGACAGCGACGTCACGGACCTCTGCGATGCCGTAAAGGCGAAGTCACCCGAAACCATTGGAAAGGTTGACACGGCTCGGCTCCACGTCTACGCCAGCAAGGACGACCTCACCAACAACCAACCACTCAAATTGAGCTGCAAGGTGGAGACGCTACAAACAACCGATGATGACCCGCTCCTTGTGGTGGTGCCAGCGAAAAGTGAGACTTGCTCGTCCGTTTACTGTATCTGTTTTGGGTAAACGCTGATAACCTAGTCTGCTCCCCCGCTAAGCCGACACGCGATGTCGATTCTCGCTCCATAGAAGACGCAGACGGTCCTACACACATGTGATTCAAAGCTCGATGTTGATTCGCGAGCGTCCTTCATCGTCATCGCCTTGTCCCGACTTGCTCCATCTCAAAGGAAAACGGTTTGTAGCGGGCTCAGAACCAGAGAAGAACGTCCCGATGAACGGTGGATTTATCAAATTCTTATCGGGCAATGATCCCATTTCGGGTCGACGTTTTGATGGCTGATAAATCCCGTATGTCCGCTGGACATACGCTCGGGTATGTCTGCCCGTAACGGGAGTCCCGGCCACTTCCTCGGGACTATAATCCGCAACCATAGGCGACATGGAGGTCGCCCAACCGTGATGTGGGCGTAACAATCCGTGACAAGGCGATATCGGTATCGCAATCCCAGGACTGTCTCCCACGATCCCACGGCCATTTTGGAAGCCAACTCGCATGTTATGAACGATATCGGACAGGTTGCAATACTCCCTTCAAGCTGCCAAAGGAATCAGACTTGTTGTCGGATGCCACTCACGGAACTGACCCTGGAACTGGCGGCGATTTGACGGGCGCGCTTCTCGTCACAATCAACTCCGCCGACAGGTGATTGACACCACACCAACATCTCAAGGTGGAGACCCGCTTGACATTGGGACCCGGACTCACCTCCGACACTGCGTTAACCGCATTCTCGCTCTTCTTGAAATTATATTCAAGCCCTCATAAGTCCATCCATGGGTTGAGGGTCCTCGATGGTAAAGAAACCAATGAATTTAATAAGGCCATGCCCTCAGTGCGCTTCTCCCATACACCCTCAAAGGCCTGAAGTGCGCCGCTTCTTCGAACGTGTTGCCAGGCAATACGACGCCTGGTCATGTCTGCCCTTGACACATAAGTTGGGCTAAGCTACATGCTCTTGAACATGCCGTTTCCACGTTTCAATGTAATGTAGCAGATCTATGAACCTGGGTGGAAGTGATGGTTGCGGATAGCGAGCGCACAGTTAGTCTAACCGAGATGACTATCCGGGCAGTGGTTGTTATCCGTCTCCGCTGCACGGTTTCGCCGGGCCTTTGGCCACCAAGGACTGTGGTCAGTTGCCGACAATAACACACGGCCGTTACGGAACTCCGGCGTGTAGGAGCTATTGCTGCCCAGATTGATCTTTGCAAGAAAACCTGCCTGTGTTTTCTGGGCGCCCGCTCCCAAGTCCCAATTCGACGTTAGTCCGGGCCTTGAGAGATGAATGAGCTCGGAAAAACGGTGCAAAAGCGGCTATTATTGGGAATGTCACGCATCGCCTGCTGGTGATTGTGCCCTCTTCATTCAGGATGACGAGGCGAACATTAGCATATCGGGAAAATGGGGTCTGCATTTACGAACATCGAACATTCTTCGGCCCCAGAACCTTGCTTGCGGGGTCCGGACGCGTCATGGACGCGTTTTGGGTTCATGGCAAAACGTTGCGGACCCTTCCTTTCCCGTTCATCTAGCTAGATCTGGTTATATCTCTTGATCCTTTAAAAGTCTGACCCAGTCCTGGACCCGTGCGGGCGCAATGTATGGCATTGAAACAGAGGGCCACTAATGGATCGGTGTTTGCAACGCAGAATTCGCGCTTTCTCCTTTGTTCAGCGATGCTCCATGAACAGGGGCACGTCTGCTCGGATTTGCAGTCACACTCGAACCTTTTAGTTTCGGACAAAGAAACGCCTGAACGCGTTACGGACGCGTTGTGACTTTGGCGGTCGGGACCTGTGGGACAAGCGGAGTCGAGCACATCAGCACAAACCGAGCAACAACGACTAGAAACCAAAGAGTCAAGTAGAAGACTAGCTCCGCCTGCGCTTCGCGTCGCTCACGCGAAATGGGGGGAGCTCGCCGCTAGTACGTCGGGAACCGGAGCGCAACAGTTTCCGAGGGCGCGTACATTCCCTGTCTGTATATGTAAGCTGATACCTCACCAGATCGGCTCCGTCCTTCCTACTGTCTACCATCGGAGTCACCTCGTGCGTTCAGTGATGCTCATCGGGGCAGCTGCACCAGAACAGAGTAATGAAACAGAGAACGACGGCAGAAAACAATCAGTGCCAGATGGCATGAATCTCGCATCCCCGCCCTTCAACGTACTTTAAGCGATCCTAACCCTCCTTTCAACGCCTGCACCCCCCTGCTTTTCTCAGATCTCGGACGTTGAGTTCCAGACGCCGCGGTTGCATCTGCAAGTCGGTCTTCTCTGGGCTCCCGTTTAAAATCCAACGTACTCTATGCAACCGGATTATCGGACAACAAGCCCCTCCACTGAAATGAGGTTTCCTAACCCCTCGTTGTGCTCGTGCCACACACTCGGGACGACATGCAGAAGTCGGGTATTGTACAGCAACCCTGACAGCAACCACCGTCGTCCGTTTGACTTTGACTCGGTTGATTCCGATCACGTGACCTCCCAGTCTGACGGAATTCAAATCGGCCACGTTGACGCGTTGACCCAGCACAGCCACCTTCCCGTTCTTGGCGCGTGGTTACCTCATCAGATCAAATCATAAACTGCCGTCGCATCGCGAATATAAAAGCATCCTCCCAACACGCCCCAGAGACTCGACAACAACTATTGCACCAACACACACAGAACGGAGCATAAACCAACCCCCCACCCCCCCCCCCCCCCCCCCCCGCACAAAAATGCCAGGCCTGCACAAACCCACACACACATCCCAACCCACGCCGTCCACCGAGCACCACCACCAACAAGAACAACACCAGACCCCGGAATCCATTCACCAGCACCAACAACAGCAGCAGCACGCCCAGCCCCACCAAACACCGGAGGAGATGTACGATGAGGCGATGGAGTTGGAGTATGCGAAGCGGGAGGGCGGGGCGTGAGATCGACGCGTGGAGAGTTGGGCTGGGATCTGAAGCGGGTGGGGCGCATCATAGTTCATACCCTCGGTATTGCAGGAGAGGGCGACCGACGGTGTTTGGGGGGGGGGGGGGGGGACCGACTGGCCCATCTGCGCCACCGCGCATACCGTCCGATTCGACTGCCCTGGGTGTCTGATGAATGGCTTGGATCGCTAGCGGGCCGCACGCGGCGGATTGGGTGTATAGCAGATTTCGCTCGTAGGATAGACGTCGCCGAGCGGTGGAATTCACACCGCTTCGTTTTGTCGGGCGGGGAATCGACGCTTGTATTGTGTTTGGCTTGTGTGTATTGTAGCCATTTCCAAGAAGATTTCCGTTGGCTTTATCGCGGGAAAACCCGACGAGGATCGTGGATCTTGGTTGCGAAGGCGAGGGCCAATGAAAATGAGGTTTCGGGGGTCTCGTTGACCAGGGCGATTTGCACTCGAGTCCACCCGTTTTTCGTACGTATATTCAATCTAAATCCACAATGAGGTCGAAAAATAGAACGCACTACCGCACGGCGCCAGGTGAATAAATATGTATTTGTACGTAAGGGATGTATACCATGCCGCATCAACACAGACACCCTCGCATAGCAGACGAAGGGGGTTGTTTATCGTTCCGCTAGCGGTGACGAGTCTCAACGCGAGGATCCTAATTAACTGCTCAAACGACTCCGAGACCTTGACCAACGCTCGTCTTCCAGCGCCTCCCGGCGCTCTCAATCCGCCTACTCACAATCCACCCTCCTCTCCCACCCCACCTCCCCGGTCTTCTCAACCTCCCTCGCAGTCCTCCCATTCCTCTCGACAACCATCCTTCGGCCCTTCTTATGGTCCTCGTAGTTCCTGCCCACACGCGACTGCGGGCCGATCTGCCGGTCAAAGATGAATCGCACGAGGACCATCACCCAGGAGGAGTGGTAGGCGAGGGTATCGTAGAATTCGGGGGCGAGGGATTTTATTGTTGGGAGGCGGCGCCATGGGACCTTTATAAAAAAAAGGAATAGGGTGTGAGTGGGCGGGTGATGGGGAGAATGTGAAGAGGGGGGTAAGGCGTACCTTGGTGAAATCGTGATGCTCGTTATGGTACCCAATATTCATAAACGGCCAGTTCAAGATCCCATAGTACGAGTACGTTTCCTGCCCATCATCGAACGTGAAATGTTCCTGGATGAAATGCGCGGCGGCGGGGTGGATGCCGTATCCGAACCACAGCGAGAGGAACAGGTACAGGAAGCCCCTCCATCCACAGAATTTGACGACGAGGGCGTCGGTGCAGATCGTAAAGATGACGTTGTAGATCTCCCATTTGGAGGGGGTCTTTTGCATCGCGGCGCCGCGGACGACGTACATGAGCGGGTAAAAGAACAAAAAGACGAATTTGGCCAGTGGGTTCGATTTGATCAGCTTGACTTCGAAATCGAGGGGGAGGTCGGGGTCACGCCCGACGACGCCCTGGAAGGCGTGGTGTTCGAGATGGTACCTGCGGAACGAGCTGAAGATCGGGAACGGGATGCCGATGTTGGCGATGAACCCAACGGCTCTGTTCAGCGCCTGGCTCTTCCCGCAGAGCCCGTGGCAGGCGTCGTGGATGATTACTCCATACACCTGCGTCATGGATCCGCCGACGACATAGACGACAAACAGGAATTTCCACACGGACTCGGTGTCGATTTTACCGAAATAGTAGGCGAGGGCAACCTGGAATGCGGCGGCGAAGACGGTGATGTACTTTGTGGACCATTCGTAGCCGTAGAGGTGTTGGATTTCGGGGTGGGCTTCGAGGATGGCGTGTTTGCGTTTGATGTGGGGTTCGTCGAGGTCGTCTTTTGCGATTTCGGTGTGGACGTGCGGGATGGAGCGTTGCCAGTCGCCGAGGTAGAGTGGGTGACGGCGGTCGGGTTCTGCGGCTGATGCGGTGGTGGCGACGGAGGCTGATTTGGTGGACACCTCAGGGGCCGAGACGGCATTTGCTGCTGGACGCTTGTACAGGCCGGTGGTGGAGACGGGCTCAACTGCCGGGGAGGAGGGGGCGCCGGCCGAGTCTGGTGTTGCGGTCAGCATTTTGGGGTGTTGAGGAAACGCCTCAATGCTCGGAACTCGCTAAGTGCCGATCAGCAGAACGGCTGTGGAGAAGAGCGTTGGTGCTTCTCGTAGGATACTCCAGCCGCTACTACGTACACTAGCGCAGTGAGTCCAGCGTTGAGAGTGGGTGGGAAGGAAGGATTGTGCCAAAATGCGCAAGACGCTTTGTGTTGTTGGGCCGCTTTTTGGCCGCTTTTTGCCTGTTCTGTCCGATGGGCAGTTGTGGCGGCTCATCTCAATCTTCCCCTCTTGATTTGAATGCGAATGCGAACGCGCTCACAGCCTCGTCTCCCCTCCTATCATCATTCCACTGTCAAACATACGGCCCGCTCGCGTGTTATGTAATCCCCTCATGTCGCTCGCAACGCGTTCCGTCCTGCAGGAGATGTCCGATGAACAACAGAAAGGCCAACTTATCCTTGAAGTGGGTTGATTTGTTCGATCGATGGAGCCATCGTGTTCCGCCGGTTTGTTCATTCCGGAACCCGCGGCGGACGGTCTCTTCTCGACGCACGCTTGCCCTCTCCTGCAGGGTTGACCGCAGAGTTGACCTGTAGCCCTCCTGCAGGAAGAAGGGGTCACAATCCAATTTCATGGCGCTTGCATTCATGCATCCTCCACGAAACAATACCCATCCAGAGCCCCCCTCTCCTGCAGGAGTGTGGAGTTGCGAGCGTTCGGCCACGATTGGCTCAAGATACCTTCAGTTTTCTGCGAGAGAACCCGGGGGATTTCTTTCTGGCAGACAGTACCTTCGATGCAGGACAGTACTCCCAAGTGTAAGGTAAGAACCGCAACATTGTGCTACCGGGCGGTATTGACCGGATATAACCTCACCATCGTACGCAAGCAGGCTTTATCCATAGCGAGAAAGTCTGCACTCTCCAGAACCCCTCAGGTGCATACAATCGATTTTAGGCTCTTCCCAATTGCAGCGAAATTGGGCGAGATTCCGAATCTCAGGATTTATAAGGTTGGATTTGCTCTTCAGAGGTAGGAGCATCAGAGCTCTGCCCATTTCCGCATGCTGCATGCACTTTTTTTTGCGGCATCGCGGACATACTTCTGGTATGGAGAGTAGTAACTTGTATGTGAATTTGACCTTCCTGAACGCGTTCTTCTTCGGATGCACTGGAGTCGACGAGCGCTCATGTCTTCCGGTAATGAACGGCTGCATGGGTGGCTACCCTTATGTTTCATGAGTCTTTCCTGACCTTCGCAACGGGCGACACGGAGGTTGCTGAAGCCAGGGAGGCGAGAGGGGCGAAAGGGCAAAAACGCGTCGGAAGTGCAAGCCCTGTTTGCCTGCCTTTGGATGAAACTGAGGCCTTCGTCAAGGTCCAAGCTTCAACGTCCGAATCGCCCGCCAGCTCTGACCCTGTCTTCCACTCCCTGCCTTACCCAAGCTGTCAGCTCCGCCGTCTTAGTACCCATAACGGCAAAGCTACGGCCGCCCTCAATGTCGGAGCAATGACTGTGCAGCTTTCCCTGAGAAAGGTGCTCGCAAAGTTCCTCTCGGACAACAAGAAGGATGCTCAGTCGGGCTTACAAGAACTCAGAACCATCCTTTCCGATGACCGCAACTTGTCCCAGATCGACGGCAAGGACTGGAGGAGCATATTGGAGGCTTTCGAAAGGTGCGGGAGGCAGTTCGGACCTTGAAAGCTTATTGGGAGATCACGAACCTCATGACGGATTCTCTCGCACAGGGCAGTGGAGAACCTAAAAGCAGCAGCCGCAAACGGACGCACAACAAACGCTAAAGCCTCAGCAACCTCCACCGTCGCCCGCCTTGAAAAGCAGCTCGGCGAATGCGCCTCCGAGTTCCGATGGACAATCGAGCGCGCAGGGTCCAACCTCGGCCCGGCCCTCAACAAACCCGTTCTGGAACATATCCTCACCATCCTGCCGTACAGAGACGGCCTCTACCAGCCCATCGCGGTGCACTATACCCGCGCCCTGCGCACGCTGCTCGCCCAGCGCGCGTACAGGGAGCATATACCTATCAGCCGCTGGCACGGTCTACTCAAATTATGCATGCGGTGCTTAACCGCCGAGGTGCAGAGCGAGGACAGGAGAGGTGGGCGCAGGTCAATGACGTTGGAACTGGTAGAGCTCTCCAAAGTGTTCTATTATCTCGTCATTGGGTGTCCTGACGACTTGGCGGCGTATTCGGAGGATCTGCTGGAGTTTTTGGCGCGGTTTATAGAGCATCACCCGGGCGAGACGACGTGTCATGGCCCCTTGATAACGGCCGCGAATCATATCTTGTTCGAAACAGCGCATCAGAATTTACATGCCGCTCAAAACTTTCTTGAAAGTACCGTCCCGTTCCTGATACCACTGTGGGAGAACCGCTCAGGCCCGCTGCGGAACCAGCTTATACTCACCCTTCGGTTCTACCTGCACATCTACGACCCAACCGGCAAGTTCGCCTTCGACGTGAAAAGGTGGGAAGCCAACTGTCTACGCTTATACGACGGCATCCAGCAGGAATTCGGAAGCAAATTCGGAGTCAGCCCCGTGGACGATCTGCACCATTTCGTCACTGTGCTGAGACTGAAACAAAAGACCGGTGTGCTGATACCAGACACCCTCAACGGCCACCTCGACCCGGCTTCGGTGACCAAATGGTACCCCACCTACAGCTTCCTAGACCTCGGCGCAGACGTATACGGCGCTTTACTGTACATGGAAGCCAACCCGCCCACGCATCCCTCCTCCGACACCCCACGGGCCCGTAAACGCGTCAAACGAAGCGACGTAGTCGCAGACTTGACGAACCTCAAGAAAAAGCTGGGCAACAGCCGCCAGAAACTCGGGGTTTTGCAGATCCTCGCGTTTCTCGCCCTCCAAACCCCACACATGCTCTCCCCCGCCCAACTCCAACACCTGATGACAGATTTCTTCGCCGACCTCATGGCATCCGAAAGCGACGTGCAGAACTGGGCGTTGGTCTGCAGCACCCCGTTGTGGTCCCACCCTGCCGCCATCACACCCACGTTCGCGAAAATGGCCTGGGATAACACCACCAGAGTCGTCTCATCCCCCTCCCTGCTGGTCGATATGGGATACCACGTCCTTGAAGCGGTGCTGCGGGCCGGGTTTGTCCCAAGGGGGGATGTGGCGGCTGTGGTTGCGGAGGTGGGGAGGGGTATGCGGTGGGGTGTGAGTGTGCCCTCAGCCGCGGCGTTGGAGTTCCTTCTGATGAGCAAACGCGCGAGGGGTTCCGAGGCGATGTGTCAGACGCTGAGTGTCATAGATGATTTCGCGGACTCGATATGCGAGTGGGTCGTGCGTGGCCGCGCCGCGGTACCTATCGATATGATCATCGACGTCCTCCTCGGAACACCACACGGCAATACCCAACGAACAGACGCAGACGATTTCCCGCCCCTCGATCTCCCCCCGCGGGACGAATTCATCGGGGAGTGGAGATTGGGCAATTCGAGACGGGTTTGTAGGGCGATTGTGGAGGAGGATGTTGAGGGTGTTTGTGGGGTTGATGGGCATGGGGGTGGTGGGTGGGGAGGAGTGGAGGGGTATTTGGTGAATGCGAGTGCGGGGTGGGTGGAGGAGGAGATGCGAGGGTTGGTGGAGAAATGGGGGGAGGAGAACGCGGATGTGGGTATGGGGCTGGTGAAGGACACTGTTTCGTTGATTCTTGTTTGTGTCAACATGTGGGATCGCGCGGCGAAGCATACGAAAGGAAATGCGAGTGATGCAGTTGTGGCGATGGTCAAGGTTCTTCTGCAACGTGTGGAGAAAGCGATACCCGCCTGTTCTTTGGCTGCGGCTACGACCGTCGTCCACACGATCCTTCTTGGTCTCAACGAACTCTCACCCACCACCCAGCTCGGATGTCCCCGCTCAGCCGAAATCTACCAATATCTAACGCGTACCCTCACCCCGCTGCTCTCACGCGATGTTGACTCCGACATGCCACCAAAAAGCAGTTCCCATGGGGACCTCAGCACCACGACATTCGACGAGTTTGACGCGGTGGAGATAAGTTCGCATAGCTCGACGTGGACGCCTAGTCTTGTTGAGTTTTATGTCGATGTCGAGGCTGGGGAGGGGGAGGGTGCAAGATTGAAAGCCGTTGTGGTGCGCGCGTTAGGTGTTCTTTGTAGTCTATCCCGCGGCACAAATACCGACGCAGTACAAACAGCCATAGACGCTGTTCTGGCTCTACCGTTGGCCGCCACCTCCCCGCACCTCAACCTCTCCCTCCCCCACTTCATCACCCACATCTCCGCCCACCTAACCCGCATCCAACTTACCGACATCGTACACACCATCTCTGACCTCCTCCGCTCCTACCCGGGCGAAAAGAACCCGTGGGGCATGCTCGCGATACTGCGGACGTTGACGGCGATCGAGGGGGGGTGGATACAGAACATGGAGGTCGATGAGGAGGATGAGCTGTGCGCGGCGTTTGGGATGCTATTGCATTTTTTCACACGCTTGGTTTGCGATGGGAGGGCGCCGTGGAGGGTCGTGAGGGGGTTTGGGGAGATGGTGGTTGTTTACGTGGGGGTTGATCCGAATGAGGTAAGTGCACATTTATCGCAAAACATTCAGATTGTGTGTGGGCCCAGAGACTGACGCGTTGCAATTTTCAGAACTTCTACCGCAAATACGTAGGCGCCGAAACCCCGATCCCCGCCCTCTCCATCCTCTGGTCCCTCTTCAAACACGCCGAGTTCAACGTCCGACAGTGGATCCGCCGCACCGTCCCGCAGATCTTCGCCATCTTCTCCGCCCAAGACCACCACGTCATCTTCGAAGACGTGCGCGCGTCCCTCCCCCCCCTCTTCGAACAGAGTTTCGTCCACACCGTCCCGGTGATAGCCACGTTTGGCGAAATCATCGTCTGTAGCCCTGACCACCGCGTTGATGCCGCGTTGGCTATCACGCGGATTGCTAACGTGCCGAAGGCGATGGGGTGGGTCGCTAGTGCGCTTGGTATGTACGCCAAGCGATTGGGACTCGACAAGGGCAGCGAGCTTGTCAGTGATATGCTGCCGGAGCTGGTGTGGCGGTGGGATGAGGATGTGGAGCTGTTTCCGGTGGGGTTGGTGGGCTGTGAGCGGTTTGAGGGGTTTTTTGGGGTGTGGGCCGGGGAGGTTTTGGGGAAGTTGTTGTATGATGGGGATGTGGATGCTGCGAGGGGGTTGTTGCGGGAGAGGGGGGATGCGGGGGTTGTGTGTCGGGGGGCGATGGTTGGTGTTATGGTAAGCGGAAAACAAATGGGGCTGGTGGAGAAGGAACACGTGATTGAGTGACACTCTCTTTCTCAGGCCCGACTGCTCCCGGATATGATCGACAGCACCCCGGAGCGGTTCACCGTCGTCAACGAGTCCATCGGGTTCCTAGAAACGACCATCGGAGTCGGCGTAATGACGGCAGACATGCAGGCGCGGCGGGCAGAGATCATCTCCGAGGTGCTAATCCACATGTTTGAACCGACCGGCCCCGCGCAGATGGCCGGTGTCCCGGAGATGATTGCAGGGAACATTGAGCGGATGAAATCGCTCAGTGGGCCCGTTACTGGTGAGGGATCTGCGACGTCGTGTTGGTCGCAGTTGGTGAGCACGCGGACTGTGCTTAAGGTCATTGCGCGGCTGTACCCGACGACGCCCGATGACGGGACCGCGTGTCCGTTCGACACGTCCGCGCTTCAGATCATCCTGCAGCGCGCACATTGCTACATTGACCGGAGGAGATTCACCAGCGACAAGCACGCCTTCATAACGAACGGGTACCGATTGCTAATTGCACTGGCCGCCCCCGAAATGATGCACCCGTTCTTGTTCAAGAGCGTGTTGCAGATGCTGTTGAAGGCGATGAAGGCAAAAGAGATGTGTGCGGATGCGGGCGGAATGTTCTGCTACATGCACCTTGTGGCCCAGCGGCATGCCACGCGGCTCGTTGCTTCCACTATCACCTCGACGGCGCCGGCGTTGGCACAGCTCGTCCTTGACTACATTACGGCAGGCCACGCGCAATGCGCCGAGGCCATGGAACGCGTGCTGGAACGAGTATGCGTGATCGCCCGCTCAATCGACCAGCGCACCGTGCAGCTCGCCATCCTCCAACTCGACGCCGACATGCCCATCGCGCGCCGCTTGGCCCACCGTTTCGCGGTCGATTTCAGGACAGCGGACCCAAGCGTCGTGATGCAGTTGATGGATCTGCGCGATTCTACCCCGTTTGCGCAGTTGGCCCGCGTCAAGTACCTGCGCACCGCGCTTGATCAGAACGGGTTGGCGGCGCAGCTGGGTGCTGCGAGCGGCGGGGCGGATGTTAATCACCTTGTTGGGCGGTTGCTGGCTATGCTGGACACGTCGGCGGGGAACAGGCCGCTGATTGTAGAGATTGGACACTGTTTGGGCAAGCTGGCGTGTTTTTTGACGGGGCGGATTGCAAGAGTGGATTCGAAATCGGAGCTGGCGTTGGTCGCCGCGGCGACGGCGGGCGATGATGCGGTTAAGCCGGATGTGGGGCATTGTGTGGCGCTGTCGTGTCTACAGCGGTACTTGTTTCATGAGGAGTTCGAGAAGGTGGATCAGGTCATTCGGTGTTTGAAGCGGATTCTGGCGACGCCTGCGGGAGGCGTTGCGTTTGCGAGTTTGCGACCGGAAGTCGCGCAGTATCTCGACATCTGCCATGATTCAGTGTCTGAGGTCGTTGACGAATCTTCTCGGGCCTCGTACCCCAAGATCACCGACAACGCTCTCTGGGAAGCTCTTCAACATCGCAGCGATGCCGACCCGACCACCCGCACCGTGAGCGCAGAACAAGCACTTGTGAATCTAGCAAACGCGATCCTCTCCTCCTGCCCAACAGACGACATATTTCCCCATCTGCGATCCGTATTCGAGATGATTCCGGAACTCGGTAGCACGATGATGCCGTACATCCTGCATGCTGCATTGCATCATGAGATGACCGTGACCCGCAAGACGATTAGGAAGCGTGGCGTGGTCTCCTTTCGCGCTATGTTGTCGAAGAGGATTCGCGAGATTGTGGAGGCGCCTGAGGGTGTTGAGGAGGATGTTCTTGTTGCGATTTTGCGGGTTCTTGAGGTGAGGTTTGCGTGTTTCCGTGCTCCGGATTCGTGTTCCGGATTCGCGAGCAGCTGACGCAGTTTTTCTTATAGTTTTTGCGAACACAACCTCACCCTCTGAGCGTCACGCCCTTTGACAACAACGCCTGGCTCGATCTTGATTTCGTCAATGTAGCAAAAGCCGCAGTTCACTGCAAATCCTACGCATCGGCGGTCCTCTTCCTCGAGATCGCGCAAGAGGTGTCCAAGCGACCATGGGCGAAAGAGCTCAACATGACACAAACATCATCCGGAGGCGAGCTCACCGCCTGCGACCTCCTCTTTTCCATCACGCGCTCCATAGGCGACGCCGACGGATTCGATGGCGTCATGTCATACGGCGGGTCGCGCAGTCTAGGCGACGGATCTACATCGCTTATCCAGAAATACGAGCACGACCGCGCGTGGGACAAGATCCTCAACCTTCGTGAGATCCAGCTGAAGGTTGGTGCGTTCGACACACCAGCTGTCCGAGCGGGCACTCAGGTGGGGCTGATGAAGGCGATGAGTAACTTGGGACTGCATCATGTTTTGGCGACGTATATTGGCGGTGTGCAGCGGGCGGCGGGGGATAAGGGTCCGCTGGACCATGATATTCGCGAGCTGCATTATGAGAGTATGTGGCGGAATGCACAGTGGGGCGATGTGGCTGGTCATGCCCAGGGCGGTAGGTTGAGCAGCCTTGTGATTGCTACGTGGCGGGTAGCAACTGACACAGACGATATGCAGATGTCGGGATTCAACAAAGACTGTATGGGATAATGAAAGCGGTGCACGATCATGACGCACCAGCGGTGGAGTTCTCCGTCTCGTCCGCTTTCTACGACCACCTCAAGATAAACACCGGCAACACGATACGAAGCGATTTCAACCCCTTTCATCCATTGCGCTTGCTTGTCAGCTTTGTAGAAGCTGAAGAGGTCTGGAGAATGGCCTCCGCTGGGTCTGCATCTGCGCCTCTGGAGTTGTTCGAGATCTGGGAAACGCGGCTGGAGAACCTGCGTAAGACGCAGAACTTGGCGGATCTGGACCCCATACTAGCTTGTCGAACGACGGCATTGAATGGGATCGTTGGATCCGGCTCCGCCCGCTCGACGAATGCAAAGGCCGGCGGAATCATGGGGGTTCGCCCAGGTCTTGTCCGAGCGCATTGCTCGCATCTCCTCAGTGTCAGCAAGATTGCTCGAAAGGCCAGGAACGCACAAATGGCTCAGACAGCGATGGCGCAATTGGAGATCATCCTGAACGAGGACAAGATGAAGCCGGACGCATCTGACTTGGTGGACATCTTTGCCCTCGCCAAATTAGAGAGTTTGAAGATTCTCTGGGAGCAAGGGAACAGCGCGTTGACTACCAGGTCGCTGAAGCATTACATCGAGGTGCAGATGGCGACTGAAACGCAGCAGCTCAGCAAGAAGGTCGAGTCGCAGTTGGTATGCCAGCTCGGTCGCTGGACGGCAGCAACGCGATACGAGCCTCCCGTGAGCGTCATGCACCATCTCGCAACCGCAATTGACCTTGCTGCGGCTGCAAACGACATGAAACTCCTCGCAAAGGCTCACTACCATCTAGCCAAATTCGCGGATGACCAATACCAGGAGCAGCTCCTGAACGATACCTCCGATCAGCTGGAAGAGCATATCCGGTACAAGGAGCGAGAGGCGAAAGCGTGCGAAGACCTTACGAAACGGAGTGTGGGGAAGGACGCCAGCAATGCGAAACGCTACACCCATATCCGCGATAAGATATTGCTGCAAATTGAGATGGACCGCGCGGAAGTCAATCGGTTTCGTCAGGATAGGGACACGTTTTTGGAGAAAGCGGTCGCGAATTACGCGCAAGCTCTAGAGCACGGCAAGGAAAACCTCGATATGAGTGTCTTCCGACTTATCTCCCTGTGGTTCGCCAACATTCAGAATAAGGAAATCAACCACATTATCAAGGCCGCATCGAGGGCCGTCCCTTCGAGTGTCTTCCTGGTACTGCTGTACCAGTTATCCGCTCGCTTGACCACGTCGCCGTCCGACGACGAAGTCGCATTCCAGCATAACCTGCAGCGCATTCTGCTCAAAATAACTCGCGATCACCCTTACCACAGCTTGTACCACATCATCGCCTTGAAGAACGGAGGTCAGCTAGGCGCCCCATCTTCATCCCGGCGTCAAGAGGAATCAACTCCCACCATCAAAGCGGCCGAAGCGGTTTTGCAGCGACTTCGGCGTCCAGATCATCTGGGGGACCTGGTGGTGCAAGTCGACCGGCTCTGTAACGCGTACATCGAACTCGCCTGGAGGAAACCTACAGCGGCACAGCTCAAGGAGTCGAAAGTGCAGCAACTGGATGCGCGTCTGAATATCTACGCTATAGCCAAATCTGGGATCAATGTCCCCATCGTGACTTCGGACAACCCTGTAAGGCACGACTGTCGCTACGACGACTTACCGACCATCCAGGGGTTCAAGGGAACGTTCTGGATTCCTGGCGGCGTGAATATGCCGAAGGTTTTGGATTGTATGGGTACCGATGGGAAGAAGTATGTGCAGTTGGTGAAAGGAAACGGTAAGGAGTTGGACACCTGAGTCTCCGATCTTTGTAATCCCGCACTAATGGCATGATATACAGATGATCTTCGTCAAGACGGTGAGCGGACATCCTCCATGCAGTAAGTCGCGCCCATACTAATGGATTGCCTCGCTTGTAGCTGTTCTTTCCAATATCTTCAACATCATGAACGTCCTCTTCAAGAAAGACCTGGAGACGCGGCAGCGGAATCTCGGTATCCGCACGTACAAAGTGGTGCCTTTGGCTCCGAGAGTCGGCTTGGTGGAATGGGTCAGCAACACTGCACCGATCGGGGAATTCCTTGTGCGCGCTCATTCCGGGTAAGCCATTGGCAGGGCTCATATGATGTTCCCACCAGTATTGTTCTTACGCATATGTCCCGACGTTAGATACCATCCTGGCGACTGGAAACCTAATGAATGCCGGAGTCGCATGATGGACGAACATAAAAAGGGATCCACGTCGTCGAAGCTGAACTTGTATCGTCAGATCGAGGCCAATTTCAAACCGGTGTTCAGGCACTTTTTGTTTGAAAATTTCTCGGATCCTCTGGATTGGTACGAGCTCCTTGGTTCCAATTGGGATACTCGAAAAGCGCTTGTGGGCAGACCCATCTAAATTTGCGCTTTGTAAACCAGGTTCGAACGACGTCTAGCGTACACAAGAAGTGTAGCCGCAAGCTCCATAGCGGGATATGTCGTGGGTCTCGGTGATCGGCACGCGCAAAACATCCTCATAGACAAGGGCACCGCCGAAGTGATCCACATCGATCTTGGGATCGCGTTCGACCAGGGAAAGGTCCTCACTGTTCCTGAGCTCGTCCCTTTCCGACTCACACGCGACATTGGTATGTGCCGCATGCCTTTGTGTTCGTTAATCTTTCGTAATCTTTCGTCATGCTCATCAAACAAATCGTTTCCCCGTCTCTGTGGCTATCAGTGGACGGCATGGGCCTTCTCGGCGTCGAAGGCGCCTTCCGGCGCGGATGCGAAGAGACAATGAAGGTCCTTCGCAAAGACTCCCAGGCGCTCCTCACCATCCTAGACGTCTTTCGGTACGACCCATTAGTTACATGGACGCTCACCCCACTAGAGCAGCGACGGCGACAGGGCCTTGCCGGCAGCGAGGAGGACGATCGATTAGATGTTCTTGAATCGGAAGGCCCAAATGGGACAACCGCTCCGAATACAAGAGACCGCGGCCAGAATAAGGAGGCGGAACGGGCGCTGTTTGTGTTGCGCAAGAAGTTATCGGCGTCAGTTAGTGTCGAGTGCCAGATCAATGAGCTGATTCAGACTGCGATGGATCCAAAGAATTTGTGCCGCATGTTTCCGGGATGGTATGGGATCTGCGATGCTGTTTATTGATATTACTGAGTGCGAAAGTTCTAATCTTGTTGTTTCCCATCCTTTCTGTCAAAAAGGCAACCCTGGTATGCATCGCTTTGGTGGAAAGAATGTTCATCTGCAAATCGCTAATTTAATCTTGTTTTCCGATCTAGGATGTGAGCACACACTCCTTCCGAGCCACGACGACCCGTTGTCGTTGCGCCTAGCTCTAGTTGTACATATAGAACTTTCTGATACCGTCCCTGTACATAAACTAGTCTTTGCACATAGAAGAGCGCTGCAATCTCCACACATTGAAAATATAATCATAGCCATACTGCAATTGCAGCCAGTCTGAATTCGCGCACGGGAAACCGTCGCTCTTCGAATGATCTGACTCGTAGGGCCAACCAAGCAGAAAGCATTCTGTCTGAGACTGAAACGAAAGGACTCATCCAGCACCCTTCCGATACATTCCACCCCGTGTACTTGAATCTGGTTCACATCCCTTGCTAGCTAGCAACTCCAAGTCTGCGAAGGAGCCTTTCGTGCACAATGGGTGAGAGGACGTCTGAAAGAGATGGAACGCGCCTGTCATGCGCCACACGTCCCGTCAAAACACCTAACACTCGCACCAACACAACCGAGCAGGTCCTGTCAATCAGGTCTTTGCTAGCTTCTGCTTCCTACCGTTGTGCGAAACCGCTGCAAACCTGGAATGGAAGTAGCTTATACTAATCGTGCGGACAGTGACGACGATGATGACCCTCGGCGGCTCCGAAATCCCCGCCCCTCTTCCTCATGAAGGGGCGGAGATCATGTCCAAAACTCCGGCGAAATTGATACTGTCGCCCTCCGCGACACCTCTCTTCGCATCAAAATTCTTGCCAAAAAGATGGAGGACCAAGACGTGGCGAGAACAAATTTCATTGGAATAGTGCCTGGAAAGCTGGATATTCTGAGAGATCCGGGAAATGCGGCGTTTGGGATTGCGGGATGGGAGGGTCAGGCTGGTATGTGGGCGGGAGAGCTTGCGGGGGAGGTTACGAGAGGTGCCAAGGCATTCAAACATCGCGACTGATGCCTGACCTCCAGATCAAAAAGATGCCACCGCCGAAGACGGCGACTACATCGTCCGCAACCCGCTAGTCCTAAACCAAGCCTACGCGGGCCTCCCCGCCAAACTCACCCGCACCTTCGTCACCCACATCATCTTCATCACCGTCATCATCATCTTCTCCCTCTTCCTCCTGCGCGACGCCGTGCACACCAACGGCGAGCGCGCCAAGCAGAAAATGCGTTCCGCCTGCGCCGGGCTCGAAATCGGCGCGACCGCTATGGCGTCCATACCGCATTATGCGGCCGACGGCTTGAATCGCGCGACGGTGAACAGCATCAATGCGATTGTGTCGCATACAACTGCGATGCTGGTGGGAGCCGTGCAATTGTTGAATTCGTTGATCATCATGACGTTGCAGAAGTATACCAGTCTGTTGTTCTGTTTGTTGGATATCGTGGTGAAGTTGACGGTCGGAACGGTGTCGCAGTACGCGGGCGAGATTACGGATTTTCTCAACGTGCAGCTCGCCGGGATCAAAACGGCGCTGGAGAACAGTTTAGGGATGCTGAACGAACAGATCCAGAACTTTGAGTCCGCGCTGGGGGATGCCGTGCAGACCATCGCGGGGATCTTTGGAGGCACGGTCGACGCCAACGTGTTTGCCCCCGTCAGTTTCCCGGGAGTCATCAGCAAATTGGATTTCACGATTCCGACCAGTTTCGTGGACGAGCTGAAAGGGCTCTACGACAAGGTCCCAAAATTCACGGACCTAGAAAAACAGCTGGAGGCGTTGATCTCCACGCCGTTCGTGATGCTCGAGAACTTGATCGAGCAGGAACTGGGCGGGTTGACGGGGTTCTCGTCGGGAAAGGTGTTGATAGCCGCGCCGGATGCGTATGCGAGGGTGGAGTTTTGCGATGGAGCGATCCACTATGACTGGGTCGACACCATCGTGGCCGCGATCGATAAGGCGCTGCTCTACGGGCTATACCTGGTGATAGCCTTTGCCTCCGCGTCTATCCTCGGAAATATTGTCGTGACGACCTACGAGCACTGGAAATTCAACGAGGAAGTGAAGCGGTTCGCGAAAGTGTTGCAGAACCACCAATATCTGAACGAGCAGCTGGCGATGAAAGCGGGGACGAAAGTCAACAAACACCAGTTCCGCGCTGTTTCGCGCGACCTCATACATGCCGCGACCAGGCCGACCATGTACCGCTTCACGAGGATGTTGACGAGGCTGGTCCGCTCGGAGAAGGCGAGTATCCGGCTCCGCTGGTTCTTGGACTATGTCTCCCACGCGCCCAGCTTGCAGATGTTCATGGCGGGGGTGCTGGGGTGCGCGGTGATTTATTTGCAGTTGCGCATGATTGAGACGATTAAGGACGAGACGGCGGCGATGGTGGCGAGCGGGGCGGCGAGCACGATCGACGCGATGGTGATGGCTGTTGACGTCGCGATGCTGAACGTCGCAGCGCCGTATATCGCCCACACGAACGGTGCGATCAAGGCCGTCGAGGATTTGGCCAACGATAAGCTGTTCGGATGGGTGAACACGACGGTTGACGCGATAGACAACGCACTGGGCGTGTTTGTCAACGGACTGGATTCGGCGCTAGGGGATGTGTTTGGCGAGGTGCCGGTGCTGAGTGCGGCGATGAACCAGTTTGTGATGTGTGTGCTGGGATCAAATATGGCGACGCTGGATGCAATGGCGGCTGGGTTCAAAGCGAGCGCGCATATTAGTTTTCCGAGGGTGAATACCACCGATTTGGTTGGTGTTTCGCAAGCTGCTATTCGCATACAACTAATAAATGCAGCAGAGTTGATGGAGAGTTCGGCGGCTGCAAACACCAGTACCGCAGCCGCGAATGCGACGGTTGCCAATGGTACTGCAACGTCCACCTCAGCGACGGCCACGGGGACTGCCATGACGGCGACATTAAAACGGCGGTCGGACGACACGACATTGAGCAACTCGACGAAAGACCCACTGGCGGCGTATTTTGAACGAGAAATCGATGATTTTCTGGATGCGTATCGGGCCAGTCTCAAAGTTCAAATCCTCCCCTATCTAGCGCTGCTCGGATTCGGATCCATTGTTATCATCATGGGACTTCTCAGGCTCTTTGTCTGGGTCATCGCCGACTGCATACGAGATTGCCGGAAAGCTTATCGATCAAGATCACATATGCTCCCCAAGACGTCACGGTTCAGAGTTAACTTCGGCAGGCATTTGTTTGGCAGGTTTGGAAATCGGTCTGGAGAGAGGAAGATGAAGCAGCGGCCATCCGGAGACTCGCTGGCGACGCCGCCTAGTGTGGTACATCGAGCGGACTCTGAGCTTGGTTCTGATGCCGGTTCAAGAAAGGACAGGGGAGCGGCGGTCACGGAGGTGCTGCGGAGGAGTCTTCTGTTTCCGCACCTCGCCATGCCGGATGCAAATAGTTCGGGATCGCATCTAATCCCGAACGCCGTATCCTCGCCGCCGCCGCGTGCACGGACAGCGTTAGCAGGGCCACGCCCGATGAACGAATTCACAGGCATGAAAACCGTGAGCGATTTCCCTGCATTACAACCACGCCCCAACGGCGGGCCACAGGGTCCGCGAGCCATGAACATGAACCTGGACCCCGTCGCCTCCTCCTCCCCTCGGATAGGATCGCCGAACACAAGCACAGGGGCATTAAGCTCCTTTCAAAGGTCCCAACGGCAGCAAAATCGACCTCTGTCTGCGCTCTTCACAGACTCAGGACGGCAAACCCCAACGGGATCTGAATCACCCGTGCCAACACCAGCCATCCTCGAACCAGCAATTACGCATCAGTTCCAGTTCAAGCTGCTACCCCACCAAAGTCTAGTCGCATCCGCACCGCTGAGCGCGTCCCCCTCCGCGCCGTCTGCTCCACCGCCACCCATACCCACCAACCAGCAATACGCCAGATCTCCACATCCGGGGCTACCCCCGATGTATTCGCCGGCCGTGACGTCCGCGACGGCATTGGTTCGGCCGTCGCTACGGAACTCGAATCGGCAGAGTTGGCATCCGTACAACAATGGTAGGGGGCGCGCGGACTCTGATGATGAGGACGAATGGGACGACATTTCAAGAGAGGCTGCAGCTGCTGTGGCGATGCTTGCTGCAAAGGCGAGGCGAGGTGTATAGTTTTGGGGAATTGACTTTTGTATCATAGTGGGCTTAACGAGTACCATTTTGGACTCCTGACTGCATGCATATGCAAATGGCAGGCGGCGGGCGAATGAATGTGCGACAGTTCGAAGACGCTCCGTTCCACTTCACCATGAGCACATTGCATCAAGGGCCGGGACATGCATGTCCATGTCCTTGCGTGTGTTGAGGACATCCCAACGGAACGTCGGAGTTGCTGGGATGCCGCGTGAGCCAAACCTTCTTCGCGTCTTGCTTTCCTCCCGCGTCCCCAAAATAGGAGACTCGCTCGGTCCATATTGAAGTGCTCCAAACGGCTGCTTCCATTACCCCTCATGCAAGGAACACAGTCTCCGCATTGGGGTTTCTCTTTCGTCTCCTCCTTCTCCTTCCTCCCTCCCTCTCTGTTCGGGCACCGCGTACTTGACCTCCATCCTCTCGCGGTGAACTCCACCTGTCCAAAAACACCTAATATTCAAAGTCATGCTGGTCGGTAAACCAAACACCGTCAAGGACGCCTGCGACAGCGTCCCTCTATTCAACCCTCCGCTATGGATTCAACGTCGTGCCCTTGTCTCCCAGATTCTCCTTAAGCATCATGTCCAGTCCGTAAGTTGTTGAATTCGTATTCGTTAAGGTGTTCTATGATATTCGCGCATATATGTGTAGAACACTCAGTATGTCAATCCACGCACAGGTACTGGATATGGGTTGTGGAGAAGGCTCGTTACTAGAGATACTATTGAATGAACCTGCGTTCACGAGACTCGCAGGCGTGGATGTCGACGAGAACGTTTTGGAGGTGGCTACGTACAACTGCGCGCCAACGGATTATGATAGGACGTATCTAAGGGAACTGCCCGTGGAGTTTGATTTGTACAGAGGTATGAGGATAAGGGAGGGAGCGGCGAGCGTTAGCGAGTTTGGGTTGCTCGAGCCACAGCGAAGGTTATGCGGCGAACGAAGCGGGGAGGATCTGCGGCGATCAAAGCGAGGAGCGAGCGGAGCGAGTCAGTTGCGCCAAAAGGCGCGATACTCCCCTCACGATGGGTCTTAGCAAGGACCGGCGAGCGTTGGATCTTTCGCGAGCGACCGCGAGCTCGCTCCGCCCACCGCATCTCAACATCCTTGTCGCGACCGGAGCGAGCAAGATGTAGTTCAACCATTGCTTCGCTTCATTCATCACATCGCTCCATCCAACGACGATGCACTCATCGCCTCATCTCCTCCCGACTTATTTTACAGGTTCAGCTGGAGAGTTCGACAAACGGTTATCGAATTTTGATGCCATCGCAAGTGTTGAAGTGTGAGTGTGGTCGTCTTCGCCACCATCCCTCACGCGGAATTGGAACTTAGCGAAGATTCTCCTTGATTTCAGTGTAGAACACCTAGACGCAGACATCCTCGCCACCTTCCCCTCCACAACCCTCGGCGCCTACCGTCCGCGCATAATGGTCGTAACAACCCCCAACGCCGAATTCAACATCCACTTCCCCAACCTCTGCTACGGCACCCCCGAGTCCAAATTCCGCCACTGGGACCACCGATTCGAGTGGACGCGGGCAGAGTTTCAGGAATGGGCTACAAAGGCCGCTGCGAAGTATGGGTATAGCGTTACGTTTAATGGGGTGGGGTTGATTGCGGCGAAGAGCGAAGCTGGGGTGGGGAGCGTTGGGCATTGTACGCAGGTGGCGGTTTTCCTCCGGAATGAGGGGGTTGGAGATGCGGCGCTCCACGTTCCAACCCACCTCTTGCAGCCAGGGAAACAGGAACCGGGGATTGATTCTGGCGCCACCACGGAGGATGTACCGCCATCGAATAATGACCAGCACCCATACACGCACTTCGCCAAAATCGACTTCCCCCATTTCCAAGAAACCGGCTTCACAGACGCCGACATAATCGACGAGCTCAAGCGCCGCGCATCGACACTGGTCTGGAACGAGCGATACTCTCGGCTTGTCGCTGCCCAAGATTCACCAACCCCCGATGAAACATCGCACGACCAATTCCCTCTCGAACAATTCTGGAACGCCCTCCGCATCCGCCAACTCTGCAAAACCCGCGCCCGCCTCATCCACCTCCTCTCCTCGGACCCCGCCGCGCCGTTCTTCTCACTCTCCACAACAACAATAGTGCCCGATCATAACCCCATCGTTAAGATCCTCTACACCGTTCCCGCGGAACCCACCCCGCCACCTTCTACATCCCCGTCTTCCTGCTCCTCCTCGGACCACTACGAAGAAGAAGATGCCGAGAACGTCCCCGGAAGTCCCGCGGCGTCCCTCGGATCCCTCTCCCCCCGCTCCCACCGAGCCGGCAGCGTCGATTTGCGCGCGTGGGGGGATTGGGTTGTTGAGGGTGGGGCGTCACCGCGGGGTGGGGATGGCGGGTGGGCTATGCCTGTGGGGCCTGGGGACCGGGAGGCGGGGGGTTGGGAGAGGAGGCAGTCGTGGACGGGTGTTGGGGACGATGGTGGGGGCGTTTAGTTGGGGATTGGGACGTGTGATGTGAATAAGTCTATTGCGACACCGACGGCCTTTTTGTTGTTTTTTTTTGGGAAGATGCCTATGTAGGTTCTGGTTTTTGGGACGCTTCGGTGTTTTGGAATCGCACATTCCCCTCACACAACGGCGTATTGTCAATTGTTGTTATCGCATGTAGGAGTCCGAATGCACGTAAGACCCTTGCATACGGATCGGAACTCTAAGTGGCCTGGTGCTGGCTGCGAGGGTTGGCGAACATCGCTTTTGGAAGATCGTGCACGCGTCGTCCGAACCAACGTGTCCGTTCCCCTTTCCTGCCTACGGGCTTTCGTGCTTACGAGAGACGATTATAGACCCGATGGGCCGCGTGGATCGAGCGATTCTCGGACGTACTTTCGGTCCGGCGGAGTCAAGCGGAAGAGTTAGGACTACCCCAAAGAGCTCAGGTTTGATTTCAGAGCGAGCGAAGTGAGCGCTCAGGATTGGTACCTTATATGAGGGCCTATGGCCGCTCTAAAATCGGGACGCCGTCGGAAATGCTGTCAGATCATGCACGTATTTTGCTTCTCCCTGCCGAGTCCAACCTCCTTCCGCAAATTTATGTCTGCTTGTTCTCAGAACCTAAGCGGCGCCGAAGAGAAGACAAACCGACTTGCGAATCCGCCTCTCTCACTAAGCATGCCAGTTGGATGGTACATATAAGCAGCTGTTATCGAGAAGTCGCAGCGTGTTTCCATTGACGGGATTCCGACAGCGCGTCGAAAGCAGCGGAGCCTTCCCATCTCCCCACAGTGAAGTGGCACCTTGTGGGGGAGAAACAACACCTGGCGGACGTGAACGTGTTCAAATCGGTCTATTTCAGGTGGCAGTAAGCTTCGGTTTGTGGAGTTACCGTCCCATTGCAACTCCCCTTTCAAAGCATTGGAATCGGACGCGATCGATCGACGCCGGGCACCTTTCTGCCGTGAAACCCGAAAGAGCGAAGCGCAATTTGCATGGCACTTGCCTCCAGTGTACAACTATGCAGGTGTATCGCACGACTGATCTTTTGCTGACTGACTTTGGGAAAGAAACGGTGACTGGAACGAACCCAACATCATGCGGGAATACAACGCACAACAAGGCGGTGTCCAGATTCTTTTGATGCCATAGCACGCCCCTGTGACGTTGAGAACCCGCTTACGGCGATGTCTGCCATCACGAGCGCTACGTAGGTTTGCATTGGCAAATGGGGCTCTGTTGAGGTTACCGTGACCGAGTCGCCCGAAAGGTTCTGAAAGACGGGATTTCTTTCTACAAAAGAGGCGCTCGTCATGGAGAAGAGGGTTTGTGAATCGGCAGATGATGCTATCGCATTTTGTTGACAAACAAAACAAGACAGGAAGAGATACAAATGAACTACAAATCTGAGAATGAGCCCCTTCGCTTGAAGGGAGAAGGGAAGCTAGATAAACACCGAATTTCACATCATCACTGCATGGATGGATTCATCTGCATACATGCTCTAGGAATATGACTTACACCATCCTGCCCCCCTCTTAAACCCTCAAACAAGCCTTCGGTTTATCGCCCTCATCGCCCTTATAAGCTTCACAAATACTCTTGACAAACGCCGACACCCCGGCTCCCCCAGGACAACTCGTCGGATCCTTCTCATCACCCCACGCCCCGCCATCCCTTACACACCTCAGCTTCTCGTTAATCTGCACCGTACAACTCGTCCCCACACCCCTCGCCCTCCCGACCTCCACATCCCTCCTCAACAACTCTCTGCCAACATCGCCGTCGGCACAGGGCGCGATGTCGGTGTCGTAGTTGAGGCCGACGAGTTTGGCGCATTCGCGGGCGCGTGGGAGGGAGGGGATGGAGCGGAAGTCGCGGTTGGTGCAGAGGATGTAGTTAAAGAAGGTGGAGGGGGGGCGAGGGGTGGGGTAATGATGCAGGCAGAGTTGTTGAATGTTGCCGAGGCACTGTGGTGGGAGAATAAAGGGGCCGGTAGGAGATCAGGTGCCTAAAGAGGGTCACACGAAAGTTGGGGGTGTTGAAAACTTACCTCATCGTCACCGTGCTTGCAAGTTACGCCGTATTTTGCTTGCGGATCCCGTGCGCCAATGTAGTGAACGTCGAAGTCTGTGATATCCTTCACTTTTTGCACTGGAGAAGGGAAAATAATCAACTCGAGTCTCGGGATCCCGGGAAGAGTGATGGCCAAATGACCCCATCCCGCCCTCCCTCAATACTCACGGACGTTGGCGAAAACGCCTTCACAGTATACAGCATCCGGACACTTTGACATGACAAACAGCTCCAGCTTGACCTTGTCCCCAAGCGTAGCGTTCCTCCCCGCACCACCCAATTGCCCATTTTTCGCAACAGCCCCACGTCCCGCACCTCCCATCCCACCAATCCCCCGCACATCCCCATCGAACGTCCACAGTCGGAACGGCACAGCCCAGTCCGCGATCGTGACTCTCCACAAGAACAAAAGCGTGCAAATGACCGCGATGCTCAACACCGAGGCGTGGTTCACGATTACTTGTGGGATGTATCGCGAGGCTTTGTTGCGCGAGGGGTATGCCTGCACTACGGTATGGGTGGCTGGGCTGTGTTTGGCAGGGGCTGAGAAAGGCAGGAGCGGGTCGCGGGTTGATGCTATGCGGGGTATGGGATGCGGCAAGATGGGGTGTGCGGGCATGGCAGCACTCTGGGGTACGTTTAGAACGGAGCCATAGTTGCGAGGTTGGGGAGTTGAGTAACGCTGAGGGATAGCGGGAGAGCCACTATGAGGAGGCTCCGGTTGGTGCGTTGCGTCGGCGCCAGGCTTCATCTTGGCGGAAGCGTCAGAGGTTTTCCGGAACGACTTTTCGGGGGAGTGATGCTGGTTGGGAAAGTGACAGAATAGAAGGCGACGGGACCAAGCGCTGCTCCTGGCCTTCTAGAGAGCGTTGTGTGTATGGGTAACGAGGAAGCTGGAGGTCCTCCGGATGCCGGTGCTGGGGGGGCCGATGTTGTTTGCAATGGACGGAATGCGAGCGCAACCTGGGCGTCGCTGGGAGGGACATCCGCCGTGGCTTGTCGTAAATGCGCGGCGTTTGGAAGTCGCTCCGACAACCGCAACCGCAACAGCCAGCGTACAGACATATACGCAGCAGGCACTATGAACGACGGCCTGCGTCTTCTAGGCCCCCCATCGCTGGTGCTGGCCCTGATCGTCTCAGGCGTCCACAACCCGCTCGTCGTCTCCGCCTGTCTGTCCGTGCTCGCCGGCTTCTTCACCTACCTCGCAATCCCTTGGGTCGGCGACGTGTTTGTCAAACATGGACGCTTTGGGCAGGATAGGCTGAAGGCGGATCGTCCTGTGCTGTAAGTTGACGCTGCTACATTCTGGTTTTCTCCTTACCCTGGTCGTTTGGTTGTGTCGGGGAGGCATTCTTGCCGGTATTGAGCGGCGGCCGGCCTGCGGCGGCGAACAATGATGCAGGCCAGGCACGGCCAAAGGCGGCCTGCGACTTGCGACTACCACCACACATAAATGAGAGGCGCACCCCGCAACCTTTTTGTGTGTTCCCTCTATTCATACGTCCCGACTACCGATTCTTCATAGCCCGGAGAGCATGGGTGCGATGGCGGGCCTGATCTATATCATTGCCCTGTTCTTGTTTATTCCAGTGCCGTTCATCAGCTGGTTCAGGGAGTCGGGGCTTGGTTTGGGTGAAGGGAGCAGTTTTCCTTACAATAAGGTACAGAAGAGCCGCGTTAAACGGATTTTTGAGTGATGAACCAACCACACCGCACATATGGGTCTCACGCTTTCTGTGCAAACTCCTGCAGCTAGCGCAATTTTTAGGAGGCCTGTTAGCCCTCATGAGCATGCTCTTCCTCGGCTTCGCAGACGACGTCCTCGACATCCGATGGCGGGTCAAAATCTGGATGCCTCTCATCTCATCCATGCCGCTGCTAATGGTCTACGCGGTAACATACGGCGGCACGGACGTCGTGGTACCCGTCCCATTGCGTGCCCTCATCGGAAGCAAACTGCTGCCTTTGGGCGGTTTCTACTACGCTTTCATGGCCGCCCTCGCTATTTTTTCTACAAACGCTATCAATATCCTCGCGGGCGTCAATGGCGTTGAGGCGGGCCAGTCGCTCGTGATTGCGGTCTCCATCGCGTTGAATGATTGCTTGCAGTTGCAGAGGAATCCGGCGAGGTCTGAGGCGCATTTGTCGTCGTTGTACTTTGTGCTCCCCTTCATTGGAGTCACCATAGGGTTCCTCAAGCACAATTGGTGAGTTGAATCTCTACCCATCACCCACCCTCAATGCTAAACATTCCGCTTCACTTGGAAAGGTACCCTGCCCGCGCCTTCCCCGGCGACAGCTACTGCTACTTCGCGGGCATGATCTTCGCCGTCGTCGGCATCCTCGGCAACTTCAGCAAAACAGTCCTCCTCTTCATGCTCCCGCAGATCTTCAACTTCATCTACTCATGCCCGCAACTGTTTGGGTTCGTCGATTGTCCGCGGCATAGGATGCCCAGGTTCGCATAAGATCATACTACTTCATCATCATCACAACCTCATGAATTCGGATCTGACGTTATACATATCTCCCCAAACAGCTGCGACCACAAAACCAACCTCCTCCAATACACAACCTTCCTCCTCACCGCCAAGCGCGGCAAACTCGCCACCCTCGGCAAGCCAATGATCTCCCTCCTCCACTTCCTCGGGCTCGTCAAACTCACCACCGTCACCGTCCCCGCCACAAACATCGCGGATTCGTTGGATGCTGTCACTGCGTCGCCGGTGGAGGTGGGGGGGCGACGCGCGAGCGGGGGGAAGATGAATGGGAAGGGGAAAGGGAAGGCGAAGCCGGGGAAATTGTCGTACCCGCCGCGGCCTATGCTTTCACCCGCCGGATCGTCCTCCGCCCTCCATGCCACAACCGCCTCCTCCTCCTCCTCCTCCCCAACAACAACAGAAACACACGTAAACAACCTGACGATCATGAACCTCATGCTCGTCAAACTCGGGCCAATGACCGAACAGCAATTGGCGATCTGTGTGGTCGTGTTTCAGGCCGCGTGTTCGGTGCTTGCGTTTGGCGTGCGGTATCTGGCGGTGCAGTGGGTTTATAATGTCGTTGAGGATGATCGGATGTAGCGCGGGCAGGGAAGAGGGAAGAGGGGAAGTGGGGGTTTTGTGTTGTTGTAAATCGTTTAGAGCTGGGGCGGAAATAGACTGGGCGGAACTGAGGGAGCTCATTTTTTTGAGCATTTGCCATATTTGATTTGCCAACCAGCACATCGCTCATTGGGGATGCACTCGTCCCACCGTGCACTTTGTCCTTTTTTGTGACTCCCATTACCGGGTTTATTCAAAGGTCTCAAAACGAAACACGATTGTACAAGAAGCAAACAAAAGCCCTCACTTCTCAACAGAGGGCGGGAGTCACAAAGTAAGAAAAGTACGTACAGGGCGAAAGAGGTAAACTAAAATCTGTACATTCGGGAAACAAGGGTACAGCGTACGCGTTCCTATCTATGAAAGATATCTCACATACACCGACAGTTATCCGCGCGTACGCCCTAATGAGGTTGTCCGAAGAAAGACGGTCAGGAAAAAAGAGGGCGGGCAAACTGGCAAACTTTGAAAGAAAAGAGGACCGGTGGAGGTCCAGAGGTCCAGGAGGTCCGGGTATAAGAAGCGGGGCGAAGAACTTGAAAGTTGAAGAATGTCCGCCGTCGCGTAGAGACTTCGGTACGTCTCAAATGGAGAGAGGCGAAGCAACTTGATTAAAATGTACGAAGGGAGGTGTCCAGGTGTGGAGCGCCGAGAAGGAGAATGTATGGAATTGTCGAAAGGATCGAGGACGCGCAAAGCTTTGCAAGAGTCCAAGATGCGGCGACGACATCGGTGATCGAGATGGCGTCGTCATGAGGTAGTGTTCCGAGCGGTGGCGAGGGCAAGAACGGTTTCCAAGGCATAGGATTTGTGAGCGATCGAGAGGGCCGAGGGTGGTCAAGGCTCGGTTCCTCAAAGTCGATTGTCATACGCCATTCTCAATGGCTCCCCAAACGCCGCGATCGACCTGTTCCTTCCACCAGGTCCCCATTCTCTTGACCCAGCTCTTCATGCTCGGGGACCTAGTAGGCGGGCTCGGTCGTCTCATAGACGCGTTGCGGAGGACAACGGTCGCAATGGTCGGAATCGGCACGAGCATCTCTTCATAAAACTTGTTGGCTTCGTCTAGGAACGCTATGGCGTCGTGTGGCGGGCGTGTAATTCTGTAAGCACCGCCGCGTGCACCGCCCTCGAGTTGGGTGGTCCGCATTCGATGTTTCCATTCGTCGTTGTCGACCACTTCGTCGCGAAGGGCTTGTACCCATTCTTTTCGTTCGGAATCGGCGAGGAGACCTGCGTCGCGTGAGTCGGTAACTTGTTCTCGAAGGGCCTGGAGGAGGTGGAGTGCGTTGGCCGTCATGTCCCGGTGCAGGAGACGACACGCTAGGATCTTGACGTGACGGGGGAAGAATTGTACTCCACTTTCAAGGAACTCATCGTGAAGGAGGTGCAAATCGCGATCAGCCGCCGCGCGAGAAATGGCGTCGTCGAAGCAGGCCTGCGTGAAGTGGTGGTGTGGGCCGTATCTCTGCAGCACCCAGCGCCATACTGGGCATGGGTTGGCCTTCATGTAGCATCGAGTGGCTGGGAATTCCGGCCGAGATCCGTTCGGAAGCCGCGCCGAGTCTGGATGGGTGAAGATGGCGCGAGCGATAGCCTCTTCAGAAACGCCGAACGTATTGATGATGTAGTCCATGCGCTCAGGCGCCCAGCTCCAACCTCTTCCGACAATCGGGCCCATCATGTCTACCACCGTCTCACTTGCGCAGCTGGCCAGCAACGCCGAGTCAATGTGCTTCTTCAACACTTCCACAGTAGCAGGACGTGCCATCTGCAAACCTTTCCTGATCGCCGAGGGGCTAAGTTTGAACCCATGCTTGAGATAAGGCTGCAGGATCTCGTCAGTGATGTCGGCCCGCCACAACACTCGTTCCAGTACTTGATCATTGACCGAATCGAGGTTGAGTCCATTCGCAACGAGCTTCGGAATCAACGAGATATCAAGCTGTGATATGAGGAAAACGCTTTCGTCCATCGGAGACCCAAGACCTTTCACAGGCACGAATGCATATTCGTCGAGTAATACATTCATAGCCTCCAGCCCTTCAGTAAGAGGTGTATTTGTAGCAGCCGCGGTTTGCCCGGCATAAGCAAGTCGTTCAAAACGTGAAACATCCTACGTGAGGGAGATCGGTACGTTGAGCACTTACTCAAGGAAACATAAGACTGGGTACCACCCACACCAAACTCACGTCTTCTTTGAAATCTGCGTCCTTCCCATACGCTTTGAAACCTTCCTGTACAAAGAACACGTAAAGCGGAACGCTCACAGCTTTTTGTCCCCTGTCGGTTCGATGATACTGCAAGGAACATTTTCATGAGTCTTCCATGTCCTATACGACCATTGCCATGACTCGTTCACCACACCCACCTCTTTATCAACGTATTGCACCAGAAATCTAGGCAGGGCAGCCCCTCTCTTTCTCAGCAGGGCTGCCACCTCAACCGACAGAGAAAGTCTGTGACTTTTGAACGCGTGATATAGTGCCAAAGGCCTCCCATAGCCCCGTATGAAGAAAGAAGCCTTGGCATGCGGGTCATTGGCAATATCGTTCCAACGCCTGCACACCTGGGAAAACTTGAACGGCGCCCCGGCAGATGAGGCGGAAGGACCCAGAAACGAGAAAACTCTGGACCATATTTCGATGGGTACGTCTGCGGCTGTAAGTGGGCGTTTGGTGGATTTGACTGTGAGACTGCTGCTGCTGGAGACGGTGGGTGGTTGATGGGTGTTGATGTGAAGCACAGTCGACGACGACGACGAGGTGGACAGCAATGGGGAAGCGCGAGAAGACCGCATAGGATTGATAGATCTGGGGTTGGTTGGGAGGCGAAAGCCGAGCCGTTTGAGGTGCCGAGCAACGGGAAAGAAGGTAAAACGTCGGTCCTCGTTTATGAGAACGGGCGCAGACTTCAATCCGTCACGAAGGGCTGGAAAGGGTTCAGGCGGTAGGCCTTGAAGGCGGACCGAGTCCGGTACGAGGTTGCTGCTGGGTTGTCCGCAGATGGTGGCTTGTTTCTGCTATGAAACTTGCTGTATACTTAGGAGGCCCGTCCCAACCTGACTATTTTGTGATGAGTAAGTCAGCGCCTTTTGTTGGTGTCAGAGGTTTTGGCGGGACGAGAGAGCGGTGTTGATATGGCTATTCGATTGGTGGAGAGCAGAGAGAGTTCAGTTGGAATGCGCCAAAGTACAGTTTAAGGAGCGTGGGAAAATGACCACGATGGCGGGTCTGAATGGTTCTGAGAGCCGAAGCACAGTCGTGGGACTGGAAACGATGCGGGAAAGCGGGAAAGTAGACAACACAGACGGCAAGCTTACCGGCGAATACTTAAAGCCGTCTTGGAGAAGGGGGTTTGTGAGTATTCTGCTGTGTCTGTTCTCACGATGTCGGTTGTTTGATAGGGGAAAGTTGACGGGTAAAAAAGAGGGGACGGGAAAAGGGGTCCCAGAGGCACTCCCATGAAGGGAAAACACGGTGTCAATCCAGACTCGATCGACTCATTTGCCATTTCGGCAAGGGGTTCATCACCCACCGTTCAGCGCACAGCAGGGTGGACTACACAAAACGGCCATCCTGTATATGTAGGAAAATCCCCCATCGGGTCTCCTTATCCCCCTGACACGCAGTCCCATGCGCCTTTCGCATGCGGCAGGCCTCTTGTCGCTGCTGCTTGGTAAACAGGAAGCTTTGTCCATTACGAAGCATCGCCTATCCCTTCCTCCCTCACGAGGCGAATCCCCCCCTGCCCAGAAATCCCTTGAGAATTGGCGTTCCATCCTAAATTGCAATCTCCCTTCCGTACGATACATATTCCACACCTATGTTCCAAGTTCCTCAGACTCTACAGTATACCCCGCAATCGCTATAGAGACGGAGCGGCGCATATTGGCCATGCATGCGGCCATTACGATCAACGTCATCCGGTATGTCGTTTCTACCACGTTCAGGCGATGCATCCGGACGCAATGGTCCAGCTTCATCTGAACACTTTCCTGAGCTTACATGTCCGACGGCCGATACTGCAAAGCGGCATATGCAGATTCCGACGTCCTCTTTCTCCAATGAACCAGGCCGCTCCAGGCCGTTTTCAACAGCAGCGATGTTCCTCTCGCAGCTGTGCTCTGTGGAGCTTGTCTGCCATCTGCCATTTGGGCAGCGCACAAAACCGCAAGGGGGACGCGTTCAGACCCACGTCACAACTGGCCTTGTCACAGACGGACGCGTGCAAACTCTGACGTGATGACAATCAATCGTTCCTGCTGTCATTGGCGGCTCCGACTTTCGCTGTTCTTTCCGGTGGCGGCCGTGACATACGGATATCGAGATTCTATAAATTGGACCGTACATGATAGTCGTACGGCAAGAAAGGGGTGCCGAAACTATCAACCTCCGTCCGTCCTTGGGTGGAAGCTCATATGCGCCGCCTTTTGCAAGCTTGATGCGTCCTGACAGCTATAACAGCCCCAATCAGAATTTCGCCTCTTCAATGAAGCTTAACCTAATCCTGCAATCCAAATTGCAAATATAGAAGCTGGCGCGGAGAATGCTTCGCATGCGCCCCCGCCAAGCAAGCTTCTTTTCCATCACAAACTTGTTACACCGCCGACTTGAGTAAACAGACGACAGCACGATTTGATAGATTGTGAAGCGGGAAGCACGACCGACGACACCACTTAGCGACATCAATCCTTTGGTGAAGGAAATCAGCAGTTCCAGAGCAAACGCCGCTAGACCTCCATCCTCAGCGCAAAAGCCATTTACCAAACCGGCCGACGAGGCCTACTACAACTCAGTCGACAAAAACCTCCACAATGCCATTCATGTCCAACATCTCGACGTTCTCCTTCAACAAGGAGAGCTTCTGGGCCGCGGGCGGGTTTATGTTCATTAAGAATCTCTTGCTGTTTATCAATTTCCTGTCGTTGGTATGTTTCAACTGCACTTTTTTTGCTGTTCACTGGTCGGGGAAAAAGAGCACAAAAAAGAAAACGCACATACATTCAACTGCATCCGCTAATCTCAACCCATCTCCCCGTAGCTGGCCGGGCTAATCCTGATCGGCGCCGGCTCGTACCTCCTCACCTCCTCGGGTCCCGTCGCGGGCGACCTCCTCAACCTCGGCCGCACGGTGGCCTCCGCCGGCATCGCCATCGGGGTAATCGTCACGATCGTCTCCTTCCTCGGCTGCTTCGGCGCCGCCAACGAAAAGGGCATGCTGCTCAAAACCTACTTCGCCCTCCTGATCCTCCTCGTCATCCTCGAAATCTCCGTCGGGATCGCGGCGTACACGAAACGCAACGAGATCGATTCCGGGATCGAGGGCGCGTGGACCACCGCCTACGCGACCAATTCCACCGGCGCGCATTCGGCGCTGGTCAGTGTCGAGATGACGTTCTCGTGCTGTGGGTTGCGCGATGTCACCGATATGGCTGTCCCCGGGAACTGCGAGGAGCTGTTTGCGTACACCCGGTCGTGCAGTGAGGCTGTTAAAGGGTCGTTGGAGGGGTCGTTGGGGGCGATTGGCGGTGCGGGCGTGGTGATTGGGGTGATTGAGCTGGTGGGGTTGGCTTTTTCGGCGATCTTGTTTAGGAAGATTGCGCAGAGGGAGCAGGCTGCTGGAAGTCTTCTGAATGAGGCTTGGAGGATCAATAGGAATAAGATCCAGTATGGGTACCAGAACTATCAGTATGTTTAGATGGTACTGGGTGGGGATGGGGATGAGTTTCGGACTATTTTGGGGGAGCGCTGGGGAGATTCTTTGTCATCGAACATCACAAGTGCATGTGTAATGCGGACTACTTATACCAATCACATCATTCAACTCTCATGCATGTTCGCGTAGTGCGGATTTCTTTTCCATTGCTGTCGGATCCTCCCTCCGATAGCACCATCTCAAACTCATTTGGCAACATTGCGTGGAGACGGTGGTATTTTATGTAAAACGATGAAGCAGACCGTCCCAGGAGTCAGCAGCTCAAAACCACCTCCATAGTATGCACAAGTCCCCGGACCCGCCTCTCCTCGAACTCGCCAATCTTCCGCCTCACCTCCCGCGATATTGCCGCCAAGAAGAAAGAAAAGATCATTCCGCCGAGAAAAAAAATCGCGTCAAAAACGCGGCTCCATCCCTTTTACGACTGCTGAAACAAAAACAAGTTATTCGTAGCCGCCAACGCCACCGTATTCTCCATCGGATGCCACGACGCATGCAATATCTTCTTTGAGAAATCCGCCGGGTCCGCGAAATTGATGCTCTCATTTCGTGGCGTGCTTTTGTTGGCTCCGGTGCCCGTGGTGGGTGACTTGTTCTTGGAGGAGCCGACGCGTTTGGCTTTGAAGGCGGATTTGTCGGCTTGAAGGACCGTGTCAGATTCGGATTGGAGGTCGTACACGTGAAAGTAGTTGTTGTAGGAGCCTGTTAGGACGGATCTGGGTGAGGGGAGGGAAAAGGGGTTAACACCTCGCGCTAAGTGGCCCTACGCGATTCTGCAGTTCAAACACAGTCGTGTACTCACTTTCCGTCACCACTGAACGTGCACTCAAACTTGTCAAAGATGCAATCGTTCTCATAGAGATCGCACAGTTTGCTCTTCAACTGGTCATGGATGTTGATCGTCTTCACGGGTTTGTTCTCCATATTCAGATCCCAGATCTTCAGCGTCAGGTAATCCCTCGACAGGATATATCGCCCGTCTCTGCTGAATTTGAGGTCTGATGTCGAGGATATGATTTCTGAGAAGAAGGATTTGTTTGCCGGATCTTCCTCCTCCTCAAACACTGTCCGATCAACGGCCAAACCGGTTAGCCCGAGCGGTCGCTAGTTTGCGATAGCTGTCACACACAAACTCACACTTGGAATGTTTATCGCAAAGGGCGGCCTGCCTCATGTCGTTGAGTTTGATCGTCCCCTTGCTACTGCTGTAAACGAACAGATTGCATTGCGACGGGTGGAACTCTGCGGCCGTTATGACTTCCGTCAACTCCTCCATATTCACAGGCTTGATGTCCACCACATCTATAATTCGTAGAAGATAAGCATGCCGGCGACGCGCCTCGAGAGCTAAGCTGCACTCCAACGCGTACTAAAGCTCTGATCCGACACATTCAGATTCCACAGATTGATCCTCAAATCGTCAGCCGACAGGAAGGTCTCCCCATCCGAATTGACCGAAATCGAGTTGATGTGGTATGCGTGCGCGTTTTGGTATATCTTTCTCGGGACGGCAGCGATCATGGTATCGTGATGAATCAGGCGGGGCATTTTGAGAGATGACCTCGTCAGGTTTCCTCCGAGCGCGGGGGTCGCGTCTACCAGGAGGTTTGTCTCGGAAACGACCTTTAGTGGTTTCTCGAAGATTTTCCATAGCTTGATCGTCTTGTCTATTCGGAGCAATTAGGACTCGATCACACAAAAGCTTGAGGCATCTGCGAATTGGTGATTCATACCGTTGGTTGAGAGGAGGAAATGCCCAGCGTTCTGGCGTCTGCACCACCGAATCTTGTTGATCTTTTCCTCGATCTCCAGACTTTTCAGGTAGTCGAACTCGGGCTCGTGAGACTGAAACTCTGTATAGAATTTGTATTCGCATCCCTTCTTCTGTGAGGGTAATTCGCGATGGGTGGACGTCAGCCAATGATTTCGATGAGACCGCAGAGATAAAACATCGCTCACGACTAAATGCGACCGTTCGCGGCCGCTCGCAGTTGAAGAGGAACGGCAGCTCCGCCGCGTTTACACCACGACCGTTCCCTGCCGCTCACATCTATTGCTTGCTTCGCTCGCTAGTCCGCTCGCGAACCAATGCCTCGCCTACGGCTCGCCAGCCTCAAGCGTCCCTGCACCTTGATCCGCTTGCTACAGACAGTCGCATTCGCTTGCTTCCCTCGCGGCCACCCCACGCATTGCTCATGCTTCCTCATAGCAAATAAGGCTCGCCCCCTCTAAGCAGAATCTAGGGTCGCCGCTTCCCAAATTGAACGAAACGCACCCCCTCACTCCGCTCGAACAAGACTATCCTTCCGCCCTTATCACCGGTCGCAAGAAAGTCGCCAGTGGAATCAAACTCGACCGCGGATATGATATCGGCTAGATGGGGGAAGGAAGGAAGTTGAGTAATAAGTATATTGAAACACGCGGGCCGCTTTCCGTGATGATCAGCGGGGTGATTTACCTTCTGTGACGTCTTCGACATCGCCTTTATCGCCGAAGCACTGGGCGAACCGCCAGCCGTTATCTTGGTCAGCGGCAGCCATGGCCGTTATTGAGGAGTATGGGGTGGATGGGAAAGTGGGAATCGTGGGACGGGGGTGAGAAAAAAACGAAAGTCCACCTGGGGAAAAGAGCAGGGGGCGGGAACAGCAGTGAGTCACCCAGGCGTGTTTTAACATTGTTCACACCACTCTTGTTGGGCATGAAGGCTCCGCGACGCTCGTTCAGTCAGATTTCTTCAATGATTTCTGAACGGTCCTGCACTGTTGGGGATGGAACAGGACAGGTGGTCGAAGGATTCCGCAAACCTATCGTTATGGAGAAGGCCCCTTGGATGCCGCGTATGTATATAGCTGTAGGCAGTCTAGCGTAGCTCCCACCAGTTGGGCCCTTGGCAATGTATCCAATCTACACGTCCTTGAGCAGCGGCAGCGGAAGACTGCACGACCTTGTGTTCCGTCGTCGTTACAAGTTGCCATCATCGGCGACGCCTCAGGCAGAGGTACATCGGTGGTCCGTCGTCGTTATACCCAAGTACCTGTGGCCATCCTGCCCATTGAACACGGGGTACAATGTAAACGCTCCTAGGCCCATGAAGGGATTTGGATTGTTCCCCCAGATACTCTTTTCGAATCATGGGATCTATCTTCTCCGTCGTGCCTGTGATGGTCGCCGGACTTTGTAGGTGTTGGTGGCTTTAACATATTCTAGGTGCTCCTATTGTAAGGTCTACCCAAGCTCTTCAGTTGACCAGCAACGGAGTAGACAGTGACGTCTTGGACATTTTCAACTAGCTTCCATATACGTCGGGGCCTTTCCATCCTTTTCCCTTGACCTGCAGCTGTGATTGTACTCTGGAGTATTCTCTACTCGAGGTATCTTCTTCGATGTTTTCGGGTGCGACGCCGAAGATAGGAGGAGGAGATCAATGTAGCCGATCGGGATAGGACTCGGCTTGATGAGGTCGTGATACACTGACGTCGAAGGATTGCCGAGTGTCCGTATGAACGCCGATGTTGTGGCAAAATATCCAGCGATGGTGAAACTTACATCGAGAGATGACTCCACATAAGGCTGCTTTTGGAGGGTCCAGAAGCCTTGAGAACAGCGATGAGGGCTAAAGTACGTTTCAAACGGAAGCGCTCCAGGCTCCAGGAATACAAGTTGCCATCATCGGCGACGCCTCAGGCAGAGGTACAATGATGTGGATGGCAGATAACCACCACGGAAAATGGAATGCGGTGAAAATTCTAGACTACCGGTTACGGGAGATTGCGTCTGGTCATTGCGTCTGGCCTGCGGCCATTGCCAAACACCACCGAACGCACAATCGAGAGGAAATTCTTGGTGCTTAGGATGTCCCGATTGTGCACTTTCATCCGTAGTGGTCGTCTTCCAGGAATCTCAAATGGCGTCCAGTCTTGGTTGATACATTCGGGGTTGGGGCAACCCACCAATCCATGGACGTATTCCATTCTTCCCTTTCTAGCTTGCCACGGCCGAGATGACGGCCGCCGTCAGATGTGTTTCTTCACACGCCCGTGGCAGTCCGGGCACACGGAGGACGTTCGATACTCATCTAGCAAGTAACATGGAATGTTGTTTCTTGCGAAGAGTGTGCGGAGTCTGATTTCCATGATGAGTTAGCATATTATAATACATAGTACCAATGATAGTCACTCCCCCTTTGGTCTTTGACGACTCCTGGAAGCGCATGGTCTTTCCAGCGTCGCTCCAACCACCCAAGATGACCACAAAATGCTTTCCATACAGGCGTCGCATGTTCTTGATGAGCTTGCTCTCAGACTTTTGCCGCAGTGAGAACGCCTTGAATCTGCGAGCCACGTGAATCTCATCCTGGTAAAACTCATCCAGGGCGGGATCTGGGATATGGATGTCAGCCCATGTATTACCAAAGTTGAAAGTTGAAGTTGAAGTAGAACATCATACCTGCATGTTCGTAATCCACAATGAACGCTGAGAACGCCTCGATGTTCATGCTCTTGTGCGACGGAATATGTGATTCCATCTCAGCGATGCCCGCATTGATCTTTTGCTCTGTCATGTCTCTTTGAAAGTACCGAGACTTTGTCTCGACCGCCCGTTGATTGGATGTGTATCTGATATGGGGTGGTGCATTGTGAGGACGGTGCAACGGAATGTCAAAAGTAGTAATCCACTGAAACGTACTGAAATGGTCGCTCCTTCTTGATGTCTCAACAGAACAAGAGGTCACGCTTGCCCGGATCAATGCTGATGATGTTTGAAGCGTCCCTTAGTTCGGCAATGTGGTGCTCAAAATACAGCTGGTTGACTTCTTCCCGCATTTGGGCCTGGCTGCGCTTCCGCGCCTGATGGCCATACTTGAGCCCTGGCTTCTTGAAGTGGATGGTAACGGAATACCCGTTTGTGCTGATTGACCCATCGAACTTGAGACCAAGCTTCTTTCGATGCTTGAAGATCTTGTCCTGCAATCGGTCATTCAGTGAGGTGATTGAAATAAGCGCAGAAGGATAGAGACTTACATTCACATTGAGAAACTGCCCCCACAGCTCCCGCTTGCGTTCATCGGTGAATTTCCTCATGCGACGGTGGGTCAAGCCCAGGATATGAGTGGCTAGGATCTTTATGTCGATCCGAACAGATGACTGGATTCGAGATTTGCGCGGCGGGATGGCCGAAAACAGCCGCATTCCACGGCACTCATAGAGGCGTGAGAGCTCACAATAGGCACCTGTGACGAGGGCAGGTGCTGACCATGATTAGACAAAAGAGGAAGCCGCAGGGGGGAGGGGGGGGGGGGAGGGGGAGGTAAATGTACGGGACATAGCTCACCTAAATATGGCATTGCGTCCACCGCAAGGCTGTACGCAAGCGGCTCATCCTGGGGAGGAAACAGAGCCCATAACTCATTGAGGACGGTCCACTCAAGTCGTGTGAGGCGCGCAAACTCCTCTTTGGTTGTAAACTCTTCAAACGTCGCATACTTTGTAAATTGACGCACACGCCGATAATAGTGTCGCCGCTGCGCTCTCCGGAGATGCAGTATGACTTGCTCCAAACCAATCCTTTCTTTGACATAGCGCAGAAACATTTGCATGAAATGCTCTTGTACGTTGACTTTGAGGTTTGTGAGGATGCACGTAGCCGTGTACGCTGCGGTCTGTTGGCAATTCCGCATGCGGATGGGGGCGAATCCGTGAACATCACAGTAGTCTTGAACCCGTGGACGTAACTCTTGCGCGATGACTGGATTGCCATTGTAGCCTGGGTTATTTAGCAGCTCAAATATCACACTGATGTGCTTGTCGGTGATGTCCGGGAAATCGTGTAGAGGATGATCAGCTGTGGTGGGCAGACGTAGTAGTCAGGACATTGTAGTAGTCAGGACATTGTTTTATGGGAAATATACACTGCAGTGTACCTCAAAAACTCACCAAGGTAGTACTTGAGAAAGAAGGTGGTGTGGCGCGCAAGGACGTGAACATTGCCGATGAATGTTGTCAGGCGCTCCCTCTGAACTTGATTTTGATTTTGATTATGAATTCGGTGAAGCGAAACCTTGGTGCTGGCATGTGTCTGCGGGCGGGGTCGTTGAACTGGTGGTGGTGGCGGTGGTGGTGGTGGTTCATACACCAGGGATCCGCCCGGTGTGCTGGGAAAAAGGAAAGGATTGGGAGCGGGGAGGCTCAACGGACGCTGCAGACCCCTGTCCACGGGTGAAAGCCCTCGCTGCTGGTGCTGCTGCCCGTCTTCATCGCCGGAACTCTCGCCGGAACTCTCCCTAATCATGTCTGCAATTGCTTGGGGCAAGTGGCGATGGACAGAAGGTGGGAACTCGAATCGCGGGGGTTGCAATGGTGTCTGCACAGCGGTTGGCAGACGTATGGGCAACCGCGGGGTAACCGGAGTAACCTTCCTCCTCTTCCGCCGTGGTGTGGTAACTCCGGTAAAGAAGCCACACCACAGGTGCCCCTGGAGCGCCTGGTGTGATGACATGATGCCTGCTAGAGATGATGTCGGTTGAGAACCACTCTAGCAGAACAACCTGATTCAACCACAGTGGATGCGTTGAGGTCAGATTGCCCGCAGCCGAGATAACTGGTGTGTGTACATGTGTTGCAGGTGATTGCCGTGAAAGCTGTGGGTAGCTGTTTGTCAAAGAACTTGCATCAGTGCTGTGGTAATGAAGCTGAGAACGGTGAGGAATTGCGGTTGTTACCTGGTGGTGGTCGGCGAGTACAGATCTGCTCGCAATTGCGTTGGGAAAGAATGGGGTTGGGAAGGAAGGAACCTTAGGCCGCGCGTCTACTGTACAGTACAGGTCACAGTCTTCCTGTAAGGCCGAGCGTGAAGGCTGTACATGTATGCAGTGTAAGGCCGGGCGTGAAGCTGTAAGGCCGGGCGTGATGGGTGTAAGGCCGGACTTGGAGCCTTCACTTAGAGCCTTTGTTCTGGACCTGCCTTCCGTCGCTTATATTAGAGGCGGCAACGCCGCCGAGGCCAGCCTTGTAATAACTTAGAGAGGGGCCACGCACTCTCGCGCGCGCCTTTGGAGCCCTGGGCTGCCGCAGGCGAACTTTGTGCTCTGGACGAGGAACGTAGTCCTCTAGAGTCTATGGACGAGTCTATGGTCTTACTAAGCTTCTCTATTTTCCTTCTCGAGTGACAGCATAAATAACAGATTGCGGTGCGTATAGCTCCCTTTCCCTTATCTCTTTTGAGCTATCGAGTGCTATGACTGAACGCTACGGTGGGAGGGAGGGATGGTCGATGAAGATGAGCTGTCTATTCGGGAACGCTACTCCGCAGCGCGCAGAGCAGCGCATTTAGGACTTAATGTCCAGGGAAACCCGTAAAACCTTTGCGTAGTCGTTGATTGCGCCGTGGAAGGCGATGCTGATAAATAAACCGATGCGGTTTGAGCGGCGAATGCGGCGAATGCGGCGTGAGGAGGAGGTGCTTAGTGCGGTGGGTAGTTGAGGTGGGATAGTAAGCAACCTCCTCCTCGTCCATAGACTCTAGAGGACTACGTTCCTCGTCCAAAGCACAATGGACTTCATTCGGAGGTTGCTTATTTGTCGATGATTGAGCCGCGTTCGTCGTCGTATCGTGTAGATCGGAGGCCTCGGCGTGAATGTCGCCAATGCCAATGGGGAAAAAACCGCAAAATGGGTACATTGCGTCCGGCGCGCGCCACTGAAGGATGCGCGGCTCGTTCGGGAAAAAAAAGGGGTTGTGCGAGCGGGATTGACGTTGGCACCGGCATCACCGTTGGCGCCAGCATCACAGTTGGCGCCGTTGAGGATTCTTCTACTTTTCTCGGTCGGATTTCGAGTCGTTCGAATTGCTGCGGCGGTGATGACTGTTGCTTGATAACGACGAGTACGCTGAAAAGCCGATGTTGCCTGATACGACGATGCGCTCTTTTCCTACTCCCAGGATCTATTTTTTTTTCCTCACGGAGGTTTTTACACCTGGGAGAGGTTTTTACCGAGGCATCCACGACTACGACGGCGAAGCGATGACGGAAGTTGATAGCGTACCGCGAGTGCCCAAAATCCAGGCTGCACCTCAAGCGATTGGGAAGTCGAGAGAGCGTACCGCGAGTGCCCAAAATCCAGGCTGCACCTCAAGCGATCGTGACGTGAAGAGTGAATCGCGAGCCTGCCCCTATTCCAAGCTGGTCTCGAAGCGATCGTGACGTGAAGAGTGAATCGCGAGCCTGCCCCTATTCCAAGCTGTCTCGAACGATGCATGGCGACGGCGACTGCGACTGTGACTGCGACTGAATTCGATCTGCAGTCTGAGAGGGAGTGTTGTAAAAAACCTGTATCAACCTGTTTCAGCCACAGCTTCCTTTTATAGTTACCGTACCCCCCCCTTTTCCTCTCTGCAGAGAGAAAGCTGGTGTGTGTGTGTGCAGACCGTCCGATCGAATGTCTATAAAACGAGTGGTGTGTGTGAACGAGAATTAAAGCAACGAGTTCCACAACAGTTTTGTGGGAAGCCTGATGGCGAAGTTGTCATCCTCGGAGTTTTTTGCGCATGGGGATCGGGACATCCTGACCCGCTTGGAGAATGACCTTGGTGCGCTTCCGGGCTCCAATGCGTACGTAAGCAATGTCAGCCCCAAGGCCGACGCCTTCCGACGCCATGCAAGACACCTATTGGAACCACCCCAGTTTTCCCTTCGTATTTCGAGCCAACCCTTCAAAATTCATACACTAAAGTTGCAACCTTGCACCCTCGGCTTCTCAGTTCACAATCCGCAGAACACGCATCGAAATGAACGACACCATCGACGCACGCACCGAGAACACCGAGACGACGCTGCTAGTAGCGCCGTCCCCGGCGCACCCAACACGCATCGATACTCCCGCCGACTACACCTCCCTCTTCACCTTCCCCATGGGAACCAAAAACGATCGCTTCGCCTGGAAAACGCATTTAAAAGGTGGTCTATACTTCGGACTCGGCTTCGGACTCATGCTGACGGTCTTCAACCTCAACGAAATCTCCCTCATGTATAAGGCCTGGACCCAGCCCTTTCCCCCGCTTATCGAAACGTTCCCATGGTACTTCCCCAACCCGCCACTACCGGATGCAAAACCGGTTCCCATAACCGACGTGGACCGTATCCCGCGTCTGGTTGTTCCCGACGCCTCTGCAACGTTGGGCTGGCACGTGGAGAATGTGTGGACATGGAACGATAACCCATTCGTCTCCGAAGTCCTGACTGGCGCGTGCGTCTCCGTTATATGGTACACAGCCGTGGCGGTTCTATTCAAACTGCTTCTCTTGCGCTGGCAAAGAAAGCTGAGACTCGGCAAGGACGGGTTTGCGATCTCGCATTTAACAAGGACCAAAAAGTATAAATGGTGCGATGTCCGCCACATCCGCGTGCTGCCTGTCAAAACGTGGGCGCACGCACACATGTCGCCGACCTTGCAGAAACAAGTGTTTGGCGAGTATGCGGTTTTCGAAGAGATCAAGACGATCGTATTGTATGCGCACAATGCTATCCTCGCCATCCTGCAAATCCCAGTGAACGAGGAACGACTCCTGATCCGGTTCCCTGACGTACCTGATGGGGTGAATCCATTGATGCTCCATATTTGGGGCTTGGAAACGAGTGTGCTGCACACTGTGTTCCAGAATGCTATGGCGGGGCAGCCGACGGATGTGGAGAGCGAGATCCTGAAAAAATTTCCGGAGGAAATGTCGAAGCCTTGCCAGATTGCAGATCATGAGGGAATGCTTTTGCGCGACCCTAAATGAGGCGGGTGAGGAGCGACAGGGTGCCTTCATTACGCGCGATCATAGACGTACCTGTCACGACTATCTCATCTGGGCGGGTGAAAAGGGACGGAGGTGGATAGAACTTCAAGAAGCAGACTAGAAATCCACAGTGTAGCCTCGACCCGTCGATAATCGATATCAACTTGTTAAGCTGTAATGGAATTGTAACATGTAGCTTCCGTTTCTGATTGCCGTTGGGGATCGACAAGTGATTGGGCGGAATGTTTGTTCATTACAATCTCTCCAAAAACGAAATACGAGACCTGGAAATCATATGATCCGCAGGTTGAGGCGGGAAGCATACATGAGCTTGAATCTAGGCACTCCTTCAGGTTCCACCTCGGAGCATATCACTCTCTCGTAAGCCCGAAAGCCCCTACGCGGGAAAGAGAACGGCTATCGAACATTCAGATTCGGACACTTTCGTCCGGACTCTGGGGTTTTACGCGTTATGGACGCGTTCAGATCCGAACCGCCGGCCGCCCCGCCCCGTTCCCACTACCAGGCATATTGAAACTGCAAAGCACATGCATACGGACCAACGGCCGTGAAAGTCAGGAAGTGAGCGCGAATTCAGCTAGAATCATTGCCGTCGTGGTTAATGGACATACGGCCAGCGCAGCATACTACCAATACTCCGCACCCCATTTTGCGGGCCATCCACTGCAACGCACGACTGGATATGCAGGCTGCGATTCACTGCTCGCGCATGCAAGTGAATGCAGCATCCTCAGAGGCATGTGGCCTGCTTATATACCCAGTTCACCTTCCCGACGAGCATACCCGTCCACCATCCCTTACTCCCTGACTTTCACGTCAGGGTGTTCGGAAGAAGGGTACTGTCCTGGTATACCCAGCAACCAGAAGCCTTGCTGCTCAACGAGCACACCTCGATCGTCATCATTGCGATGGCTGAGTTTCTGCAAGTCAAGCATATGGAAAGCCTAATCCAAATGGCGGCGAACACCTTGCTTAAGGCGTATTGGTTCCATTTTCCGACCGCTCCTGAGTTCAGTCAGGAGCATATGCTCGAGTCTGTTCGCGCCGGTGCTCCGCGACCGTATGGAAGGTGGTGGATAGATACTCCAAGTCCATGTATGCAAAGGTTGCAAGCAGCGTGTTGCGGCTCTCAGTTGTTTCATACAGTGCAATTCTATATATGTCTTCACTCATAAGAGATCCTGCGTCGTCCGTTTGGATCTGAGCCCTTCAACGGGCGTTTCTTCTTTAACTTCATAACGTGAAATCCAAAGCGATGATGAATGCCGTAATGCCACTACGAACACACTCACACAATCGAACTGACCCTCTTCTATCTGCTACCTGACTACCCAAGAGGGAGGGAGGGAGGGATCAGAGCGGGGAAACGAGTTCACACGGTGGTCTAGAGGGCCACAACCGGATCCATAATCCCAGCAATCGAGCGCAGAAAAGCAGGAAGCCAGCCATGTCCCCAATCCAAATTCCAAACGTAACCGAAACCCCCACCTCATGCAGCCCCAATCTCCATCAAATACGACTTATAGACCGCCATAAACCTTGCCACAAACGCCTCTAAATGGAAAATCGACTTATTCCCAAGTCGTAACCGATGTTCCTACAAAAAAAAAAGACAAATGGAATCAATCCCCACTCCCTAAATCCACCCCCCTTCCCCCCAAGAACACCCTCGAGACAGATGGGAAGATACGTACAAACTGAGCAGCAGTCAAAACAACAACCTTCTTCAGCTCCCCATCCACATTCCGCATCAGCTCAAACGCGAGCTGCTTGATGATCAGGTCCGCGGGGATGCAGTGCGAGAGGAGCTCGTAGAACATTTGTCGGACTTTCAGGAGTCTAAATCATCGGCATGTAACGGTTGAGGGCGGGAAGGTGTGTGGGAGACTGATGCGGAACACATACTTTGCAGGACTCTGCTCATTCAATATCTCCATCGCAACCTCCTTAATCACACGTTCCCAGTCCGTCGAGAAAATCTGCTGGTTCTCTTCAAAGGGGTACCTTCCCATCACCACATACATCGTAAATCAGTACATACTACCACCATGATGCGAGCACGCGCTACTCTCCCAAACTCACTGTTGTATCCGCGCGGCCTCAAGCATCAAGATCGCTTTCCGCAAGTTCCCGTTCGCGGATTCGGCTAGGCGTGTTGCGAAGGTTGGGGGTATTGAGAGGCCTTCTTTTTTGCAGACTTTGGTTATTACTCTCGTTATCTGCGCGGGAGTTTCAAGGAGGTCAGAAATCCCGTTCCACCATTTCAACCGCCACCCTCTAAGCCAAATGCTGAAAAGTACGCACATCATCAACCTCCGGCGCAGCCACCCGAACCAACAAACACCGACTCCGAATAGGCGAGATGATCTTCGACGTCGACTCGCAGACCAAGATAATGCGGAGATTCGTCATATATTTCTCCATCGTTCTGCGCAGCGCGCTCTGGGCGTCGCGGCTTAGACCATCGGCTTCGTTGAGGATTACCACTGTTTTTGGGGGCCGGATTGAGTAAGAGGTTGAGAGGAGAGGACGCAGGTGATGGAAACGGTACCTTTAAATGGCCGTTTGGCGTTACTGTCAATCTGCTGCGTTTGGGCGATCTCTTTGATCAAGTCCGTGACGATGATCCGGTCGTAGTTCCCCACGTCCCTACAACACACCCACGAATAGGCAACGGTCTCAGTCCCCCGATGCGCACGGAATATCCCATTGTCAACCGCTGTTTTCCCACGCAGACGTACCCGGGCGTCATCTCCATATGATAGTTGCTATTCACGACATTGATCTCCAGTTTCTTGCCGCCTGAGGTTTGGAATTGCCGGAGGTCGATTTTCAACTGTCCACATTCCAAAAATTATCCTGTGAGCTTTTCCTCCGGCTATGCAGTCGCTTCCATCTCCCCCAGCGTCGGACCTCCAAAAACTCCTCGCGTTATACCTTCTCAACCCCAGCCCCATAAATCTCCCTCAAAAGCGCCACAATCCGCGTCTTCTTCCCTGCGCCCGAGGGGCCATAGACTAGCAAATGCGGGAAATCGCCCGACGAGGCCTACAAATGAGGCATTAGTGTTAACCTTTGAAGAAGCAAGCTTCAGCGGGAGTGGTAGAAATTCGTACGAGATGGGTTAATTGAGCCCGAAGCCCCTCGTGGTAGTCGAGCTTGTCGAGGGTTGTGGGGCGGTGTTTGTCTACCCAGAGGACCATTGCGGCGAAGACGGTGTATATTCGGCCCGAGGGTCGTGATATGCGATCGTTGTTGGTGGGGAACTGAGCTGAGCTTCCTTTCCGAACTGTGCGTCAAAAGGTGAGCGTCAGACAGATTCGGACGGGGATTTCGGACAGATGACAGATCGGGAGATAAACTGCACACGTGACACGGGAGTCGATTTCTATCAGTTGCTCATTTTCTGGGATATGAATTCAGGGATACGGTATATGATTGTGTATGCGAAGTCCAGCTTGTTACAGAAGAGAGGGTCTACGAAGTAGACTCTACGTAGCGGGGAAAGTTTCTCTAGATTACGCTACGTGTAAAACTAGTGGAATCTGTCATATGAGAAGAAAATCTATCGAGGCATACGCCGGTGTGAAAATGTCCATCTATCCTTCGAAAACGAAATCGAATGCTCAAAGCACTCAAAACGCGAGCAGCAAGGCACCCACACAAACTCCAACAACAGCAGATCCAGCCCACTTCAGCTTATCGGCACCGCTAACATTCGTCGCCGACTCGCTGTACCAAAGCGGGACGGTTCCATCAACGGGGAGTGGGTCGGAACTGTCGCCAGCCTGGCCCGGGAAGGCACCGCCAGCGGCTTGCGCGAGCGCGGTAGGGATCACGAAGGGGAGGGCATTGGGGTTCTGGACCACGGGTGTGGGGATCACGATGAGGGGGGTGGTGATGGCGGTGGGGGTGGAGGGTGTTGTTGTGATGTCTGTTGTGCTGTCTTTGGGGGGCTGTTCTGTGGGCTGGCTGGGGGAGGGTTGAGGATCGGTCGGCTTGGGGGCGGGTGGTGGGGTTGTTTCAGGAATGGGAGTGGGTATGTTGGAAGGGGCAGGTGCCGCAGTCTCAGAGGGGACAGGCGTTGGAGGCGGTGGAGGGCCGACCGTGGGTGCAGCCACCGTGCTCGCGGGTTCCGAAGAAACGGGTTCGGGGGATGGGGGTGGCCCGACCGTGGGTGCGGCAACCGTGCTCGCGGGCTCCGATGAAACTGGTTCCGGGACGTTGCTGGTCTCCGGTTCGGCGGTCGACGTTGCAGGAGGCACAGGTGCATCTGTGGCGGAAGGAACCGGTGGAACAGTGTCAGTGGCTTGTGGCGCTTCGGTCGAGCTAGACGCCGGTTCGGGAGAAGCTGTTGCAGATGGCGCGATGGTTTGCTCGATCGTCTTCGGAGGCTCATCCGACGTCGCGGTGGTGGTCTGCTCAACCTCGGAAGTAACTCTTGCTTCAGTCGACGTAGCAGCAGTGGTAGTAGTCTCCCTCTCAGTCGTCGTCACATCCGCCGTTGACGTCGACAAAGTCTCAGACTCCGCCGTCGTCGATGTCTCCCTCCCCGTGGTAGTGGTCACCTCCGTGGTGGGCTCTGCCGTGCTAGTCTCAGAAGCCCCCGTCGTCGTTGTTTCCCTCGACGTGGTGGTTACATCCGTGGTGGGCTCTGCAGTGCTAGTAACAGACTCCGCCGTGGTAGTGACAGACTCGACGCTGGTAGTAGTAGAAGCCCGCGTGCGAGTCCGGGTACGAGTCCTGCTCTCGGTTCCGGTGCGACTACGGGTGCCAGTGCGAGTCCCCGTACGAGTCCCCGTGCGAGTCCCTGTACGAGTTCTAGTCCTGGTTTTGCTGGGAACATCGGGAGTAGCTGTCGAGACCCCAGAGCTCTCGTCAGGCTCAACGGTGCGAGTCACACGAACAGTATTGGTGACGGTGATAATAACGTCCAAGTCGGCGTCGAGGGCACCCGTCGGAGTTGGTCGAATATCAACATTCTCCGCGGGGCTGCTATTCGGCGGGGGAGAAGCGGGTTCAGACGGAGTGGCCGAAATAGGGCTTGGGCTCCCCAGCTCGGCAGAGAAGGTGTTGGTGTTGTCGTTCTGAGCTAGACCGCCGGCGGCCGAAAGCTGGAGCGCGAGAGCGGCTGTCCACCAGCGTGCGCGCATGTCGGCGAAGAATGCCGGACGCCCGTTGAGCGTTTAATTCTGGAATGGGGTGGGAGTCGACGGTAATCTGCTCTTGTTGCGTATGGAAACTGGCCAGCGGGCTTGCCGCTCTCGGTTGCTTTTGTTGGCCCCTGCCTTGACGCCGCACCAGCACTAACTTCCACCTTAGGTCGGGGGCCTCCTTTCCCAGCAGGCATATCTGAGCAAGCGGGGTGGTGGCTTTTTTCCCAGCGTGGTAAAGCGCCTTCCTGATGAATGGGGGCTGCGGAGCGAGCGAGGGGCCACTGGGTGAAAACTTGCAAGCCATGTTCATTTACCACATTCGAGGGACGCGGACCACTCGCACTAAAGGCGCCTAATCAAAAAACCCGTCTGTGCGAACCGCATCTTCCCAAGTTGGCTCCGATTCTCACACGGTCGGCCATTGGACAATGGGCATCCCCGGTTTTCGCACAAAGCTCCTGTTCAACTCCTGTCTCATCCACCAATGCTCGCCATTGTTGTATCGTCTTTCAATGCACCTCCTTCCCCCGGTATTTCTGATGAAAATGAACAGTAACCGGCGGCCCGGACAATGGTCCGCGGAAAACTTGAGTTTCAGATCAACACCGGCTTTATCTCAGAATTAACGAACCAGATTTACGGCCCACCACGTGAGAACTCTAATTTTGTCGCCCGCCCCGCGGAAGGTTCTTCTTGTGTGATTGCCAAGATCTTTTTCAAATGTCTTGTGGTCGCTCCAACCAGCCAGATCTCCAGGAAGGAAAGCTGCCCAAAGCGTTTGACTGGTGCGTCGCTGTGCAATGATATGCATGCGCAGGGAAGGGAAGCGTGTGGCGATTTTAGATTGTCGCTCGGGCCGTGGGTCTCCGAGGCGGTTGGGAAGGATTGGTGCAGTTGCTGTTGGCGGCGGTGGCACGGAACACCTCGCCGCTCTCGAGGCTGGACGACACAGTGGGATTTTAGATGCCGGTCGGCCTTATGTTAAACTATCTTCATCCAACTTGGTGGCGCTGGCATTGTTGCCATTCGCGACGGATGACTGCGGTGTTATGACCTCCCGAACGCCCCCACACATCAATATCATGGTCACGACTACCGCATGCTGTTGTGCGCAAAGGTGGAGGCTTGACGATGGGCGGCGGCCATGCTCGAATGTGTACAGTAGAACGTACCAATCCATGCTTAGATGTGTACAGTAAACTGTACCAATCCGACATCAACAAGCTTAAAATACCATCGTACTAGTAACACCGATCAGATCATTGTTGCTGTAAATCGGTTGCACCCGCAGTGCAGCTATTATCGCATACCGTGGAAATAAGGATGCCAGCGATGCATGAGAACTGTTCTTCGGAGTTGAGCTGAAATAACCGATAGACCTCAGCAGCGTCCAATGCGCATGCAACCTTGCACTACTACCTACGCTATGCCGAGGCCCTATCTGTACACGCCTTTCGGGTATCCCCCGACCTCGGCTTTATAGGTTCATAGGTTTGCCCGTTTCTAGAATCTTTCTCCGCCCATGGCGAACCGTATTTAGCCAGAAGTTGTAACGACGGCCCAAGGGGTCCAAACCTATCCCGACGCTCAGGCCCAACAAGCCGCAGGTCGTATCCTGCTTTCAAGTGCCATTCCACTGAAGAAAGTAGTCGATCAAGGCCGTGGGTCAATGGAATGTAAGCTTCCCATGAATGTTTGCGGACCGTTTGAGGACCGCTAGACGGCACCCTCTTGCTGCATCAGAGAGAACACCTAAGACATGTGGATCAAGGAGCATGGGAAAGTGCCATTGCAGCCGATACAGGAATGGGAGAATCGCCATTTCGACAGGCGTCTCTCGTCAGACTGAAGACTGCGAGACATTGGGTGTCTCGGCATCCGTTCCAGACCTTTCCTAAAGCGATCAAGGCACAAAGCCATCATGATTCACTGGCGGCTGCGACGCATGACGATAGTACTTCGCCATCGACAAGAAGTCAATATACAGATACCACAGCTCGGGGTCAAACGCCGAAGTGCTCTCCAGAAAATGGCGTATGAGATTAGCTTGGTGTCTCACGACGACAGCATTTTGGAATTGCGTCCACGAATGAAGGACACCGTCCGCTGCTTCAGGTCTGCCTGCGGTTCCACCGGTGGCTGCAACTATGCGGCGGCAAAGGGTATCATCGAGCAGACACATGTCAGCAAGATTTGGAAGTCCTACCTTCAAGAAAGTGAAAATCGAAGACTTGGTGTCAAACTGTGGGTTGCACGGTTCAGAGAAGCTTTGGCACCATGACATATTGAACAGACCTGCATTGAGCTTCCGAGGGGCTTGCGAGGTTGGTGACGAAGCCAATCTGGACTTTTTGTGCTGCAGCAGATTCTGCAAGACAGCTTCGTTCTTCGCTATTGGAGGCGGGAGGTCGAACCGTAGGTTGTGTGGAGGAGCGTGCTCAGGAAGAGATCGCCATGATATCCGGCGGAATCGTACCCTGGATTTGTCGGGCGGACGGTCGCAAAGGTTTGACGACTCCATTCTCGCAAAGGCCACCGCGGTCATAAAGTGGGTGGTTTGGCGGGGAGGTCACGGCGCCTGGTGTTGAAGTGTTGGACAACGAGATCTGCGACATCGGGCGGAAGAGTATTGGTCTGGCTGAATCCTAATCGACTTGCGCAAACGTGACAGCTGCGACTCGACCGTTGCCTGAAGATGAATTTGAAGGAAGTTTCCAACGGTATAGGAAAAGAAAGGTGTCGGAGTTTGATGAGCGGCGGGTGACCCGTTGCCTTTTCTGCTGCGCAAGTTCGGTTTGCAGCGTCATCATGTCGCTCGCACCTTTCGGAGTCCGTTTGTGAGTGGGCAGCGACGCGTGGGCCCATCATCCCCCCATGTCAACTCAAAGAAAGCCCTGTTTCTTGTTTGGCTTTGGCGCGTAGTACGAATTAACACGCCCAGGCTCAGCAGCAAAACACAACGCACGTGAAGCACTCTTTCCTATACCCATTTTGCGTGGGAAAACCTGCGTCCTCCGTGAACGTGGCCCCTATGTAAAAGCAGCAGTAGACTTTACATACTAGCATAGCGTAGCGTACGCTTTTCCCCTCAGTACGTAGCGTCCATTGACCATCCTCGCTGTACTTGAGCATCTATTCTTACCACATAGTCTCCCTAAGTCACATAGCGGGAACGCGATTTCCAAAATGCTATCCTCCATCCCCGTCATCGGGCGCCTGCGCATCGCAGACTATCTCCGTCTGTGCATCGCCGTCTGCGTGCTGGTATTCGAGCCCATCCTCCGTTTCATCTTTGGCATCTTCTGGCCCTTGCGCTACATCGTCGACGGGATTCGCAAGGTCTTCCCATCGACACTGCTCACAGGCAAACCGCACGATGAGGGCGTGAACGGTGTGGATGGCGTCAATGGCGACGGACCCGAGGGGATACAGCAGGCGGAGAAGATTTTGGAGGGGTTTTCTTCGTCTGAGGAGTTTGTTAGATTCTGGTTTGTCTCTTTGCGGTTTTGACGCTTTATTCCCAGACGCCTTTCTCACCCTTTGCCTTCCCACTAGGGGCTTCCCATTCCAACACCACTACGTAACCACAAAAGATGGCTACATCCTCGCCCTCCACCGCATCCCCTACTCCCGCGCTGAGCACGAAACCAAGAAGAAGCAAAAAGCCGCTAACCGCCGCCTCGGCCTCCGCAGCACCGGGTCCCACCCGGAAGGCAACCGCCCCGTCGTTCTTCTCTGGCACGGCTTCCTTATGTGCTCCGAGGTGTGGATATGCACGCCGGATCCGAAGCTGTCGTTGGCGTTCACGTTGGCGGAGGCCGGGTATGATGTGTGGATGGGCAATACGAGGGGGAATAAGTATAGCTGCAAGCATCGGTATTTGAAACCGACTGAGGAGGCGTTTTGGGATTTTTCGATGGATCATTTGGCGTTGTATGACTTGCCGGATGCCGTTGATGTATGTTTGGGCGCTTTTTTCGGGTTGGACGTGAAGCGCATGCTCAGGAATCTCATTCACGTTATGATTCCAGTATATTTTGAAAGTCACTGGCGTTCCGTCTCTTTCATACGTCGGTTTCTCGCAGGGTATGTCGAGACACTGTTTGCCGGCGTAGCTCTGATTGAAACCGCATATTGAACTTGCTCACATGCTTTTGTAGGCAGCGGACAAGGCTTCTCGTCCTTGTCGATCAATCCAAGACTGAACAAACGCGTCAACCTTTTTGTGGCTCTGGCACCCGCTGCCAAACCAATGGGTGAGCACCTTCCTCCGTCTACTGTCCCTCTCGCGCCGTAAGTCTTACCGTCTTCATTATCCAGGGCTCGAAAACAAAACCCTCGGAACAATGTTGAAAATCTCGCCAGAAGTCGTGTTCCTCCTCTTCGGCCGCAAGTCGTTGCTCTCAGTGACGCCGTTCTGGCAGAGTATCTTATCCCCATTGAGCTTCGCCTGGACGATCGACATTGCGTGTAACTTCTTGTTCAGATGGAAGGCGGAGATGATTGACCATAAGAATGTGGTTTATCAGCATCTTTACTCTTACACTTCGGTGAAATGTGTGGTACGTGATGGACTCGCAAGTTTGCTTTGCGCGCGCTCTACAAGGGAACGCTTGCACTAAAGCGAAGCGCACCCTACAGGTCCACTGGTTCCAAATCATCCGCAATGGGCGCTTCCAAATGTACGACGAAAGCCCCACCATGCTGCCCAACTCGCAATCCGGCCACGTCGTGCCCAAATTCCCCACCGAACACATCCAGACCCCCATCGCGCTCTTTTACGGCGGGAAAGATACCCTAGCCGACATGACCTGGCTGTTGCAGGAGACGGCTACCCCCGTCTACTGCCTCAAAGTAGACGAATACGAGCACATCTGTTTCTTATGGGCTCGAGGTCTGGACAAGACAGTGTACCCCGCGATCCTCGGCCTCCTCCACGAATACGCCGAAACCTGGGGCGACCCCTCCTCAACCACCGTCAGCGTCGAACCCACAAAAGTCGCAACAGTGCCCTGGATCTCCGAAAACCAGATCCGATCCCTGTTGGAAATCGGACAGGGCCACATGGACGAAACGGGCCAGAAAATCGTCCTGGACGGCCGGATCTCCGCCCAACGCATGCTCGTCGCTGCGTCACGACCTGTGACGCGGATGGGCACGCTCCAGGACGGCCTCGGGCTGGACGCGACACCCTCCAACGTCGTCGAACAGGAAGAGGAGGCGCGAGCCATCCAAACAGCCCTGTTAATGGCCCTCAAAAACGATAAATCACAAACTAACCTCGCGCCTTTAGTCACCGACAGCGGCAAGGGAGGCGGCCGACACCCCGTCACCCGCCGCCGGACCTCGGCAGCCATAACCGTAAACACGGCATCAACGTCCATCCCGACCGCCCCGCCACCCAAACGTGCCATCTCGGGCCCGGCGGCCGTCCCCGTGGAGACGCCGTTGACGAGACCGTGGAGTGATGCATCGCCGGTTTTGAGCGAGTCGGAGGATGAGGATGGGGAGGAGGGGGAGGAGTATGATGGGCGGAGTGACGGGACTGTTACGCCCACTATTGGGAATGGGGGGAGTATGGATAGTTTTCGGAGGAGGAAGAGGTAGGGGGACGGGAGAGGAGGGGACTGCGGTGGAATGGGGGGAGATGGAGGCATGTCTTGGGCGGAGAGAGCATGTATTTTAGATTTCTGAATTCTGAATTCGGCCTCCTGAAGCGCATGTTCATGTGGGGAGGAACGCAGGTCGATCGTTATGGCCACTGCTTACATACTTAAAGCGCGTGAAGTTGACAGAAGGGTACACCGCATTCCCTGATGTACCCAGTATATTTTGCTCAGGAAACCAGGCTGGACAATAAAATACGATAACTACGCCGCTGGTACCCCTAGGACGCAGCCAAGCTGCGAATGATGCAACGCCCCCAATCCCTGCCGTACTCCTATCTGACCGTGGGAGCCCTCTATCGACCTACCAACTTAGCGAACTATGGCCCGACCGCACTCCCTGCGACGCCGTGTCGCTCATTGCAATCAGGGAGCCCGTCCACATTAGGCATTGGGTAGACTCAGATTGATGTATCCCCCTTCAAAGCTTCAACTCCCCACAATCGGAAATAATAATATCCAAATGCGGCTTATCCATCCTCCCCGTCTCCACGGCCTCGATTCTCTTCACGACATCCATCCCATCCACCACCTTGCCGAACACCACATGGCGGCCATCCAACCACTCCGTCCTAGCCGTCGTAATAAAAAACTGGCTCCCATTCGTATTCCGCCCCGAATTCGCCATACTCAGATACCCCGGGCCCTCATGCTTCAACAAGAAATTCTCGTCATCGAATTTCGGGCCGTAGATGCTGCGTCCGCCCCTCCCGTCGCCGCGGGTGAAATCGCCGCCCTGGATCATAAAGTCCTTGATGACCCGGTGGAATTTGGACGCTTTGTACCCGAACCCTCTTTCGCCCGTCGAGAGCGCGCGGAAGTTCTCGACGGTGATCGGGACCGCGTTGCCGTACAGGCCGATGGTGATCCGCCCGAGGGATTGGCCGCCTTGGGTGACCTCGAACCAGACGCGATGGGTGAAGGCGTGGATGTCGACGGGTTGGTCGGGGGTGGAGTCGGAGCGTTTCTGGGGGGAGTAGCCGGGCAGGTCTTGTTTGGCTTTGTGGACTATGGAGTCGCGGAGTTTGGAGGCTTTGGAGGTGGCGGTGTCGGAGGAGTCCGAGGAGGAGGAGGAGGAGGGGCCGAAGTTGTAGAAGACGAGGAGGGTGAGGAAGACTGCGCCGAGGATGAGGACTCGGTGAAGTTGCCGTGCCATTGTTACTGATCGATGTTGGCCTATAAAGGCTTTGCTCTTCGTTGTCCTGTCCTGTGATGGGGATGCTCTGGCAAATGTCAAAAGCCGGACGGACGTTGGAAGGTTGGAAAGTCGAGCCGCACCCGTTGCCGCAGCGTCAGCGGGATCGAAATAATATCACAGTGCACGTGTCCTGACGCTCGTTTTTATTTCTGTTGAGTCTCCAACACGTCATCGGCCTCGGTGTTTGTTGCCGACTTTGACAGCGTGTCATTCCACGGCAAAAACGCATTGTGCCATGAACACTAACCGCGGCTCGCTTCAAGGCGAAATCCCTGCCAACCTCCGTATTGTTTGTCTGGCGTTTGTTAACTTTACCAGAGCCTAAACCCAATGTTCCGGAAAAAGCTCCGGCATAGATGCTGTAGCTGCATCGGTCCATCCATGGGCAAAACTTGACCATAAAGAACCTTTATAAAAGCCTACTAGGCTACAGCGGTAACGCCGCAAATCATCACAATTTCGAACACTCTATATCCCTTAACCATGGCATCTTCAGACACACCTTCACCTTCCCTCGCTTTACAACAAGCATGCGGGACCGGGTTCATGGCAACCGGGCAGGCGGCCGACCCGGCAGCAGCGGGCGCACTGGTACAGCTGGGGTTTACAGAGTTCGGGGCCGCTGTTTCCAACTACACTCAAGTGCAGTTACTCTTCCAAGCGACGCCGATCATAGCCAGCGCGGCGATATCGGAAGCCTCGGGACCCATCCTCATCATCGGCGTCACTATCCCGTTTGTCATCCTCGGTCTGCTCTTGGCTGGCCTTCGCTTGCGGCGGATCGTGAATGTGCGAAGTGCCACGGTGTTCGTGGCTGAGGTCTGCCATGCGATATGGGTGGCTTCGCAGATCGCTGCCATTAGGATGGGGGGATTTGGGGATAAGACCGCTGACTATGTCGCTGTCGGATCGTTCATGGGAATGCTTGTAGGTTTTACGGTTTTTGGAGAACTCCCTGCCTATCTCAACTGTGAGTCGGATACTGATGAAATGCATCCACCACCCTAGATCCTGACGGCATACTCAGGCCTCCTCCGCGGCTCCCAAGTCATCATCAACGAAGAAAAGCGCAAGCGAGTCCGCCAAATAGGCGCCGCCGTCCTCTTCCTCTTCGGCATCGGATTCTTCTACGAAGGCTATTCCGAAGTTCACAACTCCACCAGCTCGCCCACGCGCTTCTCCAACCTCTTCTGCGGCCTGCCGTTCATCCCCATCGGCCTGTACATCGTGTGCGGGACGCTGGCGTTTTCGTGGAATTTGCCTAAGGAATCCCTGAACAATGTTAGTGGCGGCTTCTCGAGGCTGAAGACGATGAGGGTGATGAATGATGCGATGGGGGCGGCGGTTATTTTTTTTGCGACAACGGAGCTGGTTATCATGTTTCCGCTGCAACGTGAGTCTACCATGCATCCCTGGAAAACGTGCTTTTGTTGACCCCTTACTCTCCATCAATAGATTCAAACTACTTCAACCCAATGGCAACCCTAAACATGACAGGAATGCTCTTCGTCGAAAACCTCTTCGAAACCGTCTCCACCGTCCTGCAATCAGATCTCTTTAAAGGAGCACGCGCGTTCGCCTTCACATCCAGCGGGGCAAAGAACAACGTTAGTGTCCAGCGGATGGATACGGTTAGGTCGTCTGCTGTGGGGGGCCAGAGTAAAACCAATTTGGTGAAGGGGACGCCGAAGCAGACGCATGGGGCGGAGGATGGTGTGTGACGTTTTTTTTAGATGATTTTATGTATTCCTGAATTTTCCGTTTTGCACTCTTCTGTTGCAATATTATCACTGGCAAATTGTCATATTGGTAGAGCTATAGATGCCAGTAAACATGAGCAACGGAATGGACGAATAAGCGCGGTGGAGACGGAGTTGTGTCCGCAAGGTTCTGGTGAGGTGCCGTCACTGCACAATGCGCACAACCACTGGCCGCCAACAGCGGGAAACCAACGGGCCACGCTACAGGAGCCGAAGTACAAAGGTATCCTGCTAAGAGAGATGCCAACGTCGTCGGCGGTTCCATACCCATGGCTCCATAGGCCGATCCCCTCACTAACGAGGGGAAATGAAGAACGAGCTGAAGGACTTGCCATCCCATCGTCAGGTAGGTAGGGGAGGATATGGTAAGGGAGAAAACTCGGTCGGGGTGTGACCTGGGGTATGGCCATTGGACAGTGTGGGAGTCTGCTTACGTGAGACGCGCGTGCTTACGTTCGTGTTTTCCGACGCGAACTTGGCCATTTCATCGGCTACCATGGTTGGTGACGTGGCCGAGATGAGAATCAAAAAGACGGCGTAGCCACATGGATGTGTTGCACTTATGTGTTGGAATGGGACATGTGCGTAGGTCGGTGAAGCACGCTCAACAACTTCATGGAATTTGCATGCGGAGTTTGGTTGCAGAAGACTCGTGAACGCGTGCATGACGCGTCGAACAAGCGAGAGATGGGATCCGAACCTCTCATCAACTTTGTCCCATCATCAGATATAGAGGAGGTACTTGGGCACGTGTCGGCGTGCGAACTTGCCTGTGACAATCGATTATGGTCGGGTATGAATGTATGTATCTTTTATGTTGTTTCCTTGGACTCCGGAGCTAAAACAGAAATCCTGAAGAGGAGAGAAGGCGAGAGAATTGGCAAGAACGGTGCTCTTGAAGCTGACGGCGGCGGATAACGCTAGATGGGCTCGTGGAGTGTGCTCAATGCGGGGTGGGAAATTGGCAGTGCTTTTGTGAGACGCGCTTGCTTGAGTCGATGGCGACCTTTTTCGGGCCGGACCACGAGTTCCTTCTCCGGTTTCCTGACCGCTCCAGTGATCATCGTTGTCGTTACCGCGGGAGGCATGAACGGCATCTAGCGCCACCATCTCTAAAGATTTACCAACTACGCAACAGATTATGAAGAAAGATACGTAATACAGCGCTTCCTACTACCGAACCCACGCCAAGCTCTTTACTGACAAGAGTAAATGCCCATCGCGTCTAAGTCGAATTCCCCCTTCATCTCCTCACTGAAGTTTTTTCTAGCGAGCTCCTCCTCCGAGGAGTTGCGTGTCTTTCGCATAGTCCATGGCGCGCGTGGTGTAGTTCAGCTCTAGCCCGCTCTCGAGCCACCACTGCAAGACTCCGGGATTGGGGCTTAGTCCATTGCGCGGTTCATGTACGAACATTTGAGATGCAGTTCATCAAGCCAGATGTCCAAGAGGTCGACCCAGCCCTTCTCCGAAGCGCGGTCCATAGAGGCTGGCCAGCCTAGCAAGGGGAGCGTGCGATTGCGAACATGGAGGACTCGGAGAGAGACGGCGATTTGAAACGTTCGTTGGGAGGAAGGTATTCGAGGATCTGTTCGAGGACCTCGAGCATCCGACTCGGGGACTTCTGTAGTACGGCTGCCATGGCGGCCTGGGGCCTAGATGGAGTGCGAGATGTCAAACCTCTGGCTCTTACTTGCGGGCCGTTCTGTCGAAAACCTCACCTAATCGTAACCTTCAGGCCAAATAGGCGCGTGAGTCATCCCAGTGTGCTTACGTTGCGCGTGTTGTCGCCAAACGCGTGGCAAAGAGTGAGAGTGCGTGTAGTTGACGATGCCGTTGTTCCTCTTTTGTGCGGTAGTAGGAACAATGAGATCATATATATATTACAGCTAAGGGGAACAGAGAACGAAATCACGTTCGCCGCAAGAGCATTGTACATTGAATCGCTATCTACACCTCAGCTTAGCAAGCGCAGCCGCGAGTACAGAGCGTCAGTCCAGCATCACATCTCGCGCATCTTTTTCGCTTTCTTTGCCTTCGCAGCCAGCCTCTTCAGCCGCTGCTCCTCTCGCACCGCCGCCCTTGCACTCGCCTCGCCAACCGCATTCCCCATCTCATCATACCCCTCTAACCCCGCCCTCAACATCCTAATCCCCTCTCTCAACTTCTCATCCTCCTCCGTCTCAATGGCATCGCCCACCCACAACTCCACAAACTTCAGATACTGCTCGGTGGTGAGACCGAGCGGAATACGTGGGAGTCTGAACTCGAGGGTCGGGAGGATCGCGACGGGCTCGGAAAAGTCATTCCAGGTTGGGTTGTTGTAGGAGAGACGGGAGGAAGGGATCGCGGAGTAGAGAAGGGCGTAGTCGAGGGTTGAGGTGGGTTTTGGGGCGTTCTTGGACCGGCGTGGGGTGGTGAAATCAGCGGGTATGACGTCGAGGGCGCCGGAGCGGGAGAGTGGGATTGAGAGAGAGGTGATGAGGGTCATGACGTCCGGGAATTCGCTTGGTGCCGGTGCTGGCGCTGATGATGGAGGCGCGGAGGGTACTTCTAGCGTGCTTGTGTCATCAGTCTTCCTCATGGTTGATAGAGGGATACTCTCCCTTTCGCTCAGGAGACGGGCCAGAACACATGCCGTTTCCTACAAAAGGCGATTCAGCAGGAGACTCAGTATCATATTACTGTCACCCTCATTCTCATCGTTCGCGCCGCAACATGTCTATCTCACCTCAAAATGAGTGGAGTCCCCAATCCGTCTCCATTTTCCATCCGCACCCATGTGCGCAGACGATAGCGCAGAGTCGACGGCATGTATACCGCTCAGAGCGATCATGAGAGCGGAGGACACTGTTTCGTCGATAAACCTGTTGAATGCCAAACAATGTGGGGTCAGGAGGCGAGCTCATCACGAATGTTTTGTACGTGACTTACATCGCTTCAGCAAAAGACGTTGGATCGCCTGGCCGCGCGACGCGTGAGAATAGGCTTCCATGCCGGGTCTAATGAGTCGAGACTCGTGGTGAGGATCAAAACACGGCTTCCCATACAGGCCGAGTATAACGTACCCGGAAATCGTAGTCGAGGCTCGCAACAGCGGCCACTCCAGCCCATGATCGTTCTGGGAGCATCGAATGTCGTATTTGGGGGATGTACACGCACGTCCTCGTGTGAGATGTTTGTTCTTTTGTGCTTTGCTTGATGATTTTCTGATGATAGTAATGACAGCTGGTTCAGCATCATACTTCACTGCAACTTTCGCAACGCTCAGTTATCAGGTTTACCTTATCCGCCCAAGCAATCTGCTCAGCATACGTCAAACCCGGATTCTCAAACTTCACGGCGATGTACTCGAAGTTGTTGCTAGCCGCATTGTATTTACAGCGTGTGCAGAGTGTGAAGAACTGAATGCCGGCGTGCTGAGGTGTGTAGCCTGTCTTGATAGCTGTCGCGTAAAGCGTTTCCTGATGTCAAATAAGCCGAGTAAGTGATGAATTTCAATGGTATGTCCATGTATTCGTTAACATACCGAGCCTTGAAACATGGTCCCGAATTCGATGAGGTAGTACCCGAAAAGCTGGAGTTTCGTGTATGCGCATTTGGCTATTACGGCCGCTTGCCGGAGTAACGTTGAGGCTTGCGGGATCTGCGTGGGGAATACTGTCGCCTTTGCTGGGGGGCGGTAAAGCCCTGATGGCGAGGCTATGGTACTCTGAGCACCGTTGCGGGGTCTTGAGCTGGTATACTTCAGATAAATCAACGTCTGAGTCAACCCTCTGCCTCCCAGTCCAAAAAAATGGTCCCAGCAGCTTACATGGTCGCAGCTGCCCAGGACAGACACATCTCCATCAGGTTCAACTAGTACACACACTGAATGTCGTTGTTGAGCGCGCAGTCCCCAGCCGACGTCTATGTCGGCTCCAGCGGCCTGGATCGCGCCCGAGTCGCCTGTAGGGCTAGTAAGCACATCTTGCAGAACTGATTGGATGTTGTCTTTTGACTCTGTTCCCGTATGATCGAGATTGAAGTGAACAATGTGGGGAAGGAAAGGCGAAGTGACAGCCGCACGAACCTATATACATAACGGTGGGCATAGGCACCGGCGTGCGCTCCGGGTGATCCGGCCGCGCCGGAACAAGCTTGTGTCGGGGTATATCAACGTCGAGCCGCCATAATCGGATCTCCGGATGCTCTTTTACCAGATCTTGCAACGTAGACACCCATCTGTCACGCGAGGCATCTTGTAGAGCTGCCATCAAACGCTTACGTGAGCAGAGGAGCAGGCGGAGCAAGACTGGATGTGTCGCATACCGATTCCAGGAAGAGTGGGAGCACCGGCCACCTCCAAGAATTTCCTCAATTTGGAAGCTGTGCATGTTGCTGATGCGCTCGATGGAAGTGTCATCAATGGTATTTTAAGTTCCTAGATCGTCGTACAAAGCTTGGTCTCATAAGACTTCCCGAGAAGGATATCCGATTCTTCCCCTCGCATCAGACGGAGAGACTCACCGCACTGAGCTGTATCTCTGCGCTGCCGACCGCATCAGGTATCAGCACACATTCCCGATTGCTCGTCAGCTCCCTTAGAATCCGCATCACCGACGGCGACGCGAGAACCCAGGATGCAGGTGAACTAGGCCCTTTGAATATCGGGAGCGCTTCGGGGTATAGGTTGTGGAGGCGGACGGAGTTTGTTGCGCTGAAGGACATTTCTGAAACCGGGAGGACAACCATTTGGGGCAAACAGTTAGTGCTTTGGGTTGAGTTGATCTGAACATCATCACCAGCGCTCGCTTACGCATGTAGTGCTGTACTTGGTCCTTGACACTAGCATACGGAACCGGTGTGATCAGAACAAGTGTCGTCTCAGAGTCCTTCAAGTCCATGAGTCTGAAGAGTGGCACGCATCAGGATCACACGCATGTCCGATGCCTACAAAGCTCTCAGTCCTTGTGCAGACCTTCCTAGATCCGGAAACCGATATTCCGCCTCGCTCGCAATTCTCGGCGGTAAATGAATCATGATCCTGGTAGACATCGGACCTTGTCAGCCGTGAATGGGAGGCTAGATACAAGAGAGTAGTAGCCATCCGCATACCTTTTACTGTTCTTATAGTTTCGGTTCCACTCGCGCTTGAGCTTCAGCGTCAACTTCGTGCATACCTCGAGATGGGTGATGCGTTTTTCCTATTGGCCATGAGCCACATCAATGCGACTCGAGGATGAGAATGCAAGTCTGCGGTGTGAGACCCGATGCGACCTTACGTTGATTCGCCGTCGCATCTCCCACCCTGCTCTTCTAAGCCGCCAGTACCCCCACAAGACTTTGGCAGCTCGCACGCGGCGGATACGATAGGTATACGCATGTCTTCCTGGGTCGCAAGACTCATCAGTTCACAGCTGGATATCGCTTAAGCATTCCGATCGTACCTGAGTTTCATCATACGCCACCAGGATTGGATCAAAGTAGGTGCGGCGTCTGGATCGTGGAAGCGATGCTCCGGGAGTCGCAGAGCTTTGCGGATCTATCAGACGGTCGATGAGCACGACAGTAGTCTAAGCCAGGATAATGTACGGGCGCACCTTCTGGCCGTTCGCCAGACAGCCTAACAAATCGTCCCGAGTGATCGGCAACACGAGCGGCCGTTCTAACAGGCGGAAGACGGCTCGGCAGCTGACTTCCGCTGAACCGACTAAGCAGGAAAGTGGAGAGTAGCGCATCAGTCCCTGAACTGCCGCCGGATATAACGAGAAAAGCTACAGACTTCCATATTTCCTACAGAACGTCTCCATGCGATCTAGAATCAATCCCTTTGCTAGCATAGGCGCCTCTGTGCTATCCGCAAACCACTGGTAGGTCGGCGAGGTCTCGACGGTGACACCGTCGTAGATGAGAAATTCGGTTTTGTCAACGTTCTCCGGGGCCTCCGTTGTGACCGCCGTTTCTTTCAAGTTGCCTGCATGAGGGGGGTTGATATTTGAGCAAGAGTTCGATATATGTGACTGGATGAGCAAAATTCACCTAAGCTTTGCACCTTCGAATTCGTTGGCGTAGATGGACACGGGGTTGGAGAGGCTAGAGCAGCTACTGGCACATCGATAGTGATGAGAGGCGGCTATGCGTAAGGCCAGACGGATTAGAAATTTCTCTTCGACTTGACAGATAAATGATGACCAAGCGTTACCTTTCTAGCTTCCAGCTCAACATGCGTACTCTTCGGTACGTCGCTCTCCTTTGCCGACGGTTGAGACGCCCTCAAGCTGGTTACCAGTCCATCCAGCAAGCACCGACTGACGTCTGCCGTGTGCGGTATCCTCCCGCGATCCATCAGTGGAAACAGCCCTTCTTGATTAATCACATCCACGTTTACATCGAGTTTGGGTTGTATGCTCCTTCGCAGAGAGGGGATGTGGGTAGTGTGAAATGGCGCTACAGACACAGGCTTCGGCGTTATCGGGGTACCGGAGGTCGTAAGCCTTCTCGGAGCTGCATCTGATTGCTGGTTGGTGACAGGATGCTGTCTTAACTGCTTCGCTACCTAGGAGACGTTCAGAAAGCTATCAAACCGGGAGCGGTTGAGGGGATCTACTTACGGCTTTCGCTGATTTTGGTCGTGCACGGTTCTCCTCTGAGGGACTCAACCTCCATGTACCAGGTCGCTTGCTTTCGAATTTCACCTCATTCTCCGATGTTGCTTGTTGCTCTGCTGCTCTTGGGAGCATGCGAGGCATGAGGACATCCTGAACCTGAGCGTCCTTCTCCTGCAGAGAGTGCTTTCGATATCAAAACCATGGAATCGAACATCGGGTATGGACCAATTCGGAACCCAACCTGAGCGAGAGCCGAATCCCTCTCTTGAAGTCTACTCCAAGCAATCTGCTCATCCTCCTCCAGCTCCAGATGTGAGAAATCCTCCAACGCAGCGCTATCCCATTTCTGCCGAGCACTAGCAGCCCGAGACGTCCACGGACTGAACACACTGTCCCTCCTCGTCCGATCTGTCCGAGCGGAGTCTGAGCGGCTGAACACAACATTCACAGAGCGGGCTGTGCGAGGTCGCACTGCCTCTGGCCTTGATCCCGGTGCGGAAAGAATCCGATGTGGTCGTGGTGTTCGGCTAGATAGCGGCCTTGTTGGAGCCGCGGATTTCGCTCTGTCACCGCCGTACTGCCGAATCGGCGACGGCGGAGTATAGAAAGGGGATGGCAGCATGATTATGTGATAGGCTCTTTACAAGCAGGTGCGGCCTCGCTGAAGATCAAATATTAGTATTGTATGTCCGACGCACAATCTCGGACGTACTGCATGTACATTTGCGGGCTGTGAATATCGACGTCCGAGACTCCGATCCTGCTGTCACGCGTTCACGGTGATGATATGGAACACTTGCATGCAACTCAGAAGTGAGCCGCCCATTCGGCCACCCTTCTCAAAAAGAAGCTGCCAGCAGCAGCTCCATCTCGCTGCAGTGCACTTGGTTTGCTGTCTTCCTCGAGCAGATTGGCTGAAAGATGCAGCCAACAACGAGCGCCTCGGGGTCAGGCCCTGCATCGGGCTCTTTCGCCATTGCTTACAGCTTCTCATTGGTATGGCGCCTGGCATGGGCACTCTTGTGCACAGGGTACATCCACCCCGATGAGCACTTTCAGAGCACCGAGATAATGGCTGGTACGTGTGAATGTCTCGACTCTCTTTTGGTGCCTGCCACTGCACTACTCTGTCTTGTTCATCCCGCGATGTCCCTTGAGCTCAGTTGCCCTTCCCCCGGTGGCTCATAGGCTCGGTGTTCAAATTTGTCACTGACCCACCGTGGGAGTGGCGACTTACTCCTCCCGGGCCGGCCCGGAGTGTGCTGGGGCCGTAAGTTTTCATTCAGGGCTGACTATGCGATAGGGCTGCAACTTGCGTTACGATAGGTCGGTAAGCTTAACTAGTGCTATGGCTCTGTGCAGATTTCTGTCCGTCGGCATCCCGTTCAACGTCTTGAAATACGTGTCACGGCTTATCGGCATGGGACGGAGGGATATCGGCTTATGGGCATTTTATGCACCTCGCCTTACGAGCTTCTTGGTGTCGTTGCTTCTTGGTGCGTTCTACTTGTATGCTCCTACCGAAGCTCTTGGAGAAACATTCGACGCAGAGCAAACTCATTCTGTTGAATTGCGGCGCATTGGGTTTCAGATTACGCAGTGTTTAAAGTTTGCCGTGTTCAAAACGTCCCACACCGCACGGCCCTGATGCTACTATCAATCTCACATGTCACGTTTGTTTACATGATGCGACCCTTTTCAAATTCGTGGCTCGGCATCATTGTCGCCGTCATCTACATGCTAGTCTTTGCCAATGTGAGTCTGGCGGATTCGTCGCTCGCAAGGGTACAAACAGTATAGAAGGGCCATGGAGGGGAGAATGCTGAGTACGTGTCTCTGGCTTATCACAGAAGAACCCAGGATCACTTCCACGCTCAGCGTTCATCGGCGCTCTCGTTGCGTTGGGGCTATCCACTAGGGTCGAGGCACCAGCTGTTCTTGGCCCCTTCTGTCTGGCGCATCTAGCGCGCTTGATTCACCATCAGAAACCCTGGATGACCGTTGTCAACAACATTCTGGCGATCGCGGCCGGGTTCGCGGCCGTAGGCAATATCGTCATTTTGGCTGATTCGCTATACTACGGGACGATGTCGCTGATCCTGCGGGAAATCCCGTTGTCGTTACGAGATTTGTTTTCCATGCAGCTCTCTGAGGTGTTGGATTTGCGTATAAGGGTAGGTGCAGGAAACCAATGTTTCACGCGCACGGAAATGTTGGCCAAGAGCCGCAAAAGCTCACAGTCTCGATCGCGTTACATAACGTAGGGCCAGCCCACATTCACCATTGTCAATCTACTCCTTTACAATTTGGACAAGGAGAATCTAACTGTGCACGGAATACATCCACGATGGTTGCATGCGGCGGTGAACATGCCTATGTTATACGGGCCCCTAGTCGCCTGCATACCTATGGCTTTGCGGAAAACGGAGAGGTCAAAGCTTTGGATGTTAGGTAAGCCCGTTTGCTCAAGCCCGATGTCAGGGCTGGGGAGCTTTCATGACTCACGCTTGTCAGCTTCCTTTGGCAGCGTGGCGTCCGGGCTGGCTTTCCTGTCTGCCGCGCCTCATCAAGAGCCGCGATTTGTCGTACCCTTCCTCGTGCCTGTCGTCCTATTGGCAGCACCGCATGTGGCCAACTTGCGAGCGGGACTTGCTAAGTGGTTTTGGGTGAGGCCTGAAGTTTTACATACGTCTAGGCGTCCTCATAAACTCGAACTCAACGCAATATCCATATTGTTCCAGGCCGTATGGATCATCATCAACCTCGTCGAAGGCGCGTTCTTTGGTGGAATGCACCAAAGCGGCGTCGTTCCATCCTTGATACACCTGAGTCAGCATGAGATTGAGGTGGCGGGTCACTGCGTGGACTCGTCAACGACGCGAGGCATTGCCTGTGCCCCAAACAATGCTACCACAGCAACGTTGGAGAACTATGAGACCACAATCGCGTTTTATAAACTGTTCTCGCCACCGTGGCACTTGTTAGCGCTCCAAGCAGATTGTGAGTGCTTCTAACGTTTCCTTTACTTCAAAGAATTCACCTGACTGACGATTTCTTGACATAGCCATAAGCGCCAGAAACACGCGTGTGATTCAACTTGCGGGAGGACCTGTGAGTAAAGTCATTGCTCAAACTGATAACTTTGCCCTCCCAGTGGGCTGTCCGAAAGCCACGGCAGGTGGCGATCTCCGCACAAGGGATGGCGCACTCTTTGCCAAATCGCCCAATGGCGTTAATGAACGGTGTGTATCTGCATGAAAGGAACAGAGAGTTTTCGTCCTTCAATACTTTACTGACGCCTTTTTCATTTGTCTTCAACTGAAGATTGCTGCTGGTTGCGCCAACGTACATACATCCAGCAGTTGCGGATGCCTTGAAACCAAGCAACAGAACACTTTGTCCACTATGGTACACACAGGGCCTACCACATATACATTTCGATGATTTAGATAAACAGTTGGGCAACTGGAAGGGCGATGTGTGGCGCGTTGGTATTTGGCAGGTTGTGCTGTTAGAATAAATTGTCTTCAATGGATATGGTAGTTGAAACTTTGAAGTGCTGTTCGAAGTCTCGTGCGACGTGCTCTCTTGACGCGTTTGTCGCGTTTGTGTGCGTACGTAATTGATTACCCAGGCTAACAACACTGGGCCACATCAACGCCACATCTTTTCTTTGCTGCGCCACTTCCCTCATTTCTCGCGCACTACAAAAAGGCGCTTCCAACTTTTGATTTCCCTAGACATTCCCACACCACTCTCCGCAATCTCACAGCTAGCTGTTTCGGCTCAACACTCAGAATGGTAGGTCATTGTTGTTGTTTGTTTGCCGCCACCGGCTAGCCTGCCAGCTTGCGAGCGACGTCTTGATGATCCATGACAAGATCAATACAAACTAGAGTCTCCAAACCCAATAAGGGTAATGACGATAGTCGCGTCTCTGAACTTCCTGGCATCCTGGCAGAGCTCTCTCGGCTCTCATGTACCTTTGCCTGTGCTCCAATCTAACCCACTGTCTCCGTGCGCAGGCATCGTTTGGATCCATCAAGAGTGCTGTCCTCGAACGGTTTGGGCGAGGGATGTGAGAATAAGGTGCGTTTTGATATCAATGTCTGCCTTCCGTGGGTCAGCGAAGATGAGTTATCCTGGCAAACAACTACGCAAAATGGAATTACCGTCTGATGCATCCTGCTGTGAAAAAGGATTACTGAGCTCCCACGGAATGGTTTTGATTGCGTCTGACCATCTAGAATCATCTTATTTATCGATCTTCTTTTGCTCGATAGGCTTGCCTTATTACCCCCATCCCGCTTTCGACGTTCGTGTTCGTCGTTCTCTCAGTAGTGGTGAGTAAGAGCCTCCATCTCACACAACGCAACCGGAAGGAGCCGCGTGATGGCGTCGCCTAACTGACATTATGGCGACGCCTTTAGCACTGGGCACTGAAACATTATGTAGATTAGTGCATAGCTGATGGTTACCAATCCAGTTGTTATGTTCGACGATATGCCGGTTTGCGCATACTCATCATGTCTTCCCATCATCGGCAGATTCTCTATCGCTACACCCGTCGTTGGTTCCGTTATCAAGGCCTACTGAATGGTGAGTACCGGGCTCCTATGCCGGCGGACTCTTGGGTGAATTGATGAACTCTAGATGACGAGTCAGATTCGAGTTTCTCGATGCTGAAAAAAACTACTACTATACATTCATGCCAAAACTGATCACCGTCAATGTATTTGACTTCGTGGTAAACGTTTTCGAAAGCAAACACTTACCATTACTCCCTTATTTCGTTCTGCATCTCAGGTTCGATATTCCTCTGCATAAGGCAATCAAAGGGTAAAGCGCCGGTGTCCGTCTCTTCGTCGCATCTGCGTCAACATGCGCGAAAAGGGCCTTTCTTCCCGTCGGGCTTTGTTCACGTATATGACACGAAAGGCGCTACCTTGCCAAAGTGACAACGTTATGCGATGATGACAATACTTCACAAAACTATGAGACAAGCATATGTCCGACCAATTCTTGGGGATAGGTTTTGTTCTGATGCATATCGTTGTCGCTGGCTGGTCTTCAAGACTTGGGGGGTCTTATGAATTATGATGACGATGGCAATGAGACTCAGTCTGCACACACCATGAGAAAATGCCGGAAAAAAGAAAAGGAACGAGATGTCTCCATAAATGGGAAGTACAGTCGGTGGACAAAAAGCTGTGTGCACCCCATATGGATTTCAATGACCGTTTCACAAAGCGCACCGCGCGTTTTGGAGCCGCAAGCTTGAGTATTGAAGCCAGCGACGAAGCCGTGATGGCGAAATGCACGCCAACATCTTCACCACCTCAGCTATGGGGAAACCTCTCACACCACAAAAAAGGGCAGCCATAGTTGCCCTCCATATAGCAGGCAAGACGACATCTGAAATTGCAAGGCAGGAGCACGTTCACAGGAATACTGTGAGGAACACTATTAAGAGGTTTGCGAACGAGAGTGCCACTGCACCAACCGCCTATCAATCGAAGAAGCCAACAGGAAGACCAGCTAAGTACCAGCCTTCTGACGATGATTTGGCTGCCTTCCGCAGTATTGTCGTTGCTGACAGTAGCACTCGGGAGAAAACACTAAAACAGATCACTTTTGAATTCACACAGCTCACCGGACTCCAGGTGTCTGCAAAAACAGTGCGTCGCTACCTACGGGACCTGCTCTATCTCACCTCGCGTTTCAAGGTCCGAAAGCCACTATTGACAGAGGACCATAAAGCAGCACGCCTTGCATTTGCACTGCAGCACCAAGACTGGATGGAAGCGGACTGGTCTCGTGTTTTCTGGACTGATGAGACGTCCTTTGAAATTGGCTGGGTACCTAAAATGCGGTGCTGGCGCTTACGAACTGAACGTTTTCATCCCGATTGCATCCAGGGCACCAGGAAGAGTGGACAAAAAACATTCATGTACTGGGGAGCATTCATTGGAAATGCAGTAGGTCCAATGAAAGAGATGCAGCGTGTTCAGCGAGAGGGTCAAAACCGTGGAGGGATTAACTCTACTGCCTATGTGCAACATCTTACTGCTAACATGTTGCCGATGTGGCGGAATCTAGAGATTTTTCTTCCCAATCCTCTCTTCATGCAGGACAACGCCCCTATTCATACATCGGCTGAAACTCGACAGTTCTTTGATGAACACGGCATTGAGCTTCTTCCCTGGCCAGCGCAGAGTCCAGATCTCAATCCGATTGAGAATCTGTGGGCAATGCTCAAACGGAAGGTATCGAAAGCGAACCCTACCCCTGGAATGTTGGACAACGTTGTGCAAACTATATGGCCCACAATGCAGCCGCATCTTGATGCATTGACACGGTCAATGCCATCAAGCATGGCAGCCGTAATCGCAGCCAATGGGGGGACAACTAGGTATTAGCAAAATTCAGATCTAGATCCATTCATTTAGGTCAGGTTTCGCAATGCCCCAAGATTAAGGATGATGAGTTGATGTCGCGCAACGCGCGTCAGACACTGACTTAATCTGGCATGCACACAGCTTTATGTCCACTGACTGTACGTCTGTCAAACCGGCCATTATTGTCCGAAGTGTGAAAGAGAGGCTGAGCCGGCGTTCACACCTAGCTTCACATTCATCGATGTTGAGTGGAGGACGTCGAGCTCTATCGATAATATATAGGATGAAACCGACCAGAAGCTGATTCTGGAAGAAGGGGCTTCCTGTATGTCTGCCGGTAAACTGTCCATAAAGGAGCAACGTGAATGTGATCTAGCGGTATACAGTTTCGACATTAGGTAAACCACGGCCAATAATGATGACACTATATAAACAACCCATGGTTCAAAGCAGTCAAAAGATGAATTACATAGACATGAGAAGGTAGAACATTATCGAAGCAGAGCAAAAGTGCAAAGCCGGGGTATCATATGAAAACAGGTTGAGGGTGAAGAACAATATGCTGAATGATCCAAAAATGACAAAAAGGTACAGGAAGGGTGTGAACGTATCTCGTCTCTATGAGCGGGAGGTTGGACGGAAGTTGAAGTGGCGGTGATTAATGGATGTACGCGCGGAGAGAACGTGAAAACATGTGGCTATCGAAATGTTGTTAGGCGAAGCTGCCTCAAGGACAGGCCATGTGAGCGCCATTGGGGGAGAATGTCGTAGTCGACGCATGGATGGCGGCATCAAAAAGTTGGGAACTCCCTAAGAGGTGGTGCTCCACTCGATGTCGGGCACGAGCCGGACTTATACGAGGTCCGGTTGCGTTCGCACTGGCTCAAACTCCCAACTATGCAGCGATAGGGAGAAAGGCAGGGCATCGTCGCAACATCTACCCTCATCCGTCGGTCTTCGACCGCTGCGGTAGAGGGGGAAGCGCACTGGCAGATGGGCGCCGCGAATGGTTCTGCGAGCGAGCTCTTGCAGGCTCCTCTCTGATGGGTTTCATGTCCGGTGACGAGTTAGCAGCGTCGTCCGGGTCAAGACACCGCAGCATTGCGTCGAGCAGCGCATCCAACTTGATGGGCTTGCTGCAGTACTCATCGCTACCAGCGGCCAGAGACGCCTCGCGATCGCCCATCATCGCATTGGCGGTCAATGAGATGATGCGAGGTTGTTGATCAGGCGGCAAACTCGACCGAATGAGCCGAGTGCTTGTGAGGCCGTCCATGACGGGCATCATGTGATCCATGAGAACCAAATCATAATGTGATTTCATAACGGCCTCAAGGGCTAGCTTTCCGTTTTCCACAATGTCCATCGTGATGCCCACGCGCTTTAGCATGTGAACGGCGACCTTCTGGTTAATAGGGTTGTCTTCGGCTAGAAGGATTTTCGCCCGCTGCAGCAATTCTAAGTCTTCGGTGGAAGACCCACGCTTTCCGCTTTGTAACCGGCGTTTGGTGATCTTCGGGCTAGCCTTAGGTGTCTCTTCGATGGTGCTGGGCCCAAATATCAAGAACGATCCCTGTTTCCGTTGATGATCCAGTGTATCTGGATGTCGGGGCTTCACGTCGGGTGTGGGTGACGAATTGCCATTGACCCCGATTGTTTCTTCATCGACGAGCTCTTGAACGCTCGGAGACTTCAAAGGGGTCAACGGAGTGGATGGGTGAGTTTTTACTGGCGACAGTGACATCCGTTCCAATCGCAGGAACATTTCGACCAGTTGCTGTTTTAGGCGAAGCTTTTTGATGGGCTTGATCATCATCGCGGAGAATTGCGCTATTTGCTTTTCCTCTTCTCCGAAACGGCAGCCCATAGAGGTCAAGAGCACCAAGGGCATGGTCTTCGGCTTCTGACTCAGGTGACGTATGCGAGTGGCGAGGGTGTATCCGTCCATATTGGGCATGATCATATCCAGTAAAGCCAAATCGAATCCGGAGTCCGTCTCCAACGCCTTGAGAGCTTCCTCTCCGCTACCCACGCATTTGACACGCATACCCCAGCTGGAACAGAATTGCTCCAAAATCCGGCGATTGGTTCGGTTATCGTCCACGACGAGCACGCCTTTGCCCTGCAATATCTGCATATGGTCAACGGCGTCGGCGTCCACATCTGGCGCTGCTCGCACGCGGATGGTGAAAAAGAATGTGGATCCCACACCACTCTCAGATTCTACCCACATCGTTCCACCCATCATTTCGGCAAGTCGTTTGCTGATCACCAAGCCCAATCCTGTACCTCCATGAGTACGAGTTGTGCTTGAATCGACCTGCGAAAAACTCTGGAACAGGCGATGCATGCGATCGGCCGGGATGCCTATCCCAGTATCCTTTACTTTCAAGGTGATTTCGTAGAAGCCTTCTTCCATCGGCGTGTCCCCCGCCTGATCCAGCCGTCTGTTCTCCACCGATACCACCACTTCGCCATTGGTTGTAAACTAAAAAGCGTAGGTTCAACAGCGTCAGGAAAATCGCCACAGCGCGACCGTAAACAAAAACGAAAACGAAGACTCACCTTGACGGCGTTGGACAGCAGATTGACGAGGATCTGCCTCAAACGAGTGGGATCTCCAACAAAGGTACCAGGTTCGTCGTTATTGACATAGAGGAGCTCCAAATTCCTCTCCGCTGCTTTGGGCACAAGTAGGTCTAAGGCACCTTCTATACAGGTGCGAAGAGAAAATGGAACTTCTTCCAAATCCAGCTTCCCGCTCTCGATTTTGCTGAAGTCCAGGATATCGTTGATAATGCTCAGCAGTTCATCTCCGGATGTGTGAATGATGTTCGCGTAATCCTCCTGCAGCGTGTTGAGGCCGCTTTCCAACAAGCAATTCGCCATACCGATGATAGCATTCATTGGCGTTCTTATCTCATGACTCATATTTGCCAGGAAGCTACTCTTCGCCAAAGTTGCAGCCTTTGCCATCTCCAGCGCCTCGTGCGTGTCCTGTTGCGCTTTGATCCTTTCCTGAACTTCAACCTCCAGGATTGCATTCTTTTCCTGCAACTGCTTCGTGCGCTGTTCAACCATATTCGACAGGTTAAAGCTATAATCTTGGAGGCGCTTGTACAGCGATGCATTCTCGAGCGCTGCAGCCGCCGTGGAGACAAGAATCTGCAAGATCTTGAGACGCGATTCCGTAAAGGCTCCAGCGATCAAGTCGTTCTCCAGATAGAGGATAGCCGTCATTTTGCCCTGCAAGAGAACGGGCGTGCAAAGTAAAGACTGCGGTTTTCGCATTCTCAAACAGGGCTCAACGAGGCATGCTCGCCGTAACGAGTCCGGCAGACATGTGCTCATTGCAACCTGTTGGGTCCGGTAAACATAGTTGATAAGGCACGCTGGTACTTCGGCTGAGGCGTCGGTGATGGAGATGGCGGACTCGGTGACTTTGATGTCAAGCTTCGACCCATTGGCACCGGAGAAGTAGCTACTTGACGACGTTTGTGATGCAGGTTGTCCATCAACGGCTGCCACGGAAGGACGTGGAGTGCCGTTCGCGGCCTGATCGCCCGCTTTGGGTGCATCGGACATCTCGTCAAGAGCATTCGGGTTCGTAGTGGCCTCATTGGGGTTGCGCACTGCGAGAGATCCAGACGACACCAGGACCAGATCATGGTCGCGCACTTGCATCAAGAACGCCCGCGAGGCGCCGGTGTTGCGGATGATATTGGCGATGACTTGCTTGACAAGGCGCGGGAAAACAATCTCCGTCGATATAGCCCTGGTTGCATTCTAGTGCGACAGCCAGACCCCTTGTAAGCACTTGATTCAACACACGCAGATCGATCGCCATTCCGCACTTACCAACAAAGCTTCTATGTCAATCTCGTCATGCTTTTCCTCGATCTTCGAAGTTCTCCCCGCACTAAGCCAGCTCCACATGCCACCCATACTCTGCAACTGCGCGGTTTTCGCTTTGCTGCCCCAGAGCACATACGCGTAAAACGCGTCCGCGGCGTACGCCCCGGCGACGTTCATTTTCCCTGCTGCCGCGTAATACTCAGCCGCGAGCTCGCTAGCCAGTGCTTCTTCGTGCGTGAACCGGTTCGTGCGCGCCATGGCGATAGCTTCATCGTACAACTCCATAGCGACATACTTATTGCCCGCAACCCGCTCGTACTCCGCTTGTACAAGCTTGTACTTGTGCAGGAAGTTTCCAGGCGCACTGTCCGCATACACCTGCATCTGCTTCTGATTCCGGATCACTGTCTCCTCCGCGGCCGGCCAGGATGGACTGTCGATGTCAGCGACAGCCAGCAGGGCTAGTGACTGATAAAAGCTGAGTTCCGCGACGAGAAGGAGACCAACACCGCCAGCCACGACGCTTTCAGCGAGGGCTGCTTGCTCCACCGCTTGATCGTACTCGCGAAAGACGTAGGCCAGGATAAGCTTGTAGCAGTGATACGCAAAAATACACAGCTGCATCTTTTGAACCTCTGGGGTGAGCATCGTGCGTTCATCAAAGACCTCCCCGACCAACATCGTTGTGTCCTTTGGCTCAGCCTCGGGATTCCCAATCAAAGTCTTGACAAGCTGGTGGGTGATGCGGATGTAGGCCGATCCAATGGCCTGCTTTTGTTCATAGACCTTATTGGCCTGCTGCGTGCTCTTTTCGTCGATTTCGCTCAGATTCTCTCCAGACAGGACAGAGTACATCATATCCTCGGTCGCGGCGTATCCCATGTATTCGAAGTTGCACGTGGCCAAACCATGGTTCCATGCGATTTTGTAACTCTGCATGCATTCCCGTACCGGCTCGGTCCAAGGTTGAATGTGCGAGGCGAACACTTTGTAAACCTGGCACTTGATGGGATCGTTCTCCCAGTGGTCAGATACAAGGTTCTTTCCGACACATCCCCAAACATAGCCTTTGGTCATCTCCTGGTAGACACCACACAGGAGTAGACCGTAGAGAATGTAGCCATAACAGCTGCTCGCCGTATTTCCGTTGTCCACACTGATGCGAACCATAGTGAGGATAAGAGGAACAAGTAGCTCAGGCGCTCCAAAGTAAATCGGGGGTATCAATGCAGACATCATCTCCAGAGCCTTCGCCGTGTTTTCATTCTCGTCCATCATCCGGGCATGCTCCAAATGCTGAATCTCCGCATCGGTCAGGTCCAGTCCCGCCCGGAGTGCATCCACTTCCGGACTACCCGCTGGCGGGATGGGGCACCCCAAAACAGTCAGAACATCCAGGCCCGTCGCGATGGCTTCTTGCGTCAACCCTTGACTTGTCCAGTACTTCACCTCGATGAGCCCAAGTTGAGCCTTCTCGGTTACGTTGCGGAGGTTCAGTTTCGCGTTATCTATGAGATCTTTGGCCCTCGTGTATCGGCAGCAATTGTACTCCGCCTCAATGAGATCCAAGTGCAGCTGTTTAGCGAGATCGTAGTTCCGCCCCCAGCTAGCTTCCTCGCCGCCCAACATCTCCAGCCCGACCTTGAAGTACTCCGAAGCGGTATCTGCAAACGCGGCGTCTTTCGCTTTCGTTCCGGCCATGCAGTTATACTTTGCGCATTCCTCACGGGCTCGCTCGGACGTGATCAGGGATTGCCCCTTGTTGAGCTGATTTACGATCTCAAAAATGCGGTCCTGCACCTCGTTTGGTGGCGTGTACATGATGAGGAGCTGGCCGACCTTCAGATGAGTTTGCACTCGTTCTTCTTCACTGAGAAGCAACATGGCCGCTTGCTGCACACGATCTATGGAGTGGGAAATGCATCAGCGTTTTCCTGATGATGGCTTCACTTACGTAGTAGCGGTATGTACATACCATGCTGAAACTTGTAATTGACGCGAATGTGGGCGGTACCACCCTGTAAATGCTCAGAGCCAGCGTAACCGGACAATGCCAACGGGACTTTGTAGGATTGATCCAGAGGAACGATATAGCCCCCTTCAACGCCTTCCCACAGCTCCGTCACTGTCGCATCCACCGGCTTCTCGTGCAGCTTGCTGATCATAAACAGGTTGAATGTGTCTCCTATACAGGCCGCGAGACTGAGCACGCGTTGTCCATTAAGCGTCAACTTGCGCATTTGCGTGACCATGAAGTCAACCACGTTTTCCGCCAGTCCTGCCTCCGAAACTGAGGCCGGGTCCCAGATCCATTTCCGTTTCGTCCAGTTGAAGGTCAGGCTGTCAGTCTGATGGAAGCTTTTCAACAGCTGTAATGAAAAGGGGTCAGTATTGTACGGAACCGTAAATCGAGAAGTCCTGCCGAATGTGCAGACAACAGAAGAACGCACATACCTGCAACAAAAAAAACGGATTCCCCGCCGTCTGAGCATGCACTAGCTTCGTCAAGCTCATGGCTTTCGCAGGCGGTGCCTCCTCCTTTCCTGGAAGCGAAGAGAACGAGCCATGCGCCGACGCCGACGGGGTCCCTGGCAGACTCCCGTAGCTACTCCCAGCGGCTGAGGAAGTCTCATGATCCGACGTGTCCGAGTCGCTCGACTCGGACGCACTCCGGGCCAAAGCTGAAGAGCTGTGAGTGATCGACGGGACGCGCCTCGCCTTTTCCCATCCGAGAGTGTCGGCTATGAGTTCAGCTACTGCTGTTGGATCCAACGGCTTTAATTCGATTTCAATCAAGTACCGTTGGACATCCGGGGCTTTGCGTAAGGAGGTAAGGATTTCGGACAGTGGGTGCAGTTTGTCGACTTCGTTGTTCCGGTATGCTAATATGAGAAGTACGCCGCCAAGACTCTTCTCCGGATCCGACATGATCGAGCTAATCATGTTGAGAGTCCCTGTATCCGCCCACTGCATATCATCCAAGACTAGGACCAACATTCGCCGATCATCGCCGATGTTCGAAGGAAGGGACGTGAACACCTGAATGAATTTCAGCATGACGGTGATGAACCGCTGCTTTCTTTGCGCCTGTTCCAGATTGGCCGCAACGGGCTGCAAACCGACCACCTGTTCCAGCTGCGGGCAGATCTGGACGATGATTCCCCCCAGCCCATCCGCTCCAATCAACTCATCGAACTTCGCTCGAAATGCATCCAACAGCTCGACGGGCGACGCCAAGATGTTTGCCACCAATTCCCGAAACGCCTGAATAAAGCTGTGGAAAGGTAGCCGCGCCGAGAACTGATCCACTTTCGACGCCGCAAACCACGACCCGCCCGTTACGACCGGTGTGTGGATTTCGGAAATCAAAGCAGATTTTCCCACACCGGAATATCCTCCCACCGAACACAGAACCGGACGTCCCTTACGAGTGATTTCCAGCGAATCCAGCAACTTCTGTATCTCCTCCTCGCGCCCGTACAATTTGTTTGGGAACACCAGCCGCGATCTAGCATCGTATATGCCGGGAGTAAAGCGAGCGAGACCTCGATGATTGTGTGCGACCGTGCCATTCCGGTGGTGCGTTCGACGAAGCAGCGTACTGAGTCGGTTGCAATCGGCAGAAATACCCATCGCGTGCTGATATCTGTCCTCAGCGTTCTTCGAAAGCATTTTGAAGACCATTTCTGCGCATTTCGGATGAATGCTATCCGGTAATGGCGGTGGAGAGCGTGCAAGATGAGCGAATACCAATTCGGCAGGACCCAAATCCGATGATTTGAATGGCGTCTGCATCGTCAGGAGTTCGTAGAAGACACATCCGAGGGAGTAGAAATCGGCGCGGTAGTCCAGCGATCTACTGGTCCGCCCTGTTGCCTCCGGTGCCATATACGCCAAGTCGCCTTCCAGTCCAACAGGTGACATCCCCGGATTGAGGTTCACGCTATATTTTTCCGTTTCTAATCGCGAAGCGTGTCCAAAATCTACAATGCGCACATCGAAATCTTCGCATTCCGGGTCGGACGGTGCTTTCGGTGCTGCAACGATGGACGAAGACGAGAGGTTCTGGAAAATGGAAGAAAATCAATATTCATCCCGTGATCCGGAAACGTTGTAGGCTGAGTGTTTTACTCACTTTGTGGGTAATGCCGCCGTCGTGGATGAATACGAGAGCCATTCCGATCTGCTGAATCAATTTCAGCGCAGCCAGCACAGGAAATGGTTTTCCGCGTCGTTCCAAAATGCCGTGGAGGGTGAACTCCGAGTAATCGGGGAAGGGCAGCAACAGCCCTTGTGCTGATGACGAGAAAGGGAAAGGAGGGATGATAGCCGTTTGCACGTTTGGGACCAGTCCATTTGAACTTCGTTGCCGTGGCATTGCAAAGTAGCCCTCAGCGGACGAGGCAGTGCCTGGCGACTCCAGTGGAAAGATAGCATCTGGTAAGGCGATCATGCCTTCGTGAGCACTTTTATATAGGGAAGACGAAGACGTCGACATCCCTGGTGTGAGTGAGGCCGCAGCTCCGAATCCATCAGCCGGAGATTGCCTGATGCGTGTAGCTGGCGGCGATAACATCTGGGCCGATCGATCGACAAGCAAATGTTTGATGATATTGTACTCGTGGCGCAATTGAGCGACCGCTTCTACGCCTCTTGGCCCATCCTGAGACGCGGCTTTGACAAGCACGGGTATATGTCCAAGACGACCCCTGTAAGTAGCAGTCGTGTGGCACGAGTCTTGTGCGATCAAAGTCAAGTCGGTCAGAGGGTCGACCAAACTGACGTTCAGTGCGCTAGCAAATAATGAGACGGTATCTAGCATGGGTCGCGCGGGGCTGGGTGTTGGGATTTTCGTGGGCAGAGAGTTTTCGTTCGTAAACGATGCAGCTTGTGACGATGATCCTTGCGACGTGAAGGCGGGAAGGTTCGTCAAGCGAGGAATACTGCGACGTCGCCGGCTTGCCAATAAAGTCGACTCTGGAGCGTGGTCTAATAATAGCCCTGTTACGGGCCGTCGTGACTGAGATTCCGTAGCCTCGGGTCCAGCTCGAAAAGGATTTGCCACACAAGAGCCTCGACCACTATGCCCATCCATACCGACCGTCTGCGTCATTCCTGGTCGCCGTCCGTCTGTAGCCTCTGTTGCCGCCGCTGAAGCGGAGAGTCCGCCTTTCCGGCGCTTGGAAGAAGGCGGCTGCAATTGACCAGTGACAAGCTGGTCGTACGCCGCAGCGAGACTGGCCGAGTGTTGCTGACTGTAGCTGCGAAAGTCCCGTCCTGGAAGAGAAGGATTCTCCCGGTCACAGTGAGGAATGCCCTCAAGCGAGTAGGAATCCCCCCGAGAGAACCACCCTTTGCTGGGCGATCGTTGTCGTTTCTTTCCTCCGGACATATCGAATAGAAAGAGAGATAATGAGGGCGAAAAGGGAGAAGAAAGTTAGACCCTTTGTGGATAGGCGATGGTGAAGAATCCCGATAGACCCCTTCCAGTGCATGACGGGGTCGACCGGTGAGGAGGCTGCGCTGCCGATGAGGATTCAGCTGTTGGAGGTCTGCCGTCCAACGACAGCCAGTTGAGAGCAGGTGCTGGTGCTCGCTCATTGGGCCCTTCCAATAGTCTGCCGAGTAGACCCCTCCAGTTGCAAATTGCGATGGTCAATGCTCAAAGGAGCAAAAAGTTGGCCCCTCCTTGTGGCTTTTCTCACATTGATCTTGACAAGCCTACGGCACGCATTCACATTCAACCCTCCTTCATCCATTCATTCAGTCACCGGCAACAGCGAGCCCTCCCTCCCATCCATCCCACACATCACATAGATATGCGAGGCCACCGTTGCCCTCGTCGTCCAACTTTGCAGCCCTCCGTCTGCGCCGATCCTTCCTTCGCGCCATCAAATAAAAAACCATGCCTCAGTTGTGGTCGTTCACCGCAGGGCCATGGCTCCATAATGACGGGCACTGACAGTTTCCGCACACCGTCTTACCTGATCCGCAATATGCTCTTCTGCCTCTGGGTGGCCGATGGTCGTCCTCGTTGCGAATGCCCGCTCAGTGTTAGGGCTCCTTTCCGGCGACGGAAGCTGTGCGGCAAAAATAAAAGAGTTCCATGAAGTCAACGTCTCGGCTTTTAAGTTCAATGTGGAATTGTTGGCGCAAACGTTACCATCGTGTTACTCACTGTGGGGGCGTAAATGTGTGCCTGGGTGTCTCTCGGAGAAGCGTTCTACGTACTATCCACCGTATCTCAATCGCAGGTTGAAGGTCTCCCGACGAAAGGCGCCATAAAGGAGGGTTGGGCAACAATTATGTACAGATGGGAGAAATCGTATCCCGAAAATGCACAATTGGTATCCTGCGGGTCTCACAGCCCTATACGTGGCGGGTGCACGCCATCATATACTTACAGCGTCATTCCTAGCTGCTGGTAATAATCGGGAGGGTATCTGGCCCTCCGGTATGTGCGCTTCATGGCTTTTTTACGACTGCCAAACGCGGATTGTGTGCATGATGTCGCCCCGTACCCTCGTCATTCTACCAATTGAGCCACGGGGCCCCACTTAAAGGGGGCGCTTCATTCTAAGCTTCACTGTAAAGTTTTCAAAGCGATCGACATACTTTCTATCATCCCGATCTCCTTTATATTTATACAATCGATCGGCACAAAGTCCAAGATTCGTATGCTGCGGTGTGCAGCCAGGATCAACGGGGGTTATCATTGCACAATCCATTGCGCATCATCACCCGTCCGTGGGTCCGAGAGCTTCTAGAAGTGACCACAATGGGTTCAGCTGTCAATACCTTGCTTAGTCATCATGAAGTCGCGTCGTCTCAAGTTGTCGGCCTGCCCCCTCCACTCCTCCGCGCAGGGGCGCCATGACCTGGCCTTACGTCCATTTTGTTTACTTCACTATATCGCTCCATTCTTTCCGTTCTCTGGGAAGCCTTGAGTCATCGTCGCTACATAACCAACACCGCTGGAGCTTTTCGCTCCGTCCCTCCGCGCAGGGGTCGATAACGCCTCCAGGGTGCCCCCACTCGTCAACCCCTTGCGGGGTCTCGGCCGAAGGATGCAGACAGGTGATGGCTGGTAGGTAAGATGGGACGGGCTCTTCATTTCGCCGGTAGTTATAGCTTATAGGTACCTTGTTCCTGCGGAGGTTAAATGTGGCGAGCCACCCCAACACTCCGAGGCCAGGCAAGGTCATACAAGTAAGGAAGAACTGCAAAAGATGAATGCAGGCATCGTCCTTTATCTTCAACATCTGCGACGGTATGTGATAACGGGCTGCATACATCTACTACATTGATACCCGGGAGCGTCAGGAGAGTGACTGTGAAAGGCTGCTATTGTCTACTTCGACGAGCTGATGTAGTAAGAATTTCCTATCTGACCAAGGCGAGCGACGCGTGAGAGCGATTGTCTGATCCGTTGCAGGGTCTCTGCCTATGGAGAGGAAGAAGTCTTTGAAGCTGCAGCTCATTTCGTGTTACAGGAGTTGGTAAGTTCCGTCAACATTTTACCCGACTGTCCAGCAAATTCAAACGATCAGCACATGCATCCTTCCCGCACAGCACGTCATCACGCGCAACACCTACCAAAAACTCCTCAATATTATCCAAAGTAGTCTCCGCAATCTTCTCCAACGCATCCGTCGTCAAGAACGCCTGATGCCCCGTAATCACCACATTCGGGAAACTCATCAGCCTGGCCAACACATCGTCCACAATCCCTTCCTGCCGCTTATCCTCAAAAAAGTACCCCTTCTCGCCCTCATACACATCCAGCCCCGCATACCCAACCTTTCCCGTCTTCAAATGCTTCAGCAGGGCTTTGGTGTCGATCAGTGGGCCGCGGCTGGTGTTGATGATCATGACGCCGTTTTTGCATTTGGAGAGCTTTTCGTCGTTGAGGAAGTATTGGGTGTCTGGGAGGAGGGGGAGGTGGAGGGAGATGATGTCGCTTTGGGAGAGGAGGGTGTCGATGGTGGTGTAGGTTACGCCTTTGCGGGATTTGAGCGAGTCGGCTTGGTATTTGTCGTAGCAGAGGACGCGGCAGCCGAACCCGAGGAGGATGTCGACGAGGCATTGGCCAATTTTGCCTGTTCCGCAGACGCCGACCTGGTGGATCGTTCAAAACATCAATTGGGGGTACAACGAACCCGTCAGACACGCCCATCGCACACTCACAGTCTTGCCGTGCATATCAAACCCAACAAGCCCATCCAGCCCGAAATCGCCATGCACAGTCTTCGAATGCGCGCGATGCAGCTTCCGGTTCAGGCAGAGCATCAACGCCGTCGCATGCTCTGCGACACTGTACGGGCTGTAGTTTGGTACCCGTGCAACAGAGATTTTGAGCTTGGTGCATGCTTCGAGATCGACGTTGTCGGAGCCGTTGCAGCGGAGCGCGATCATCTTGGTGCCGTGTAGTTGCAGGGTGGAGGCCATCGAGGCGCTGACTTGGTCGTTGACAAAGATGCAGACGATCTACGTGTAACCGCATTCAGCATGCATTGCGACGCGTTGAGACAGACTCCCGCGATAGAATACCTTCGAGTCCGAAGCCAATCGAACAGAGCTCTCATCCAACTTCAGCTTCACAAAGTCAAAATCAAACTTGTTCCCTCGTTTCTCATTCTCGGCCCTGAACACCTTGGTCATGTACGGTTTGGCATCCTTCACAACGGACATCACATCATCAGCGCCCCGGTCCCGAAGAGATATGCGTTGATCTCAGGACTCAGTACTTACAAAGAACGTAATCACGGGTTTACGTGCAGCATTCTTCGCTTCGTCGAGACTGTCCACCCAGTGCTGGGAGAGCTCTGAGGAGAGGTAGCGGATGAGGGAAGACGCCGCGACGGGGTCTTTGGCAATGAGAGGTTCCGCGGATGCGGCGGAGAGTTTGATGACGGTTGTTGGTTTGACTGCGATCACATCTGAGGGTGCCGCGTAATCCGAGAACTATCGACACCATTATGTCAGGAAAACCGCTTGAGCGATGCGCACTTTCCATTGAACTGCACATCCACTCACCAAAGCACAAACGCCCATATACCCCCCCTCCCCAACGGGCCGCAGCTCCGACCTCTGCTCCGGCTGTTCATCCGACACCTTCGTCTTGGTCGTCCATGCCAATTCACCGCTCTGCACAACATAAAGAGCTCCAAGAAACTGTTCAGACTTCAAGAGCAGCTCGTCTTTCTGCAGGTGCAGGGTTTCGGCAGCGTCTGCGAAGGGCGCGATTTGAGCGTCGCTGAGATGTTGGAAGGCGGGGACGAGGCGGAGAGAGGAGGTGGGGGTGGGCGATGGGGTTTTTGTGACCGTCATTGCGATGGCGGTTTCTATGTCAGAGATGTGTGTGTTTGGGTATCAGATTGATGGAGAGATCTCGGCCGGTCATCTCAGGACGAAAGAGACGAAGGCGGCAATCGATGGAAACGAGTCAAACGACCCTCGGGAACGGGGCTTGGACGTTGACTGCGCCCATTATGGCCCAAAGAAAGCTACCGTGATCCGGTGCGTCGGGTGAGCCTCCGATGGGAGCCAGACACCGCGCCACAATGCTGACACGGCTGAAGCAATATCAATACGACCTGCACAAGCAAGCTGGCAGCACTCGCAACTTCAAACCGTGTCGGCGCATGTCGCGGACGCATAACCACATCGACCCACTTATACAAGAGCTTATTGGGGGACTAGACCCACAGAAGCGCGCGGCATCGCAGGCAGCGTTGAAGGAGGCGTCGGCGAAGGAGGCTAAAGGCCGTGAACAATTGAGGTACTAGATAAGGGTTAATGCCGAATAAAGTGATAGCGATGAGTCTACTATTGATAAACTCCGGGCGTAGACAATGGCTGAACGCTCTCCGATGTATTTTCATGATTCTCGGCATATGTACATAGTGTATTTGCACATCGTTCTGGCTAATCGATTTTGTGATATTAGAGTGGAAGCAGGGAAGCGCGGTGGAGTTTCTTATGAGTTCATCCCGGGGGAAGCATGGTCGCGTCGATCTTGCCATGCTGCTCTTCTTCCTCTTCTTCTACTGTGATGTCGTCTTCGTACACTCCATCCACGGGACTACGGGGCATGGCCATCGCACCTAAAGAGTAAAGATCAGTAGAGAGACCTGATGAAGGTATCAAAGAATTGTGCCTTCATACCAGATCGTGCAGCCTCTATGATTCCAAAGGGCTTGAGAAGCTTCATAAACGCGTCGATTCTATCGGGCTTGGCCGTCAATTCGATTATAATGCCATCGATACTGACATCCGTGACGCGAGCTTTAAACAGACGGGCCAATTCTGTGATCGCTTGACGTTGCATCGCAGCTCCTAACAAAGGTGAGAGCGTCGACTGTGTCTATTGAAGAGAACGATAAGTGTGATGCGCCGGGACGTTCATTCGCGAATTAGCGTCGCGCATCTCAAACTCACAGCTTGCTCGTCCGCCTCGTGAGATTCATAATCGAAGTGCACAGCATGCTCTTTTGGCACTGTGGAAACCTTCACCAAGAGCATCTCCCTCTCTACGATCCTCCCGTGCGTGAAATCTAAGACAGCCCATACAGGCACCATATCTTCCAACTGCCTCCTCGCCTGCTCAATGACCGCCTTCTGGCCGCTCAGCACGATGGTCATCCGACTCAAGTCCGCGACCTCCGTCTTTGCAACGACTAGAGACTCGATATTGAAGCCACGCCCTGCCAAAGTCCCAGAGACGTGCGACAGCACCCCTGGCTCATTGGAAACAAGGCAGTTGAGGACGTGGCGGGTGATGGGAGCTTGAGTTGCGGTTGGGGTGTTATAGAGGATGTTGTTGACGGCCTGCTCAGCGGAAGAAAAGAAGGGCTCTGGGTCCAAGAAAGCGGGCTTCTTTCGGCGGCGACGGAAGTGGGGAACGGGCGCCGCTGTTGGGGCTTGTGTACGTAGGGTCGCACATGATGCAAACGATCTACGCCCTGCGCCGACGCAAGATGCAGTCCGAGTACCGACATAAAGAGCCTAGAGAAGATTGAACGTGAGACGGGGGCATGCACACGACGCTTTACCACGGTGACCTGAGCCTATACTAGAGCTCTCCAACGTACCGTTGCCGCACGCATTGTGGCCTGGCCGCCGTGGGTCGAACGCATCGACAACATGACCGAAAGGAAGCGCTCTGAGACGATCTGACTCGTTGTACAGTACGTATGTGGAATCGGTGAAAAGAGCCGCTTTGGAACAGCCGCAACGAACACAGGCTATAGGTGCGAATATGAACTAACTCTCTGAGGACGTAGAGGGTGTCTCTTTGTGGGAAGTTGTTCGTTCGCCTCGTTCACAGTTTCCCACGGACGACTTGAGAGTTGGGAGATTGGAAGCGAGTGAAGCATGTGAATCATCATCACGCATGACTCACCCCTAACAATCCAACATCCAACATAACGCGTCCGCGGACATACTGTAATTCTCGACGACGGGACCCTGCCACCGCTCCCGGTCAGAACTTACACGTCTCGTAAGCAAAAAAGGGGCATCGATTCAGCCCAGGGTCCCCCGAAACTCTCCTGTGGCCCCGCTTTGCTCCCAGCCTCCCCCTCATCCCGTCGGCTATGAAAGAGCCGCCTCCCTCCCCCGTCCCGATTTCTGTTTCTCTGCAGGAGGTCAGCTCCGCTCCAGGCCCTCTCCTGTCTGGTCGCCTGCCCCCTTTCAGTCCCACATCCATCTGTAAATTTCAGATGTCGCCGAATGTGGTCGGGCTTGACTCGGGAGGCCGGGAATGCGCCAGCAAATTGCGCCACTCCATTCTGTCCTGGACGAACTGTCCGCGGGCGCGAGTGCAGGAGGTAGGGACGGCCGCTTAGCGCCGTCACCCGCTCGCCATTCTGCATCTTCATGATTCGTCAGCCCGACGCGTGGCATCTCTGCCAACGACGCGTCGTCACACCGCCATTTCACCGACATCTTGATAGCGGCGGTGCAATGGTGGTTTCGAAGCTTGAACCAGGTCGCCTTCAGTGGCCTCGCTCTACTGCGGCGCAGGTAATGGAGTTTCAACAAGGGGCGTCTCTTGGAACGAGTATGTGTCAAAGTAAGAATATAAAGACATCGCGAGCAGGGAGCTCAGTAAGAATTGTCGTGGAGTATGTCGCGAGAAGGTAGGAAATGTACAGTACGTAACTACTTCTCCATACGAGCTCTTCTCTATTACATTCGTTCAGGGTACGGAGGTTCGAGATCCGGGGGCGAAGCGGTTTTAGGGAACAAAGAAGGAGGGTATCAGGGAGAAAATCTATCTATCTATAGTAGTCAGAGGATACGCCTATGGGTCAGGGCACGAAGCAAGAGAGTGGGGGATATTCTAACAAAAGAAGTCTAATCGAACGAGCTAAGAAGAAACTCCGCGTGACGCCCACGCCGACGGGGCCCCGTTTCCCGAACGTTTCACACGGGGAACATGCTCCACTGCGAGAGGGTGAACGTGCGTGCGATGAAGATAAAATCGCCGAGCGTAGCCACACGCGGATCTTGGCCCCCTGTCTCCGTGGACACTATTTCCCCGTTGATCTGGCCTGTGACTGCGTCGATTTGGGCAAAGCGCCGTCCGGCGCCCCTGGTGTTCCTCAAAAAGAAAAGGCGACGGTTATCGGAGGTAACCCACATATTCGTGTCAAAGTAGCGAAAGTATTCGTCCGAAATGTTCGGACATTTCGGGTCGATATCTCTTGGAAATGAAGCCAGGAGCCGGGGATAGCCATATCGTTTGTTTCCCGTAACAACGACGGTCTCGTTGATTCGTGTGTACAACCAGTTTGAATCCGCGGAGAAGATGTTGGCCAGGTACGCTTGCATTGTGACGTCGACCACCGCGGGATCAGTCAGCGGATTGTCGGGATCAAAGTTGGAGCGATTTTGGAAGGTAGGAACATCGATCGCAATGTTGGCGGCAATACGTTGCGACACCCCGCCGGGCGAAGATATTGCGACAAGGGTATTGCCGTCGGGTGACAGCAAGGGATCAGCCCAGTCGTCAAATAGAAGATAGGGCGAGTCCCGTTGGCGAATACGAACCCTAACTCGATCCTACCCGGACTTTCATCCACTGCCACCGTCGTGCGTCCGCAAACCTGCGCGGCGCATGTCCCATTCGGGATGACAGAGCGGGTGTGCTCCGCGTGCCTGTCCATGCGATAGAGCGTACAGGGAAATGCGTCACTGCTTGCGTAAAGATATCTTGATTCAGGATCATCGCATGTATCGAAGGACAGCCACCTCAATTCGGGGACTGTCACCGTCACGTCCGGAGGCGGAGCTGAGGCGGTACTCCTCAGCAATGTGGTCCGATTCCAGCCAAATATGGTACCATTATTCAGGCCCACATACAGAAAATCCTCCTTAGGCGAAGCCTTCACGTCTGCGATCCAGGTACGATTCTCCCCGAGGACTATCCTTCTGACCATAGTACCAGGTGCGATCGGTTTGCTCGTGGGTTGCGGTGTTGCAACAGACGAGGCTGTACTGGTGCCCCCCGGCTGTGACGGTAAGGACGAACGCATGGCAGCACCAGAAGCCTTAGACTTGAGGACCACGGCGGTCGTTGAAGCTATTATCGCAACGACGACAAGGAGCAGGAGCAAGGCACAACTGATGACACGTTGGCGTGACCTCATGAACGGACACTTGAGCTTTTGGAAGGCAGTTTCGGCCTTCGCGCCATCGCGAAGGCCTGTCGTCTCGGCGATTGAAGCCGCGGGTGTCAGCGTGGTGTACTCCCTCGACAGCGATGCGGAGCCAAACAAGGAGTACGCTGGCGGGGCTTGCTCGGCCATTTCATTGCTCGCAGGTCGGATGTCGAAGGATTGCTCCGAAGCTCCTTTGATGGGAACAGTGGACGCCATAGATGACGCGGCAAAAAGTCTCCTTTGCGACATTTCCGGGGATGGGTCGGAGAAAGGTTCCTCCATAGGTCTTTCACCGGCAGCATACGGCGTAAGACCACTCTGCGACATCATCAACGTCTCTTCCTTAGAAGTGTCAACAATTTCCACCAAGAAATCGAGGGGCTGCCCTCCTATTGCGTTTACGCCCTTGGAGTGGCTGCGCGGCGGAGGGACTAAGGGAAACCAATCACGAAGGTCCAAAGATCTAGACTTTGACCGCCCGTCGTAAAAGTCGCCTTCATCAGAATCTTCAGGCACCTCTGTGGCCACAAACTGGGAGCTTAACGGCAAAGCTATCAGATCGCCGTGCAAAACTAGATGTTGGTGGGCCGCAAGTAGCCTTGGATCTTCGGAATTGCATCTTGGCGACTCGTCCACGCGCCATATCCGGAAAAGCTTCGTTGGACGTTGTCCCTGTTCCGCAAACAGTTTCCGAGAGGACGACCCATTTCGAGGACTGCCACTGCCGAGAGACCGGAGACGAGGAACCTGTTGGGTAAGAAGCTCGGCAAACCGACCGACGCCGTGGTTGAGGACTTCCTTGTTGAGAGGCACGACGAAAGCGGCTGTCGAAGGATCGTCCCCATTCACAATCCCGGTGAGCGAACGAGGATTGGCCGCCATTTTGGAATCGGTGAACACTCTCGTTCCAGTCTTCCCCGATACTGGTGAGTTTTGAACAGCGAGAACCACCACCGCACGGAGCGCTGTTCTACGGGCGTACGAGAATCTCGGTGAACCAAGGCGGATGTGAGATGGCTAGATGGCTAAGCTTCTCAGGCAAGAGAAAGCAAACGAAGGCGGACCAGCCCTACCGTCGTCCACCGTAAGCCGCGGGAGGGCCTATTACAGTATCAGAGTCGCGAACTCATAGGGTTATTGCGGTCGGCCAGGGTTATTGCGGTCGCCGAGTTGCACGTCGTACAGGTGTCTTACATATGTATGTACTGTACAAGATATGCTGGTTCGCGTCTCGCACTGTGTCGTACATATATATATACGAAGTTAGCCCCGTCAGCTCTTGCATGTTACAGTACAGTAACTGCATGTTAACTTGCCTATGCGAAGGACGATACTGGGAACAACGTAAGGGTGGCGCACGAATGTCGTCGCCAGAATGTACTGTACTGTAAGATGCGAGGCAATCCCAGCTGAAATCCAAACCCCGTGCCCTCTCGTGCGTCCATCCGCCTTCGCGCGACGCTCAGCAAGCAGAAGAAGAACGGCAGACCGATAGTGGGCTCCAATCCTACTGTGGTTCTGTGGAAAGACGAGAGTCTAGCATGGTGCGCTCTGCGTTCCGTGATACCGACTGCAATGGCACCTGAAATTGTGGTCTAGTATGTATGTCGATGGGAAAAAAGCCAAGTTACGCTAACTTACGCGTTTCAAATCCGCTCTCGCGGTGTTGACAACTCCCGGTGGAATATACAGTAGTTCACAAGAGTGCGAGGCGGCCATTGGGTGTCCAATTATGTGATTACAACCATGGTACAAGTTGACAAAGACGGAAGAATAAAGCATACAAGATAAGATGTCCAAGATACAAAAAAAACGGAATGAAACAGAGTTCAACAGGCGTAAAGACGCATTATTGGTAGGTTTACCAATGGAGTAGGTTGGGCACGAAACAGGGGCCCAGGTGCGAAAGTCCAGCCAAAAGCAGGGCTGGAAGGATTTTTCAACAGTGGTGGCAGGCATCAGATATGATCACTTGACCATATTCTTCAACATCTCGGCGTTTGTGGCGCCGGTCTCTTCGATCATGGATTTGAACACCGCATTTGGGTCCGAATCCGGTTTGGAGAGGAGATTGCGGGGCGTGTCGTATTCGGCGATGCGGCCGTCTTTGAGGACTAGGACGCGGTCGTAGTCGATGATTGTGTTCTGTTGAAGGTAGGACATGTGGGTGAGTTGGGCATGTTTTGATGGAAAATGCCGGCGACATAGACGCATGCATATTGTGACCACTTACCAAGCGATGCGCAACGCAAAGCACAGTACACTCCGCAAACTCCTCCCGAAGCACCTTCTGCACAACGGCATCGGTCTCGAGATCGACGTTCGCGGTGGCTTCGTCCATGATGAGGATCTTGGGCTTGCGCACCATCGCTCTCGCCAGGCAGACCTACAAACAGAAACATAGCCCATGGTCATTTCGATGTTGATCAGTAAAATGGGAAAGCGGTGATCACACTTACAAGTTGTCGTTGTCCGACGGAGAGGTTCTCGCCACCTTCCGCGACTGGGCCTTCCAGGCCGCCTTTCGCCACCACGTCGTCGCCGAGACGGGCGCGGCGGAGGGCGACGAGGAGGTCTTCATCCGTGTATTCCGAGAACGGGTCGAGGTTGCTGCGGAATGTGCCGCTGAATAGTGTTGGATCTGTTCATCCAGGCAAGAGTCAGTAAGACGTGACCGAGGATATAGCAAGTGGCCGCTTACTCGCAAAGCTTACCTTGGGGAATGATGGCAATAGCTCTCCTCAGATCATATAACGGCAGCGTCTGCGTATCCAGTCCATCGATCGAAATGACGGACCCCAAGCACGGCTCAACCGTCCGGTACAGCGACTGAATAAGCGTACTCTTCCCGCTCCCCGTGCGTCCACAGACTCCAATCTTCTCCATATGGTTGACAGACAATGTGAGATCATGCAGAACCGCGGGGAGATCCGGCGCGTATTGCAGCGTGAGATTGCGGATGGAGATGGCGCCTGTCGTCGGCCAGCCGTGCGGTGGCGGTTTGGTGGGCTCCCGTGGCACGTCGACAAAGACCGTGACCTCGGATGCGACGGGCTGTGCGGACCCGTCCGCTTTGCTGGCGGACAACGAGGACGGAGGTGGTGGGTTGGCGGGCAATGGCTCCCTCTCGATTTGGTAGGCGTAGTGGTTGACACGCTCGACGGCGTTCATGGCGATTTCGGTCTCTGTGAACTGCCTGACACACCAGTTGAGGGTTTGCGTCACTTGCAGGGCGTAGGAGAGGGACAGGCCCAACAACGCCGCGGACAAGGACGTCCGTGCGAGAAGCCCGAAGAGTCCAGCGAAGAACACCAGGAGTGCTCCCAGACTCTCCAACCTGATCGCCAACCACCTCTGCGCAGTGATCAGCAAAAAGTACGGCGCATTGTTGCCATTGATGCGCGCGTCGTTGACGTCAATGAAGCGATTCTGTTCTCCGTAGGCGCGGATGGTCGCCGCTCCGACCAAGGTCTCGCCGAAACTGGCGTAAAGCGGTGATCGCGTGGTAGAATCGAGACGCTTGAGTTCGCGGGATGCACCACGGTAGAGTTTCTGGAAAAACCAGTAGAATACCAGAACGACAAGCAGAGGCGCGAGGAAGATAGGCGTAGCGTAGATAATGAGGATGAATGTTGAAATGGTACTGGCAAAGGTGTTGATGAACATTCGGAACGAGTCAGCGAGAGTGTTGTCGATCGTATCCTGGTCTTTTGAAAATCGGTTGATGATTCGACCGAGTGGTGTAGAATCGAAGAACCGGACGGGCGACTCAAGCACCCGGCTGAGAGCGTGATCGTGTAGCACTCTGGCAGCGCGCGTGCCCGCATACGCAAAGAACAATCCAAAGCAGTAGATCATGATCGTCTGGAAGACGCCCCATCCCCAATAAACGGCCACGTATTGATTGTTGGAGAACGAAGTAATTTGGTTGTTCGTCCAGTACACCAACCACAGATCCGTGCCGACTCGCGAAATCTGGACGAACACCATGAGGAGGAGCAGGTAAAGGACGAAAATCTGGCCGCCGGCAGCTCGTGCGTAGGCGAGCCATACGGTCCAGTCGACACTTCCGCTGGCTTTTTCTTCGGTGGTCATCAGCTGGCGAGCGGCCTTGTTCTGCACAATCGATTTCCCGAGTCGTTGCATTGCTGCTTCGTCATTTTCATCCAACAATGCTTGTGCACCCACAGAAATGGTCTCCACACCATCACCAGCTCCAATGCCCTCCTCGATACCGCCGTATCGCTTCATCAAAGATGCAAACTCGCCGCTTTCTACCGCCATGAGCTCCTGATATGTGCCCATCTCGGCGATCTCGCCGTTCTTCATGCAAATGACGTAGTCGACATCAGGGACAACGTGAAGCTGGTGAGTGACCAGGATGCGCGTCTTGTTCTTCAGTGTGCCCGCTATGCACCGTTCGAACAGGTACTTGCCAACATGCGCGTCGACGGCGCTGAGCGGATCGTCTAGCAGGACGATATCGCTGTCGTAATAGACCATACGAGCGAGATTGACTACATGAACATGGGCAGCATCAGTATCATTAGCGTCCAACTGATTGTAACAACTCCGCGGTACGAAAGGAAAATTACCTCTCTGCTTCTGGCCTCCTGACAAATTGATTCCCCTCTGCGAAATCGGATTGAAAACAGCATGAGCATCAGCATCACAATCCCCTGATACCTTTTTATTTCTTCATAGCCTTCTTACCTCCCCAATTTGCGTCATATCTCCATCGGAGAGAAGCGCAAGATCCTGCTCCAACGCGCAATCTCTCAGCGCCCTGAGATACCTCTGCGCATCGAAAGGCTGTCCAAACGTGATATTCTCCCTCAACGACGCGTTCTGGATCCACGCCTGTTGCGGGCAGTAGCCGAGGGAGCCCGAAAAGGACACAGTTCCAGACTTGCGTTTCATCTCACCGATGAGAGCGTTGAGTAGGGACGATTTCCCACTACCAACGGGACCAACGATGGCCACGAGTGCACCTTTGGGAACGGTGAAGGAAATGTTGCGGAGAGTGGATATGCCCTGGTCCACTGATGATGTCGCACTTGGAACGTCCGCATCGCTGGGTTCGGACAACATTGGGTTTGCCGATTCCGATTTGCCTTTCGCGGGCGCTTTGTCGGCGCCAGTCTTCTCACTACCGCCTCCTTCCTTTTGCTTGCCCTTAGCGTCAACAGGAGCACCAAGAGGCTGCTCCCATTCAAACTCTCCCTGGTCAACCTTCAGAGCATAGTCGACGCCGTCCACCCGTTCTGGCTGAGCGTCCAACTCAGGCGCCATCAGCAACTCCGTGATGCGGTTCAACGCAACCCTGAAATCCGCCAATCCGACGATTAATTGCGGCAAGAACATGAGCGGGAATCGAAGTTGAATGAACCAAGTCAGGGCGGGGAAGATCTTTGTGGCGTCCAGTGGATTGGTGACCGCGTATAAAACGATGGCAAGGGCTGCCGACATGATGGGGATACCGAATGCGACGGCGAGGACGAACGCTTGAAGTTTACCTCGTCGCAGCACCTGGTGGATTTCCTTGTCTCGGATACCCTCCACCTTCTTCAGAAATGGCTTCTCCCAAGCGAAGAACTTGATGACACGGATCCCGCTCAGAATCTCCTGGGTCAATTTCACTCGTGAATCGGTGATGGGTGCAACGCTTTTCCGGATGTCTCGCAATACCGCCATGACCCGGCTCTGCAGCGGCCCGCACAATACCAGAAGCCCCATCCCGGCCAACGCGCACCATCCGAGCTGGACGATGAGGAAGATAGCGATTGCAGTGATCTGGACGGGTGCGGCCCAGATGATGTGGATGAACTGTATGAACAGCTCGACACGCTGGGTGTCCGTAGCTACCATGTTCATGACTTTTCCCGCGTTGAAGTTTTGGCGGGCGGACGCGGAGAGACGGATGGTTTTGCGGTAGATGGCGGCGGTCAGGGAGGATCGGATCGCCATGCCTTGCGTGGTACACGTTTGGAAAAAGAGACTGTTCAAGACTGATTGCAGGACTTGCAGGATGAACAGAGCAATAACGTATCCAAATCTTGAGATTTCGGTGAACCGTTATTAGTAAATGCGGGCATAAAATCGTCGTATAAAAAATACAGGACACCCACCCTTCAGCTAATGGTGGCAACGAGTTATTCGACCCAGTCACATCGTTCCCGTTGTTGACGAACTGACTCCGCGCGACGAATTGCAGGATGTACTTGACGAGCAGGGGCGAGAACACGTTCGACATATCCGCCGTGAATTTGACAATACCAACAGGTGCGATCTGCCAAAACCACGCGCGATAGATAGCGCGGAACAGCCCCGGTTGTGGTGGCTTGCCTGTCGCCTTATCGACCGCGGGGTATTTGTAGGACGTGAAAGGAACCTTGAAGCCCTTCCCTTTCCCCGCCGGTGGGGCCTTGCCCGCCGCACGTAGCTTTTCCTCCTCCCACGACGCATCGAACCGCGCGTGCATATGCTGCACCTGCCAATGTGGGCTCAATTTCCAAATGTCTTCCGTATCCAGGGGTCGATTCCAGCCGACCCAGAACACATCGTTCATCCACCAATACGTGAGTTTAGAAAAGATACCGGCTCTCGCTTCCGGCGAAACGTGTTTGTCGCCCCACCCGCGTGGCAGTTTGCGGTTTTTGCGCAATGGGGCCGGCTCGACTTCTTGGACGAGGTACTGCTCATCCTTGGACGTTCCGGTGACGACCGGCGCGGGGTTGGCTTTCTCCTCCTCGAGGCCTTTCGTTGGTAATGGGTTGGTGAGCGGTGGTGGCTCTGTGGAGGGGAGGGTGTTCACCATGAGCGACTCCTGATCTACGGCCTTTTCAACTGCCGTCCCGTCGGACGAACTAGTGTTCGGAGCCATTGCTTGGGAGGGGGATGAGGGAGGTCGTTGGTCTCAGACCTTCAGACGAACTTTTGCTTTGTCCAAAAGCGTTGGTTGGAGGTGGGGCTTCCTACGGACAAGAATAACCGCAACGGACAAACGCTTCCTATTCAACCGCCAGCTTGCGTCTTGTATACAGTATGTTTTTCCGGGTGGAGAGTTCAAGGACTGTGGACATAGCTTGCGGTCCCCACACACAAGATATCCACCATGGCGCAAGATATCGCTCAAGACGGATCTGCGTCTCCTTCTCAGCAGCAGAAACCAACGACGGAGTTCCAACCCGATTGGCGTCGTAAAAGAAGGACGCCCATGATCAAAAAATGTTTATGGGAAGTAACATCAATCAGAGCGCGCCTGTCGGTACTCTTCAATCCTTCTGGCATAGCTGGAGACTCGATCCACGGGGGGAGGGCTACGGCACATGACCCCTGATGGACGCTGTCGGATCGTTCTTCTCAGCGCATATCTCATCAAACGCCGTCGGGATTGGAACGTCCGAAGAAATGGGCCACGTTTACACACGAGCCCACGTCCATATGTATCGAGTTGAGACCGACTCGCCACAGTGGCCGTCTCTTCGTGGGCTTTCCATCAATGCCCATGATGAAAATGCAACTCGGACACCGAAATGGGAGAGCGCGCATCGCGATACGTTCAAGTTCCTTCCCCACAAATGTTTTCCCACGGCTTGGAATATTCCAAACCGATGGCTACTGGCCAGGGTACCAGGGGCCCGTTCCTCCTTGAGAGTTATGTGCAATGCGTAATAAGTATCAACCGCCGGGTGCTTCCCCTCGGAGGAAGAAATTAATTACTCGATTTCAAATCTCAATAATGAAATTTTCCCCACCGCCGGTTTTCATTGCGTCATCGTGGATCAAGGATGAGTCATGCCATCTAACCAACCCCACAGTGATGTGAATGTACACTCCCGTAATTATAAGGCAGTTTTTCTTGGACGGTATCCTACTACCATGTAATGGTTATGCAGCAGAAGGAAAGAAATATGTGGTTGTTATGAAAGCCAAAAATACATAAGGAAAAGCGAGGCAGCTCAAAGGAAAAGCGAGCCTGTATAAAAGGAAAAGCGCCAACGACCAGCAACGACAGCCGCCACACCCTCATCACATTCGCCGCGACAGCAGCACTCTGCGTCGTACCCAGCTTAGCCCCATCACACCCAGTAAACACACCCAACCTCGCCAAACGGCAAATCACGTTCACGCGTTTTTTTCCCGGCTTACCTCACGCGTGGCGCTTACTCAACGGTTGATGGGGGCCATGGTGCATGTGCTTCTGCTGTGAGAGACTTTTATGATTCTGGCGGCTGCTAAGTGCTTCCCGAATCTGCGAGGACGACCGGAACATATTTCTGCTTCCTCTTTCCGTAAGGCGGATTGAAGCGAAGGCATCACCGTCTTCACTTGGCAAAGGCCTGTTGAATTTGGTTCGAGATTGAGGTGACGACGATCACAGTGCCGATTATGCCACCCAATATGTCCTTCCCATTGCTCTCTGCGTTCTGTTTCCTGCGTGTACTTTCCCGCTGGGACGCGTTTGGGGGGTTATAGGGTTCGACTCTGTGACACAATGAGCGCGTTGTGTTCCACTTATTATGGGCGTTTCCATCAGGAGTGATGAACGCAGACACGCGTTTCAAGGCCGCTCAAACAAACAAGGGGCGTTCCGACCGGATTGTGGTCGTCGAAGCGTGCGAAAGTCCGACCACAAATGTGTTGGCTGCCAAAACGCCTACTATATAGAAAGCACAATGCCCTAACATCGGCAGGCCACCCACCACGCAGCTCCGCAAAGCATCGTACAGCATAGGCTTGTTCTATAGTGACACATCTGGGAGTTCAGGCTGTACCGAGAACGGAATAGGGGCACAGTATCGAGCGGGAAGAGTAGCCGCCTGGCTTTTTGGCAGCGGTTCAATTGAGCCCAATTCGAACGCCGAGCTCTCACGGGAAGCCCTTCTCTTTTCCAACGGTTGTCTCGCCTCAAGGAATCTGCCACCTCCGCCACCGGCAAAATGTCGTCTTCAGCTCATAACCCCTGGGCCGGTGAGCAGGCATCGTCGAGGTCAACCCATAGTAACGTGCAACCGTCAGCGGCCGGTTTTGGAAGTGACGATAATAGGGCACAACACCGCCGGGCGCCGTCGCAGACTCGCAGTGACAGCGTATATGGTAGAGCACAACACCAACGGGCGCCATCACAGACCGGGGCGTATGGTCAACAGTCGCAACCTCAGCCGGAAGCAGGAGTTAGACCGCCCCCTAGAGTCAGGGTGCCATTCCCGCCGAGCCCCTCCAACTCGGACTACTCTGCTCATGCAAATACGAGCCCAGCAGTGCCACCGCGTGGCACATCGGTCACCGCGCCATATCAACCCCCACAAGCCGTGCACTTCCCGGCTGCTCAATTTCCCCAAACTCCGTTCGATCAATCCATAGCTTCGGCTGCCGACGGCTCTTCCTTTGGGGAGAACTCCGCAAAGAGATATGGCACATCCTCGATGCAACCCTCACCGCGTCTCTTTGTGACCCCATCCAACAACGACGAAGGAGACATCAATGAGGTCATCCGATCACCGAAGAAAGCCGCACGCGGCGTCACATTCGCCGGAGAAGCGGTCAGGGCTGCAAACCGCTTGAAGAACGGGCCATTAGCGCCACTATCGCCCCCATTGGAGATGACGTCGATGGACTCAAACAACACGCTCGTTGTGCCGGGTGAGGAGGAATACTCATTCCCAGCGTCGAGTGGGGGCCTATCCCGAGGCGTAGGGACCGTGAGGAAACGCAAGACCGTGAAGTTGCCTTCTAGCGGAAATTTCACGATTACGGAACACCACGCAGAGTCTCTACTGGCCAGAGTCGCATACAACAAGGGATCTGAATTCGAAACGATCAAATATACCGCCGCTACCTGTGACCCAGACGACTTTGTGAACAACGGCTACACTCTGCGCACCGCGCAAGAATACCACCGCGATACGGAGATCGCCATCGTCATCACCAGCTACAATGAGACGATTGCCGAGATCAACAGAACCCTTTTCGGTGTGTTTCAGAACATCCAGCATTTCTGTCAGAAGCGGAAGTACGGATGGGATGTCGATGGGTGGAAGAAGATTGTCGTTGTCATTGTTTCCGACGGACGTAAGAAATGCGACCCGAGTTTCTTGTTGGCGCTTCAGACGATGGGGATCTACGTGCCTGGTCTGGAGCAGCAGTCCGTGAACAAAAAGCCTACGACCGCGCACATCTACGAATCGACATCGCAAATCGTCTTGGACCCCGATTTACACTTCTGGAGCACGCAAAATGGAATACCCCCTGTCCAGACGATTTTCGTGCTAAAAGAACAGAATCTGAAAAAGATCAACTCCCATCGCTACTTCTTCAACGCGATCTGCCCGCTCCTGAAGCCAAAGATCTGTCTGCTTCTTGATGTCGGAACCCGCCCTCTACCCAACAGTATCTACAAGCTATGGAAGGCATTCGAGCGAGATCCGAACTGCGCGGGAGCATGCGGCGAAATCCGTTGCCAAATGTCAGCTACCAGCTACTTCAACCCACTAGTCGCAGCCCAAAACTTCGAGTACAAAGTGTCGAACAACCTCGACAAGTCCCTTGAATCTGTATTCGGATACATCGGCGTGCTCCCCGGTGCCTTCTCCGCATACCGATATACAGCGCTGTTGGATAATATGCCCAATCGCGGTCCGTTAGCGTCGTACTTCAAAGGAGAAGTGAGACCGGAGACGACGTCGGGGACGGAGATTTTCGCGGCCAATTTATACCTTGCCGAGGACCGAATTTTGGCGTTGGAGTTGTGTGTCAAGCCGCAATGTCAGTATACCTTGAAGTATGTAGCGTCGAGTGCTGCCGAAACGGACGTGCCGGACTCTGTGCCGGAGTTTATCAGTCAGCGGAGGCGATGGTTGAATGGCAGTTTCTTTGCTCAGGTGGGTTTAACCTACTTACCACTATGGGGGCTTGCTATCCTGAACGATTTACTCGTATTCATTTCGGCGCAGGTGTACGCACTATCAAATGTCGGGAGGATGATGAAAACAAGGCACTCGCCCATGAGGAAGCTGGTTTTCATTATCCAAGCTGTCTATTCCCTAGTCAGTTTACTGTTCAGCTGGTTCGGGCCCGCTCAATTCGCCATCGTAAGTTCCACTAAACGAGCCTCCCATTTCCGTTGCCGCTCTCCTAACCACCCATTCCTCAACACAGATCTTCTACTTCCTCTTCACCTCCGAAGCTCTGAAAGGCATCGGCATCCCCCAGGGCGTGGGCACGGGCCTCTTCCTCACCTACCCCAGTCTCTGCACACTCCTCTTCATCGCCTCCCTCGGCAACCGCCCCCAGGCATCAAAGACCCTCTACAAAGCCTCCATGGTCTTCTTCGCCTTCATCGGTCTCGCAATGCTGGGCCTGCTCGGCGCCAAGATTGCGAGTCTGGGGAAGGATAACAAAGGGTGGGGCCGCATTGATGAGATTGGGAGCCCGACGTCGTATGTGGTGGGGATTGGCGCGACGTGGGGGACGTATTTGATCGGGAGTCTGATGCATGGGGATGCGCTGCATCTGCTTACGTGCTCGGTGCAGTATATCATGATGCTGCCTAGTTTCATTAACGTGTTGCAGATTTATGCGTTTTGTAATCGTAAGTGGCGTTTTACAGCGGTGGCTCTGTTTCCGTTGGCAACCCCTCGTCCTAGCTGGAGTATTTATCTTTTTTTACTCCAAACAGTACACGACGTCTCATGGGGAACAAAAGGCGACAACGTCAAAGTCGACCTGCCCGCCGTCAAAGTCGTGCAATCAGCCGAAGGCGGCGTCACGGCCGATATCCACGTCATGGAGCGCCAGGACCTGGAATGTCTCTGGCAAAAAGGGATTGAAGACATTCAGCGCATCCACAACACCAAGGCTGAGAAGGCGAAAGTCGACCCGAGACTGGCGCAGGAGGACGCGTATAAGAGTTTTAGGACGAATCGTAAGTTTTCTGGCTCTTCACCCAACCGCTACAACCTGCTTGTTTCTATTTTTCCTCACACATTCCATCCAATTCTCCGCCCCAGTCCTCCTCTGCTGGCTCATCTCAAACGTCGGCGCCTTCGCAGCCATAACCCAAACAAAAGGCGACCTATCAGACAAATACATCGTCGGCCTCCTCTTCTTCACGGCGGGCCTCTCGGGTATCCGCATCATCGGCGTCGTGCTCTACCAGCTCTTCCGTCTCATCGCGCACATCAACCCGTTCTCCACATCGACGCTCAAAAAGACAAAGGGGGCCAAAGTCGGGCTTGATGCAAATGCGACTGCGAGTGGGGGACAGCAAGGTGGCGGGGTGGGACCGGATGGACGGAGATTACCCCCCGGACATACGCTGGTGGGGAACAAGTGGAATGGGTATGTGGTGGTCGATGAGAACGGACAGGTGGCGGATTATGCCAAGGTGTTTATTGATGCTTGATTCGCGGCGCGTTCTGGGAGACGTTGGGGGGACTCTCATTCTGCTACTCTCGGACGGTTTTTGTCAATTTGGCGTACGTTGCCTCAGGACATCTCTTGCATCGCGGCGTATCTCACAATATGTTTTTTGCACATACATTCCTACATACATGCACGTGCACAGTACATAGCCATGTAGATATCTAGAGATAGAGCATCTGAATCATGTTTCATCTTCACAACATATGCCAATAGGAATATCTGGAGCCGTACGCAAACCCCCTGCTTAACCCCCTACACTTATGAACCTGCACACGAAACATGGACGAGATGGATAAGATATCCGTAGGGGTTCCGCATGCATGTCCGATAACTGTAATTGTCGACGAAAAATCAATGATGAACAAGAAACCGCGTGAAAGACGACCGACGCGTCACGAACGCGTTTTCGTGTTTCTTTCTTTTGGAAAAAAAATCACGAGGCGGCTCAGACAGTAGTAAACGCGTGAGGCATGTACATACAGCCAGTGTCCATAAAGCTCCGACCCCCCTATAATTGATTTCAACTGATTTCAATGACCGTTTCACAAAGCGAGTCGCGCGTTTCCCAGCGAAAGGCAGAGCTAACAGCCAACCAGACAGCCAGCGACACCGGCAAATGACGGCAACAAGGACGGCGGCAGCCCATCATCCTTAGTACGGGGATTAGAGCCCTACTCTAGACCCCTGCCATCATCGAGTGCTGGGGTGTTTGTTGGAGGCTCCGCAATCTTGGCAACGGCTTAGGGCTGTTTGCTCTGGGGGCCCGTCACGTGAGACGTGCCGACTCTGACTTAATCTTGGGGGGGGTCGGAGCTTTATGGACACTGACTGTACATACACAGATTTGAAGACTTCGGTCGGGTCTCATTTAACGGGGAACATCCCCCGATCATCACAATGCAACTGAGCGGAAGGTACGGTAGGTGGACGGGGTGAGGCTCCGCGTCCTGGACCCCTACAATTTCAACTGCACCCACGCCGCCACCGACCCCGGGCCATTCCCGGGAAACCGTTCGTGAGCGCGTGAGCGCCGATTCCAGACAGGTGAATGGTAGCCGAATTGACGTGGACGTTTTTGGACATTTTTTGGATGTCCGAAGGCATGGAACGTTGCTGACTCGAAACGCGTCACGGACGCGTTTTTGGGTCTCGGCCAATTTGGCGGAGCGGACAGTTGAAGCATGCAGGGCACGCGGGAGCGCTTGTTAAGATGGGTCGGGAGACGTGACGTGCCCAACCATGATCCGTCTGGCACTCTGCAGTGCACTTGTCCGACTCTATACCTTGGTAGCCGTCCTAGGCGGGGCGATTGCTATGGCTACCAATATCCTTACTAGTGCACGTTGCCTGGAAGCCAGTGGAAAGTCTCTGCCTTAGAGGAATGTCAGGAGGGGGCTAGGGATTGCAACTCATCAGCCGCAGGCAGAAGGCACTCACAGCATTACCTGTTGAAGCGTGAGATGGTCGCATGTATCCCCAGCTGGTCAAAGAAAAAAATTCTCACCGATGGGGAAGATGTCTGTGAAATGGTCTTTGAAGTGGTGGAGGCAGTAAGAAGGGAACGAAGGGAACGGCAAGTGAAGAAGACAGATACGGCACGCGTTGCGGCCGCTGGTCATACGAGCCCTGCCATTTTCCCTCGTACGGGACGCCATGCGACGAGCGTAGAGCTCTGTCTGCTTTGCAGCCATAGAACCCTGTTTTGCGAAGGCGAGCAAATATTCTCGTCAAGGGGGAAGATATCACCATGGAGGTGGACAGGAGCAGGAGGGGGTATATGTGCAGTCCGAGAGAGTTTCGGACTCGTTGGACGTCCGAACTCGCTTACGTAAGTGGAGGGGCGTCACGAACGCGTTTTGGGGTGGCCAAAGCAGCCTGAGGCATGCCACTCCCCTTTTCGGAGGCAGGAGCAAGGAGAAGGATGACCATCGAGGAGCGGGGGTATATGTGCGAGAACATTTTCGGAACTTGTGGGCGGGATGACGGGAGCAGTCACGGACGCGTTTTTGGCTCCGGGGTGATTGGGGTTCTTCACACCGTTCGGAACGTTGGGGCATGCGGGCGAGCGGGTCAAGGAGCTTGCTTGTATGCGGGCTCCTCCAAGTCCAAATCGGCACCTTCCCTCTCTTGACACCGGGAATGGTAGGACCAGGGTCCCATGTGCGCGAGGTGGTCGGACCCTCGCTTTCGTGTCCGACACTGTCTAAACGCGTGGAGCGCGCTGGCACGTTCCTGCCAGCTGGTCTCTGTCGTAACTTTCATGTTTCGGTCGATCCCCTTCCCGGCAGACGACGTGCCAATGCATCAAATCATCATGACTGTCCTGGCAAGTTCTGCAAAGCAAATCGGGACTGTCCCGAATATATAGAGAAGGATTTGATTCGGCGATTCTGCACATATTTGAAGAAGTTTCGTGCCGTGGGCCCTACGTGCGCATAAAACAGTCTGCTTCGAAGCAAACTTTTTGCGTCCATGACCGGCCTCTGAAACTAATCGAAACCACATCTTCGATCTCTTCCTCTTCCTCTTGAATTAGAATCAAAGTACCCGTGGGACGTCGGGAACTGTTCGATGGAACACGGGCGTGAATCCTACATATGGGATGCCACCCCCGGCGATTTTCCCCAAGCTACTGACAAGTTCGTGTTCACCGACTGACGCGCAGTCCTCTCTTTGTGAACTTGGAGACACCGGCTTTGATTACTTGGGGCACATATATACATATGTAGTTTACGCATCTATGGCCCATGCTTCAACGCTGATGTCGTGATTCCTGCGGATCCATGGTGGTCGCACCAGCATATAGCGCTCGCTGTGACAATCCCGCTCAACCGGCTATCTGATGAGCCGACTGGTCAGTACGCAGAGAAGGCGCTGACGACCCAAGCGGCGGCAAGTCCCGTCTCAATCATCTCAGATTTGATTCGCGCATCGATGGATCACCTCTATCACTCTTTCTTTGCATCCCCCTTCTTCTTTCCCTTCCCCTGCTGCTGCTGCTGCTGCTGCGCATACCACCCACCCTGACCCGTCGTTCCCCTGCCCACGGTCCTCCCCGTCGCTCCCCCACCACCCCCAGCCACCACCGGCGCCCAAACCCCGGCCAAAAACCCCACCGCCATCAACGCCATACAGACGGTCCTCATCTCCGCCCCCGTAACACTATACGGCAGCCCCACCACGCCCCCGTACTCCCTCACCCACGGCCCCACCCACCCCCCAGCCGCCTTCCCGACCCCCAACGTGGAGCTATCCCAATACGCAACATAGACCCCCGTAACAAAGCAAACGACGCCGAAATCCCACCCGGGCCACGTATACCTCCCCACGGGCGACGCGCTCCATTTATAGATGATCCCGCCCGCAGTGACCGAAACCACACCCAACGCAAACTGCCCCACGATCGCGTCCCGTGACAGATGCGCGTACTGCACATGCGCCCGGAACGCGTCCAGGCCGTGTGTAAGCGCCCACGTGCGTGACGCGGCGTCGATGATGGCCGCTAGGGGTTCCCAGAGGGGCGAGAGGGCGGTGAGGAGCGGGAAGAGGAAGGGGGTGTAGTGGATGAGGAGGTGGCCGGTGAGGTAGAGCGGGAGGAGGGTGTTGGAGGTGAAGAGGGGGACGGGGCGGGCGGTGAGGAGGGCGGAGAGCGTGCCGCCGCCGAGGGCTACTAGGAGGTGGGCGACTGCGGACCGATGTTGAGGATCAGAAAATCGATTTTCGCGAGGGTGTGGAAATGAGGGTTTGGGCTTGCCAACTTACGGATCTTTTGGATAAACGTATGCTCAGGTTTCGTGAACCGTTTTCGCATATTGTACTGTCACCATCATCCACCAAAAAGGGCACGTCAGTTCTGACCATCGCCGAAAGAGAAATCACATCCAAGGCAAGACACTTACCGCGACGACGATGCTGTGCAAGACGGGCAGCTGCCACGAGGGGGCGAAATCGTGCAGGCCATCGTGGAGGATGGAGAAGGGAGTTCCGGGTGCTGGTTTGAGCATTTTGTCGTGCACTGGAAGGATCTTAGATGGGCCGGGGAGGGTTGTGGTGCGGATTGTCGTGTCTCTCATCAGGACTCTCATCACAGGGCCTCACGTGCTACTTCTTTTGAATTCTTTTAAATTCACCCTGCGGTGTCCCTTTCGCGGACGGACGCGCGCGCAGAAGTGGCTCGCACACTTTGCGAAGACTGTCTACGTAGTATTTACACCAACCACAGTAAAAGGAACAAGATGGAGGAAACGGGACGACCGAGCATGCTGAGAGATTGTACAAGCTACACTAGGACCGGATGAGCACACTAACTACGTTTCCAGAATTGTCTGTAGAGTCCCCAATTCCGTTTCCTTCCCTTACCTCGGCATTCTGGGTATATCCGGAGGGGAGCTTTCGCGGCGACTACTGCAGTAGCGACGGCGGCTGTCATTCTTCCGAGAGCCGTTTGCTGGTCAGGTGAGGTAGATGACGGCGGTCCCAAACGGAAAGCGCAACTTTGGAAGTGGCGAAGGCGTGCTGCGAGAGGAGTTCGTCAGGGGCTCATCGGAGGTTGCAGTTGCGGTCCGCGGAAGTTGACGGGACTGCGAAGAATGTGGAACCTTCGATTTTGGGGGGGGCGAGTTGTTCGATGGGGGATGAGGTAATGCATGACTCACTCCCGTCGCACAAGAGTGAATCACGCGTCCCGCTGAGCCCGAGAGCATGACATCATGCCGCCTCCTCACCGCCTCCTTCTTTTGTCCCTCCTCTCTCCGCTCTCGCGCTCCTCTTTTTCGCGTGCGTGCGTGTGCCCATCCATCCATGTTGTCTCCCGGACCTCTCCCTCCGTCATTCCTTGATGAAGTCATCGCCCCACACACACGTAACATGTTGGACTGGGGAGGAATGGGATTACGCATGTCGCGGTCATGCTTCTTTCTTTCTTTCTCGCTTGGCCCCCCGGGTCCTTCCTTGACTTGAGTGAGGCTTGCCTGCCTTGCTTGGCTTGCTTGGCGCCCCAACGTGCTGCCCCAGAAGAGACGGCTCGCAAATATAAAAGGATCGCAACCTTCCCTTCCACACCCACCCACCCACCCACCAAACGCAAACTCGCTCTCTTTCGCACTTCTCGCAGCACACTTCGCTTTCTCGCAACCCCGTCCCAACAACACTCCACAACACAACCTAGCAAAAATGGCTCTCACCTGCTCCGACATCTTCAAGTTCATTGCCGCCGTCATCCTGCCCCCATTGGTGCGTTCCCACTAGCCCGCTGCTTCACCTCTTTTTCGAACTCCATTCTCACCTACTTCTCATCTCTATAGGGTGTCTTCCTCGAGCGCGGATGCAGCATCGACGTCCTCATCAACCTCGCACTGACGATCCTCGGTTTCATCCCCGGAATCATCCACGCTTTCTGGATCATCCTCAAGTACTAAATAATTCGGCGACTCGCAGCCCCACTTACTGTGTATATTATACCCAGTGCCCCGTCGGCGCGTCCTTTGCGACTTTTCGAGATCGAACTCAGTCACCATCAGGATCGCAATTGCGACCCTACCAACCTGCGCAAAACAAAGCCGACGCCCCCCTACGCAGACGATTGGAAACTTCCTCAGGACGGGACGCCTGAGATCGACGTCCGTCCGAAGGAAGCCTTTATTGCCCCTACTTGGCAGTGGGAAAAAAGTACGCGGTCAATAGCACGCTCAATCACCATCTTCTGCATCGTGTTTATACAGCACGAGCAATCCCCCTAGCTAGGTAGCCATCCATCCCCCCCCTCCCTCCCCCTTCCATTATCATATGTCAGATATGTACATGAATCACAAGTATCGCCATTAATCTAATATTGCGACCATGACCTGGATGTCAACCTTAATGCATGCATCATCCATTAATCGTCAAATTAAAGTAGCGGCACCGAGGACGAGAACGATGGGGACGACGACGAGGACGAGAACGACGACGAGAACGACGACGAGAACGACGACGAGAACGACGACGAGAACGACGACGAGAAGGAGCCTACGCGCCGATAGCGGACGTTCCCCTGGGAAAATATCGTATCGCCATGGCCATTGGAAGTAAAACATACAGGGGTTGCGGGGGAAAAAAAAGCGCGGCGCCCCTCCAAGACAGCCACCTACCTAGGCACACACCTTTGGCGGCGGGCGGTATATATTGCAAACGAGGGGAACGTCCGCGCCGATCGCTGTTCTGCATATTTGCCAAATCAAATCAGCGTGGGAAAATCAGACTACGAAGCACAGCAAAAGCACAGTCACCACCCTTCACGGCAAAAAAACATGCTCGGCGCACATGAGTTGGCGGCGATCGAAGACGATGATGAAGATGAGCTCTTAGACGCGGCCGCCGACGTCTTGGAGAACGTTGAAGAAGCTGTGGTGGAAGAAGCAGATGTGCGTATCCAGGCCGTGACACCCAAGTGCAGTCATTTAAAATCTAACCCCATCCCCCATCATGTCAAGGATTGTCGCCCTTCGGCCGCCACCAGCACCCCGTTGACGGTCGCCGAACGCCTCGCCGCCTACAAGGCCAAACGAACGAACGCACGCGGTCAGTACGTCTGTCGGAAGTCCCATTTATCAGCTGAAGAACGTGATGCCCTCCAGCCTGCGCGATCTGCACAAGAACGTGAGGAGCTCAAGGCTCGACGTGAAAAGGTCCACATGCTGTTGAAACGCAACAAGTGGGCTGTCACGTACCAACTGCAACTAGACCGCGTCCTTGAGACGTGGAAATCGTTTGCACGCGTGGGGCTTGGTCGTGCCCCAGGCCATGAGTGCGCATGGGACGACGTCAAGGACAGCGAGGACGACCTCTTTGAGTTTGCGCGGACGTTGTACGAGGAGAAGAAGCCGAGCGCCGGGGGAGGACAAGTGCGCCGGTACGGTTACAAGACCCTAAGGAATACCATCCGGGTGCGTTCATCGATCGGGCCCCTGCTAAAGCTTGTTTCAGAGGGTTGTCGAACCGTCCATCTCATCGCCCTCTCTCTCCTAATAGAGGTGCTGTCTTACGCGATCAAGGACGTGCACGACGTTACCATCGTGACCGGCAAGGCCATCGACCACCTTATGCTGCTCAAGTCGCAAGACAAGGGCTTTGGAAAACCTGTAACTCGGTGCAAGCCGTTGGGAGCTCAAGAACACCGTCTCTTGATGAAGACAGCGCAATGCATCGTCAAGGACAAAGATGTGAACAGAGAGGACCGCGTGCGGACGTTGATGACTGCCGTGATGCAGTCAATGTCGCACTGCTACGGACTGCGGCCAAGTTCCGTCTCCTTACGTGACGGTTACAGACCTGCCAATGACGCCGAGCAAGAACGACTCGCTTTTCAGTTACGTGACTTTTTAGTCGACGGTCCCCTCATGGTATGGATCAGCAAACCAGAGTATTGATTGGGCCCCCTTGCACACCATGATTAATGTCTCCACCTTACCAAGGACCATGGTGACTATTACCCAACGTGCGATTGGCGGACTACGTGCTCGCAATGTGGAGTTTGCCTTGAAACGTCTGCCCAACGGTTCGCCTTACGTTGGTGGTTGCATCGTAATCGAGTTCATCAAAGGCCACACGATTCGCGACGCCAATGTCCAGCTCAAGTTCAGCATCGACTTTGACCAAGAGCATTGGACGTCATTGGGTACCCTCCTGACGATCTCATTCATCCTTCGAGGCATGTTTTTGCGCCCGTGGCGGGACGTCCTCAACTCGGGAGACTTTACGTTGCGGCCAGAGTGCGAAGAGTGGCAGGTGGGTTTGCATGCAAACTGCGTGCACCGACGGTCTTTGACCTCCTCCATCCAACCCCCCACAGGTCGTCGTCGATGTGAGCCCTTGGGTGCGCGCGGGTGCTGCAAACTCACCTCTATCGACATACGTCGCGAGTCGTTTGCTCAAGGAACTTGCCACGTCCGCCTGCCTGCAGCCTTGCTACGTTTCCATGAAGTCAAACAGACGAGGATGGATCGAGGCCGCCAAGAAGAGCGGCATGAAGGCCGACGATCTTCAAGCCTACGTCGCTCACGTTATTGGCTCTACCGTCACACGCGACTACCTGCCCGATCACTCTCGGATGAACTCAACGGCGATCTGGTCAGCGACGGCAACGTGTACCAGGAAAGCCCCTCGTCTTTGTGGAACACACGTGGCAGCGCGCCGTGCCCGCCCATATCCACCGAAGAGCTGGAGAAGATCTACGCCGCCGACGAGGAATGGATGGACGCTCATAACATGCTGGCCGACCGTGAAATCGTCGGTGACGACCGGAAGCAGCTTATGGCTGATCGTGAACGTAGGCGCATGTTTCTCAAACGTCAGGCCGAAGAACGTCATGAGGATCTTTACTGGGCAGGCCAAAGGCTCATTCCTCCGGCCGAGCGCGTCACTATGCCTCCGGTCGACACGTCCTCGCTGTTCGACGTCGTATTTGAGGTGCTCGCAGCGTTCGACGTCACCGAAAATGGCATTTGGTGGAACGTACCGGCTGGGACGTCAGCTGGTCCTACTACACTCAAGGTCACCGCACGGACAATCGGGGGCTACGTTGCTGCCGATTGTGAGTTCAGCGTACTGCTCCCTATCGCCCCCAATGTCGAATCCGGGATCGAATTGGGGATCTACGGCCAAGACGTGAGGTGCAAGAACCCGTGGGGTTTGGCCTGCCCATTCCCTGCACGTGACACATCAGCTGGCAACGTACACTGTTGGCACAGCCCACCGGCACCAAAGTTCGTTCGTGATGGTGAGTAGTGCATGCCAGTTGCCCGCGCCCGTCCCTTTAGTCTAATCCCTTTTTCCAAAAAATCGCAGATAACCTTGCTCTTACGTCCGCGAGAAGGGAGAAATGTTTGACTTCACTCATGACCCACATGTTGACCCACCTGCCGATGCACGAGCGCCAATGCAAGTTTCATTGCGACAAGACGGTCAACGGTATCAAGTGCGTGTTCAGGAATGAGACTCGTTCAGGAATGGCGGAACACGACGTCGCGTATCACACCCCTGGCAAGGAACGTGTGTACCACACCGGTAAGGTTGGCAAACCCAACGTTGGCGTGACGCACGGGATGTCGAAACGTGTGCGGGCTGACTCGGAGGACGTAAATGAGGGGCCCAGTTCGAGTAAACGTACAGCCCGCCCACAAGCACGCAAATGCGGGTCGTGCGGGAAGAAGGGCACAGGCCACAACGCTGTGTCTTGCCCCGATAAGAACACGTAGGTTCTAAAGGGGACGTAGAGGGGACGTTGAGGAGACGAACTTTGTATGAGACGTGAGAAGCTGCTGTTACAGTCGCGCATGGAGGACGTTGATTAGATATGGGGTGTAAAGTACATCGTTGTACTTTGAGTGAATATATTTGAGATACCAACTTACTTTTGTCGTTGCTGGTGTATCGCTACCGGCGGGTCAGAGAGATCTATTTTGTTATTAACATGTGATTTAACATTAATCAACGATTTTTAACGTCTTTTCCCTATTGCAGTCATCCTCAAGTACTAAGCACCAAAAGCGCATCCATCACGCAACTCCCGCCCGCATATCCCAAATTCAACATCGGCGCCGCATCCAACCAATACCCCTCGCCATCATGACCTCAATCCCGCCTCCGTCTGACGCAAAACCATAACACCTTCGTCACCGCGAAAATCGAACAATTGATTCTAAGCACCCGCTGTCGTTTCTCTGCGAAACCAACCCCAGCCATCACATCACTCACACATATCACCCGCCAGCAGCGCTCGTGCTCTTCCGTGCGCTTATACAATTTTGTAAATTCTACTCTTTTAGCCTTTGTATTATTTTGTCGAATATAATTTTGACCGCCGGCCGATTGTGCCAAGAAACGAACGAAACGATCTGAATTGGTGTGCATTTTTGGATTCTGGCAAGGGATTGTGGGATGGGAACTATGTATACAATATGCAAATCAAGGGTCCGGAGTAAGGGAGCGGGGTGGTCGTGATGCGGATTCAGACAGACGAGCCGGTGGTCTCTCCACTACCCCCGAACCTCCAAACGCGGTCATTAAACTTCAGCATAGAGCCGTCGTCGGTGACGGGCTCGAGCACAGGCGGCGGTGTGGCCGGCTTCGGTGGCTTCTCGGCACGGTGATCTCCTGCCCGGTCAACGTCCATGCCCGTGCCCGGTCGTTGAAGCTGAAAGAACGGCTGGTTCGGCTGTCGCGAGGGCAGCTGGCCGGGCGCTGCAGTGGTGGTCAGGGTCATTTCTGGGAGGGATTACGGTCCCTTGCGGGAATGGAGGGGAGTGTTATGTAGACGAGACGGTCTTGGACGTCACTATGCCTGACTGAATCTTGGACAGAACTGGAGGAGCCGTGGACGTCGACCGTCCCGTCTTTTATAGACCCTGAGACGGACATGGGCGCATCATAGGGGACATGGTGAACTGAATGTCTCTATGATAGCGAACTTTTTGAAATTCGTGGGCTCTGTCTTCGCACGAAAGCCAACAACCAAGAACTTCCAAATATGATATTGTTCACAGAAGGCCGCAGGCGGCGTCGTGGGAGTTGAGGCTGGAGTTGAGGGCACAACCGGCCGGCAGCGCGGCTTCGCCCTTAATGGGCATCCCCCACGACCAGCCCCACGACCGCAACAAGAACTTGAGGTACGTAATAGAGGGGGCTGGGCTACAAATTCTCAACTAGTATAAGGCCGCCGTCTCGCTACAGAGTGCGCAAACTGAGGCTAGCCGAGGGAGTGCGGGTTTGGGGTGTTGCAACAGCCGGTGACCTCTGATTTTGTTGCAGAACCCCCTCTCGTCAAACCTGGCTCCCCACTAGCACCTCAGCCCAGACGTCACGGCCTCCGCGAACCTGCGGGCACCAAAGCACAAGCACCACTTGGCGCGCAACGGCCTTTCCAGCGGTCGAGAGGTTGAAAAGCATAGGAAGGACCCAGAAAACAATGAGCGGTTTTCGTACTCGTGTCGTCATATTGTTCTGCATCGGCTGGCGAGCACTCAAAGTTTTTTCGAGTACCGGGCCAACGATATATCCGTGATGAGTGTGAGCCTGACATTTGGCCACTGACCCACAGCGGAATCCTCCCCCGACCCCGCCTATCCACGCAAACCCACAGAAGGCTCCCAAACGGGACATCCGCGGCCCCCCTCTCTCCGCCGCATCTTCTCCCTCCTCCACCCCTTCACAAACACCTTACACGCGGCCTTAAACCCTTCTCCTCCTCAAACCCCCTTCGGAATCCCAAACACACCCCCTCACAACGGGTGCGAGATCATGCGCCGTGCAGATCTGAAAGTCCCCGCGACCGCCAAAGCCGCTGTCTGCGACATGCTTCTGCTGTAGCGATGCCTCTCCACGCCGGAATCCCGACCCTGCAGCCGCGTGCTACCTCTCGCGCGGCCTCCGAAGTGCGACGTGTTGCCCACATTCCCCACGGGGCGCCGGTCTCTTCCACGAACCGCTGGAGAGGCATCGCTACAGCAGAAGGATGTCGCAGGCACCGGCTTTGGCGCGGATAATTTTCAGGGCGCCGGATTGGGAGAGCTGTGAGGGCTTGGAGTTTCGTTGTTAGCTGGAGGGACTCTAGAAACTCTTCGCGGCGGGATCACTTGGGAGGCCTCCTTGCGCGGTGGTGCTGGATTAGTCGAAGAGGACCATGGCGGAGACGCGATCGGGGGCACTGACGATGAGTTCGAGTACGACTACGCGATCGGGATCGGGTTCAATTTCAAGTGCATATGTTCCGTTGCTACGCAAGTTGCATGCCATCGGTTGTCCAGCGCAAGCAAAGCCATTTCCACTCGCGCTCGTGGTAGGAATCTATGGACCTGGGCAACTTGCAATGCCCAGTGCCCGACTGCCGAAAGGAGGTAGGAACCCTTCGCCACCACAACCTCTTTCGGCACGTGCGAGCATGCGAAAGGAATTATGGGCGGCTCCCACCACCACTGCAAGTTGTCCACATTGTCTGCCGAAAGTGCGAGTACGCCGACGATTTCCACTCCTATGAAGAGTTCACAAAGGCACACTACCGGGATCACTTGCCCAGGGTCCGTGGGAGAGTGGAGACCGACGAGACGGAGGGCCAGCGCAACCACGACCTGCACATGCATGAAGACCGTCACGAGGACGAGAACGATGGGGACGACGACGATGACGAACAGACGATCGATTGCGCTGACGGTGTCGAACAGGAGGAGGAAGGGGGTATCGACTGTGCATGCAGGAGTCTCGGTTTCAATGGAGACTCGGAGCCCTCAAGAAACCCGCGAGGGGCCTCAAGCTGCTGACCAGATCTAGAGCGCGGGGAAGAAACCACGCCCGACTCACGTATGAAGACAAACGCGCCTGTGAAGATGCCGTGAGGTTGTTCAATGGTACGCTGACATCCGCGCTGGTTACATCGTTCAGTGTCGTGCCCACATATATATACACACTCATCCTCATCCTGGGATATCCTCATTTAGGCAGCATTTTTGAAGGTTCCAAATCATCGTGACACAACACACGCTTTGGGGATGCAGCTTATGCGGCAGAGAGTACTGGTGGCCCCGACCACGGAATGCTCACCTGCTCAGCCATTTATGCGATGCGGACCGCCCTCATCATTGTGACTGCGGCCGTGGGTTCAAAACTGCCCGTGAAATGGAAATCCACAGCTGTACGCAAGCTCCCCAGACATGCGGATGCAGGTACTAGCGACCAGGGACGACCGAAAGGTATGGAGTATTTTGCACCTTTGTTGTTCGAGTCCTTGACGCCATCTATCGGAATGTCTAACACAGACGTACGAACTGTCTTTCTAGCTCACAACGCAGATGGCAGACGTTATCAGCTATCTATGGCGTATAGGGGATGGGAGGTGCTGTTATTGCCATCGGACGCTGCAAATCACGAGGCAGTGGATGGATACGACCCCATCCATTACACTCGAGCGATTGGAAGCAGGCCGCCCATACAGCGATTTGATCAATCTGCGCATTGCTTGCACTGCGTGTAACATTATCAAAAGCTATCATGAGGTCGGGTTGTTCTTTGAGCTGCTAGAACGAGTTGCAACGACAACCGTCCATCCCGTTCTATAACCATCAACCATTCAAACACCAATACATCTCCTTTGCCAATTCACTCTCTTTCACCAATTCACCACTTCCCAACACCAATTCCATCAACAATTCAAACATCAACAATCCGTAGCGGGAAACCTAGTCGTCTTGAGGAAACTTTACACTCGGTTGAGACCGTACTCGACCAACTCGGCGCAACATTGACAATGGCCGAGGTCAAGTACATCCTGAAACTACGTTCCCACCGCATGGATGTCAACCGCACGCCCCACCTCCCATCCGCTTCCTCGGGGCATATATACATACAGTACATATACGCACGCCCAGCTCGACGACAGAGAGCACAGCAAGCACCATGGCCGCCGATAAAGGTAGCGTGTCCGTCAACGTCAGTCGCTGGTTGTGTTCCAACCTCACACTTCACCTCCGCGTTTACAGGAGCCTACGCGCCGATAGCGGATCGTTCCCCTCGTTTGCAACATATACCGCCCGCCGCCAAAGGTGTGTGCCTAGGTGGCTGTCTTGGAGGGGCGCCGTCAAAGCGCCGTCAAAGTGCCGCGCTTTTTTTCCCCCGCAACCCCTGTATGTTTTACTTCCAATGGCCATGGCGATACGATATTTTCCCAGGAAGCCGTCGATACGATATTTTCCCACGATCTTCGTCGAGCTTCCCAACTCGCTGCTTGCATCACCACTGACTGAAGAGATCTGCAAAGTCGGCGGGAGGTTCACATTCAAAGGTGAAAGGTTGAACATTTCCTTTCAGGGTCCTGTCCTACAAGGGCTTCGGTGTGGTGTGGTGTTAGACATCTGAAGGTAAGAGCAAATGGATTAAGACGCCCGCCTTCATCGGTTGGGGGAAGGGGCGAGTGTATCGCACTACATCACGCTTGCCGTAAACAGTCGATACCGTTGTGCAATCACGAACGTGCTGGGAGCGTGGAGGGGGGGGATTGCCATGGTCGCTCAATTTCGACCGCATCGGCGATTGCCACATTATTGCTGACAACCGTCTTATTTCCTACGGCCACACGGAGGGGTAATTTGCGGGTGGCGTTGGTTGGGGTCAACTCTTTTCTCGGCATGCAGAAGCAACGGGGTGACGTGGCGGCCGCACTCTCCCATGTTGATATACAAGAATGGGCTGCAGCGTTGAGGGGGAGGTCGTACGAAAGAAGCTATCACCGAATGCATCCGAGCGCATGCCCTACCCGATCATTTGCTCCCAACACCCGGTACACCCGTCATCGGCTCCGCCAAACTGCACCCCTCCCCCCACCATGGCTGCAACATCTCCTATGAAAGCCCGGACCTTCTCAAACACCATCTCGAGCATGGACACCCCCGTTGGCGGCAGTGGAGACGCAAATGACACGAGTAAGGATGTTGAACCGTTCATTTGCCGCGTACTGGTCGATGATGACGCGGAACACGAAACTGTGCAACGGGTACGCGGACAAAGGTGCAATGCGAGAAACCGCATGCGAACTTGGGGAGACTTGAAGTACCATTTGATCCGTGCGCATGGGCTGGACGACGAGAAGTGCGAGAGATGGCTGGCTGTCGCAAAGGGTCTCGACGAGGCTAAGAAAGTTTGGAGAGCCCCTCCAACCAAGGCCCCTCGCCCTACCAAGAAAGCCAAAGTCAAAGTCAAAGAGAAAAGCCAGAAACAAAAGCACGATGAGGCCCTGGAGACGCTATTCATGGAAACACAGCTGCCAACCCGTGAACAGCCTGAGCCGATATCGCGGGAGACAGGGATGCAGGACTACAAGGTGTTGAAGTGGTTTGCGAAGAAGCGCGAGGCACTCGAGGAACTCGAAAGTGGGGGGGCAAGAAACGATGGCCACGAACCGAAAGAAGATTCTTGCCGAGGGAGACGAGGAGAATGTCCCACCACATGAAGGGGTATAGCCTCTGAACAGGTGGGTCCTACATGCTGGATCAACGGATTCATTTATTGATGATTGTTTTGGAAGCCTTAACAGTATTACAGTAGGATGCCAAAACGGACGTTACGACGGCATGGACGCGGTCAATAAATCTTTGTGACCAGCAGAAGTCACCGGCTGCCGTCTAGCCATTGCGTGGTTGACCGGGGGCCGGCCAGCCGCGACTACTAACCTAGGTAGTAGCCCAAATGCCGTCAATTTCGACGCGCCCGTCGTAACGTCCGTTTTGGCATCCTACTGTAGTAACGAGAACGGGAGCCGAATGACGAACGAACGAGGGACTTATCACGAGCGCGGACAGCTTTGCAAGGAGCAGGAGGGGACAAGCATCGGGACATGCATCGGGGTCGTAGGTGTGAATTTCTGAGCTTCTTTACCTATTGCATAGTGTAGAATCCCGTTGCGCGAGGAAGGGTAGACTAGTCTCCTCTCTAGACATATAGGAATAGACTTGTTTATTGCTTGCGCGATCTTTTGTTTGGGATGGTGCTACATGGATCCGTCGCAGCGGAGAGAGCAGCAGAGAGACAGAATTGTATTATTCGTTGTTGATCAAAAACAGCTCCGTAATAGTATTTCCCATAAGCAGAGAGCCCAGATGATTGGATCCTGAGTTTTGGAAAAAGAACCCCGAGAGATGGGCGCCCCCTCTATTGAAATCAATGTCGATAACTCACGTGAATTTGGCTTTGCCGCAGTCGCTGATTTATTTCCGAGGAGTGACTGTAGCGTACGTTAAAGTACAGTACTGTACGGGAGGCGTGGCGCGCAAGCCACTCTCCGCCACATCTGATGTTGCACAGACTTTTGCGAAATCCTTTATAAAAGGGAGCGGTCGCTGGCATCCGACGGTTAACCGGCAAGTTATTCTGTATTCATATACATTGAATCACTATAACCCACATACTATAAATACTATTAATCAATATTACCAAAGGCGTAGCTTTCATGCGGGGACCCTCCATCCTACAGGGGTCAGCTGCTTCCATGCCGCCTGCGAGCAAATAGGCAGTCTTTTCTGAAGGAGGTATCGATTGGTCGAGAGATCAGATGCGTGCTTTCTATTAGAGACTCCGATATTTTCCTTCTTTCCTGTCTGAGAGAATCGAGAGCGTGGGGTTTCGGCGCTCGATCTAGATTAATTACGGCGACAGCTTCGAGAGAGTTAGTTGTCTGACCCGCCGCAAGGACTGAAAATGACTTTTGAGCAAATGTCCAGAGAAACGGGAATGTCTCTGGTGATAATCGCCTTTGCTGTCAGTCTGTCTGAGAGCATGCCGTCGCTCTGGTCGAGGTGTCAAAAAATCGTGAATGTCAGGGAGTGAATGCTGGGGAGTGTGAAATGGTGGTACAGAAGGGCTACAAAAAGGTGTGCCCGCCTGTCTGAGCAGGGTGCAAGTGCGAAAGGTCCAAGGTCCAGCTGCTTCTGCAGAACGAATGGCCCTCGCTGTTGTGTATTGACGCAAATCTGTAGGCCGTTGTCGCTTGTCCTCTGTCGGTCGGACCGGTTTAGGCCCCTGGTTGAAGTTTAGTCCCCTTTTCCGATCGATCTCCGCACACCTTCGATATGCTGGGTGCCGGTGCCGATGGCGACGCGTTCATCGTAAGTCCTCATCCCCATGCAGGAGAAATAGAAGGAACCCAGCTCAATAGCCCTATTGGGTGGCTGCCCCCAACTAGAACGGTAAAGAAGGCCCCGCAGGCGCCGACCTTCTCCTCCCGCATCACAAAGCCCGTATCGATATCCTACTGAAACGAGCCAACCTGTATTCCACCTTCCTCGCCCGTGACTTGGAGAAGCGGCAGGAGGAGTTGAGGAACGGCTTTTGTATTTTGGGTGAGGGTGGCGATGGAGGTGGCGATGTCGAGGTGGGTGGTGGAGCAGACGACGTTGGGGCCAAGGCTTTGGTGGAGGAGGATATGGATGGAGACATCGAGCCGCCTGCGAGGGTGATGGTGCGGAAAGACAGGGGCGGACGACGGGGGAAGCGGAAGGCTGCTGCTGAGACCGTGAGTGTAGGACTTTTCATTTTGCCGAGGAAAGCTCAATGGTTGAGGTCAGCTCAAACTTCCGTCCACAGCGGACGACATCATCCAAACGCCAAAAACCACTCAACCCGCCTCCCACCCCCGCCCCCGAACCGCTCCCACCTCCCCGCACAACACGGCAACCCACCCTCGTCACCGGCGGTGAAATGCGCGAGTACCAGCTCGTCGGCATGGAGTGGCTGATCAGCCTGTACGAGAACGGCCTGAACGGGATTTTGGCGGACGAGATGGGATTGGGCAAGACGCTGCAGGTGATTGCGTTCCTGGCGCATCTGTGGGAGGTTGGCACCCGCGGCCCGTTTTTGATCGTGGTGCCGTTGTCGACGCTGGTTAACTGGGTGAGCGAGTTTGAAAGGTATGCCCCGTTCAAACCCTTCAAGAAGAAAAGAAATACGAGCCCCCAAGTCCAAATGATGATGGTTGCTATCCAGATTCGCTCCAACGATCCCCGTCCTCCTCTACCACGGCCCCAAAGAAGAGCGCGACTACCTCCGGCGCAACCGCCTCTCCCCCAGCTCCACCACACCCTTTCCCATCATCGTAACAACCTACGAGATCTGCATGCGGGACAAGAACCACCTCCAGCTGCTCAAATGGGTGTATGTGATTGTGGACGAAGGACATCGGCTGAAGAACCTGGATTGTAAGCTGATTAGGGAGTTGAAGAGTTATCGGAGCGCGAATCGGTTGTTGTTGACGGGGACGCCTATACAGGTGTGTAATACGGGGTGGGATCGGGAGTCTGTAAAGCGAGGGTCTGAAAGGGACTGATTATGACACTTTTTGCAGAACAACCTAAGCGAACTCTGGTCATTGCTCAATTTCGTACAGCCGGATATCTTTTCTGATCGGTCTGCTTTCGAGCAATGGTAAAGGCCTTCCCACTTTAACTCGTTGTCTCAGAACATAGAGAAATCTGGCATTTACACGCCGACTTTTTCATCCCCCCAGCTTCGACTTTGGCGACGACATGACGCAACTCACAACCTCCGTAACGCAAAAGGAGATCCTGCAGCGGCAGCTCGAGACGGAGTTTGTCACGCAGCTGCACGAGATTCTGAAACCGTTCCTTTTGCGTAGGATCAAAACTGAAGGTAAACGAAAAAAAACAATCAACGTGCGTGTCTGTGTGTGTCAAACCCTCCCTCACCGCCCCTCATCTCCGCCAGTCGAACTCTCCCTCCCCCCCAAACGCGAATACATCCTCCACGCCCCCCTAACCCCCCTCCAGAAACGACTCTATGCCGCAACACTCAAAGGCGAGCTGCGCGAAACCATCAAAGCCATTCTCCTCGGGTCAGGAAAAGATATCACCGCGGCGCCTGTGGGAATTGGGAAGAGGAAACGGGTGGTGAGGGGGAGTTATAGGGAGTTGATTGAAGATGGGTTGGAGGGGGAGGTGGAGAGTGATAGTGAGGGGGAAGGGGAAGGGGAGGAAGATGAGGATGGGGAAGAGGAGAGAGAGGAAAAAGAGCGGGGTGTGGTGGTGGGTGTGCCGAATGGCAGGGATGGGGATAAGGATCGGGTTGTTGGTACGTTTCGTGTGTGTGTGTCTGTCTGTCTGTGTGTTGTGAGCTGGGTGTGAGAGCTGGGAAATCCCGGACGGTATTGAATGGGGCCGCAACTTCTTTTTCTGGATTTCGGCACAGACATCGCTCTCCGAGCCCAAAACCTGCAATCCCCCGTCGTCCAGCTTCGCAAAATCTGCAACCACCCGTACCTCTTCAACCTCGACGTCGCGCTCGATCCCCAACCGCCGTATGCCACGCCTAGTCCACATTCCACCACCGGTGACAAAACCGCAATCCCGCCTAGATCCCTCCCCACAACCCCCCCGGGCATCGTCTCCACCTCCGGCAAGATGCTGATCCTGCACAAGCTGCTCCCGAACCTCTTTGAGCGCGGCCACCGTGTGCTGCTGTTCAGCCAGATGACCCGCGTGCTGGATCTCGTCGGACGGTGGTGTGAGGAGGTCATGGGGTGGGAGTATTGTCGGCTGGATGGGGCCACGGATGTGCTTTTGCGGAGGGATGAGGTAATTGTGTGATTGGATATGTTATCTGCCCGTTAAATGCAAAGCCCCCCCCTCCCTCCCCCCCCACCGCAGACATTGTCATCTCGATGTTAACAAGCCTCCCCCTGCACACGCAGATCACCCGTTTCGAATCCCACCCATCGATCCCCCTCTTCCTCCTCACAACCCGCGCCGGCGGCCTCGGGATCAACGTGACCTCAGCCGACACGGTCATCATCTTCGACTCGGACTGGAACCCGCAGATGGACCTGCAGGCGCAGGACCGCGTGCATCGGATCGGGCAGACGAAGAGTGTGGTTGTGTATCGGTTGGTCGCGCAGGGGACGATTGAGGAACGCGTGCGCGGGCTGGCGGAGGGGAAGAGGCGGTTGGGCGAGGTGGTTGTGCATCGGGGTGAGTGACAGTTTGCAGCCGGGGACGGGGGAACAGGCGCTGGAGGCGTGCTGTCCCAGGCCGTTTTCTCCCCGCCCCCGACACATCATCACACCCTGGGACTTGTTTTACTGACCACGGCCCCCCCCCCCCCCACCCCCCGCCTTCAAACTCACGTAGGACTCTTTAAAGGCCGCCACGCAGATTACAAGTCTCGCCAGAAAATCCAAAACGAGGAATTGGCAGCTTTGCTCGCTGCCGAATGTTCTGCGATCCACGCGTCCTCCTCATCCTCATCATCATCCTCGGGACTCTCGTTGGATGCGACGGCTACCCTCCCCACGACGGGTGGTGAAGCGGCGACGCAGGATGGTAGTGGGAAAATGGGGTGTGGGATGGGGATATTGGAGGATGATGAGGAGTTGGAGAGGATTTTGAGAAGGGACTGATGGGGGGGGTTGTGGTCGGTGAGGTGGTCAAGTGGACACAGACATGTGGGGCGTAACTACGTCTATTTATTTCGGACGGCATATTTTCAATCGGCGATTCCCATCTATACTTATTTATATTTCTTAACCTTCCACAATCGTCGGCGTGGATTGATCTTCTTCGAATAATCCTATCGAAGCCCTTCCTCCATGGACATCAGCGTGTCTTCTTCCGCCGACTTGCCTCACAAAAGATGAGCTGGCCTCCATATGCGGAATCTCATCTACAATAACCCCTTCTTGCTAGCAACCGCAGCCTTGACGCGCTCCTTAATCCCATCAATCTTATCGAGTTGCCCCTGCACAAACCGCACAGCCTCCCTCCTCCGCGAACGGGCCCTGTCAAACCCAGGTTCCAGCTCAACAGCATCGATCTTCAGCAATCGCTGCAAGAGCAATTCCGCGGCTTTAGCGTGCAAATCCGCCAATTTCTTAGGCGCATTAGGTGTGGTGCCGGATTCGGCGGACGCGGGCCGCGAGGCCGTATCCGTGGTGGTGATATCGCCCGTCTCGAGGTATTCGGTAGCTTTCGCGACATACTCCTCGACGATGGGCATCACGGTGGTTGTGATGTAGTCCATGTGGAAGTCGATGAGGTTCACGACGCTGTCTTCGTTTTTCATGTCGACTGCTGGGGGTTTGTTCTGATCTTGTTGCGGTGTTCCGGAGCGTGAAGACGGGGCCGGGGAGCTGGTGCTGGGTGGCTGGGGAGTCGGCGGTTGGCGGGATTGGGGTTGAGGTTGGCGAGTACCTCCTCCGCCGTGGGCAGGTTGCTGAGCGTGCGAGTGTTGATGATTTTGGGGAGCATGGCCGCCGTGCCCGCCGCGGGTTCCGGAAGTAGGACGGTGGTGGGCTTCAGGCGGGGGACGTAAGGGCGCCTATAAGGATGAAATCATTGATCGTTGGCCCATGCACGGAGTGAGACTAAGATTGTAAGATATGCGGTTTGCCGAACTTACGGAGTTATCCCCGATCATCATGATCTTGGAGCCGGTACGGATCCCATACTGGGCCAGGGACATGTTGGGGTCTTTCATGACAGCTATGGGGAGGGGAAAGGAAGAAAGATATCAATCAGACTTGTTAAAGACAGAAAACCGAGATCGCCCTCCGGATGCGAAACCAGTATGTCCGCCACAAAACCTCTGCCCAAAACCGGCTCAGCGCTTCCAGCAAAGGTTATACCTAAGCTGTAACTTACATCCAGAGTGCAGGAGCTTGATGCTCGAGATGGGCACCTTGCTCCCCTGCGAGCATTTTGCGAGCAAGTCACCGAGCGTGACCTTCTTTGCCCAAGCGTCGCGATTGGAGATGTTTCCCTCGCGGGCAGCGGCGGAGACAGCTTCGGGGAAGGGCACGTCGAAGCGGTTGCCGTTCCAGTTGACGACGACGGACATTGCGGGTGAGGATGAGATGGAGAGGGAGGAGGACCTTCCGAGGCGGTGTGTGTCTAAATATGTATCCAGGATATAGATCACGTCGGGCGGAGAATGGCGAAGCGTGAGGAGTGGAGCCCGTTGAAGCTGAACAAGAGGCCTCGGGTCCTCGCAAGAACCAACAACACAGCTGCCCACGACAGTCCAACACGCCAAAACACCACCCACATAGCATACCCCACACAGGAGGCCTCCCAGAGCGATGCCCTCCGTAGCTTCGTCCTCAAGCCTGGGCGGTGGCAGAAGAAACAGTAACGGCCGCAGCAGCAACAACCCGCGAGACTCCTCCCCAGACGCCGCATTCCGTCGTTTCCTCACCGACCTCGAATCATACGACCGCATCTTTGGGAGTCACTCTCGCAACGGGGCCAACAACAATACCACCGCCGCTAGCAGGACTGGCAATAACTCTCGTCCTACTTCCACCACTGCAGATCCAGGAACGGCAGCAGGCGGGTCGGCTAGGCCGTCAGCTGGGGCGTTCCCACACTCTTCCTCGTCTGCGTCTTCTGTGGCGTGGGGCCCACCTGCGTACTCATCACTCCTCGAATACGTCTCGGCCCCAAACGACTTCTTATCGTATAACCGGAGGTGGTGGGGGACCACCAGCCCCAACAGGAACCCTGCGGCGTCGTCATCAAGATCGCCCTTGGACGCGCAGCAGCAACAGCAACGACAAGAGCCGCTGACGCCACGGCGCGCAAACTGGAGGTCTTGGCTGGTCGACGGGTCCTTTGATGCCGCTGCTAATTCCCACGATGGTGCTGGTTTGAACGATGAGGAGGGTAGCATGCGCGATGAGGCTAGCATCGTTGTGAGGAGAGTGTCGCTTCCGTCGGACGAGAATCTACGCGAATGGGCTAGGGCCAGCGATCATCATTCGGAAGAGGATGAGGACAGTAGTCATGACCCAGAGAGGCTGAGGCAAAGGCGCGAGGCCGGTCTTGACGATGTAGATGACGCGGAGGAGGAGGAAGAAATGGAAGGATTTGAAGATAGCGAGAGCGACAGCGAAAGTGACGAAGACGATGGTCAGATTGAGGATGATATCGAGAGTATCGACGATCCAGCCGAAAACGACGACGGAGGGGCAGCCGACGACGCGCTGGAAAATGTCCTCAACGCAGGCGACTCGGATGAGGAGGATCCCATGGACATCGACCTAGCCGGCGTGCTCACCTCCGAGTTCTCAATGCCAGGCCCGTCCTCCGTCCTCGCTCAGGGCGTGCAACCGATCTCCTCCACCCGCGCCGCCATCTCTTCCTACCTGCACGGCTTCACATCCTCACCCTCAGCATCACACGCATTCTATACCCCAACCCCGCACTCAAACCGCGCGCGTCGTAACATCCGCCGATACCTCCCCCACCGCCGTCGCGGCCTGTTCAGTCGAAGCACCCGGCGCCGCTCCCACGCGCACGCCCACCGCAGCAGGAGCAACAGATGGACGCTCGACGAATCCCTCATCGACGTCCTCGCCCAAACAACCTTCCCATCCTTCCCATCGTTCATGAACTACGCAAGACACTTCAGACCCTTCCCATCCGACCTCGCCGGGCGAAACCAGTACGATTTACGGCGCCGTCGCCAACGAGGCCGTGCCGACGCGTTCAGACGGTTGTCGCTGGCGGAACGGGCGGGAGTGATGTCCTTACCGAGGAATAGGCTGCTGACGTACTCTTCACCACCGGCTGCATCTGCACACGCGGACGACGAAGACGGAGACAGCAACTTGGCGCCCACGAGTTCCCTGTCTCGCACCTTCTCGATCCACCGTCGCCCGCCGCCTCCGCCGCCCATGCGCGCGTCCCCGCATATATACGCTCCTCTGCTTCCACGACCCAACCGCCATAGACATTTGAGAGCGGATGCTACTGGGTCTGGACAGGCGGGCATGGGGGGAGCTGAAGACGATGAAGATAACCCGAGCACCATGGTCCAGCGCATGATGGATGAGCTGGATAAGATGTTGAGCGAGCGTCTGGACGCTAACGGGGAGCTCAAACTTTCCTCCTCCTCCTCTGACTCTGCTCCCTCGAATACCACCGGACTCGAATCGTCGCAACCCACAATGATCCCGGCACTATCGCCCTCAACCACCCCAGGCCTACGCGTAGCATCCGTAGGCGACCCCATCAACGGTTACCCCCCACCGCCAGGTGCATCATCATCCTCCTCAACAACAGCCCCGGCAGCACCACCAACAGGCCGCCGCCGCCTCTCCCCCTGGCGCCACTGCTGGGACATCCTCGGCCACCTCGACGCGGTCGCCGTGTCGCGGGACGGGGACCCGGCTGCAGTCACCGACACCGACTCGGAATCCTCTGGTTCTTCTAGCAGTGATGATGATGATAAGGGCGATGATGGGGGGGACAGGAGCGGGGAGGAGGAGGAAGTGTGTAGCTGTGTGGATGAGGAGGAGGAAGAAGCGGGTGGTGGTGGAACGGGTAGGGAAAGCGGGAGGGGGCCGGGGGATGCAGGGTGGGAAGCGACACGTGCCACTGAGACCGGGGCTAGTAGTAGCAGTATGCACGCACATGTGCATGGAGGTAGACGACGCAAGACGCGTAGGAGACGGATATGGAGGGCTGGGGAGGCGTGTCGGTGAGGGGGTTTAGAGCGGTAGTTGTGGAATACACTTTTCCAAAGCATCACCTTTACGCAGACGTTGTGTGTAGATTCATTCCATTGGAATAAGACGATCGCGAGGTGGAGATGGATGGGTCAGCGCGTACGTCATCCCGTTAATTAAGCGCCAGGAGTGACGGGTGTTTGACACTGCTCACTCCCGTCGCGCCCCTGCCACTTCAACTGACAGTCCTTTATGAGAACATCAAACGTTCCATAGACCCAAAACGGCATTACCCTCCAAGGAGTCGTCCCTGAACGCTGTACGTATTAATTTACTGCAGCCACTTCTCGGACGCTATTCCTCCCACACAGCTCTTCTACTTCCCATCGCCACCGCCCCAACTGTTACAGAAGACCCAAAGAAAGAACTTGGTTGCCATGCACTTCTCTAACCCCAACAGTGGCACCTCCGCCCGGTACATTCATTTATCCACGGCTTCGTATACGCTCTTACACCACTCACCCCCCGTGCGGTATTACTCCGAAGTCACCCGTTACGGAGTTGCAAGGCCGTGACGTGCGTGAGTGGGCAATGGGGGGTTGTGTTGCGACGGAGACGCCCAGTGAGTAAGGGGGGGTCCATTGTGTGCCACTTGTGTGGGATGCAGAGGAGACAAGGCCGGAGCCACTTTATGCATGGGTGCGTATGGGGGGGGGGGGGGGGGGGGGGGGGACGTGATGTGCTGTTGGCGCATGGCTGTCTCTCTTTTTTCCTCTTCCGAGTTACAGGGGGTTGAGCAGGGATTTTTGGTCTATTTAAGCTGGGGGTGGAATTGAGCAGGTCCGTCTCGTTTTTTTCATTCCAGACACACAACAAGCAAGCAAACAACAAGCAAGCAAGCAGCTTCTGCGCTCTTCCACTCCCTCTTCAACCTTCGACACCAAACCAACAGCAAAAATGAAGTTCGCATCAGCAGCCCTCTCTCTCACCGCCTTCTGCGCGCTCACCATCACCCACGTCGCAGCCCACGGCGCCATCATCGGCGCGAAAGGCGTCGCTGGCCCCGCCGGCCGCGCCCTCGGCATAGATCCCGCCACCCCCCGCGACGGCAAAGGCCGCAACCCCTTCCAACAAGACACCTCCATCATCCGCGACCGCGACATTGCCTCCGGTAGAGCATCCGCCTGCGGCCGCACGCTCGCCGGCGGGACCAACGACATCGCCGCCGGCGTCGCGGCGCTCACGCAGGAACTCGGGGGGCTCCCCGAAGTCGCCGCGGGGCAACCGCTCGAACTGACCGTGCACCAGATCAACGGCGACGGAGCCGGCCCATACACATGCGAGGTCGACCAGAGCGGCACGGGCGACAACTTCCAGGCCGCGCAGATCACCACCAACCTCCCCGGCCGGCGCGGCAACAACCGCGCCACGCAGCTGACCGACCAGCCGCTGGTCGTGCAGATGCCCGCCGCGTTGAAGTGTGCCGGTGGCGCCGCCGGCAATATGTGTCTCGTGAGGTGCAGGAACCCCGCGAGGGCGGGTCCGTTTGGTGGGTGTGTGCCCGTTACCCAGGGGGCGGCTACGGCTACCGCTGCGGGCGCTGAGACAGCTGCTGCTACGGCTGCCCCTGCGGCTGGTGGTGAAGTCGCAGCACCCGCCGCTGGTGAAGTCGCCGCACCCGCCGCCGGTGAAGCCGCAACCAACGCCGAAACCGCCGCCGCGCTCGAAACCCGCCAAGAGGCCGAGGCCGACGACGCCGACGACGAGGACGAGGATGACGAGTAGATTCCTCCTCCTTACCTCACCCCCACCCCCTCAAATGTAACATAGTTGTAAAGCCTCCCCCCCATCTCCTTCCTTTCACATCTGTCCAGCGCTTTTTACCCCCGTCCGACTCTTCAAGAGACCGCGGCCATATCTGTACATTCTACGCATTCCCACTGGACGGGTCTTGTAAATACACCCCACCCACACCCTCTGTACATAGCTCTGCATATATATCACTGGTCAAAAAAAGGACATACTTTGGGAATCTCCCACCCCATTTGATGCGAGCCCCGCTGGCTTTGTCGTTGAATCCATCACAGACTCGAGCAACCGACCGCCATCGAGGGAAAGGACACACCCATCGAGCATAGCAGAGGGGGGGACGAGCGCACGGGCCGTCTCCCATCCTGCGCCCTTTCGCAAGTCATCGAGACGTTCTTGAACGTCTCGGCAATAATGGTTTCTGCTGAATGGGTGCGCAGAAAGCAGGCGTGTCGGGGTCGCGTCGGCGCGTTGTCCGTCACCCCAAAAAAAAAGAAAAGTTGGACGCGTTCGCTCGTAATCAGCAATCAATCACCTCCGACCATAAAGGTGTTGCGGAGCCATCGATAAATAGGCCAGGCTGCGCTTCGAGACCTGCCGCGTTTCCGGAGCCGCAAAGCCTCGATCTCCATATCGACCAGCGGAGATGATTATCAGCAGAGATGGGCGGTTGGGGGCGCCTACCGCCGACCGTGCGCCCCGCCCGGACGACTTTCGAGCGTGCGTAGGCGTTCGACGGCTTGGAGATTAGTAGTAGCCCGCCCGCGCCGCAAGCCTCACCCCCGATCCCCACCCTCATCGGGGCGGCCCCCTCGGAAAAAATGGGGGCATTCATGCCACCCCCGCCCGATTCAGTTCGGCATAATCAACATTCATCACGAAATGGCGACATGGCGCCAACCTCCCAGTCGTCAAATTACGCTCATTAAAAGAACGGAGTTGTGCGGATATCACGGGGCGGTCTTCGGGGGTGGATGGTGATGTGGAATGACCATTGCGGCGTGCTAGGCGGTTATGAGAATAGGGAGATCCTGGGAGATCCGGGGACGGTGTGCAAGATTGTCCGGAATCGTCGGTGAGTACACTGTTCCATTTTTTTTTGTTTTCGTCCTGCGCTTAGGAGCGAGAACAGGTACAGTAGTTCGTCGGTGCACACCCCCACCAGCTGCGTACGACGATGAACGTGTTCCCCTCGCTCGTCGTTCGTGTCTGGGACGCCCCCGTTGAGTAGTGGCGGCGTGGCCTTCAGAGCGGGGGTTCCCTACACCAGAGTGGACAACATTTTTTTGTGCCCGAACGAGCGCCAATTTATACACCAAAATACATTTGCAAACAAAGAATGGTTTCCACTCTGGTGTAGGATGCCCGAACATGCTACGCCATTCTCATCGATAACGCCCGCGTAGATGATGGGGCGGCGTGAATGACGGCGGCTACGGGCGGACTGGATATCTGGGGCTTGAACTTCGCAGCTGAAGCGGCGGTCATAACTGAATGGCGTTGCGGTGCTACAAGGAGATCGATGAGGTGTGCGGAAGGAAAAGAAAAGGATGATATGCATACGATATGGAGAGAACGGCGGGGTTGGGAGAAGGAGTATGCAGATGATGGGGTGAGATACTCGTAGAGCACGTTGAGTGCTGCCGGTCCATCGATGCGTTCCGGTGAGTGCAGTGCCGCCGCTGGAAGTGTACGTGGGAAGGCGAAAGACATTTCCGGGCTATAAAAGGAGGGAGAGGGTGTGCCTCTCCCCTTTTCCAACATCTCGCCCACCCCCAAACACCACCCTACGCCACCCAACAACCCCTCCACGATGTTCATCTCCACCAAGGTCTTCGCGTGTGCCGCGGCCCTCCTCGCCTCGGCCGTGTCCGCCGCGCCCGCCGCCGCCTTCGACTACCCGTACAACGTGCGCCCCGACGCCGACGTGTCCATCGTCAAATCCACCGTCGACGACACCACCGTCTCCTGCTTCCGCTACACCTGCGTGCACGCCTACAAGATCTCCGTCGACGTCGCGGTCCGCAACAAGGCGTACAAGAAGACCGTCGGCGTCCGCTGGACCAAGGACAACTGGGCCTCCAACAACGAGACCGCGGCCGCCTACGTCCGCGCGCTCGACAACGGCTTCGAGCTGTGGAACCTCAACATCGACGCCGGCGACAACGCGTACGCGTTCGGCGACGGGAACCGCTTCTACGACTTTTCCCTCTCGGCCTACGCCTCCTTCGACGCGGCGCCCCGCGTGTGGGATCCCGTCAATAACTACGGCAGTCTTGCACAGGGCACGCCCGCCAAGCCCATCGCGGCGATCGGCGGCAAGGTCGAGAGCGAGAACGGGAAGGTCGTCCTCCACGGCGCGGTCCGTGCGTGGGTGTTTGACGGCCAGGACGTCCGCCCGGAGAGCCTCACTGTGCGGTGGTCCGCGGACGGCTGGAAGACGTGGAAAGACACCCCGGCACAGAAGTGGGATATCAAGGAACATCTGTTCACCTTTGCGATCCCGACCCGTGACGTTGCGGCCAATGGTCAGCACGACCCCCATGTGTCGTACACGGCAAAGTACTCGACCCCCAACGGAGACTTCTGGCTGCCCGCTAACGTGGACGTCAACGTTTGGTACTGAGCTAGTCGAGGGGAAGGCTGTTAGAGGGTTTTCCAGGGCCCGTAGACTTACATAGACGTCATCATCATCACCCTTCATTTGCTGGAACATAGTCTGGATATGTTCCACGTATAGATATCAGTTTACATCATTAGCATCACGGCATCACATACATATCCTATGTACCGCAATGGATTCCATGCAAATACACATTCGTTTCATCCACTCCGTTCCTCTAGGTTCAGCGCCTCCAACAGAAACTGTTCGGAAATGAGTGGCGAACGAGCCGACCCTCGCCGCCCGGTTTGCCAAGATCGAAAAGGTTTGTGCTCAGAATTCGACGGATTCACGGAGACGGTTAACGTTGAGTGGGTTCACGACGGGGCAAGATTGCTCTCCAGAGGGGGCTCTCCTATGGGCTGTTTACGGAAGTTTATTCGCGGATCACGTGCGCGTCTGTTTTATCTGCACCGCCTGACATGTGAAAGGCACACGCCGTTACAAACAGCCGAGCGGGATTATTAAACGGCGCTGTTACACCAGTCACAAGGGCACAGCACTCGTTCTCTCTCTCTCTCCGGGAGCAGCTTCCGGATTCTCGCGAGGGACTCATTCAAGTTAAGACCCCCCGAAAGAGCCCCCCGCTCGCTTTTGCCAAAAAGTACTCGCAACAAAAGGTAAGTTGACGAGAGGAGAGATCGCTCGGCCATGTGTAGGTGCAGACGACAGAAGTAGGCGGGGGCTGGACGAGGGAGGCTCTAGTATTCGGTTCGCCATACGGGGGGAAGGAGCGTAAACATCTCGCGTGGGAAGCTAAAAACAGAAAGGCGGAAAACAGCAGTAAAAGGCAGTACCTGCTATATACGGCATAACGGCACAATAACAACCGGCGATACGGTGGTTGGAGGACCGCGAAATTTAAGCCGTATTGCACGGTCAAAAGCGGAGAAGGCAGTCTCCATTCTCCACGTATTTTCCGACCAACTCAATTCCAACCTCCTCTTCTTCCCCCTACCTATCGCGTTAGCTAGAACTATCACAACCATGAGCCCCAAAGGAGACTACGCCGCCGTAAAGAAGGACATTGCGTCCATCCTCGACAAGCCCGACTACGATGACGGTTCCCTCGGCCCCATCTTTGTCCGCCTCGCATGGCACGCCTCGGGCACCTACGACAAAAAGACACGCACGGGCGGTTCCAACGGCGCCACGATGCGTTTCGACCCGGAGGTAGCAGACGGCGCCAACGCCGGCTTGGAGCACGCCCGCGCCTTCCTGGAGCCCATCAAGCAGAAACACCCGTGGATCTCGTACGCTGACCTGTGGACGCTTGCGGGTGCCACGGCGATTGAGGAGATGGGTGGGCCTACCATCAACTGGAAGCCCGGAAGGTCCGACAAGGACCCTAAGAAATTGACTGCGCACGATGTCCCGCCAAATGGAAGGTTGCCTGATGCTGCCCTGGGGCAGGACCATGTCAGGCAGATCTTTTACCGGATGGGGTTCGACGACAGGGAGATTGTTGCGCTTGTCGGAGCCCATGCTTTGGGGAGGTGCCATGCCGACCGTTCTGGTTACGAAGGACGTGAGTAAACTGCACTTTTTGGATGGTTGTGTGCTTACCCTTGTGTGCGCGAACCGGTGCTCATAGTCGCCCCCTTCCTATTCACAGCATGGACACACACACCCACCCGCTTCTCCAACCAATACTTCAAGCTCCTCACCGGCCTCACCTGGCGCAAAAAAGAATGGGACGGCCCGGTTCAATACACCGACGAAGACGACGAGCTGATGATGCTTCCCGCAGACATGGCCGTGATCCGCGACCCTGAATTCGCCAAGATTGCTAAAGAGTACGCGCAGGACAAGGATGTGTTCTTCAAAGACTTTGCGGCAGCGTTTGAGAAGCTGATTGATTTGGGGGTGCCGAGGGGGGATGACAAGGGGAATGCGCCGGTTGCGCCGAATCAGAAGAAGGCTGGGGCGAAGTTGTAGGGTGCTGTGTGTGATGGATGCTTGGGACACACACGGTCTGTTTAGGTCCACCCTTGTGTGTCTTTGCCCATTTAAAGTCGGGTGCTTTGCTTCTTCTTTTTTATAGTATCTGTGTCTACGGTAGTACCAGACAGGGGTTTCTTTTATTTTAAATCATTATAGAATCTTGCACTCGGGATATGCTGACTGCTGGATAGCGGAGACGTGTACTCTTTTGTCGGACCTGCGCTCTCTCCCCTTTGTGAGTGGGTGTGGACAACGCGTGACTGACGCGGTCTAAGGCGGGGAGTCCCACTGGGGCGCGACGTCAGATGGGGGCCACACACGCTCCACCTGTACGTAGGTAGCCTGACCCCGTCGCTGCTAGAACGGGGAATCCTATTATCCTACGCAACCGTGTCCCTCGCCTGTCCCTCGCATAAACCGCCCTCGCTCTCCGTCAGCACAACAGCTGGCCCCCTCCGTAGAAAAGAAGGTTCAAAAGGTATGTAGGCTCTCTCTCCTTCTCTCGTCGCAGCTTGCCGTCCACTTCCACCCACCCGCACCCATTGACCCTCCACACCCTCCCTCCCTCGCAACCCAACCAACCCAATGCTCAGCGCCCAACCACAATCACAACCACAACCACCAGCAGACCCCAAAATGTCCGCCCCGTTAACCCAACCAGCCATGCTCTGGAAACCCGCACACCCGGAAAACACAAACATGGAGCGGTTTCGCACCTTTGTCGAGAAGAAGCATCACGTCTCACTCGGTAACTGTCTCCGGGACTCACCCAATTACCAAAAATGAAAGGGCACACTAACTAAGGTTTTCTTTTTGGTTGGTTGATTAGGCAACTACGAGGGCCTCTGGAAATGGTCCGTGACCGAGCATGAGCAGTTCTGGGCGGACGTGTGGGAGTTTTGCGGGATCAAGAGTTCGGTCGGGTACGAGCAGGTAAAGAAAGACGCGCAGAGGAGAGGAGGAGGATTATGCTTTTATGCTGTTACCGCGGATTTTGGGGAATGATGACTGATTGAAACGCTGGTTTGGTGAATGCGTAGATCTTGGAGAAGGGTGTTCCGATGAATAAGATACCGAAGTGGTTTATGGTAGGTGGACTGGGGAGAGTGAAGCGGGGTGCTGGGACTGAGCGGAGCGAGGAGAATGCTTGAGGTTCGCGAGCATTGCATCGCTCACTCAACGTTTTGGTTTTACAGGGCGCGCGGTTGAACTTTGCGGAAAACATGCTCGTTAGATCAGACGACCATGTTGCGCTTATTGGAGCAGGTACGCATGCCCAATGCCGACTGACTTGCCGAAATTGGGCTCAACTGTTGCTGATGCGCGTCACGGAAAACTGAATAGGGGAAGGCGAAGCGTTGACAAGGATCACCTACGCACAACTGCACGAGCATGTCCGTGCCTGTGCGGCAGCGATGCGCAAACTGGGCGTCACCGCCGGCGACCGGATCGCGGGATACCTGCCCAACTGTCCGGAAACGGTATGACCCGCATCCCTCCCTCCCTCTCACTCTCCGACGGGCGTCGTTTCTGACATATCAACCTCCCCAGGTCATCATATTCCTTGCGGCTGTCAGCATAGGAGCCATCTGGTCGTCCACGTCGCCCGATTTCGGAACGACCGGTGTGCTGGAACGGTTCACGCAGATCAAGCCCAAGATTTTGTTTTCTGTGAATGCTGTCATGTACAATGGCAAGGCGCATGATCATTTGGAGAAGCTTACCGAGGTCGTCAATGGTAGAGTAGACTTGGAACATTTGTTTGAGCGATTCTTGTACCATGAAGCTCACCCTTTTGTTCCCATCCGTCAGGCTTAGAAGGTCTGGAAAAGGTGGTCATTGTGCCGTTTGTGGACCGCCCGTTCGATGCCGCTTCCATTCGCCATGGGTACGCATCATATCTCTTTTATGGAAGGTCCACATAGAGCTAACAGGTTCCAAATGCAGTGAAACCTTTGCCGAATTCCTGAAAAACGACGACGGCCGCAAACTGGAATTTGAGCAATTACCCTTTGACCACCCTCTCGCCATCCTTTTCAGTTCTGGAACTACCGGGAAACCCAAATGCATCGTGCACTCCGCCGGTGGTGTCTTGATTCAACACCTGAAAGAGCATGTGATCCATGGAGATCTGAGCGAAAAGGACGTTTACTTTTACTACACAACCACCGGCTGGATGATGTGGAACTGGCTCATCAGCGGTCTTGCCGCCGGCGCCACTATCGTGCTCTACGACGGCAGCCCCTTCAAACCAACCCCAGCCCGCCTCTGGAATCTAGTCGACGAGCTCAACATCACAGTGTTTGGAACCTCCGCAAAGTACATCCAATCCCTCCAAGAATCCCGCCTAACCCCCATAATAACCCACAAGCTCACGCACCTCCGCACCATCTACTCCACCGGCTCCCCCCTCAAGCCCGAATCCTTCGACTACGTGTACACCCACATCAAAAAAGATCTCCTCCTCGGCTCCATCACCGGCGGAACCGACATCGTCTCCCTCTTCGCAGGCCACAACGCCGCCCTCCCCGTGTACCGCGGCGAGATCCAGTGCCGATGTCTCGGGATGGCGATCGAATCCTGGGACGACTCTGGCAAAAACATCACAAACGACGCGGGCGACCTGGTCTGCACGAAACCCTTCCCCGTCATGCCCGTCTACTTCTGGAACGACCCCAACAACGAGAAATACCACTCGGCCTATTTCGCCCGCTTCCCCGGCGTATGGTACCACGGCGACTTTGTCTACGTTAACGCAAAGACGGGCGGAGTCACCATGCTCGGCCGGTCCGACGGGACCCTGAACCCGGCGGGCGTGCGGTTCGGCTCCGCGGAGCTGTACAACATCCTGGATGAGTTCCCGCAGCTGGCGGATACCCTTGTGGTGGGCCAGAAGCGGGGCGAGGACGAACGCGTGATTCTGTTCTGTAAGATGAAGGAGGGGGAGGTGTTTGATGACAAGATTGTGGAGAGGATCAAGACCGCTATTAGGACCCGGTTGTCGGCTAGGTACGCGGGCTTTTCCCCCCGGGGTTTCATTGCGGGATTGATTGGATTGCACTGGATTGGTGGCACTTACTTTGCATTGGTTGTAGACACGTCCCCGCAGTCATCATGCCCATCGCTGATATCCCGGTACGTAACCTACACCCCAAACAGCCATCTATACATTCGTGAGCCCCCCACTCACTCGCCCCCCCCTCCCTGGTTACGCAGCACACGGTCAACGGCAAGAAAGTAGAAGTGGCAGTCAAACGCATCATCTCGGGCGAAACCGTCATCCCGAGGTAACGTCACCCCCAGCAATCTCACACTTCTCTTTGACCCACACACACACACACACACCGCAACTCATCCTAAACGTCATATTCCGACAGTGGAACACTCGTCAACCCAGACTCACTCAAGCTGTACTACAACCTGCCCGAGCTGCAGGATCCCGGCGTACACCTGTAGACTGAGGAGATCGTACCCCACATCACCCGGCGGTTCGGGTTTCCCATGCGGCGTTCCCGTACTTTCCCCCCCACCCCTTTTGAGCCCGTCACCCATAACACACAACACACAGACGTCCCCCGGAAACACCCCCGGGGGGCACAACGCGCAGGACAAGTGGACCCGGACTCCTCACCGTAGATTCCCATAGCCTAGGGACGCTCGCGACCGGCGCACGGGCTTTTTTCTAGCATAATGCCTTTGTTTACATTTTCGTTGTGTGCTTCTCTGATACGCTGATGCAACCGTTTTATTGTTCCCATTTTTTGTTTTTTTTTTTTCGCAAACTTGCGTTCAGCCCGCCCCCGCGGTGTATTCGAAGGCGGTTGAGACATGGAGAGCGGTTCGTTCACTAGATACCGTGATAAGGAAAAGAAAAAAAAAGACGTTTTTCGCCGACATGTCGATAAAAGCTGTGACGACGCTGCGAGGTTGATTTCGTTCATAGTTGAAACAGGCGAGCAAAAACCCAAAAATACGAATTTTAGAGGGGGCACAAGAGACATAATTCCAAAACATAATCCAGGGATGGTGGAGGCGACGAATAATCATACAGCACGTCGGGTGCGCGCAGAAGCGATGGGATGCGGGATTGGGGCTGGTGCGAGAGGGCATGGAGATGCGTTTCCAGGGGAGAGGGATATGAATTCAGCGGGCGGGCGGGAGATAGACCCGCAGCCCGACAGGTTGGCGAGATCCGGTAGAGCAGAAAGTTGACGACGGTGCGTTCCGCATCAATCTCGTGCCCCCCCCCTCAAGCAGTAGAAGCCCTAGCCCGTTCCCTCCGTCCCCCCCTCTTCCCCCGCTCCGCGTTCCTGAAATCCGCCTCATCCACATCCACCAACCCCTGACACGTCAACAACCGCCACCCCTTCCCCGTCCTTCTCACACTCTCCTCCGTCACATTCTTACACTGGCTCACATTCAGCATCCGCAGACACCGCGCGTACCTAGCGAGATACATGATCCCGCGCTCGGTTACTTGGATGCAGCCGCGGATGGAGAGACGCTCGAGTGCGCGTAGGCCCTGGGCGAGTTTGAGGAGGTTGGCGTCGGTGACTGCTGTTCCGCAGAAGGACATATCCAGTGCGCGCAGGTCCGGGCACCCTTTGACTAATTTATCGGCAAAGTCCTCCGTGACCGCGCAACAGAAGGAGAGAGAGAGGTATTGGAGTCGATGGCAGGATGCCGCGACGGAGGTGACGGTTGTGTCGGTGAGGAAGGAGCAGTCTGAGAGGACGAGTTCTTGGAGTGCGAACCCCGTTATTGGGACAGGGGAGGCGGTGAGCGGGGAAGGGGTTCCCCAACGGGACTCTTCGTCGTTTATCATGCGGTCGGGGTCGAGTTGCATGGAGAAGCAGCGTTGGGAGGCGAGTTGGGTTTGGGATGTTGTTGTGTCGTCTTCGTTGTCGCTGCCGTCGGTTGTTGTGGGGTTCCCGTCTTGTTTGGTTGTTTCGTCGGGGGAGGGTTGGGAGGCGATCGCGACCCAGTTGGCGAACCCGTCGTCGCGGATCCCCGTACATCGCTGGAGGTTGAGACGTTTTAGAGCCTTCCATTTGACGTGTTTCAGCACTTTATCTGAGAGGAACTTGCAGTAGGATAGCGTCAGACACTCGATTTTGGGACACGCGTCCAGAACGCTGAGCACGCCGGAGTCGCTCAGTTTCCTGCAGTTGCTCAGATCCAGTGTTTGCAGCTGCACGCACATCCGCGCCATGCTCGCCAAGCCTGCGTCGGTTATATCCCATACGCTGTTCAGCGACAGCGTTTCCAGGCCGGACCCGGCATAGTGAGCGATCGCAGCGAGCCCTTTATCAGACACGCTCCAACAGTTCCTCAGACTCAAGCTACGGACAGTCTGCCCGCAAAAGCATACGACGTTGCCAATCACCTTATCGTCGATGCGTTTATGCCACGGTGATAAATCGACGTCGGTGGTGAGTTGCGCGCGCGGGTCGAGGAGCAGGCGGAGCAGCTGCATGCTCACGAGACGGATCCGCATCCGCGCCCGGAAGTTGAGGTACCCGAGAATGCGGGTCATGATTTCCCGGCCGAGGATGCCGTACTCCTGAGATGTGTTCGGTGATGGTGACGAGGAAAGTGCGGGGGAGATGTCCATGCCTATTGCGGTTGTGCTGCCCTGCGTTAAGATCGAGGACACTTTCGCGACGTGTTTCTCACACACCTCGTGCCGGTCATTCGCGGATTGAGCGAACTGCATCAACCGGTCGTCGGACCACACCGCGACAGACGCTCTCCGGCGTCCACCATACCGGTTCGCGAAATTCGCCGCCATGTTGGACGGTAAAGTGCCCAGCCCCTCCGACGCAGATTCCGTCGGCTCGCTCGGGGGTTGGACCCCGCTGTGTGCAGGCTGCAAATCGGGCAGATCTTCCGATATCATGATGGGGGAGATGGAGAAGTCGTCGCAGGATCCAAGGCCTTGCTTTTGCTGTAGCGGCCTGGCGGTGTCTACTCCGACAATGCCGATGCAATCGCCGGACTGGCGCCGCGATGCTGCTCGTGATGCCGATAGCTCCCGCAACGATCCGCTTCGTTCAAACTGGATGGATGTTCTGCGTCATTACTAATGCCTTAACTTTGATGGACGGCCCCCGTCTCCTTACCTTCAAGGATTCTGCCGAATTTTCCGAACTCCTCGCTTCCGGCCGTATCCCCGCTTTTTCCTGCTTTGCCCGTGTCTCTTCCAGTCTCTGATTCGCTTGCCCTCGTATTATTTCTGCTATCTGCGGGTACTTTTGCAGTTTGCACTGCAGATTCTCGGAGGTGACGATGGCCAACGCGCATTTGGTTTTGGCGGCTACTGTTGCCGTTCGTTTCATGTTCAATAGTACCCCGATTTCCCCGACTATGAACAGATTCCTGACATGAGATGATGCATGCTCAAAAAGAGTTTCAGAATCCGAAGGATAGACACTTACAATAACTACCAGGTCTCAGCTCCGCAAAATTTATTTCACCATCCTCACTGATAACTTTCACGATCCCTATGGTGAGTGAAGAACGCGTGAGCGACAAACCCATCAAACCATCATCCAACAAACAACCCATCAACTCATCAACCATCAACCATCAACCATCCATCAACCCATCATCAAGGACGACGGGGGTCTAAAATAGCAACCGTTCTCTGTCGCTCACACTAAGAATGGTGTTAGGGGAATCTTGCGCCTTTGGCGCAATGTCGTGCTCGCTCCGCTCGCAAAAGCTCTGACGCTCGCTGAGGCTCCTTAAGAGTTGCGGTGAGGGGAATCCCGCGCCTTTGGCGCAATGTGGCTCGGTCCGCTCGCACTCCCTCGGCCTCACACGCTCGGGCGACTCACCCTTAATGAGAAAAAACATTGCTCTCGCCTTCTCCCCCTCCTGAGTAATCACATCCCCAGCACAAAAACTCCTAACATGCACCACATTCGAGAGTTCGGTCAGAAACTCGTCAAGTATGCCCGAACTGACAACCTCAGCGTTTATGGCGTCGCGTGGGAAAAACGGCAAATTCCGCAGAATCTGTTGGAGGTTGTGAGGCAGACCGGATAGCGAGTCTATTTCGGGCAGGACACAGAAGGAGCTTTCTGACACGGTTGGGGTGAGTATGGCGGGAGTGCCGGGTGTTGAGGTTTGCGAGGGCATCTGGGCTGGCGTGGGGATTAGGATAACACGCCATCGGTGGAGGGAGAATTGAGACAGGACTTACCGACGAGCGAGGGCCTTGCGAGGACGGCCTTCCCTGTGTTTTGCGAGTTTTGAGCCATAAGAGCGCTGTGGACAGCGGTGAGGGAGGGGGGGAGTGGGTTTGCGGTCATCGTGTGCTGTTGCTGTTGTTGAGTATTTGCGAGTCTTCGTCTGCGTTCAAAAGCTCACAGCCGTGACGTTGCTTTCATCACCCGCCTCACGCGTGTTTGCCCTTACTGTAGGAAGGACTCCCTCTCCCTTGCAGCGGAGCTTTCTTCGGAGGACGGAACCCAGCAGGAAGAGGAGGAGGCAGGCTGATGCTTACTGTTGATAATGTAGTACATATGTAGTCCGCAGTGGCATCCTTATATCTATACATATGTAACATTGTGAAAGGAGCACGCCTGCAAAGAACAACATAACAGCGACGCACGGCTCGATGCATTCCGTGTATATCTAGACCCAAGCTCAGATGATTATGCTGCAGGCAGACTTTGCGAAGCCATGCCCTTCCTTGCATGCATATGGAATGCCCAGAGGTAGCCGGAAGGCGCAAGTGTCAAGTCATCTTGCCCAACGCGTTGACCGACTTCACTTAGCTTCCCGGTCATCACCACCCAACCTCCTCATCCATCTTCACACCCCACACCCCGCAACAACCAAAAAAAAATGTCATCACCCTGCGCATTCCGCGCCCGCCCGCTACTAACCCGCCGCGGCCGCGACCTCGTCGGGCACCCCCATCCCCGAAGAAGCCGTCCAATGAGTTCCGGTACGAGCACAAGCCCCCAATATTCACCGACCCCGACTTTATCTGGGTTTACAGCATCCGCGCGCCTTTGCGGACGCCATGACCCCGGCCGGTCGGACGCTTTGGGGAGAACGGCGGCGGCGAACCTTGTCCTATGCGGTGTCAGTTTGATTTGGAGCGTGGAGGGGTTGAGGGTGGGTTGCGAGCGGTGGCTGAGAATGCGTGAGGTTCCACGAGCCGCGGCGCAATGCGGGCCATGCGATGCCGGGAGCGTGGGTGTTGAACTGCAACCAGCGAGGCGAGGTGGCACCGTGCCAACGCCCGTGCGCCACGCGATGGACAAGGACAGATCCAGTCGGTACCAATCGCTGGGTTGGCGACAGTTCTACCCTGGACGGCGCCCGAAACGACAGCATGCAAAACCCGCGCATGCATCCGCCGGTGCGTACGCCGGAACGGGGTGAGGTTTGTGGAAGGACAGTAAAAGGATGTGGATCTGCCGGTTTTTCGAAGAGTTTGGAGGCGCTTCGCAGATATTTTACCCCCACGCCCATGATAGGACGGGGGAAAGCTCAGATCTAAGCACGCATATTAGTGAGATGGGAAAACCTCAGACTTTGATTCAAAAACAAGACCTCAGCTCAGATCGGCGTATTGGGACCCAGAATAGCTTCGGAAATCTCACTTTTCACATCGTATTGAAATGACAGACTGGGTGGTAGATATTGATTGTAGGAAGCGCACCAGCACGTGATGTTTACGGAGCCAGAACCACCAGGACCGTTCTGTAATACCATCACGGGAAGCAAATGCTCCCTAAGTGACGCCCCCCTCATTCTCACTCCGCCCCCCGCCGTATGACGGTCACCCTCTCCGCCGACTCGCGACGCTCTCAATCCGTTGCGCTCGCGATTCGCGGGTGATGTCCACCCCGGCCGGGGTGTCTGGTTTCGGCTGCTCGTCGGAGGGTTGCGTACCGGGTGTCGTTCCGCTCATCGATTCCCGAGCCGACGGTGTTGTAGATGCAGATGATGTGGAAGAGGAGGATGAGGACGGTTGGGAGGCGCTCGTTGGAGGACCCATCCAGCCCGGCAATCGCACGATGGTGACCGTTTTGTTATCTGTGGACCCGAGCGAGTCGGAGAGTTTGATGACGGCGTCGCAGGCTTGGGCTGGTGTAGGTGCGTTTTTGACCTGTGCAGAAACAAACACCACCTTTCAGTCAAACATCCAATGTATCCCGCTACATGGCACCCAAACACACGAAGCAAATCTGCAGTGACTCCCTGAAAACCCACCACATCACAAATCTCCTGATCAAACGCGACGCCACTGACGCCATCCGTAACAAGACACAGGAACGCCGCGTTGTGCCGGTGATCCAATGTGCGTTTGACAATCTGCGGTTCAGCGATGACTCCGCCGAATTTCTTGAATTTGAGGTCGCCGAAGCAGCGGGAGACCGCGAGGGCGCCTAGGACGAGTTCGGGGGGCGATGACGAGGAGGATGGGTCAGGTTGGTCTGCAGCAGAATCGGACGAGGAACACGACGTTGTTGTAGACGATGGAAACTCCTTGACGGCCTCCCCACGCCTTGCTCGATGATGCGCAGAATCCGTATCCCCCGGTCCATCCCCCTCACTCGTCGGCACCGGCACAGCAGTTGTAAACCCGCCCAACTGGGTAATCCTGGCCTTCTCCGATTCCACGCTTGGGACATGCGCGGTCGTCAGCGGGTGCGCGATGCCTTTATCCCCGGCGCAGAGGAGGATGCGGGAGTCGCCGAGATGCGCTATGAGGAGGTCCAGATGGATGGTTTGGGTGTCGAGGGTGCGGGCTGTTGCTCCTGTTGACGATGATGGGGGGGAGGTGGTCTCGTCCCGATGGATGGGGCGGATGACGACCACCGAGGCCGTTGAGCCGACGCTATCCGCGTTCCCGTCATGGGTTTTGAAGAACTCCAACTCGGCTTTCAGGAACGCGACGTACAGGCGCTGTTGCAGGGTGAGTGGGTCTGTCCATTTGGAATGTTCGGTGGTGTGGGGCGGTGGGGGGTGGGTTACGGATAATGGACGGTTGTAAAAGGTGGAGAGCTCGGTTAGCGTGGACTGAAGATCGATGGAGGTGACGGTGGAGAAATGGGTGTGGAGGTGGGATTTAAGGTATTCGGAGCATTCGCTACCGCCGTGGCTTGAGGAGCGGGTTTGAGATGGGATGCACTTAGAACCTGGCACCCCGCGAGAGCACCACATTCCTCTCTTACATACCCATCAAATACGGCAAACCAATACACATCAAGCGTCGTATCGGGATCCTCAGGGCACGGCACTTGGAGGAGCGCGTAAGAGGATCTATCCTAGGACCAAAACCGCCAAATTCCAATCGTCAGAACCCGCACATATAGAGTGCAGCGCTTCAACTGGCAGGTACCTCGTTCTGCTCCCGATCGCCTCTGTCGGTCTTTGTAGCCAAAAGTCCAGGGGACTCTTCAAGGTGAAGCCTGAATGGTGGGCGTTTGGTAGCGGCTGGTTTTGACTCGTCTTTGGACACGGAGGAATACGACCGTGGTTGTGGAACAGCTATTATCAACTGGGTGCTAGTGAGACGTTGCAATGGCGGTCTTGATGATGGGCGTCGTGCATACAACCGCCCTGTTGCAACACGTTGAGTCGGGAGACGCGACCGTGACGAGACATGTTTGAGCATCGACTTCCGGGGCGAGGGTCTGGTGGAGGGACAGCGACGGTCTTGTTCTAGAGGCCCGAGGGTCGTAGCCGGCGAGTACTGTAGCTTTATGAGTCTAGTTCACGGTTGTCATGCAAACAGGCGCAAGCGCAGGGAGACGGGCACTCATCTCACTCATGGCCGGATGATGCCTTTACAGTAGATGGCCAGATATCTGGGTACGACGCGACGAGGACACATCACGCTCAGCGTGTTCTCCAGTAGCGATGACGCACCAGTGGCGTTTGCAGAGAGAGCTCCATCCTCGTTTTATACAAGAGATGCGAAGCGGGCGGGCCTATAGAGACGCATGCGAAGATTAGGCGTGAAAACAATTTCGCCGTCTGGCACGGAGGATTAAGGGTGCGCGGGATTTGCCCATCCTTCCGTCTTTGCTGTGACTAACGTCTCTTTCTCTGCTCAGTGCACGGTGCGGTTGCTGCATCCTACCCTAAGGCAGGCACGGCTTAGGATGCAAGGCAGTACGTGCGGGGTGAGAATAATGATATCCACGTGCATATTTTCACCATGGGCGGCACGGTCAGACCTACCGCAGCTCAAAAAGCGCGGACAGGCAATGGAGCTGATCATTTCAATGGGCTACGACGGAAGCAACCATCTCCAACCGTACTTGCTCAAGATTGCCGTACATCACAAGCGGCGTCGGATCCCAGTAGAGAAAATTCATCTCGGCACTCCGTGGATGTTGTCATCCGTGCCAAAATCCTCTGTGCTTTTTGCGTCCTCCTTCGTGGCACTCACAGGTCATGCGGAGAGAGTATGGATCCCTTACTACCAGTTGTTGTCGGCAAAAGAAAGGGAGCGTGCGAACGGATGCAGATGCTGAGAAGTCTTCGTTCGAAGTCAATCTTAAGACGGGAACCCCTTAAAAGGGTTAAACATAGTAAACTTAGGGAATTGCTAACGACGCTACCCGTGTTTGCTATCCACCCTACCCTCCACTTCACACTAGAGTATGTGTGCTTAAAGGGTAGCGTGGATAGCAAACACGGGTAGCGTCGTTAGCAACTACCTAAACTTATGAATGACTTAAAACGAGAATCAGTTCGATAATAGACAAATCACTGTCGAGGACGGCGAGGGCGTACTAATGACAATTCCGGATCAAAGTCCTCCACAGGTACATCTCCGGCAATCCACTCCACCAAATCTTCCCCCACCTGCCACCCTCTCTAGCCCAGATATCCTCTTCCGTGTCCGGATCGGAGGCTTCTGGGTCTTCCGTAACGGCCGCCATGTCAATGCCAATTCGCTAGTCGTCAATATATCCCCAGGGCGCGTTCGTGTCCGGCGGGCGGTAAGCTCCTTGCGTTCTGGTGATGCTTCCCCAATCACCCCCTCGGCTTCCACGTTCGCTTTGGCTTTCCCCACCGTGTTGCCCACCGCGCACTGCCCGGGAAGCGCCTGCGCTGCCTGATGACCCTGTGGCGCCACTTGCACCTCCACGCCCCCTGTCTTCCTCTCCCTTTAGTTCGCCAGTTGCACTTACAACCACACCACCCCTGCGAGCGCAATGGTATTGTCTGTGCCTTGCCCAGAAAAGCGCCATTTCATCGTTCGTGATTCATGGGATAAAGCTCTGCTCTCCAGCAACTTCAGGAAGGCGAGCCCCAACACCGGGAGGTGGAGAAGGCGTGAGGGCCATGTACTTGATGTTGTTTAGGCTTTCAGTGCCGACGTGATGAAGGCGAACTCGGACCGGATGGGTGAAGTTGAGATAGGTGCGTTTCAGAAATGGGAACGGTGGTTCCGTCGCAAGTGTTCCTTCAGCATCCACGTCGGGATAGGGCAAAGGTAGGAACCGACGGTGCTTAATGGCTTCTTTGCTGGTGGTGGCGAGGAAAATGGTCCCAATATTGGTGCTTGCGACGTACTCGACGATCCACCGGTCGCTACTTTCATACGTACGGAGGGGATCTTTCCAGATCCTGGAGGACAGCGGTGACTCCAGCTGCACATCAGGATGAAACATGGCGCTTACCTTGTAGATCTACCCGACGACAAAGAGAGGCGAAGCGGGAAGCGGCGCGGCCATCACGAGAGTCGATAGGTGGGTGTGTGAAGAGCGAGGGGTTTGTGTGTCGATTCGTTGGCTGCCACTGCAAGTCGCGAACGTGGCAGGCGTGATTTTTAACTGGATATCTGTGTTGAAGGCTGCGCCCTCTGGTGCGAGGAAGACCAGTCCCGACAACTGGAGAAGACCGAAGCTGCCAAGCAGATTGGCCTGGGGAAGGCAAGACTGACAAGAATGAGCTGCAGACCGATGAGAGAAATAGCCGACAAACAAACGATATCCAAAGTGAGCTCAGAAACGAGCTTCGGAAAGCGGAAGAAGCTCGAGGAAAGGCGGAACCCAAATCGAAGGAGCTCGAAAAGGCAGTGAATGACTATAGTAACTGAAGTACGGTTCCGAGTGGCACTATGCCCTTCGTCCAGGCTATAATGCGCCGTTTGGGTTGTGACGGACCGGTGAGGGGATAACCTAACGTCCCATCCTTGTTACTGACGCGATAATAGGTTGAGCTCATCTTCACATGAGCATGCATCTCATCCCTATGCCGCGCTAGTTTACCTTGGATCATGGTCCGAATCTTCAAAGAAGCCCGGTAGGGAGAAGAGTAACCACATGTGGAGCAAGCGTTTAACAACAAATCTTCTCCCCTCCCCAGGCCGAATCTTCTGAGAGCAACAAGTGGGCTATGCAGGCGTAGCTGCAGAATCCCGGATTGACGACTGCCGCTTCCGAGTCATTATTTAGTTGCCAACCCGATCTGCTTTTGTCCTCCCGCGTGACCCTCTTTTCCACGGCCGCCTGACGGTTTTCTGTGTTGATTTGGTCCAAAAGTTGTACCATTCAACCCTTGTTGCCATTGTTCATTGTGTTAGGCTGAGTGTCCGCCGGAGCACTTTTGGCTCCGTAAACGCGGGCGCAAGAACGTTGCCAGCGGTATTCACAATCATACTCCGCCCAACGGACACACGTATTGCCAACTTCCGTATATGCCGGGCAACGAGAATCAGAGAGATCGCCTCTGCGCAGACCGGCTTCAATTGTTGCCAGTCGTGGTGGTATTCTTTCGGGCGGCCAGAAGGAGAAACGATCGATATGGGCATGTCGTGTAAGTTGGTGAGTGTGGTGCCCGCTGCCCGGTGTAGTTCTGTAATCCTATAAAAGGAACGAAGAGGGAAAAAGGACGCCGGCGTCCGTAAGGCTTGCTACGGTCAAACTCCGCCAAAAAGGAATAGATATAATGGTCCCTTTCCGCCTACTGGCCGCTTCGGCCTTTGGCGCCCTCGTCGCCTCCGCTCAGGCCTTGCCGGACTTCAAGACAATCACACTCGTTGGTGATCTTCAAGTTGCCGGCGGATGTCCCCAAGTGTGGGACCCCACTTGCGTACAGACACAGTTGACCCCTCCTACCCAAGATGGAGTATGGAGAATAACCGTTTCCCTACCCGCTGGGACGTACAATTACAAGGTCGCCGCCAATGGAGGCTGGACGGTGAACTATGGACAAAGTGCGTATTGGATCCATGTGGCGAGTGTTCTTGTCGCTTTCCCTTGTTTTCTCATACCCTTCCGTTCTGTTTTCCCAGAGGGCGAGCTTGGAGGTGCCAACATTGCGCTCAAGTTGGACCAACCGAAAGAGATCGGTTTCTTCTTTGACCAAAACTCCCATTACGTCTCTGACACCTTCAACACCGCCGTTGTCTCCGTCGCCGGGACTTTCCAAAAGACTCTAGGATGCACCACCAACGATGACGTCTCGTGCTTGGCCGCATACGCCGTCGACAAATCTGGCACCGGCACCTACGCCTTCAACTCGAAAGCCATCCCTGCCGGCACGTACACCGCCTATGCCGTTCTCTCCGCTAAAGACACAGTGCCCAGCACCAAGACCGACTTTACCGTCACCAAGACCGGTGCCGAAGTTGCGTTCGTTTACGACGCAGCTAGCTCCCTCCTTCTCGTCACGGTCGATGGCAAGATCTCGAGCAAGTGCTCGACCATCGCCGGTGCCCACGACAACTGTGTCGTCGCCGATGCTTTACTCCACAATACACGCGACGATGCACTCAGGGCCCCGCAAGGCGCTGTTACCGTCGGACAAAAGGTCAACGTCCGTCTGCAAACTCGCGCCGGTGATGCGACTGGAGTCCAGGTGCAGTTCGAATCACTCGACCCTGCCGGGAAGGCCGGCACCGTTGCAGCCAAGGTGGTCGCCGCTGGCGTCGACTGCTTTGGTGACGACAACCTTTCGGCATTCAAATGCGACGTGTGGGAGGCCCAGCTGCAATCCCGCGTCCCCACGGTACTCTTCTACCACTTCAAGGTGACCGATGGAACAGCATCCTACGTGTACGGTGACGATGTCGCATTCGACAACGGCGTGGGCCAGTGGGCGGTCGCTAACCCCGTCAACAAGTTCGCCGTAACCTTTTACCCCAAATCCTTTGACAAGGAGGCGCCAAAGTGGATGCAGAACGCCGTCGTCTACGAGATCTTCCCGGATCGATTCCGCAACGGCGACGTCAAGAACGACCCCGTCCCGTATGTGAAGAACCGCTACACATGGAAGGGCGGTAACGCCACTTGCACCACCTGCGGCGAACTCAGCGAAGCCGAAACGCTGCACTCCTTCCCCCAAGGCTGGACGGATCTGCCGGAAGCCGGCTGCAACAACTGGCTCGAAGGATGCACCGCGGAGACGAAGGGCTCGTACAACCGCGACTGGTTCGGCGGCGACCTCAACGGCGCCAAGGAGAAGTTGGCGTACATCAAGAGCTTGGGCGTCACCGTCGTGTGGCTCAACCCCATCTTTGACGCCGCGTCCAACCACGGCTACGACACCCGCGACTTCACTACCGTTTCCGAGTACTTTGGCGGAAACGAGGCCCTTCAAACATTCGTCGACACGGCCGAAAAAACTGGCATCCGCGTCGTCCTCGATGGTGTGTTCAACCACGTGGCCAGCGACTCTAAGTATTTTGACAAATACGGAAACTACCCCGACTCTATTGGCGCTTGCGAGTCCGTCGATAGCCCGTACCGCGATATGTTCATGTGGACCAATGACCCCAACGGGCCTTGCGTCGGCGAAGACGGCAAGCGCAAGAACTACTACAGCTTCCTTGGCTACGATACCCTGGCCACGCTGAACAAGTCCAGCCCGGCCGTCAAGGATCTCACCTACACCCCAGCGGCCGATTGGTTGAAAAAGGGCGTCGCAGGGTGGCGCCTTGACGCAGCTTGGAGCGGGACCTACACCGACGATTACTGGCCTGGATTCCGCAAGGCTACCTACAGCGCCCGTCCGGACACGTTCCTTGTCGGCGAGGTGATGGCTCGTGAGCAGTGTCTTCCTTTGCTGTACGGTACCAAGATGGACGCTGGCATGAACTACCGTTTCCGCGACGCTGTCATGGCGTATCTGATCCCTGAGGAGAACGGCGGTAACGAGGACCCGGAGGAGTTTGCCAACGGGCTGGAAGCCATCCGCGAGGATTACGCAGACCGCACGTATTTGGGCAACTGGAATTTGATCGGGAGCCACGATTTCCCTCGCTTCCTCTGGATCGCGACTCCCGGCAAGGCTTCTCGCGCTGAGCGCGAGCTCGACGCCGCCAACGTCGCCGTCGGCAAGAAACTTCTCAAGATCGCAACCACTCTCTCCTTCACCGTCCCCGGCACACCGATGATCATGTACGGTGACGAGATTGGCCAGAACGGCGCCCAAGACCCCGATACCCGCCGCACCTTCAACTGGACTGATATCGCAGGGACCGCCGCCCCAATCAACACCGGCGCCATCGGCACCGGTGTGCTTGGCCTTCCCAAAAATGTATTAGACCTGATCCGCCCGTCCATGGAACGCAAAGTCGAGACCGCCGACCCCGCCACCTTCGGCCCCGCCGGCGACCACGCTATCCTGCACCACACCGCCGCCGTCTCGCGGATCCGTCAACTCTTCCCCGTCTTCCGCACATCCGCCGCCCCCGTCTTCCTGCTCGCGGACAAGAAGCAAAAAACCCTCGCATACCTCCTCCGCGACGCCCGCGCGGGTTCCGCAGCCGTCGTCGTCGTCAACCGCGCCGCCGATGCCCAGTCCATCACAGTAGCCGTCCCTGCCGGTCTCCTTCCCAATCAAACCACATGGGTCGACGTCCTCGCCAACCGCGGAAAGGTCGTCCACAGCACCAGCACCACCGACAACGCCGCCGTGACAATCAAACTGGACGGCCTCTCCGCCACCACCTTGATTCTGTCCGGGAAATTCGACAGCCCCTCAAAACCACACGTCGCGGAACGGTGCAACCGCGCAGCCGCTGGCCGCACCATCGCCTTCAAGAGCGACCGCGGCGCAAAGTCCTACAACGTGTACCGCTCGGTTGTCTCCGGCGGTGGATACCTTCGCGTTGCGACCGTCGTTGATGGCGTGTATGCTGCTACCCCGCCCAAGGCTGGCACGTATTACTACATCGCGAGGGCTGTTTCGGCAGAGGGCGTGGAGAGCGAGTCGTCGCGGGAGGTTGCTGTCAAGGCGTAGAACGGGAGAGGACGCAAAACTGTTCAGTTCCGGACTTTAGACTTCTGTTTGCTTTTGCCCTCATTACAATAGCGCGAGCCGTTACCGCGGCGTAGGTACGTAGTATATCCCCGCACCACCACAATAGACATCAACGCCCCTTTTTGTAAATTCGCGTACGTAGAACCGGTACATCTCGTCACCGCGGTGTACTTCATGGCAGTTCATCTTGAAAAACAACAAACATACTGCTCTTAGACTTCAACCGCAGAGTGATCGGGAGCTCTGATTGTGACAAAGGGTTGGGGAAAAACGCGGGAACTGACAACGAGATCTGCCATGACGAGGAGACGGATGTCGAACGGCCTTCTTATTGGTAAACGCCGAATGAGGGTTTGAAGGCGACTGGAAACGTACGGAGCACCTCGTCGCGGGCAACTCCACCGAAGGCTTACTCCACTCGTCCACTCGCAAAAGCTCTGACGGGAACCACCCACTTCGTCGCCGTGCTGACTGGAAGGAAATCCTGACGGAGAACAGATAGCGACTAGAATGTGCATCGTGCAGGCGGGCAAGCGCCAACCGGTCCACGTCTCAGACACAAATATCTTCGTATGCGAGAAACCCCGAAAGGACCCCGCCGCCCTGCCCGAGCAGCTCACCATCTATGCCAACACCGTCGGCTTCGAGCGCGAGCCCGTCGCCATGATATTGCCTATGCCCGCCACCTCCGAGCACGGCTGCGAAATGGTGAACGTCAAGAACATTGACGTCTTTACGCCACTGAGAACACACTTTGAGCCGAAACGGCCAAAAGCGAGGTCTGTCGTCAAAGGTGCGAGGTCCGCTCCTGAAAGTCAAACCAAGAAGCTAGAAATCCGCCGTTGCGGCGCCTACCGCTACAGCGTCGTTCCCACTCTGGAGGATTTTCATCGGCTCGAAGACCACGTTTTTAAGATCCAGGACCAAATCTTCACTCTTCTTCAGCGGCACTACAACATAGATTTCAGCTTTCTCGTCTGCATCATCGATAACGCTGGAGCGAACCAGCCGGTGGCGTATGTGCATCCCTTGCGAGACGGCAAACTGTTTATCCCTACCCGCCACGAGCATGGAGATCAATCGCACGGCCCCACCAAGTCACATAGAGGGAGGAACGGTTTACCAAAGCCTCCTGTGTGGAAACCATTCCGCGAGGAGTATCGCATAGGGAAAGACGGTCAAAAAAGGACTGTGGAGCCCATGGAGGAGAGCAGTGAAAGGGACGATAGCAATGATCAACAAGTGGATGAGACCGCACAACTTAACGGAGACGAGAAAGAGTTGGTTACCAGCGAAGAAAGCGAGAGCGACGCAGACGACAGCCATAACGCTGCTCAACCCGCTCCCAAGAAGTCGAAATCGGACAAAGCCGACTGGGACCACGCCATCTACATCCTAAACACCACCCCACCCCCAAAACAGGGAGTCCTGCACCGCGCAAACATCATGCCTGCTCCACAGGACTTTATAAGTCTTCCATTCGACTGGGGCCCATTGCTTAAATACGTGCCTGCGCCAGTGAACAAGCAGCTGTTCCATAAGATCGTTATGAGGGGCGATCATCCGAATGATGATATATGGGTGGAGGTCGCGACACGGAAACTGGCCGACGAGCCAGTCGTCGGACCGGGCGGCCTGCTGAAGAAGTTGGCTTGTTGGGGTTAGAGATACCGGATTGCATTCAACCGGGAGAGTCGTCGTGGGATGGCTTGGATAGATGTCGGATGGAGAGGATGTTACATTCCGATGACTTCTTGGCACGCCCACACTGTTGCGGCGTAGTCACCGTTCCTGTGGATTCCTTCAAATCGAAGTTAGACGCGGAACCGCAAGTGCCGGCTGAGTTCGTCGTTTATGGCACACAATGCATGCATAAGATGAGCTTCCAATCGTGATGGTAGTACTTCATCGAAAGGCTATGCCCACGGATATGGACCTCGGTACAGAAACGCAATGCTGGCAAACTTGGACTGCGAGCGAGGGCGCAGGATTGCTGGAAGGCGAAGCCGAGGCCCCATGATGCTCTATGGAGCGCGCGACAGTGATGAGATTCATTGCCGCGAGAGCATTTGTCTGACAACCCAATTTCGTAACCCAAACCGATATACGACTTTACGCCGGTCGCATCATACGGTCACATCATACTCAATACGATACTTTACAGCAGCGGGCGTTGAATGTTATTTCCTGTTTCTTTCACTTTTCGGTGCCGCATTATCATGTCACAAGCTCAATACATCGTTGATTGGTCAGTTGGGTCTCACAGTTGCGCAACGCGGCCCCGGGCGAGCTACCATATTGATATCGACGCACGAGCGCTGTCATTTTCTTCTTCTTTGAACTCCATGTGGCAAGCTCAATACGATTGCGTAGTGCGGAGCTAGGATGGATGTGTCCGGGTTGTGCAGCTTTGTGGCGACCGTAAGTTTTGCTTGCGTGTGCGCCGTCGTAACCTTGGAGGGACCCCATGCGAATTGCCTACGAGTTGTAACCAGGGCGGTACGCGCTTTTGTCGACACGCCTCTCCGCCCATCTGAGATTTTCAAATTTATGTCGTTTTTGGCTCAGATCAGCACGGAATCGAGCAAGAACCGTTCTATGAGGGTGATCTTTCTCTGTTGCAGCTTCCATCATGATGCCATTGTGTGATGGATGTATGTTTGCGGTTCTAAACCCTGTCAATGCGTCTAGAGGACGTTCGAAATGTCTTCCGGCGAACCAGGGTTGTCAAGTCTCTTCTCGTAGTCGAGGATGGGTGAACATAAGGCCGCAAAATGCTTCATTAGTATGTATTCGGGTCGTTTAGGGATACATTTAGAAGAAGAGAGGAATACATGGAGCAATGACGTTTTCAAATACAGGAAGCAATGAGCACTGAATTGATGATATGATTGTGCGGATGCATAACGAGGAGCGGCTTGAACCCTTTCAGGTGACATTCCGAAGACCCAACATCAATGGGCTTTTGGACCGGGGGGTGGAAAGGAGAAGAAGAGTATGTAAGTCAAATTTGTTTTTCGTCCAGATGGAGTAAAGTGTGAATTTGGCCGCAGAGAAAGCTTACCGAGTATAATAAAGTTCTGAGGGAATGAGCGCTGCGAGCCACCAAGAGAGCCCCCGGACGTATCGCCCTGTGAAGTCGCTCCAGCACCTTACGCTTGGTATTCACGTCAAGACCGACTAGAGCCGCAAGGTAGACGACGTCAAACGCTTTCAAATTGAGATCTTGCGAGGTCTGCAAGTTCAAATGACATGACCGAGGACACACCAGCGAAGTCGGGGTCGTTGCGGAGTTTGGGGTCGGCGACGAGTTGGGTGCTGCAGATCAAGGCGTCCATACTACAATCGATGTTGTGTACACAATGGGGCTGGTTATAGGATTGAATGGGCGTCCTTCCACAGTAGCTTTTCGCGCCGGTGGGTGCTCGGGCCAGCAACTCGCGGGCGAGGCAGATAGAGGTCATGGGAAGAGGCCCCGAGCCGAGGAGCACGAATTTGTTCGGAGCCGGTTGGGCACGAGGCAACACCGACGAAATTGCGTTCAATTCCATTCTGGTCAGATCAACGTAATTCGAAAAGTAAGGAAAGTCACGGAGTTGGGGGCGGGATTCTAGTGTTCACAACGAGTGTCAGCGTACGTACGATCGGATACTTTACTCAACAAGACTTACCGAAAGCTTCCCCTTGACGGAGGATTCTTCGAGACCAGGACATCTCTAGCTGATACTCGCCCTCGGCGCACATATTCCTCAGATGAGGAATGATGCAGCAGATTCCCGGATGAGCCAAAATTCCATGAACGATAGTATCAGGCAGATGTTTTCCACACAAGCCGACGAGCTCGCTAAACAATGCATTGACTTCCGCAGTAGGGGTGAGCGAACGCTGTTCTGAAAATTGCTGGTATACATGTAGGACGGCGTAGACAAGAGTGTTGCGAGCTTGCACGGTGGCGGTTGCGTTTGCCGATGTCTCGGCGACCAGCTCCTCGAGATCGTCGTCAGATAGCATTGCGGCGTATATGAGTGAATGAGACTGGACTTTGTATGCTTACGAGGTGGGTGATTTCCAATGCGACGAACTGGCGAGTCGCCCAGAGAGGATGTTGTATATCCGGCTGGCGAGCACGGCAGTCACTCGTTTTCATCCATTCATCGACCAAGCATCAGTGTGCATACTACGTTGCGGTGCTTTAGAGGTGGACATTGCTGTTGTGGGCCATGATTGGCGAGAAATGACGATGCCCGACGCCCACGGACGAAAAACAGCAAGAGGGCCGCAAAGGTTGCTGCGCGTCGCGTCGATTCCGGTAAATTCAACGATGGACGAAGCAAAGGAGGCCCTCCCGGGTTACGACACCCCCATTCCGGAAACTACATACAACATGCCCCGGATCCACCCACTGCATGCAGAGCCGATTGCATGTGCACATGGGTGCAATCTGCGGAGCTGTGTCTGCACAGAAAAATGACAAAAGGCCTAATGAGCGTTGACTTGGTTGGAGCCTGGCCCGGTGGCCCCTCTCTGCGGTCACACGTGAAGAATGCCGGAAAGAATTCATGAAACGTAGCGTCGGGTTTCCGGACGAGGAATGTCACCCTGCCATCCTGTCCAACTCCTACATTCGCGCTCTACGCTCTCCATTTCAGAAGCAGCTTTAAATCCCGACGTGCTCCTATAAGAACACACATGTTGGCTTGATCTCGATAAGCCGTGCGTGGAATCGCTTCCATCGGCAAAAGACCAACAAGCAGGAAATGCATGTCATTGAGATGGCAAGGGTTGTAGAAATAGGAGCTGGAGTTGATTGGAAGGTAGAGCAAGGTCGAAGGTCAGAGGACGTAACCGCGAAAGGTATGGGTGCGTCTCCGAAGCCCTCCAAATTGCATGGTACAATCCGAAATGCAGCTGTTTAACCGACAAAGCCTGTTTTCGCTCTGCAGAGGAAGACGTCCGCCCGGTTCACCTAGCGATGGAAGCTGTCCCTCCTGATGAGCTGGGAACCTTCATCAAGTCGAGGACGCGGCGTTTCAGTTCTTAATGGAGCTATTAAAGGCCCTTCTTGCGTTCGGCACATCGTCTCATCGAAGCGAAAGTGTGGTCGAAGCGCTCGGGACCGTTCTTCATCATCTTTTGAAAGTGAACTATCTCCCAACATGCACTCTCTTGGACTTCCAGCCAGCCCGCTTTGAGGCGGGTTCGGTGCGGAAGGGAAAGTGGCACCAAATCATCAAAACTCGCCGCGGAACCGATTTCCGTAAACTGCACAGAGAGATGGACGTACGACAGTACGGGCTGGAGTTGCGATGGATACAGAATACGAAAGCTGCGTGGAATGAATTCTGGATTGCCTCGGATTACCCGCTGTCGGCTTCTACGAGTGCAATCATGTTCTTTCATGGTGATGCGTGCGACGTTGTCTCGGGCTTATTCGCGATTACACCAGCGGCTATGCGCTTCGTAGCCAACAGACATCCTACTCTCTCGGTGAGTGGCTTTCGACGTCTAAGTTTGCCATCACGTTCGTATGCTTGTACTGAACTTCCCGTCCTTCTGCTTCTCATCCATCCTACTCTCATCCGTCGTAACGATGCTCCCCGGATACGCCGTCACGGCATCCGTAGTTGAGATTCTCACAAAGAACGTCGTAGCAGGCGCAGCGAGATTATGCAATACCACCGTGTATGAAGCAGCCATGGCGTATGGCCTTACCGCGGGACATCTACTCTATCACGCGATGATTGGTGCCGGGTTCGAAAGACGGCCGAGCCAGGCTTCGCAAGAACGAATCTGTGGGAGTCAGCAGAGTATCACCGTCAGCAATTTTTGGCTGCTTCTATGCGTGCCGGTGTACACATCGTTTTGCGCAATGTATACTTGAAGGTGGAATATTAGCGTCAACGTGGTCTCCAAGACAATGAATCGTCCTGACATCTACGATGCTCACATGTGCCAACTATTCTCTCCAGGCTCCATTTCGCCAATGGTTCGTCATGATCCCCAACACGGCACTTGGGTCCCCTGCTGGTAATCTATGCAAGCGTGTCTGGCAATCTCCTCCGAAATCAACGCCTTTGCGGCGGCTCTAACGATCGGGTTGCTATCGAGTCGATATTCACGCTGGACGGATAATATGCTGTTCAATGCCATCAAGGCGGGAGTGTTCGTACAGTTCCCCGGAAGCTGGGGCCTGCGTGGCATGTTGTCGCTGGCATATAATGTTCGTTTCCCCGACGTCGCTCTCCCATTGCTATCCTGTTCCTGACGTGATGAATCTTTTTCGCTTCGCCCAGGAATATGACAGAGCTCTTTACTGGAACTATGCTATCTCTGTAGGCATCGGAAGTGCTTTATAAGTGCTCCCTGAGTATCGCTGCCATACGGTGGGGAACTCATCTAACGCACAGGCAGGCTCTGCCCTCCCACCTCTTTTCTCACGCTTGTCGTCGCCGATCCCTCAGACTCATCAGCAACTACTGTGGTCTGCGGACCAAGACTTATGAATCGAGGAGTCACTTCGACTGACTTTTAAACGTGGGTTGACATGAATTTATCGCTCGATGTACTGGAGCGAGGCGGTTCAGCATGCCCTTCCCTCGTGGCGGGTTGCGGGACCACCCAACCTATAAATGCTCCAGAATTGGTAGCTTCACCTGTTTTCTGCCGAATATCGGGCATCCGTGCGAGATGACGATCCCTTCAACAAGTATTAAAGGAGGGCGATTGCATGTACTCCTGTACTTTGACATGTAGAGCTTTATGTTTTCGATATAAGAAAGTCCTACTTTACCCCCCGTACAAGAAGTAATTTAGCGAACTTGCTGTCGAGTCCCGTTGTAGGTGACCTCAACAACCAGCAGGGCCATCAGACAGGTTCAATGGCATCGGTGGGGGCAGGCAAAGTGAAATGCGTCCAGGTGAAGAAGCTTAAAATCTGCAATTGGTGAGTATGACCCTATGGCCACTATCGAAAGCGAGAAGCGATGTACTGTACTCAAATTACCCCACGACCGAAAACCCCTCATAATGTTAAACGTCAATCCCGGCCGGAGCTCGAAATTATTGCGATCGGCGCAACCTTAAGGTCATCGCCGTGCCTTTCTGGCGTTTGGCATGGGGCGGCGTACTGTACAGTACTGTAGAAGCCTGAGAGATCTTAAAACATCCACTGACCATCACGGGGTGCAGGGAGGTGTGTGCAGCGCAGCTGGTCTCCCGTCAGAGTCGTCACGCGCCTTCTCCGCCTCTGGACGCGTGCAACTTCGGCGGCCGCCGTATTGCCAGGGAGGAGGGAGATTGAATACTGTACTACCCCCGGTCCATTCGACGAGGCAGCACAGATTGAATAAGGTTGCTTGGCGCATGATGATAAAAGTGACAATCTGTATTAGCGAAGGCATATACCGTCCGTATATTGCACATGATGCTGTAAATTTTCCCTTCAAAGCGATGCCGCCACATGGGCTTCAATATATCAGGGGATGAGTGGTTTTGCGTATATCTGGCGCAAGCGGACGTGCGGAGCTTGCTGGTCAAGGCGGACGTGCGGGGCTTGCGGGTCGAAGCGATATGGTGGTGGGGAGAGCTGGCCAGGAGCAGCCTGGTGATAGGAAAATGAGGCATAAAAGACATCGATGGAGACCTGTTGCCACAGTTGCTACACATCAGTTCACATCTAAAGATTCCCCAATACTATACATCAAACGACATGGTCACCCAAGAGCCTACAGCGGTCGGCGTTCAAGACGCGAAAAAGACCGACCTCCTTCAGGTACACTCGCAGGCGACTGTAGTTGACCATGCGGAGCTTCTTACCGATTCGGAGGTAAGCCTCAGCGTCAAAGAGTGTCATGTTGATCCAGATTCCACCGTAAATCTCCCTATGGTCATAGGCAGAACGTCGGCTCCTTCGCAAGTTGGATCTGAGGATAATGCCGATCCTCTTTGCAAGTTATTTCCTCTCCGTGGTAGACCGTAGTAGCGTTTCGTTCGCGAAGATCTCCAACGTGGAGAAGAAGCGCAACCTGCAAGCCACGGCGAACATCAGCGAAGAGCAGTTCTCAATTGCGCTCGCTGCGTTCTTCGTTGGTACGCGAGATATGCTTTCCGCGTCGGGGTTCTACCTTTGAATCTAATGGATGCCCTCATTCTCCCATGTCAGGTTACATCCTATTCGAGATCCCGTCCAACCTCGCCCTCAAGAAAGTAGTTGCCCCTACGTGGATTGCCCGCATCATGGTCAGTTGGGGCATCGTCACCACTTGCCAAGTCCTCATCACAAAGCCCTGGCACTTCATTCTGCTTCGGTTCCTCCTTGGCGCATGCGAGGCCGGCTTCTTCCCCGGTGTTGTCTATTACCTCACCTTTTGGTACCGCAAGACTGAATGCGCTAAGCGCATCGCCGGCTTTTATATCGCCACGTCGGTTTCCGGCGTCGTAGGATCAGCCTGGGCGTATGGAATGGCTCAAATCGATGGGCAAGCCGGGTATTACGGATGGCAACTTCTCTTTCTCACAAATGGCGTGCCCACAATCGCTCTGGGATTGTTGGTGTACTTCATCTTGCCGGCGAAACCCTCTGATGAGAGCAAGTGGCTCACTCCTGACGAGAGAGCTCTAGCCTGCAACCGTCTTCGAGTTACCGGAGTCAGTGACAGCCAGTCGAAGATCGACAAGAGGGAATTTTGGAAGGTCTTCAAGGACTACAAGAATTATTTGTTCATCGTTATGTATTTCAGCGTAGTGATGGCCGCCAATGCACTAGGTGGGTGTGAATCTTTCGCATTTCTGAGGCGCTGCGATATCCAATGCTGACGGCTCCTGCATTTTCCTCAGGCCTGTTCCTCCCGACCATCCTTTTCATCCTCGGCTATACGTCATTAGATGCCACTCGTATGTCCGTCGGCCCTTACGCCGCCGGCGTTATCCTCACTATGGGCATGGCCTACTTGTCCGACCGCACACGCCAACGCTCAATCTTCATCATGATTAGCGCTCTCATTGGCGTTATCGGTTTCGCTATCCTCGCCGGAACGCCGTTCGCGGACAAGACCGGCAAGTACGTTGGATGCATCCTGGCCGTTGGCGGGGTGTTCAGCGCCATTCCCCTGGTTTTTGCCTGGCTGTCGGCGAACATCCATGATTCCACTTTCCAAGTGACCGCCATTGCGTTTGTTTCGTCTGTCGGAAACCTCGGATCGGTCGTTGCGTCATACGCACAGTATAAGGACGACAAGCCAAAGTACGTGCGCTCGCACATGATAAATTGCATCGGTCTCGCTTTGACTGTAGTTGTCGCCGCGGCGTTACGAATCATCTATGCGCGTAAGAACAAAAAGCAGCACGCTGCTCGGCAAGATAGGGAGAGCGCAGATGGTGAGATGAATCGTCCGGCGTATGTTCTGTAGGGGACCATTTCCGTTCTTCCCCGTTGCTTAGTTCTCAGAGATCATCACCGCGAATCCCCCGATGTCATTGTGAGCCAATTACGTCCACTTGTATGCGCTTTTACTCGTGAGTGCTGTGTAAATAGTCCCTACCGTTCTGTTTTTGTAAATTTTTTTTCTTCGAAATGTCGAATCGTTTTGCTCCTCACCACTCTCTCCTTATCTGCTCCACTAGCGAGCCCTTTCGCTCGGTGTTCAGGTCAACATCAACCTGTACTCCTGTCCAGCCGCTATCCTGTCTACAGCCGCTCTCCGGCGGGCCATAGCAAGCGCTCGTCGCTCCGCATCGACCCGATCTCCACCCGAGATAAACTTGATAAATCCGCTGTTGGCTTTCTTTCCCGATGGAGGTTCGGACGTGCAGCTCCCACGTAGCCGCATCTCCTCCCTTCTTCTATCCCCTATACTTCCCCACTCTTGGCGTATCCTCTACCTTCTCTCTTGTTCCGTGCTCTCTGCTTGCCCACACCTTCCCATGCCTTCCCAGAAAAGCACAAATAGCCGGCTCCCCTCCGCTCCCCATCCTGATTCCCCAGCAGATCAACACCAGTTCTCCCTAGTCTTGTTCTTGTTTCGGTCTAAATACTGGCTTTCCAAGAGTTATGGAGAACCCGTACAGCACCCTGTCGGAAGTTCAAACTGACCGCGTTCTGATTGACAGTTTTGAACAGTCTGCCTGACATTCCTCCCATCCATAGTAACCCCCGTCGATCATCGACCAAGAACAAGCGCAAGAAACGCTCCATCAGCAATAGTTCATGAGACATCTCGAGGTAAAAGTTAAAAGCTCTAAATCGAAGGCGAAGGGTCTCGCATCGATTCCCGGGCATCTCCATCCGGAGCCCTATTCTCATCCCGAGTGCGATGCCCTGATTTTGAGCAGGTCACGGAGGTAAGATATGTGGTGGCCGACTTGCTGCTGTGATGGACCCGCCCCCGTCCCAACACAAAAATGGCCCACGCGGGACTTTATGTGAAGCACGCACCGGTAAAAGGTGCCAAAAATAGACCTAGCATGCAAGATTGAAAGATGGGACATGGCCGGTAAATGGGGTGGGGTAGTAGGATTTCTGTAGCAAATATTCGGAAGTGTTCCTCAAAAGAAAAATAGACTGCAGAGGACGTGAGGAGACGTTTGACGGGAGGCCCCGAACTGATTGCGGCGCGCCGACGCGTTTTTGTTGCCGGGGCCCGTGTGCGGGCTTACGTCAGCAGGGCGCGCGGTGCCTGGGGCGTACGCGTCAAGGAGGGGAAAGGTATGGTGCAGGGAGCTCGACTAAAGCTGCTGGACGTGGGCACACCACTCGGCTCGGACCCCCTTCCGCACTCTATCCTCCTCCTTCTTCCCCGGCGGCGTATCTCTTCTGAGAGCGGGTTTCGGTCTTCTGCTCTATGAGGTAAGTGGATGGGCCAAAAGACAGAAGACCCTGATCTCATCCACCGGAATGGATTCTCCACCGTCTATAAAGGGCCGAGGGTCGCAACCCTCAACTCCCTCTCCGCCTCACCAAAGCATCCAGCATCCAGCAAGCATCGCACGCACAAATCTACTATTCATCTCTACACTCCACGCAACAAAAAGAACCTCACCCCAATCCTCCAACAAAACCGACAAAACCAAAAATGAAATTCCTCGCCACCCTCCTCACCGCCACCACCCTGATCACCTCCACCACAGCCGTCTGGACGACCCTCGAAGGCTCTAACTGCTCCACCTGCTCCGCCAACTCCTGCATCTACCGCATGACTGACAAACGCTCGGACGACCGCATCGACTCTGACCAAGAAGTCGCGTGCTACCGTGGCCACGTCGTTCTGCAGCGCTCGTTGACCAAAGGGACAACGGGAGTCCCGCACTGCCGCATCTCGTTCCAGGGCCCGGGTGAGGACTGCAAGTTGAATGGGAAGGGTGGGGGCTGGAACCCGGCGGTCGCGGCGAGGAAGACTTTAGGGTTTGATAAGCCGCAGCAGGTCGGGGCCGTGTACTTTTCGAGGGGATGTCGGGCTGGAGCGACGATTAGGAGCGAGATTAATAACTTTTGTATGCCTGGGCGGAGGGATGGGAATGCGACGGTGGTGGAGGGTGATGTGAATGTGGAGGCTTTTGATGGACCTGAGGAGGATATCGTTGGGGATTTTGTGGGAGTGGATGGGGAGGAGGAGACCGTCGTTGAGGAGGAGAGCACATCCGAATAGGACATTGGTATTGGTTTTCCCTTCAGTCGGCGGGTGCTCCAACGTATTCGTGTGCCCCCCTCCCTTCCCCCGTTTTTCTCTGTAAATCATAGACACCTTCGTAGATTTCTCCATTCTATATTTGATTTTTATATAGCTGTTTCCCACTCCTCATGTATAGCCTTTTTGTGAATAGCAATTTCCATTTTTCTCTCAAAATCTCCCTCTCCCATCCTCTTGTCGCATGTGTGCTGGGAAGGAAACACTCGTGTACGGTAACTTTATGTTTCGGATATGCTTCTCAATCTTGAACTTGGAGTCGAAACGTGGGTTCCCGTTCTTCACTCAGCGCCGCAAACGGAACCCTACACAAAGTGGTTGACGTTCCCTCGTTGTGCTGTTGTGCTGTTGTGCGGCAACCGCTAGTCGGAAGCGCTGCTCGACCTTTCACATGGTGAGATGGACGTCGATGTGGGCCTGACGAATTTTTCTTTCATTTTGTGAAGACCTCACCTCGGTTTCCACACCACCTGCACCAGGGCTCGGGCTCTGGACGCTAAAGACAGCGTAGAGATTCCAGCCTTTTGACTTAGGAAAGGGAGGGTTATGGATACTCGACGCGAGATTCTATGCAGGCAATGCATGACGCGCATGTCCCAATGGTCGAGCTACCCGTGCCAAAGGTCTCGTATCATACTCGACCCGGTACTTCCCGCGGTGCGTGAAGCCGGGCACTCTCTTGCAGAGAGTGGCGGACAGTCCAACGCAAAGGACAGTCCAACGCACTTTTCTTTGGGTGTTTGTGGAACCCAAAAGTCAACGACAATTTCCGTACTTCTTCAGGTGTGCAGGCAGGCCGGTGACTTCTGCTGGTGGCTATGCTCGGGATGATGTGTCCTTGACGCGTCGTACCCAGACTTTGGGGCACTAAAGACATCGGACCATCCGCAGCAAAAATCAGCTAACCCTTCTTAAGAAAAGCTAGAAAAGTGCGTTGGACTGTCCTTTGCGTTGAACTGTCCGGCACTCTCTGGAAGAGAGTGCCGCCGGAGCGCCCTCGGCGCGACTGCGGGCGAGTATGATACGAGACCTTGGCACGGGTATTGGCGTTCGTTCCGCGAATGTTCATTATGAAGCCATCGGCCCATGCATCTCGAACGGCAGTACTGAACAGCACTCGTTCTAATTA